TAATATTTACGATTTTCGTAAAAATATGATTTTTAAACTCTTTACTCGCTATATTCCTCACTACGCTCTGGATCTAATAAAAAAATTAAAAAATACACACATAGTAAAACCAATAAATCCCTCACTATGCTCCAAATCTAAACAAATATTACTTTTTTTTCCGAAAAGTAATTTTGTCTAGTCGCTGCATCATAAAGGGTTATTTTTTGATTTTCCAATAGATCTTCAAAATATTAGGTAATACGGTAAATAGTTTAACTTTTACATCATAAATACCAAAAACCTTTTAGGTCGCATGGGCGAATATGACAATGTTAACATATCGATCATTTTTAAAAAGAACTTCCACGGTTAATATTACTTTAACTCCAATTAGCATTACTATTCAAACTTTGTTCCTTAATACGAACTATACGTATATCTTGATAAAAGTTAGAGGTATAGATACAAAGAATGTACAAATTCCCTTGAAAATGAATTTTCGTATTAAAAGAATTTAAAATCTAGTCTCCAAAATGTATGGACAAAAACAAATTAAATGATACGATATGAAGTAGTATAGTTTATAACTTCATGTTTTGATATATTTATAAGAAGTACCCAGTAAATTACTTTAAAATGCATCTTCAAATTACAGGCATTGAGACTAATAATTCAAAGTATTGTATTAGTAAAATATTGAGGCTAAGTGCAACAAGGAAAATCCTCTTTTTTCTAAAATGACATTCTGATAGTTACGAATAAAATAATAAATGTTACATGATTTAATGATTTCATTTCATTTTGTGTAGTCATCAAATATTTGATTCAATTCATAATATGGCCTTGGTGTGCTCCCTTTATTCTGGGACTGCTGAGAAATTTATTTTATAATTCAACCGATTTCAACTCCTAGTGATAGCACGATAGATAATCTAACTTACGGACGGGGTTTTCTGTAGACTATATTATAATTTATAGCTCTCATTCGCGTTTTAGTTTCTTCTTTCAATTATAATACTATAATATTTATAATATTTAATATTATAATAGTATAGTGAGAAAATAATAAAAAAAATAGCGAAAAAACTATGTAAATTGTAAATATAAACTATCAAAAAACAATGAATGAAATTTAAGAAAAAATTGGACAAATTGTATTTATATTGTTGTTGACGAGACAACTGATACACGGGGCTTATACATTGCAAATCTTATCTTTTAGCATTCAAACAATTTGAGAAAACAAACAATGAAATGATTACCCAATTTATTAATGACTCATTAAAATTATTATGAACATATGTGGGAATGGAACTGCGTGTATTACATTTATTAACAGACGCAGCCGCATACGCAGACGTATTATATAATACGATAAAATCAGGGAATTGTTTAAAGATATTTTATACTAACATGATCCATGTAACGAGTACCGCTCATGCTTGTAATCGTCTTGCAGAAAAAGTAAGAGAGTTATATCCAAACCTTCATTAATTATTTAAGACATTTAAGTAATTAATTATTATAAATTGTTTAATTAGTCAATTTTAAAAAAAATAAAACAATTTTTTTTGTATATTTGTTGCACATTTTCATGATTTTTATTACAAATTTCGATATTTTTAAGTTCATAAAAATTCGTGATCTAATTATTAGTCTAAGGCACAAGTTTGCCTCCCTAGTTCTTCTATTATTTCTAAACCCAAACTGGTCTTCTGTTAAATTTGCCTCTATTTTATTTTCTATTATTTTAAGAATTATGTTTGTTAGGATCTTCGAAGCACGCGTGATATTAAACTTCGGTCTTTCTATTCTCCAGTATCGATATCATTACACACTTTTCAAAGTCTCTGGGGACTTCACCTGTTTTCACTCTAGAGCCATCAGTATTCTCCATTCAGATGATCTATACCCGCGTCTTAATTCGGTTTTAGTTCCTTTATTACTAAATCAATTTCTTCTTTTATGATACTAATTTGGCTATTTTGCCAAGATTTTTAATAAAACAATATGAGACACTGTCTGGGCTTTGGCATTAATATTTTTTAAGTACATTTTCCATTTTGTTGAGTGTTATATTTGGTAAATTTTCTATTGAAGTTCTTATATCGTCTACAAATTGTATTGCTGAAATTTGCTTAAAAGTATCTATACATTTTTTCGGCAACCTCTTCGGGTTGTTTGCTGATTGATGTTGTTTCCATAACATCCGTTATGTGTGTTTTTTGATTTTCGTTTAGAGCTTTTAATGAGTAGATTTTGTTCCATATCTTGGATGAATTAGTTTTAGAATTAATACTTGTTGTAAACTGTTTCTACGAGTTCTTTTTAGCTTTTTTTGATTAGGAATTTGGCTAGAACGCGAAGTTTTTTTAGTTGAATAAAGTTTTCTTAAAGTATTTTTTTATATGTTTAGAGCATTCTTTTTATTGTGTATAGGTCTTTTGATCTCGTCGTTCCACCAGGGAACCTTGGGTTTATTATTGTAGTTTTTCAAACTACTGTGAACGGGCTGGCGGCATATAATAATAATACACTAGTGCCGGTTACTTTGTACACGCCACTAACACTGAGAAACTAGAAAATAGCTGGATGTGTATTGAGTGATAGGCTATCATTGATAGCTCAACAGCAATGGTCGGGTTCGCTGGACAAATACTAATGGACTACGTAGTTCGTGTTGTGCGAGAATGTGTAATATCGTATGTGTGTGTAACGCATATAGATGAGTTAATAATTAAAACTATGGTAACAAAAAGGTAACTAAATAAAGTTCAAAACGGTAAATTAATTGGTAACTACGTTACTATATAATAGTAATAATTCCAAATAGTTAAGTGATACAAATAATAAATAATTCACTGCAACAAAATTACAATAATATAAATGGACTTATGGCCGTCTGGCCAAATAATCGATACCAGGACATAATATCTAGCGAAAACCGCGACGATTTGCGTACATGTAAACAATAATTCTTAATAATAATAATATGATAATAATAGTAATATGATAGATAACAAAAAATAACTTACATGCAGTTGGTCAAAGCGTAGACTGGCCAGCCGCTACTGGTACCTATTTAAATTAACGTAGGCCGTACAAGCCGATATATATCACAATTCACAAAATATACAAAAATAAGCACAGCTGGAGTACACTTAGTCCCTAATATAATGATAGAATAATTGGTGATTCTTTTGCAAGCTATAAGTTAAATGTCACCTGCCCTCTCCACGTTTATAATCATGTCCACTTTAAGCTCAATCTTATATCCTTGGCCGATCTGAACATTGTACTCCTACAAAGACTTATCTGGTGCCGTCGATTCTCTCAACCTCATCTCTCTCATTAACTTTAAAATACCAACCCGAAGCACTCGCAATACAAACCCATTTTTCATCCCTCATCAAACCATCAATATTACATTAGTAATGAGCCTATAAGTTATATTATGAAGCTTGCCAACGACGACTCCTCATTTAATTTAATTTGTGTTTGAATTGATTTGATTTTATGTATTTAGCCTATTTAATTTGTCTTAATATTTTTATATTTTCTTACGATTTTATTATATTGTACTTTATTATTATTATATTGTATTTTACTAGCATATTACTAACATACTTTATTCATACAACATTTTTTGCTATACTATTGTTGGGCGCAAGCCTGTATTCCGAGTGGAGTTCGGTTGATAGTGTTACTTTGTCAACAATATATATGTCATATTATGATCAATTAATTACATATGCATTATGTTTTCTTTTAAAATAAAATATTTTAATTTTGTACTTATTTTCCTGGTTTTCCTATTTCTAAGTTTTTCTCATGTTTTTTGCCATTTATTAGGAAAAATCCTAAAGAAAAAAAAATGACCTCCCTAAAGTATCTCCCCAGTCAGATTTCCTTTCAGAAAAAGTGCTATCATTGTAAATTGAAACAAAATTGATGGTAGAAAAGTGCAGGAAAAAAGGCCATAATATTTTACTACACATTCGTATATATTTTCCTGTTTTTCCCATTTATTGGGAAACAAATTCCTCCCTCTGCTCTGCATCAAAAAAAAAAAAAAATACTGGATTACACTTTTTTTAACACTAAATATAATTTATAATGAATTTCTAGTTAATTTTTCTATAATTTTTGTTTGGTCAAATAATTTTATCCGCATAGTATCTCAGAAAAACCGTAAAATAGTTAGAAATTGTAAAATAATTATAAATAATTCAAAAATATTTTCAGAATGTTTTGAAAAATTTAATACATTTAGAAAATTCCAATATTAGTTATTGGTATTAGTAATATTAGCAATATTAGTTAGTATTTATTATCAAAATTTCAAGTCTATGAATATTTTGTTCTGAATAACAATAAAAAACAAAATCAAAAATAACTAAATTATTATTTCTGTAAACTTTCTTTTTTTTCTACTTTTTATTTAGTTTTTCCAATTATTATGAGAGCTGCTTAAAAATGACTTGCTCTCCAACTAAACCTAAAATGTGACAATACATATAAGTTTCTTGTAGTTTTTCAACTGATCAAGATTTCAATTCGAAAACATAATATGAACAAATTTTAACATAGTAAAACCAATACATTTTTTTTTGTACTGCTCAGAATCTAAGGAATTTTTATCCAGTGCATCAACAAGATTTTTTAAATCTCATTTTCTTTTCTATGTAAATTTATAGAACAAAACAAATGAAAGAATGAAAAAGAAGGAAGTAATAAACAAATAAATTCATGGAGTAGAGTAAAAGAGTAATAGAATAAAGAATGATAAAGAGTTTCTATAAGAACATTATGATAAATAATTATAGGAGTGGGATATTGACATAATGATTAATTATCTTTTAAACATAAGCTCAGCAAGATAATACATTTTGAATACAAATGAATAAACAATAAATAAAAAATTAATAAAAATAAAAGCAACAATAAAATATTATTGATCGATATCATAAAACCATGAAACATCATTTTAATTAATTATTACTATATAGGTTAGATTAGCCTATAAATTAAAAAACAGAGAATTTAAATATTCTAAAATTGATTGTGCACAGGAGAAATAAGTAATAACTAAAATTAAAATATAACTTAATTTAAAATTTGTTTTGAATCCATTAAACTACTGGCTGTCAATACATACAAAATAAAGAAAAGTGGAATAGATAGGGTAACTATTGATATAATTATACAATTATTATTTTAGCAATAATAATAATAATAAAAAAAAAATGTATATAATATATAATAAGAATAAGCTTACCAATTGCCAATTTAGGTTAGTTATTAATTTTGAGGGAATAAATTTTACTTTTATAATTGATGAAAGAAATATAGTATAATTAATGCACATAAAATACCCTACTCACTACATTATTGCCATAGTTGGTATATATATATAATTATTTTTTAATCAAAATGTTTGGAAGACATTGTATTGAGCGGATTAATGGATGTTATATTTTTGGTTTTAATATTGGTGTTAGAATGTTGTTCATTTGGAACAATATCTGTACGTGTATTTAGTTGAATCATCTAAAATTATAAACAAATTTATAATTACTGTTAAACAACTAAACTTCAAATTAAATACAGATTACTAACGTGATCACTATGAGTGTTTGTAAGTCTTGGTATATCAATTGTATGAGACATCTGGGGTCTATGTTGTTTGATCAGGCCTCCCATTGTGAGATAATCATCATCTTCAGCATTCTTAAGATGTTCCATTTCTAAGTACCTAACAATTTCTGTATTTGACATTTCTGAGGCATGTCTAGAACGGCGTACAGGAGTGTTTCCTCGATTAGGTGAAAGATCGCAGTGTGGTGATAATAAACTAATTTAAATAATAATAAAATTATCAGTGCATAATATTATCCTATGTTATAAACTAAATAATCATATTAATATAATTTATTTTCCAAAAACTAAATTTATTAGAATTAAAAATATTTGAAATGTAAAATAAAAGAACAATTTTGTCTAACCTTATTTATCAATATAAATTATTTAAGTTATTACATTTACTGATTAAGTACTAATATATTATATGCTATATTAAAATATGTACCTTGAAAAGACTTGTCTAGTAGGGGTTGGCGGCAAAACTGAGATAAATGGTTCAACAAAGACTGTACGGTCTGTACTTGATCTAGCAATAGTTTGATCACTACTGCCACCTTTATAATCAACCTCACTAATATCAATGTCATTTGTTTCTTTGCTGTTAAAATCTGGTGATAAAGTGCTTTCAGTATCATATTTTCTATCCATTGCTCTAGCAGAGTTTTCTGACATTCGGCGACATTCATAACTGTACAGTTCATTAACAGTAGGTTTATCATTGAATGAGGATCCACATTGTGAAAGGTAAAAGTTACTATCAGAAAAATTTGGAGGGCGTTTCTCATTAAATGAATATTTTTTTTTTTTATTACATACAGATGTCATATCTGATATATCTGATAATAAATCTGAGCGCTCACTAATACACCGTGTTCTACCAGATACAGGGACAATTTTTTGATCAGAATCAAAATCTGGTTCGTATGAATTACTTCTTTTTTGAGCATTATCACTACTACTACCACTGTCATGGTCACCATTTTGTGTAGCCATAAATCGGTGTATAACACCTAAAGTAGATAATGTTTGATCCATTAAACCTTCTATATTACGAAGACGAAATTCTAAACCCTAAAAAAATATAAATTGAAGTGACTCAATTCCATCAAACAAAAACATTTAAATTTATCATACTTGTACAGATGAACTGTATGTGTTTTCTTTTTGATTTATGTCATCTACTTTTTGTTGAATATTTTCCATTTTCTCTAAAGACATTTTAATTCGTTCTTCTATAGACATCTGTAATTTGAAATCCTTTTCGCGAAAATAACCTTCAACACATTCTTCTTCAAAATCATAAAGCTGTTCTAATTCCTCATTACATAAAAATAACTTTAATCCATTATCATAAGTCTCTTGAATGCCTTGAATTTTGCGACATAGATACTTAGTTAATAGAAATACATGACAAAAAAATATTAATGGAGGAGGAAGTGATGGCTTTTGTTCATATTCCATAACAACAGTAAATCTCTGAAACATCCATACCTAAAAACAAAAAATAAAATGAAAAATATACATTTATTAACTAATTGCGAAGAGGGTATTATGTTTTGGATCGTGTAATCTATTCTATATAAGTGTGTTTCTTTGTTTCATCATAATTTCTAAATGATTAACCTTATTTTAAAGTGTGTGGGGTACCGTTAGAATCATTATAATACTCCAGTAACATAGACTAGGTGACATATAAAAAAATGAATTCAATGGTCCGAAATTAAACATATATTATATATCTGTATTACTAATAATTAAAAGGGCTTGAAAATGACTTTGTAATTGGTTTAATGTTTGAAACACATTCATTTTGCATTGTTCTATAATACGATGGTATTTACATGTTTCTTCCTTAACTTACAACTTCACAAATTTCAATAGCACCTTAAAGGCTGATAACCCTGGCCATTTTAAACCAATGAAGAATTAGTTGCCTTTTTACATAATCAGGTTTTTTGATTTTATTAAATTAATTTTTTTTAACATTTAATTTAATAATAATTTATATGAATATAAAAATTACATAAAATATTGAATTAATGATAATAATAATAAAAAAAAATTGTATTCGGTAAAAACTATTTTTCAACTATATTTAACACATTTTCATTATAAATAATATATGATATTGAAACCATTGAAACATTGAATATTTGTACAAATAATTTTTGCAATAGAATATAAAAATCATACAAATTAAAAATAGCAAATAAATAAAAATACTTGCATTTTTACAATAATATTATATTATATTATATATAAAACATTTTAAACAGAAAATTTTAATGTAAACACAAGTATTTTATCTTTTCGTTTTAAAAATTATAGTTATACCTATAGAGTATTATAAGTTTTTAAGCCAGAACAAATTAGTTAACTGTTGAACATTCTAAAATATACTTCTTATTTGCATTTTACTTACTACACAGCATTGTGTTGGAAGGGCAATAATAATTATTGTGGGCATAATTAAATTAATTAAACTTGCACACACTTATCAGCAATTTTAAGTTGTTTTAATATTAACTATTGTTTATTAATTAAAGCGAACATTTACAATTACAATTACCTGATGTGATATAGCGTTGATATCATTAAAAATGTTATTGAAAACTGCAATCAAGAGATTTATAAGTAAAATATTGGCAACTAATAAGTACATGGCCATTACTAATGGTGTAATCCATCGACCAGTTTGACAATGTGACATACCACTTGATTCATCACACTCTGGATATATTTGATCTGCGTACACCTAAAAATATTATATTAAAATAGATACCTATGTCTAAGTAATATAAAGTACAAAAATAATAAATATATTTATACTTCTCCATATAACATAAAATATGGCTGTAAAAATATTTGTCGTATTAAAATCCAATCGGGATCAGCATCTGGAAACAAAATTGCTTGTCTGCTTACTCCAAAACTCATAAGTACAACAAGCAAAAGAACCACAAAGTAAAGCATGTTTTTTATCATTTTACCCATCATTGTAACTAGTGGTCCTGAGATATAAAGATGAATAAATATTAAATAGTATTATAGAATATTTCAATTGTTTAATCATTTCTAACCAAGATATTTGTTTACGCCAAGTATGTTAAGAATTCGCAAATACCAATAGATTATATCTGTACAAAACATAACACGGCCAATTGTCTGAGATGACGGTTGTAACCTTAAACATAGACCACTTAAAAAAAATATTATTGCAGCAGCATCACACGGATTCCACATATTCCAAGCCCAAACAGAAAATTTATCACTAAAACAAATAAAATTAAAAAAAATATGATAACAAAATTTACATAAAGATAATTATAAACACTACCTGATACTCGTGGGCTCAGAAGAAACTATTTCTCTAATTTTCTCACAACCAAATGTGCATATATATGCAATAACATACAATTCTTGCCAAGATGGAGTTTTTTCCATACGAACAAGTACAACATATGTGAACAGTACCAAAAAAACAAAATATGCAGCCTGCAAAATTAATTTAAATTAATTATGATGTAAAATATTATTAAGTATTAGTTTTACTAACGGAATTTGCTAAAAACTTTGTTATCGGTGCAGTGTAAAATTCAATAATTTTACGCCGCATAGGCAATGGTCGCCTTTTCAAATCAAAGACACTATACTCATATGTAGGATTAACACATTTAATATGTTCATAATCAGAATGTTTAGTAGTATCAATTGAAATTGAAACATTTTGCAACATTGTACCATTCTCAGTTGTATCAACATCTGCAGCTGATGGTACACCCTAAAATTGTGTAATCAATCAATATTAGAATTCGGGTGAAATTGTATTAAATTATATTAATTCATACATCTAAATTAGTTTCCACAAGATTTAAATGTGATCTATGTACACCACCATCTTCAACACTTTCAGTTTCTTCTTCCAATTCCAATCCATATAAATGTTCTTCTTCAGTTTGGGGCATTGACTGCAATTCTTTTCTAGACTTAAACTCTAGTCTAGATATGTATGGCGGAAACAACAATCCTAATAAAATCTAAAATCAAAATAATAGTTTAAAAAGTCTTAATGTTACAATTATTATTATGACATTGATACCCTTATGTTGGTATTTTTTCTAGTTCTAAGACCTCCCATCCACAAATCAGCAAGTATAATTTGACTGCAAGGATGAGCAAGTAAAGCTCTATGATTTGCAGCTACTGCTAAACTAAGGCACGTTTGACCACTCCAATTTTGCAATTCAACTGTTAGCAGCTGTTGAGCCTGATCATCATCTTGGCGATAACAATAATCCAATAACTCAAGTGCTAAAATAATAACTTAATTTTATACTTGAAAATTAATACTATTTATACATGTACATACAGATGTCTTCAAAAACTTTGGCATAATTTCGTAGCTCATCATATATTTCTGTTTCCAAATCATCTTCTGCTGCTTCGTGTGCCATAGCTTTGTAAAGCTTACAAGCAGCAAGTGATTTAACTAGAGCTTCTTCGCCATGTTGCCACATCAATAATGCCATCTCTTGACGCTTAGTTAAAACTGTCCAAATCTAAATAAAATAATATAATAAAACCCCTGGTATACTTTGCTCATAAAATAGGTAATTAATGAAAATAGTCCACACGAGTAAGTTTATTATCAGAATTATAAACAATAATACATTATCACAAAACTTAAGTATACTTTAAATTTCACAGCTAAATAACTTACTTGAATAATATGTAGGGATTGTAAGACCCTGGATAAAATACTGTTGAGAGGTCTAAATATTTTACACTTTGAATCTTAACTTAAAGTACTCATAATGTACCTATCTATAAAAATGTTTAGAACTTTTTAAATATTGCACTTAAATTGTTGTAAATATTCATCTACATATTATTAAAATAATTAATTATTTAAATTCAAAAAACCAAAGAAAATAACATTAATTTCCAGATAAACAGTGCAGAACTATACATAGAAACATTTAGGTATGTACCTACCTATTTCTCTACCTGCCACATTTATAGTCTACACCTAATTTCAGTTTTTGAAGAAATTTATTTATTTATTTATTTATAATAACAGGTTTGTGTCCACCCATCAACATAATTACAAGTTATTCAAATCACATTAAATTACAAGTTAAGCATGAGTGCGAAGAAGAGAAAAGTGTTGGTTTAAAATACGAAAAATATTAAGAACAAAAGAAGTAAGGGTTGTAATTGACAGTAGACATAAGGCAGATAATTGGTTCATTGAGTTCGTAATTAGTAGAGCGATAGTTAATGTGAAATAATCAAAAAGAGCTGGTACTGGAGATTGGTGTACTACTGATATATTGGGAAGTAGAGAAGGTAAAATACATATAGTTGTTTAATTATAAACCATTGTTAACGAAAAACAATTTGAGAAGAAGTTAGTCTATACTTTTTTTGAAAGACTATAATATTTATGATTTTCATAAAAATGTGATATTAAAACTCTTAAAAAAATAATATTACATTGAACTCAACTTTTTCTTCTTGACCACTAATTATGACTAATAATGAAAAGTTGCTCAAAATGTATAAATAGAAAATAAAAAAAATTCAAATACACACATAATAAAATTAGTTCCTTGTTATATTCTAAATCTAAAATTTAATAGTTGACTTGACAAAATATTTATTTTCGAAATTCCTATTGTTTCACTAGACTAAAATAAGTGGGATAGTATCAATCTGTAACTAAGTTTAAAATAAACCATGAATTCCTAAGGTGTAAGTAAGTGTGGGTACCAAAGACATAATCACAAATTACAAATTCCTTAAAAAGTTTTTACAGATGATTAATAACTTTTCCATCACTCCACGGAAGATAATAATGGTATAAAATTTGATATGTAGTCTCGATTACATTACATAGATTTAAAATCTGATAATCACTAATTATATGCTACCTTAAAAAATTTGGCCATTGCTTAAAACCAAAAAATATTCTGTTTGGAGATATATTAGCCCTATGATTTTAAGAAATGTTAGGCTTAGGAAGAACATCCAGTCTTACATCTTTTACTATATTAAAACTGATCTTACCCTTGCGCCATCCTAATATTCATTAAAATATGGTCTACTAAACTTACTAACAATTCAAATATTATTAGGGGCAATTTAAATTAAACTCAGCATGTATAATTTTAAGATTATAAAATGTATAAATTATTTATTCACCAGAATAAAAAATGAAAATTGAATAAGAATTTTCAGAAAGAAATTAACATAGTTGCATATTAGTATTTAAATTTAATTATTTGAATGTCTTTAGGGTAGGTTATTCAAGAAATTAAAAAACAAGTTTTATGTTTTCTGCCCCTCATTCACTACTGGGATTTGGTGTTATGGTGTTAGTCGTTGGCTGTTTTTAATTATTTATTTCAATATTTAATAATACAGGATTGTTGGTACCTTCTTATCTCAATTATTTGCAAGTTAATTTATTGCTAGGCAAATAAAACAAAAGGGCTCTTATATATATAAAAAAAAAAATGTGATTAGTAGAACTCTGTCATAATGTTACACATGAAGACAAAATTAAATAATAATAAAAAATATAAATCCATTTTTTTCCACATTAATAATAGAACAAAAAATAAATAAATTTAAGTCCAAAATTCAAATATAAGTCCCTAGGAGAAATAATTAATTAAAATGTGACACTCTATAGATTCTAGTGAAACCATTAATATGTTAATATTAATATTAATACATACTTCCAAGTAATTTTTTAGAAAACAAAAATCTTATTTTACAGTCTTACAAATTATATAAAATCAATTAATTTTAAAAATCTTTATCCATTATTTTTAAACACAATAATTTGTGTAATATAGTTGTATTATAATATTTTAATAATTAATTGACTTAGGTCAAGGTGAAACAAGTTAAACTAAATATCCAACAACCAATGTCTGAACTATATTTGTTTTTTTTTTTTTGTATCTGGTATCTAGGTTATTAAACTCTTTTGATTTAAAATTAGCTAAATAAATGAAATTTAGAAAATGATCAACATATTATGTACAATATTTTTTTTTTTTTAAATTATATTTCAAGACAAAACGAAGTAGCTGGTTTTTAAATTTTGTATGGTAAACAATCTAATAACATTAGCCAATAATTAATTGCATTACTAAATTAATAATATTTTTAGTCTGTTGACTTTAAACAAATCAATGTAAGTATGAATGTAATGAAGAAATGATCATATAATATATTATTTTATCATTTGGTCCATAAAACAACACACATTTAAATTTAAGTACCTAATTAATACGTACTAATAATTCATTAAATGGATAATCAAAAAGCGTTTCCTCTTCAGAATGTTCTGAATCAGCTAAAACTCCCAATGTTAAATTGTTCCCATAGTAACGAGTGAATGAAGCACTGTTTCTGTGCATATTGTTTAAACGGCGTGAATGCGCATACATTGTACGAAATTTACGTCTGGTATATTGAGCTCTATTTATAGAATTTTAACCAAAATAAAATACAAAATATTAAAACAAAAAATGTATTTAGTTAATTGTTTTACCTGTATGCACCACCCATTAATTTATTTATTACTAATCCAATGTCATGCAATGTATACATATAACCTTGAGGAATATGTGGACGGACATCCCTTAGTATATATCCCAATGTATTAGTTGGACCTTGTTTCTAAAAATAAATAAATAAAAGTTTGTGTAATGTAAAAATAATGGAAATGTGTAGAATCAATTTAAGTAACTTAATATTATTACTAAATTGAATTTGGTTTCAGAAATGTAATCCATGCTGTAAAACAGTTTTTATTACCATTGTATATTATATATTATATTAAATAAGTATTTAAAAATAAAGAAACGTAGTTTAAAATTATATTTATGTAAACTGATCTATTATTCAACATTTTGGTGCAATACAATTGCTTTACATTTAAATACAAAATTACTACTATTGTGTTTAATTTGGCATTGACTAGTCAATCTGAAATTAGATAATAGCTTGTACCTGAATTATTTAAGTACACGCCTATGTATAAATGTGAGAATTATCTGCAATATTTTGTTAGTCAAAAACAGTAGAAGTTTAAATTTAATTTAGAATTTTATAGTTCATTATCTATACTATTTTATAACTTAAAAAATAATTAGTATAGGGACACTATAATGAAATAATATCAATTATCAAACATAAATTTTCAATAAGTGTCTGAAAAATTGAAAAAAATAATGATTATATAAAAATAACACAATCAATTTAAGTAAAATTGATATATGTAAAATAATATAAGTTAAGACTTATAGTATTAGAAAAAACTGAACAGTGAGGATACATTGTACACTCAATTATGATTATTTTTTTCACTTACAGTGTTGTATAATTCTTCCAACCTAGAAATGGTTAAAAATTTCTTCATACTAACACCGTTTTCTAGTAACAATTTTACAAAATCAATTCGATCATGCCCTAAAGCTTGCATCATAGATTCTTCTAAAGCACCTATTAGTATAATACATCAATATTTATTAGTACAAAAATCTAATTTAAAATAATAATCCTTGATGTTTCAGATGATACTTACCTTCAGGCCACTCTTGCCCATACACAAATATTTCAGATCTAGCTATGTCGACACGATTCCAAGTCAATGCTAGACTTAATTGTTCTGATGGAGATAAATGTTGACTTTTAAATAATGCTGTTAATATTGTTTGATCTAATTCATGGGCTTTATCTTGTCCATCGCTCATTCGAAAAACTGTAATCTATTATTTTTAAGAAATCAAATATATGTGTAATATATTTAATAAATAATATAATTATAATAAGTACTCATAAAATTAGGTTTTTGAAAATTATTAAATACCATATGCTTATGGCGAGTACACTCTAGAAGTTCTTCATATAATCTTTCAGCTTTCTCTTGGTCGACATCAAATGTGCATTGAATAGTATTTAGTAGATAATCTTTCATATTTTCCAAAACAGTTAGTTCGCCAGTGTCCATCGCATATCTGATTCAAAAGGTATAGCCACCTTTTTCATTTTTGTCTAATTACTAACACTTAAAAAGCAATTAAATCAATTTTAAGCGATGTTAAGTTTTTACTTGTGTGTGAATGCTAACAAATCAGCTGCTCTGCCCGAACCATCACATACAACCACTGGTACTGGTGGAGTATCAGTTACATATTCTAATACTGCTCTTATTGTATGAGTACCTCCTTCAATTACTAGACTGACAACAGGTGTACTATAATGTGCACCTGGAACAATATAAAATTAAAATAAAATAATCCACTTTTAAAAGTGAAAATCTATATATAAAATACTTGGATGAAGTTTTTGAAGTGAAATGTATTTTTCTAATTTTTTACGTAATTCAATTTCTGCCCCATAACGTCCCGATGTACCATTATCTACCAAGAGAAAGTAAGTGTGCCTATTATTCAACACAGCTAATTTTGATCTGGGTGATGATATAGAATGATAAGGAACATCCCTGTTATGACCAATGAGTTCATGATTGTTTTCAATAATACCCCATGGTGCTATTCCTATGGATACAACTCTACCTGGGCGTTGTGAATCAAGCAAAAGTGCATCCCCTACTTGACGAGTAACACCTAAATACAAAATAATCTTTAATATATATTATTAATTATATATAAAATAAATACTAAAAATTACCAGTGTTTGTTCCACCAGTAAATACCCAAGCACCAGTTGTTTTTGCTGCTTTCAATAATCCTTTACGTAACACTTTCTTTAATTTTGGCTGTATTTCGAAATTTGCTTTTCCACCTTGTATAGTTATCAATAATTTTGGTAATTCTAGACCCCATTCTCGAGTAAATAGATGCAATATTATTTCTGGTCGAGTGTCATGTGATAACCTTACATACTACAAAAAACAGTTTCTTAAGTTTTCAAAGAAAAAAAAACCTTTGAATTATTAATCTATTGCAGTTTACCTGTGCTTTAGTAGGATGAGGTCCACCTTGAAATTCGATCGTTCCATAAGCATCTGTTGCTGAAAGTACAGTGTGTTTCATGGAAGACCATGTTTCATTAGGATTGTCAGGATCTAACTGGACAGAGCCACTACCTCCTCCACAATGGAATGTTAAGGAAAGTCCACAACTACATCTGAAACCATTAAAATTATTTTATTTTGATAGGTAATGGAATCTTATTAGTGTTGAAATATTACCTAGTTTTATCGAAAGTGGTTGGTATAAATGTTATGCAATCCCGTTTTTGAAATGAAGCTTCAACCCAACTCCGAGCTTGACTCTATGAAGATTAAATATAATAATGAATATATTTTATTTATAAATATAAAAAGGGTACTGTTTTAAGTGAATGCATATAAAATAAGAATACAATATTTGTACACATGAAACTGAAATTTTCTTTAAATACAAATTTTTTAGAACTAATATTAAAAATATGAAATGCTAATTTCAAAACAAATTACTAATATTTTCAAATTTTACATTTAAAACTGTATTAATGAAATCTGATTTAGTAGGAGGAAATAATATAGGTAAAAAAAATAATTGATAAATAAATAATTATATGTAATAAGTTATATTAATGTTTATTTTAGATAAGTAGTTGGTTAATAATTTATGTGCATTATATAAAATTATTAATAATACTTTTAATATGTTATACAATGCACACAGCTAAATGAATTAAGAAATTGAAAATTTAGGTTAAATCAACAAAAAAGGTCATTACAATAGGTATATTTTCTACAATACACAATTTTAAGTTTTTAATTTAATACTATTTATTAATAAAAAAGATAACATGTCTACTTTAAAATATGACTAAATATTTTAACATTTAGTTTTAGTTAAAATAAATCTAATTGTGAAAAAAAACTTGAGTACATAATAGATAAGATAAGTTATAAATGCAAACAAATGTGATACATACATGCAAAATATGAAATATGTTAGCTAAAATAAAAATTAGGTATACATGAATTACATGTAACAATAAGTTTTTGTTATAATATAATAAAAATTTTTAACAAAATTATTTATTATAATATAGAAAAAAAAAACATACTTTTTTGGTCTTGTTTATTCTTGAAATCATATTGCCAGTTAACTTTTCTTTGTTTGTTAAGGATATAACGTGTAGAATTTAATGTTTCTACCATTGTCAGCCAATAGTTCTGAAAATAATGAAAATATTTAAAACAAATATAAAAAGATCTATTAAATAATTAGGTTAGAATATTATTATACTAGATACTAATATTCTTTTAATTTTATTATACTAAACAAATCCAAACAGAACATACCGAATTCAATCTGGTCCTTGGGTGGCTAAAATATTGGACACTACAAAATACAAATTATAAAATTAGTGACTAATTACCATGCATTTAACAATAGTATTGTATTGTCTACCATTGATACCATCATTTATAAATGCATCATAAAATAAAACTATAATTAAATAATACAAAATGTATGTACCATTATATTTTACTTACCTTAATATTTACATTTTGAAAGACAGGTTTACTTTAAAATATTTGCAAAATTTCGATAAAAGAATTTAAAATACGAAACCATAGGAATTAACACTCAACACTCTTGGTAATGGATTTGTTATCAACATACTAGCGCATTCTTGTAGACTATGTTTTTTTATCGAATACGATTCAATGTTATCGCAACAGGTTGTAATTTATTATTAAATGTTATGAGTGCCTGATAAAAATAAGTGGACTGATTTTTCATGATTCAACTGATTAAAAGGTACTCATAGTTTTGTGCACGCCACAAAGTTGACTATTGAATTTGTAGCAATATAAGTATTTTTAAATTACTCACGTTGTATGATATAAAAAATTTGATTTGGAATACCAGTTTTTAAAATTATTTGTGTTTTAATAAACGTATTTGACATAAACAAAATCAAAATGACAAGAGGAAAACGTTTAAGTCCCAATGATCCTGGATCATATTCATTACCCGGTGAGTCAACAATTTTTACATTTTTTAAATTAAATTATTTTGTGTTATAACCCCCAACCATTATAATTCACTTAATATTCAAACATTTATCTTTATTGACTGTTGTTAATTTAATATATTAAAATGTATCCATATCCATTCATATGTAGCTGTTGGGATTTCAATAGTTATTTAAGAACATTTTTATTCTTCTAAAGTATATTTCACTTTTAAAATTTAGGTAATGAAAATTTTTAAATTTAAAAAAAATTAAAAATACTGTTATAGTGTATAATAGAAAATTTCAATAAAATGCTTCTTCCTGATCAAAATTTATAAGTACCTACTTACCCAATAATTTTTTTTTCTTTCTCCTTCGCCTTTATCTCAACTATTTAGTGTCGGTCACCCTTGTTATAAACTTCTATTTGATCAGATCTCCAATCTCACATACACAACCTGTTTTCATATCGGTCTCAATTACATTCAACCATCTTGTTTCCAATTATTCTCTCCAACTGTTTCCTCCTGTATTTATTTTCATTTCAATGCTTACTGATTTAGATTCGTCTCTTCCTATGACATGTTCAAACCATCTCAGTCTATGTTCTCTCATTTTTGCTACCATCGAAGCCACACCTAAACTACCTCTTTTGTTCTCATCTCTAATCTTTTCTTGTCACTTCACTCATCCCCCTAAGCATTCTCATTTCTGCTATACTTATTCTCTGTTCTATGTTTCTGTTTACCATCCGACATTCCAAACCATAAAACACCCAAGACGCTTCACTTTATCCAACCACACTTAATCTTATATTTCACATCCTCATGAAAGCAACCATTTTTTTTTAAATTTATAAATCAACAAAAATTAATAACAAATTAAATATTCTTATTTTAATTAATTAGTTTACTCATTATCTACAGCTTTTAAAGAAATGTAATTCTAATAACTCCATAGTAAATTCTAGGTTTTTAAATTATGAAAAAGTGTCAACGTTTTTTGTACTAAATGTTCTAGTTACTTACTTAAAACTTGAACCTCACCTATAGTTGATTATTTCCATTACCTGTCTTGTCTTGTTCCTCCAAACTCATATTCTGTTTCACTTCTACTTATTCTTAGTCTCTTTCCTATAAGTGCTGCCTATCTATTCCTCAAGTCTATTGTTAACTTATTCTTGATCATCTCCTGTCAAAGCTATATTATCTGCAAAACATCATGTATCATAATACCTTCTCTCATCTGTTGTCACCACAGACATCCGAGATGGGACAATCTGCCAGTCTTGTTTAAAACTAACTAACTAACTAAAATATACCTAACCTATATAATACTAAATATGGATTTTCTATTTAGGGTCACTCACTCTTAAAATGTCCCATTATATATTTATTATCGCAAAATGTAAAATTTTGTCAGTCAACCGACGATTGTTAGTGATAACTAGGGAACAGATTTATATGTACTTAAAATCCGCAAAAAAAACACTTAAAAATATTTAAAATGGCTAAAGTGGTAAAGAGGTTTTAAAGTCTCCACTCTAATGGTTCTAATCCTATTAAATAAAATGCTTTAAGACTGACTAATGATTAACACAAAGCATTTTTGTTTTTTATAACTTACAAAAATTACTTTGTAATAATCATTTTTTTTAGTGTGAAAAAATTATTTTTAATAAGTTAAAAACAATAAATTGAGAAACTTGTAAATAGCTTTACCTATATTACTCTTTAAAATATTTTTAAGTGATTTTTTAGGGCTTTTGTTTCGTTTGATATTTTTAAGCACTTTTTTGTAAATTTTAAGTATATATAAATTTGTTTGCTAGTAATAACAATTACTTTACTTTACTTTATCAAAACCTAGTAAATTTATTTATCAATCCAAATTTATCTAGTCTGATTCCTACAGTTTTGTCTTAATTTCCAGTCTAAGAACCACTATTTTTCAACAGCTCCAATTCCCTTAATAAATTATGGATCTAGGACAGTTGGTCCTTGTAAAAAACACCATATTTGGACAATTAGACATCATAATAATTTTGTACACTGACATTTGATCCCCAGCCAATGGCACAATATAAATATGATAATAGATGGCGATGCCTAACTTCAGGGTTTCAAGGCTCAAAGAGGGCTCCATTATAGTTGTAAACTGGGAGGGTATTTTCAACGCAATAGATTCAATATTTCAATTTTAATTTAAAAGCTATGAGAAAATTAATATTTATAAAAAGTTATATTCATTGTAGTCAATATTTAATAAACATATATACTAGATTTGTAAAATAAAACTATTTTTGCTAATGTTTACAGAGAAAAAATAATATTAGTAGTTATAAATACTTATTTGAATGATACAATTTGGTTAAATCCAAGTTTGCATAACAAAACAAAAATATTGAATTTTAGTAATATTTTTCACGTATTATAATATGAACACATACTAGTTTTTGTCAAATTGGTACTTTCATATGGTTATTTTTTCACTGGCAATTTTTTTTTAAATTGTTTTTTTATAATTTATATTGTATAATTTTTTTATTGTTCATTATTATAATTTATTATTATTATAAATTAACTGTGTAATATGTATGTATTATTATTCCGCTGATAATAAATAAAAATTGAATAGCGTGTTTAATGATAAGTAGTGAGTATTACAAAAAAATGTATTTATTTAGATCCTAGTTGTGCCACTGTCCCCAGTTAATATTTTTCCTGTGACTGAATATTTATTTTAATATCAATTTTTATATTGGTTATAGCTTGAGTTAAAAACTCTCTATTATTATTATTACCAATGTATATAAGGCGGATACAGTGCAAACTATTTAGCATCTCTGTAGGTCTACAGTTAAATGAACTAACGGAAAGTCAAACTGAGGTTGAACAGGTTACACAGATTAAATAATCATTCAAGAACATTGGTCAACAATAAAAAATAATATTTATCAAGGGAAATATTTCATAAAAGTTTGTAGAGCCCACACCTGTTGTGTGGCTTTTGCCCCAGGGCAGCACAAAATTAAGTGACTCGGGGAGGGCAAAGTTTTAATTATATATTATATAATAGATGTATATGTCTTATCTTGCTCAAAAATGTGATATCAATGAAAAAATGTATAAAAATAAAATAGCATAGGAAAAAAACATTTTAAAGTTATTAAAATCACATGAATTACTAACTTTATTTATAGGTCATAAAACTATTTGAATGGTTCCTGTTCAAAATATAATTATTCTTGCTTGTTTTCCAGAAAAAGTAGCTGTTTCTCACATACATTTAGAACTTACAGCAGATTTTAAAAATGAAAAACTGAAAGGATTTGTCGACTTAAGTATAATTAAAAATGATGAGAGCTGTGATCATATTGTATGTTATAATGATAATAAATATATTATATTGTATTAATTCACCAGTAATATCTTCTAGATTTTGGACAATTTAGATTTAAATGTGATAAGTGTTGTAAACAAAAATGATAGTGTACCTTTGGAGTACAGTATTGGTAATCGCTTAGAAGTATTTGGATCAAAAATAGAAATTAAAATACCATCTGATAAAAAGTAAAAATTATAATTATTTAACTGTCTTTTATGTTGTTTATAATATTGTCAACTTATTTTACTTTAGAAGCAACATTCGAATTACTTATGAAACATCTAAAACTGCAACAGCATTACAGTGGCTCACACCCGAACAAACTCTTGGCAAAGTCCATCCATATTTATTTAGTCAGTGTCAGGTATGTCTTGTTTTTATAACGTTAAATGTATTTAATAATAAATGTAATGTTATTTGTTTTATAGCCTGCTCATGCTCGATCCATGGTACCTTGTCAAGATACACCGTCTATAAAATCAACATACACAGCAAAAGTAGGTTTTTTTTATTTTAATAACTCAACGCCCAATATGTAGTAAAATATACAATGTGAACACGCATCATATAAATGTATTATTTTTAACTAGAAATAAAATATTAAATCTTATATTTCACGTTATTTAGTATATTTTGAATTACCTATAGATTACAGCTCCAAAACCATTAACAGTATTGATGAGTGCTGTTTCTAAAGAAACAATTGATTGTGGAGAAACACGCACATTCTTATTTGAACAAACTGTTCCTATACAATCGTATTTGATTGCAATAGCAATTGGTAATCTAGTCAGTAAAACTTTGAGTTCTATATCAAAAGTTTGGTCTGAACCTGAAGAAATTGATAAAGCTGCGTATGAATTTGAACAAGTATAAATATATCTATATTTTATTAATGTAGAATTTATTAAACAGTTATTTAAAAATTTAGACGCCCAAATTGTTAAAAACAGCTGAAGAAGTATGTGGTCCATATGTGTGGAAAATTTATGATTTACTTGTTATGCCGCCTTCATTTCCTTTTGGTGGTATGGAAAATCCATGTTTGACATTTGTAACACCCACACTATTAGTAAGTAATGCAATTTCAAGAATAAGTCTGATATTTGTTTTATAACTTATTTTTAATTAATTAAAATAGGCTGGAGATAGAAGTCTTGTAAATGTAGTTGCTCATGAGATAGCACATAGTTGGACTGGAAATTTGGTGACTAATCGTAATTTTGAACATTTTTGGATGAATGAAGGATTTACGGTTTTTGTAGAACGCAGAATAGTGAAGTTATTGAGTGGAGAAAGTTCTAGACAATTTGCTGCACTTTGCGGCCTTGAAGATCTCAAGCAATCTGTAATTATTAACTATATTTCATATTTTTACTAATAATAACAATAATAATTAATATTTATACTATAGGTGAATGTATTAGGTGCCCAAAATCCATTAACTAAGCTAGTTGTTGATTTAAGTGGCATTGATCCAGATGACGCATTTTCTACTTGCCCTTATGAGAAGGGTCACACATTTTTGTTTTACTTAGAAACATTATTTGGAGCTTGTAAGAAAATGTAATTTATAAATAATGTATAGATTATATAATTTATGCAATTGGTTTACAGCTAAATTTGATGTATTTTTTAAATCCTATATCGATAAATTCAAGTATAAATCTATTGGCACTGATGATTTTAAATCATATTTGTTATCTTATTTCCAAGATGATAGTTGTATTTCCAAAATTGAGTGGGATTCATGGTTGGATACTTGTGGCATGCCACATTTTATACCTCCGTAAGTAATTTTAGTTTGGCAATCTATAAGAAATTGTATTCAATTGTATAGAACAGTTAAATATGTACCATATTGTTTTTATGTACATAGATATGATGAAAGTTTCCAAAATGCTTGTGTTTCTCTTCTGAACCGCTGGGAACAATGGGATGGTTCGGGTGAATATTTTAAGAAATCTGACTTGGCTGAATTTCAAACATTGCAAATAGTACAATTTTTAGCATTGCTATTAAAATCGAATAATTTCAATTTGCAAAAACTAAAATCTATGCAAGAAGTCTACAACTTCAACAATAACAAAAATTGTGAAATATTATTAAGGTACTAAAATATTGATAAATAATAGAATGATTAGTAATAATATAATACACACATAACCAAATTATTTATATTAGGTGGTTAAGGACATCCATAAAATTCAAATGGCTTGAACAAATAGAAATTATATTTGAATTTATTAACTCAACTGGAAGAATGAAATATGTCCGTCCTATGTATAGGTAATTATAAAAAAATATATATAAATATACCTAATTGTTATTATTCTGTCTTATTAATATTATAAATGTATAATAATAATAAAATGTATTAAAATATATATTTTTTTTTTTTCAGAGATCTTTACTCTTGGGAAGAAGTAAGAACAAAGACAATAGACAATTTTGAAAAAAATAAAATGAGCATGATGTATGTTTGCCGTCATACTGTGGCTAAAGATTTACATTTAAGAGATGATTGATTTATTTTATAATTGTTTTTCGTTATTCAATATAATTTTAATTAGAATACCTAAAACAATATAAAATATATTTAAAAAGGTAAATTTTAAGCAAAATTATATTGTTTATTATAAATATTCTAATAAAATAATTTACTTGTCAAAAAACTATAATTCTTAACTTTATTATCTTGAATTAATTAAATCAAAAAGGATTGTGGTAATGTGGTCTTAAATTGACATCCCATATCGTAGTTCTTGGTTAAGAACTCATGGCACAAATATTGCTCAGCTAGTCATGTGATATTTGTTAACAAATTTATGTTACATATATTTAAATGTTATGTTACAAACATTTTAATGTTATATTTCTGATATTTATTGTTATGAATATGAAATGTAGGTATTTGATACATTACATTAGTTATTTGAACCCAGTTTGTTAAAGGTTTCTTTTTGTTGAAATAATTAGACACATTTTTAGTCTACCTACTTAATTTTAAACATGGTTATTGGCCATACAATTTGGCAAGGCTGTTATAGTGGCTAAAATTATTGTTTCAATTTTAAACTAACATTTAGATCAAACACGTATTCAGGATCAATTTTCCTGGGGGGGGATAAATTTTTTTTAATTTAGCAATTAGTCTTTGTTATATTGATAAATATATACCTACTTTAAAAATTTTGAGTGTTGAACTCCTATACCCCCCCACCTCACCTGTATACGGACTTGATTTAGATAAACTATAGTGGTCTGTGGACGAAATCATAAGGTACTTTATCAAAACGCTGCTCTCGCAAAAATCAAATGACGGATTCTGGTCACACTGGGCAATTCAAGATGGCCATTTTAATTTTATCTACGATAACCATGACTAAATAATATAATATACATTAAACATGTTACTCCATAGTCCGTAATCACAACACGATTAATTAAAGCGTTTGGGAAATGGGAATAGAGCTGTGAAGCACAAACAGGTCTGTTTATTCGCAGTAGTGATGGGAACAGTAGAGAAATTTACTCGAAAAAATCTCGTCAATTTAGTTTTTTATTACACTCAGTTTCTCGATATTCTGTACAACTCGCATTATTCAATACTCGCTAGAGGCTTGACAATAAGCTCTTCAATTTATTATTATTACCTATTAAATATTTTAGAAAAGAAATATAATAACGATTAGGTACAACTAACATTACTAATTTACATTCAATTGTTTTATGTTTTAGGTTAAGACATCAGTCGATCTCGATACCAAGAGAATCACTCGAGATTTTTCAAAACATTTAAAGTAATCGAGTAAATCTAACAATCCAATATTTCGATTTATTTCTCTCGATTATTCCCATGACTAATTCGCAATCGATTCAGAGCACCATCGTTATGATTTTATTGTTATCATTTAAAATTTATAATAATGTTGAATATAGGTGATAAAAAATGGTTTTTTTTTCCGAATAGTGCTGATCGTTACATAAAAATAAAAACCTTTTTGGGAATACTGATAATTATACTTAAATTGTGTAGATGTACATTTTCAAATAATATTTTGGTTTACTTCTTGTATATTTTAGATTTTAAGCGAGGTGAGGAATGTTTTGGTTTTACAATGATGTTAATTTTTTTTCTGTGAATTACTTTACTACCAGCAATTTTGATCCAGTGTACAATAATAACACTTTCTGAAAGGAAATTTGACTGGCGTGGTACTCTAAAAGGGTCATTTTTTTTTCTATGTGATCTGATTACACATTTTCAAACTGAAAATGTTGGGTTATAACACCATTGTATTATTTTTTTCTTATAAATTATAAACATAAGTATGTCAAAATTACAAACGGTATAATAGATAGTTAGGTAATAATAATTTGTAGATGGTAAATAGTTATAGGAAAATTAATTACCACTAAATTAATGGTAAGTCATGTTAAATATAAATAATAAATAAAAATGACTGTTAAAATTGTAAATTTTATTTTAATTTCTTTATTAAAGGAAATTTGGTAAGTTAATAATGTTGATGAAACTTAATTCTAATAAATTTGCTTTAAAAAATTTAAAATCACTTTTTCAAGTTTTATTGATTGTAATATAATATAATTTACCAATCTAAAACATTTTCAAAACGAGTAAAATATATTTATAAATATTTTCAATGTTGTCCATTTTCAAAAAAAAAAATGTTTTATTATCTATATTTTATATTATGATAACAATGGTACTTTAGTCGACTGCCCATAACCATCCATGCCTTCGTTCTATCAATTATTTTATTATCTATGAACATGACCGTGTGAAGTTCACATTTTAGGTTAGTAAACTGTAAAGTAACACTTATCAAATTATTGTAATTGTGAAGTGTAATTCTAAAATTTATATAATTTCAATCATTACTTTTGAAAATTTTAACGAAACTACAAAATGGTAAGTGAAGTATAATATAGTTACTAGTCACAGTTTGACTCTTTATGAGTAACGAGGAGGCTAAGTTAAACGATTGTTTAAAAAAAAGCTAATCATAGGTATTTCATTTGGATTTTTTAAGTGTATCCAAATAATTATTTATTTTCTAATCGATGAATAATTTTTAATCTACTTATTTTTTTAGTCATCAAGTATTGATTTTAAATTTTCAGGAAATACAACCAGAATTACCAAAATTAGCTAGAAAAAAACCTAAAGGATTGTTAAGACAAGAAAAGTTAAAGGATCTAAAAAATAAAAAAAAGATTCAAAAGAGAGATAGAAAACTTAGAAAAGAAAATGGAGAGCCAAAACAAATACCCAGAACAATTGAAAACACCAGGGAACCAGATTCAACTGTATTCCATTCTGATGATGAAGATTTTGAACAAAAAACAAAGGATTTAGTTGCTGAATTTGAACACGATGAATTTGCAGATTATTATTCTGAACTTTATAAACCTAAAGTTATGATTACTTACAAGCAAAAACCTCTAAAGAAAGTTAGAGAATTCGGTAAAATTCTAACTGAAATTATACCCAATTCTGTTAGACTTTTTCGCCGTGAAGCGTCTGTCAAAGATACTATTCAAGCTGCTATTAACCATGGATATACCGATTTGATAGTAATAAATGAGGATCGTAATGAACCTAATGGTTTAATTCTTGTTCATTTGCCTGAAGGCCCAACAGCATATTTTCGTCTAAGTAATGTTATATTTCCAAACAAAAGACAACGCAAAGAGTTTACTAATCATAGGCCAGAAGTAATTACTACAAACTTTACAACAGGATTAGGTAAAACTATTGCACGTATGTTAGGTGCAGTTTTCCATCAAGAAGCTGAGTTTAAAGGCAGGCATGTTGTAACAATGCATAATCAAAGAGATTATATATTCTTTCGACATCACAGGTACAAGTTTTTAAAAAACAAACCATCTTTAAGAGAATTGGGACCTAAATTTACATTAAGATTACAATATCTTCAAGAAGGATTATATGATCCAAAGTGTGGAGAATACAGGTGGATAATGACAGACAAAAGACATAAAATTGAAACTAGCCGAAGACGATTTTTCTTGTAACCTGTTTTTTGTTTGACTGAGAAAAAACATTATTTTAATAAATTGAATAAAAGTAATAACATTGTTTTATTTTTCATTATATAATAAAAACATTTATTCTTAGAAGAAAAATGTTCATTGAACCTAACTTACCCTTTTTATTTTTGTTATATTAAAAAAAAAAATTGTCAAGTAAAAGGCATAAAGTAACTAAATACTTGGAGATTATTTGTATATATGTTACATCTTATAGGTGAAATTGCCCAATTAATGAAATTACATTATATTTATAATTTTTGTTTATTTTGTGCCGTTAGTTTTAACTTAAAGATTTATTTACTTATTATCAAACCTAAAGGTAAGAACGTTATCAATATTTTTACGTGAGTTATTTTTCAAGCGAGATACAATTATAGATAATTAAGTCTTGATAATAAGCTAACAACACCAAAAGTACGAATATAATGTAATTTCATGAATAGGACTATTTCTCTGATGGAGCGTAGTATACACAAAGACTATTTGGAATTCAAAATTGAAAACATGTTTCAGAAATCCGTAGCTTCAATAAATGAGATATTTTAAAATAATGCGTTTTGGTGTTCTTTCAATCATAGTCTTTCATTCAGTTGTATTGATATGATACAACTAATGTTCAATAATCGGTATAATTGTATTATCAATATAGTTGATTAACTAAGAGGTACCTGTGGATATTTAATATATTTAACAAAACAATACCAACAGTTTATTTCTCGCAATATTTATGTGGCAATCATTTGATTTATTACAAAAAAAAAAAGAAAAATTTAAGTTACATTTAAAAGTTAATAGATACATTTTGCTTATCAACTTATAGATATAACTTTTATAATAAACCACTATTTTAGTATATAATAACAAATTTAATTATAAATATTACTTCAACAGTTATAACAATGACTAGAATAGTAAAATGAAGCATTAAGCTTAATAGGAAATCTAAATAAACATAAATCACTAAACTAATTTTCAGTATCTTTGAGAATTAAAATACATAAAACAATAATTGTTCTCAAAAAAATTCTATTTATCAGATTCACAATTTAATTAATGTTTAGCCTGGTTGACACTATAGCCTGCTTTGCACAGCATACATGACAGAAACCACCATTAGTTTAGAACAAATATATAGACATTTTGATACCATTAATCTAGGTCTAATTCACTAATTAGTTAAAAATTACTATAAATCGATTGACAAATAATAAAGGAAGATAATATAATTTATTAAGGTTGCTAAATAAAAAGAAAGCTAAATATATTACTGACATTTGTAAATAATTACTTTTATAAATAAACAAAATATCTATAGTTATTTGTTGTTTATACTAATTTGAACTGAAATATGTATACAGTGACATTCAATATTTAAAAAATAATTTTGACAGATTTTAGGAAGCAATTGTTACATTTGAGAACACTTATTGTAGAGGTACACAAATATAATATAATGGTTTTACCAACAATAAAAAAAGACAAATTATTTCTAAATTATTATCTATAATAATAGCAAGCGAGTTATTGGAATTTATTCTATTGAATGATTAGAGAAAATATGTTTATGCTACTAAATTGAATAAGTATCTAAAGGGTTAAAAATGTTAGAAAATAATTATTTTAAAATTATAAATAAAATAAAATATTTTCATAAAAGTATACATTGTGATAAGAGTGGAATACTGTTATGTTAATAACTACAGAAAACATATTAGTCCAAATATTATGGCTTTGCTATAATATACAAATTAATTTAACCAATATTAGTACTTAAAACTAAATTATACTCTAACAAATAATATTACTTTATTTGTAAATACAAAATTTCTTGAAGTTGTTCATCAAAATGAATTAACAATAGTGTTTATATAAGTAAATAAAGCCTTTGGATGCTCAATTGCTAAACATATTACAAAATATAAATTATCAAATTTTGAAAATCCATACCTAAAAGCTGAAATGTATCTAATAAATTATAAATATTTATATGCATTATTCCTACTTTTTCAATTACAATATTTACTACATTCCATCATATTAGTTTCAAATGATATGATCTTTATTTGGTAACCAAACATTTGGTCCTGAATGTTCATCAATCACATTCTTAACTTTTTCAAAGATATCTTCAAATGTATCTCCTTTTATAACAGCTAAAGACGTAAAAAAATATTTTTATTAAAAAAAGAAAAACTATTCAAAAATTATTTAAATTGTCTTACCTGTTAAATATTCATAATAATCTTGTTCAACTTTCATTTCTTGGTCATAAATTTTCTTTGCACGATCTTCAGTCATTTTATCACTGATTTTCCTAAATAAGTTATACAACTATATTGTATTTTTATAATAAAACTTATTTAGTAGATTTTGTATTTAAAATGTATTATTGAATATACACATTTATACTTTAAAATATAAATAGGGATTTCATTTTAATTATTAACAATTTTTTAAAAAATAAAGCTTACATTATAAAATCCAGAGAAGATGCTTTAATAAATATGGTAATAGGATAGTAATCAACAGCTTGTAAACGTTTAATTGCATGGGAGCTTACATCAAGAATGCAATGTTTTCCCTAAGAAAATTAAATATGACAATATTAGATAAACAATTCATGCAAACTATAATATAAATTATTTATTTTATTGTAGTATCATACATACTTGCTCAGCAACTTCTTGAACTGAAGCTAAAGAAGTTCCATATAGATTATCATTAAATTGACCGGCTTCAATGAATAAATGGTCCTTAATGTCACGCTCCATTTGTTCTCGTGATTTAACAAAATGATAATGTACACCATCAACTTCACCCTGTCGGATTTCTCTAGAGGTATCTGTATAAAATAGAATATTTTTTTAATTTTTAATAAAATAGCTAATGATTAATAATCATTACGAGGAACACATGATCCAAACTCTTCTGGGTATTCTGATATAAGATGATCATTTATTTTGTCTTTGTAAATTCCAACTACAATGACAGGACGACTATAATTTATTGTTTTTTTGATAACAGATTCATATGGTAGAGTTGGTTCTTCTAAAAATGTACATATTTTATGAAATCAAATTAAACATGCATATAAATCTTTTCAAATAATATTATTTTTACGATATATGTAATATATTAGACTGATGAAATTAAATACTCTAAAGAAAATGTAATGAACATTATACAATGCGCCAAAAATACTAATGAATATTACTTTTTAAATAAATAAATATATATATATATTATTAATGTGTTTACTAATTGCCATACACGGATTGATCATGATTCATAATACAAGTTTGTGTTTTATAAAATAAAAAATAAAACTATATGATGCAAAATTAAATAAATTAGTTAAATAATTATTACTAATATAGGTAGTTGACAATTTATATCAAAAAAATATGTATATATTCAATTATATAAGACATAATGAGTGAATATATTTATACAAGCTGTAACTCAAATATGTGATATGTAAAATAATTTCTTTTTTGTTCAATATTTTTTCTTTTAATAATTACCATAGTCTATCCCACGAGAGAACAAACTATTTCTGCATATACATGTTGAACTCTAGCCAATCTAGCAGTTGACTGGACTATAGTTTCCCCCTCCACATGACTGGATATGTAGGGATCCATGGTAGCATCCAGTTTTGGTAGGAGTGGCCCGTTCTATGGTAGGATAGACTATAGATTGCTATGCTATGGTTCCTATATATATATATTTGTTATTTAAAAAAAAAATTTAAGTTATTTTTACAAATTTTAAGAAAGTCGTTTTATAAATACATCTTGAAACTAAATGTTGGAGTTAAAAATATTTCTACAATTTTTTTTTGAAGTTTAAGGTAATTTAAATTGTTTTCGTTGCCACCTACTAAATACTATAAATTAATTCAGTAATTGTTACTATGAAAAGTCAGCATAAAAGCATCTATATAAAGCCTAGACACGATAAGAAGAAGAACTATGACAAATCATTCTGATATCTAATTATTTTTGTAAATTTAATGATTCATAATTAGTAAATATTTATAACACTGACATTTTATTTCAAAATATATTCATAAAATGTTCCTCATATATTGTAAAAACTATTTATTTATAAATTAAAATGTTTTATTTAAAAAAAAAATAAAAATGGAGAAATTATAACAAAAAACTAGAAATTATTATGATAAAAAAAAGAACTTAAAATATTGAACAAAACAAGTCATTTCAAGTGTCAGATTTTTGTGTGTTTTATTATATATCAGGTGTAACAGTACTATATTTTAACAAATGTAAGTTTTTTATGTAATTTGTATTTGGTAGGTACTCTATATATAAAAATTGTTGAACTAAACAATAATGTTAGAAAATTTGACAGGAAGTTCATTATGGATTATACGCTATAATTTAAAAAAATAATTGAATTTAATGTAGTTTTTTTTTTTAATAACTCTTATATCAAATTTTGACGGAATATTACGACCTTTCAAAACATGTATAAGTATCTAAACTCTCCAAATCATTTTTCGTGATTAATTGTTGAGTACAGATAAAAATTAATTTCCCCACTGTATTCTACCTTCCCAACTTCTCACCTTCAACAGTAATCCACCCAAAAAAGGGAAGTATGTTAGTCTTTTTTATTGTTTCTAATTTGTGAATTATAATATTTTTTGCATGCTTGAATTTTTAAATTGATCATGAAAATTCCTTGAAATATTGTATAGTTTGATAACATTCTTATCATATTAATTTAAGCTGTTGGTGATTTAAATCATTTATCATTAGTATTATTAACAAGTAATAAATTAGAATTTTAATACACTTTATGAAGTAACCTAATTGATGTAAACACTAACTATTTTTTTGAAAATTAATTTATCTTGTAATATAAAAAAATCTAATTTTTTGTTTTTAGTTAAAAATAATAAAATTATATAAAATATAAAAATTATAGTGCATATTTTGTAAAAAATACAAAACAAATAAAAAAAACTTAAAAATATTATTTTATTTGTTAGAATTATTTAATCCTGTTACACTCTGAATATGAATCATAAAACAATTAAAGCTAAAATTGATAGTAAAAGAAAGACATTTTTTTAATTTTAATGAATAAAAAATATGGCCTAGTATAAATTATCAACTTATTGGATGTATTATTTGTATGTTTATATGTACTTAAATATAAACTATAAACTAAATAAATCTGTACACAATATACAGAACATAAAGAGGAGAACATTAGGTTAATAAATACATTTAAATAATGGATTAATTTAACTGTAATGATTAATATTGTGGGTAAATTATTGAATGCATGCTAACCTCCGTTCTCATGCAAATACGTGGACAATTATAATTTTAGAAAGCATATTATTATTGTAATGAAAAATATAAATTTACAAATATTTCATGCTATTAAATGAAAATTATGAAAGGTTATGAAAGGAAAGAAAGGATGTATATACCTAGTGAAATTTCTCTTACCAACAAGTAGTTCAATTATGCTTATGCTGCTTAAATTAATACCTTCAGACGTTGGATCTTCATGAGTGTAACAAAGCATATAATCTGTAAACCCAATGTTTACTGTACATTATGTATAAAAGGAAAAGAGAAGACTAATGAACCAGATTCATTGAGGAATCGTCTTAAACCAAAATAGAATATGAATAAAGACTGAAAACTATAAAAATAAATACTTACGATCTTGATCTGAACCAGTGCATTCCAATCGATCAGCTTTGCTTCGCATGAATGGAAACATACGACTTAAAGCAAAGTTTTTCTTTTTCTTTTCTAAAGTGGAAGTCTAAAAAAGTATTTTATTTATTTATAATAATTGTATAAGAATAGAATGAAACAAAATTTACTTTATCAATAAGAACTGGAACATGTCCTTGGAATTTAACTGTGCGATCTCTTGATTTTTGTTTCCGTTCCCAACGCTTTTTTGAAGGCACAATACCAATACGATCTTCTTCACCTGCTGGAACCAATTTCTTAGCTTGCCACCATTCATCATCATTTGCATTCAGTATATGTAGTATACTACCATATGTAAATGATATGCCACGACTTGGGAGACCGTCATCTCGATTTGGATCATAATCAAATAAAGCTCTATGAAATAAATATTTATAAATTATTTATAACTTATTACTCTATACTGTCAAAACTTCTTTCCAAACAAAGATTTATTTGACTATAATTTTGCCAAATAAATTTTAATGATTCTAATTTTTAGTATTCAATACCTGACAAACAGCTGTAATTTTTGAGAAGGTCTTGGTAAAGTACTTGAACATATAATAGCTTTTTTCATTATTTGTTCTTTTAGTTCAGCTAATTTAATCTGAAGTTTATGATATTCTTCAGGCCGTTGTTGAGCTATAATAGTGACAACTGGTCCATCACCCTTGTGTTCAGAAAAAAAAAAAATTATATAAATCTTAATATTTAATGAAGAATTTGGACAAAAGCAAAATATACTTTTAAAGCAATTGCGGCATCATCATGTGTTGCATTCAACATGTCAATAGCATTAACACTTAAAATACGATCACCCGGTTCTAAAATACCATTTTGATCTGCCGGACTACCCGGAGCAATGTAAGAAATAAAAATACCTTCCTTATCTTCTCCTCCAACAATATTAAATCCTAAACCTTCTTCAGATCTACGAATAGTAGCTATTTTTTCACGTCTAAATAAATTATATACTATTAATTAAATTTGTATGTCAAATTTTAATATTAAAATATAAACATACAATAATGACAAATTCTCACTGCTTGATTTTGATGAAATACTTGATTTAATCGGTGTTTTCGGTCTAATATAACGCATGCTAAGAGATTCTTTAACTGAAAATTGTGAATTAATGATAACATCTATACATATATCTATTCATGATTAATAATAAATACTAAAAATAAATAATATATAAGAAAATATACCTATGACAAGTACTACTTTTTCACCAGTTTCTTTAAGTGCAGCAACTGCTTCTTCGTGAGAAACATTTTCTAAATCTATAGCACCGTTCTGAAAAAAAAAAAAATTATATATACAGAAATTCATATTAACAATTTTCTTGTATATTATGTAGTTTATATACAAATAATATTTTAGTAAAAATTAAAGAAATTATGCGCATCTTAAATATTTATTCTTACAAAAGTATTTTTAACAGCAATCAATTTATCACCAACTTCCATACGACCATCTTTATGAGCTGCACCACCATCTAAAATTTTTGTAACATAGACCCCGTTATCTCCAGGTAGATGAACATTACCAATGCCACCAGCAATTGTGAAACCCAAACCCCCATCTTCTTTTTCTAGTTCTATCTCTGTGACTGTATACGACTTTTCTGGTTCAACAAAGGAGTCCTTTTTTCTCCTCTTAACTTGCTAATGGGTAATAATAATAATAATAACATTAATAGGAGTAATACATATTTTATTACTGTATTCTTTGTAATTTAAAATATAACATACTAATGTAACTATATCTCCAGCATTTTTAAGAGCAGCTACAGCAAAACTATGAGGAACATGTTCCACGGATTTATCGTTCACTTTCAAAATAATGTCATTAGCACGAAGACCTGTTGAACCGATATCTGGACTCACCCTAGTTACAAGAACTAGGGACTCTGAATCTACACCTCCTGCAATACTGAAGCCAAGTCCACCAGAACGTCTTTCAACAGTTATTTTATCATACTCCCAATAATCAGTTTCGTCGTCCTAATAATAAATAATAATTATATTATATATTATACATGTGATACTATAGAATATACATCTTATACACAATATTCATAAAGAAAGGTTTGTGCATATTTTGGAAGCAAAAAAAATATAATCGCAAAATTTTGTTTCATAAATAATAATATTTATAATTTATGCTTATATCAAATACATACACATTATACATGCCATTCTAATTTAATTTTAAAAATTACCATAGATATATTTCGTAAAATTTAAATTACCTTCTTGTACAATTTACAAGTACATAAAATACTTACAGTTTCCAGATTTGATTCCTGTTCAGTAGCTTCCCCACATGATTGATTACCATTATGACCACTTAATCCATTTATCTAAATTTTATAAATTAAGTAACCATCAAGTTGGAGATAATAAATGTCTACTTAAAATCAGAATTAAAGAGTACATACTTGACAACTTATATCAACTAGTTCTTTCTTTTTGTAATCCCGATGACATTCAGTTTCTAGAGGTTGAAAACTTAAGTCACTCTACAAAATGTTTATAATAATATAATAAAATTGTATTACCCAAATAATATTTAAGCTATTATAAATGCTCTGAAAAATATTAAAATTAAAAAATTTGCTACAAGATTTTTGAGGTAAGGTAAATATATAAAATAATAAATAACTCAATCATATTGTACCATTGGTTTTTAATTTTCTATTTTTAATAGATTTCGGGTGAAACAATAATTTGTATGACTTTAAAAATATATATATAGAAAAATAAAAACCAATTGTACAATATAATTGCATTATATATATATAGTGATTCAAAATGTATGATATGAAAGTTTTTTGATTTATAAATCATCTAAAATGATTTGTATATTTTGTTTACGTTCATTTAAAAAATTAATGTTTATTAAGTAATAATTATTTCAGCTTATACAATTTTATCATTTTATAAGTATAGATTCTCGTAAAAAGACCCAAAACATAACCTATTATAATTCTAATTATAAAGTAATTGTAGGTGTACATTTTAATAGTAGTTAAATTTTAGATTCCAAGCATAGCGAGGGAGCTATTTGTTATACAATTCTGTTTTATTTCTTTCTTTGTTCAAATCTGTGGAAGGACAAGTTTTTCCTAGTAAACTCACTTTTATCCTAGAAAACTTGATCCAATGTATAAGTGTAACACGTTTTCTGAAAGTTAATTTTAATCTACTTGTTAAACACATAGGTCATTTTTTGATTTTCGAAACGGTATTTAAAATAAATGCCTACCAAGTTTTCTAGCACAAATATAGCTCCAATTGAAAAAACACACGAGCCCTTTTCGTTGAATTATTAATTTTGTTTTTAATGATGACGGTCATTTTTTGATTTTTAAATTAGTTTTCATAATAATCGAAAAAAAACATAGGAACATAGGAACATAGTTAGGTTAAAAAAATTACGGCATTTCAAATTATTTATTACCGAACTGCACTTAAAATCATCTTTTGTCAGCAATGGTTTTTCGTTGCTTAGATATAAATGACATAACCTTCTATACCTTCCCAACTTCTCACCTACAACAGTGGCCGATCAAATCCCCAGTATAAACTCTTTTCTTAAATTATGTAGTTTTGCAATAGGTACCTTATTAATAGTTTTATATTAAAAATTAAAAAATACCTACTAAATAATTTAACTAACATTCAAAACAAAATATTATTATGGTTCATCTCATTTAAAATACATGAATAAAAAACCAAAAGATCCTTCCCTACACTCCGAATTAGTTTAACAAAATACCTATATAATTTTGTAATATTTCTGGACAATTATTAAACTTTAAACTACTTAAATAACATTATGTATGTATTGGTATATATATTTTATGAGATGTTAAATATGTTACATACAATGCGAGTGATTAAAGTTTAAGAATTGAGCAGAACTGTTATAAAATTGTATATTTTGTTTAATACATTTTTAAATAGTGTATTTAACTCTTGGCCAATTATAAATTTAACATCACTAGTATCTATGCATACCTTTAGTATTCATTCATTATTTAACTTTTTTTTTTTTTACATTTTTATAAATAAAAATAATTATATTCACCAAACCAACTTTGGCATCAAATTGATCCATAATATATTTCTGTGCAATTGATATCTCTTCATCTGTAACCGAATGACTTTCATCTTGAAGAGCTAATTCATAAAACTCTTGTATATCTAAAATAATAAACAAAAATATTAGCACTAAAATACATACATTTATTTCCCTTTTAGAAAGACAAGCTTCCTTAACTTATATAAATATATTCTTTATGCACTTTGGTTATAATTTATAATGATAACATCAAATTAAAGTTATTCATTAATATGTGAATATTTTCTATGTTCGGTGAAACATAAATTAAACAAAACATTTTTTATTTTAAGCATAGAAAGAACATAAAATAGTACAATATGTTATGTATTGATAATATTCAATAATCATCTGCTATACAAAAAAAACACCCAAGTCATCATCATCAGCAAAAACACAAATCTTCATAATTCTGCAAGTATTAGCTGCCACTGTTAGTGCTCTTCAACTTTCAATGTTGCCACACATGTAAGTCAATTTTAATTAATTTACAAAACTTGCAAAAAACTATCAATGAAAAAATTATCCAAAAATTATCTCCTCAACACACTAACGAGAGCAAAAGAACTACAAGAAAGTTCTTATAAAGTTTTTAATTGTAACATTTGCAGATATAAAAAAATAAAACAAATATGACTTACGAGTTTTAACTAAGTATCAAATTATATATAAACCAAAATGTTCAGAAAAAAATAAGTGTAATATACATACCATTACTATGCAAAAAAAAAATAAATATTAAATGACATAGAGGGATGTGCACCCCCTTCATATTTTTCTAGAAATTATCCACAACTTCCCCCATTAAAAATTCCTGAAAACATCACTGATAAATACCTAGTTTCGATGACAAAAATTATACGGATTGGTAAGTAGGTAAACACAAAATAATAGATACTTTAATATAAATATAAATAATAAACATTACCAACGAGTGCTTGAAATAATCTCGATTTAAAAACACTGATCACTAACTGCATGACAACTTGAAGATCGTTATTAGGTACATTGGAAAGTTTAGCATTATAATCTTCTAGGAGGGCCAATGCTCTAAGGGTTTCTGTAAAAACATAATAATAACAAATAAGTCACCTAAACATATATAGGTACAGCAATAATAACGCTCACCGTCTTGTTTACAGACAGGCATTTTTAAACGGCTGTGTACACGATTGTAGAACTGTAATTTTGTACGATTAGTGTATATTATAGTCGGAAGTACGCAATAGAATCTACGCAAAGGTAACCATCATATCGGCGAAATAATATTAATTAATAAGAGTATCGACAACACACCACTTTGAGGGACACAGGACGACTACAACGAATAATCGATCGAGTCAGCTGTAAACCGTTTGTGGGTCATGACGTTATTAAAATGGTGTAATAAAATAATAAATTAATAACTGTATTTTTCACGGACAACAGAATATCATGCGCGTAGACAGCAAACGCAATACTAGCGCGGTAAGACTAGTGGAGACGTACCGAGTACAATGTACGTAATAGACTAGTACGAATACGATGAGGGGAGTCACGAACCCCACCGACAGTGCGGACCGTGGATTGCAGAGAACGGGAGTCCTTTTTCTATGGGGAGTAGGTTGTATTTGTTTGAGGAAAGAGTGTAGGCGTGGCGAATGGATTATGGGTCGACAGCCAACCGCTGAGGGCGACTGCTAGTCACCTAAAATAGACTATTTAAAAATAATCTGTTAGCTTAATAAAAGACTTTAAGAGCTGGTAAATTGTACCATTGATTATAAGCACTAATATACTTGGTGTAATACTTAAATTACTACTACTATATAGTTATTACTAGTCACTATAAGTTAATATTCAGTATTTATAATCAATGGTCGTACTGTTGTGAGGGTTTCGGAAACGAAATTTCGACTGGGTCATCGTTGAGATTTAAATTATTATTCAGATTAAATATTAGGTAATAGACTTAAGTATAGGCATTAAATTTGTGTATCATTGCCAGAAACTTTACTAACATTAAAATATGATTTAAGAAATCATTCATAGAAGCTAATTTCTTTGAATAATGCAAAAATTTGTATTCGGCTTCATTTAGCTTTAATAAATATGGGATTTCAATTTTCAAGTATTCAACTATTATCTGTTCTGTTCAAATTGTCCAATAAAATATAAATGTGTGCAGTAGTGCAGTATGCATGATTTTCCGTCGTGAAGACGGCGTCATAGCAAATAGCAATGGCAATATTATCACGGTATTATTATTATCTATGAGGGCAGTACGCAGCTGTTTCGGTTATCATGCATGTGAAAATAATAACTAATAATGTTATCAATTTGTGGCTTTATGCTTCATGCAACGATCCAATAAAACTACTACTGGCACCGGTCCACATTTAATTACTTCTTAAAAACTTCTACAACATATAGTTCTTTCTTTCCATAAGTATATTCTACGATCAGTAGTATGTTTATTGAAAGAGCAACTGATAAGGAAATACCTAAAGGTGCTATCCGTCTCACTAGTGAAGAAGTCTATGAATACATGATAGATTTGATTCATAAATGGCCCAGTTCAACAGAAATGTGAGTAGAACTTACACAATAACGTATTAGTCACTCTGTGTTACACCTGATACTAAACTATTAAACATACTATTCATACGATTTACTTTTTTTTTTTATACAAATTGTGTATTATTGTTTTAGATGGGCACTCAAACATGGAAATCCAATTCTAGCATGTGCTGTTGTAGTATCAAGTTCAGTTATTTTAAATTTTTACCGTAGACAACTGAAATTAAAAAATTATGGCCGTTTTACCTTATTTTTACCAGTCGTTTTGACTCCCTCTATTTTAAATCAAATGTATCAAACTACAGTATGTATATTCAAATGAAACACAATAGTAATATTCAATAACTAGGTGTAATTTTCTATTCTACAGAAAACCACTAAATCAATATTATTACAAAAAGATTGTTCTACTTGTATTACTACACAATCTATGTTCATACAATTGGGCACAGGAATTATTTATCCCATGTTGGGTGCAATTGCTGGAACTTACATGGTAAATACTTTATAAGGTACTATTAGATTTAAATGGTATAAGCTTCTCTTAAGAAAAAAAATAATTATAAGTTACAAAGATAAGAAAATAGGTTATTTAAGGTGAATTTCAGAGAAGTAATTAGTGAGAAAGTGTTTAGAAGTTATACAAAGATATTTTTAATAATTTAACCCAAGTAATTGAAGAAACATTGATGGATGCAAGGGCAGAGTGGAAACCAAATTCGGGCTGGGAGATTAAAATATATCCAGGCAACCCTATAAAATATGTATGTACCAAACAAAATTTATTTCATGTTTTAATTTAAAACAGTGACGAAACCAGGATTTTGAGTTGAGAGAAGCTAAATACAATTTTACTTGAAACATGGATGAAGATAAGAGGGATTGGGGGAGTTTCGACCTTCCAAAAATTTAGAAAAGTGATTTCATCAATATATATTTTAATTTAATTATTTAAGTGAAAATATATAAAAAAAAAAAACTTAATAGGTTGACAGGATAATCACCACTTTTAATATAATTTTCTTAATTCGTAATAGGATGTGTGTGTCACAATTTAAATGCTTTATTTTGTATTTTTGTCCCGTCACTTCTTACAAGCAAGCTAGAAATAAGTTTATATTTCTTTTTACAACCATATAACAGGTAAAATTAATTTTCAGTGTCTCAAATTCTGCTTTACAATAAATTGAAATATCAATATCCTGATCTTTTTCCAATATTAAATTTAAAAAGTTGTGTGCCACGAACCTATAAGTAAAAATGATTGTGATATCCTACTTGTGTAGACTTAAGGCAAAAAGAAAGAAAAAAATGTATGCGATTATCATGTTATTATATTAACAATTTTATTTTGCATGTTTTAGTTTGGTACTAAAATGAACACATTTATATTGAGTTCTAATGGACCTGCCATTATTAATGAATTTGCTCTTCACTTAATGAAAACAAGTCGTCCACTATACAATCGACTTACTGGTTTTGTTATTGGCCATGTATTACTGAGTTTTGCCATAAGTTATTATCAAATGGAAAATTTAGATTTTTTAAGGTTTAAAATGATGCAACAACAAAATGAAGATATAGAAAATTTAAAACAAAGTAAACGCATTAATAAGTTACCACATAGTAATTGATTTATGTGTTAATAATTAAAAATGTAAAATTAATTTAGCTAGTAAAAACAATGTTCTTTATTTTTAAATAAAAAAGTACCTTAGTTTTTAGTTTTAGGTTCTTACTTATTAAAAATAATTTATCAATCTTTTTACAATATATATTACCTAGATTTTGTATTTTTACATGAGTGCAATCAATAAGACTAATTACTCGAAAAAATTTAGCAATATAATAAAACTGGCTCTGTATTGTGTTTATTTCTGCCGCTATGTCAGGCATTTTTATAAATATGGGCCAAAATTTCACAATTTCAATACTAATATCACGTACAATTAATGATGCTATGGTTTTACTAACACCAACAAAATCTGCAGCAGTGATTAGAAAATTTTAAGTTGCATTCAACACTTAAATTCAGTAATAAATTTAACAACCAAAAAAAAAAAACAGACAATAAAAATATCAATTGTAGCTGAAAACAATCATATCAGATTGATAATATCTATCAGGACTACATCTTTATTCGTTAAATTAACTCTTATTCGAAATATAGTGAATTATACATAATATTGAGTAATAATTTTATTCAAAGTGATGATTTCCATTACACAAATTGGAAATAGGCATTTCAACACAAATATGCATAAAATTGGACTCATTGCTCAAATTTAATTTTATTATAACTATAAAAAAATAGTTGATAATATTAATGTTAAGATTATAACATTTAATTATTGTATAATATGTCAAATTCAAAATACAGCACAAATCACTGTGAGCAAAATACAAGGTTCCAATGATTGTACGTAAAAGAATATGTTTACAGCGAATCTGATTAGAACAAGATATTGGTTATAAGTAAAATAAAATAGACTCTGTAACATACACATTCATGTATGTTGTACATCTTATTCATAGGATGAACAGAAATTTACATATAAAACTGACTATTGAATGTATAGTCACTTAGAACCTCAACAAAATCAAGAAAAAGCATGCGAATCAATTTTTCCGAACATTCCGTACTTTTCAGTTTATATTATTATACATAGATTGACTTGAAATGTTAAAGATATATTTTTCTAATTAAGTAGTGTTGATATTATTTTTAATATAAGCATAAAATTTAAAAAAAATAAAATATTTGAAACTGATTAACAAATCATTAGATTGAGCTTCTTATGGCAATTTCAAAATGTAAGTTTCAATTAAAAAATATATCATTTGACTAATTTTCTAAAAATAGAATAAATTAAGGAACATAAAATGTGTTTGTATAAAGAAATTTGCTTTGTACTGAACACACAAGGTTATATAACATTTATTGGGGATAATAAAATTATTTTTCCTATATTATATTCAATTTTTAAATTAAATACAACCATGGTCATAATTTAAATTAAAAATACATTAAAAAATAAAATAATAAAAAACATTAACTATACATTTTTTATATTTAATTATCTATAACTTATGAAAAAAATTAACTTTGATTGTTGTTTACATATATAATATATTATCATTATGGATAAGTAAAATTTGTATGATAAAAATAAAAAATAAATAATTAATATGCTTAAATATATATATAAACATATATAATATATATATGTGGGTATTTAGTCTTAAATTATATATATATTGTGTATTTTCATAGAATAATATTGTCTCATTTTTTTCATGGTTTTTATAATAAATACCATTTTTCTAAAAATTAAATAGTGTTAGAAAAATATATGTATTATATAAAATGGGTTTATAACTAAATTATTTGAACTAATTTTTAAGAAGAATAAATAATAATAATATACTAATTATAATCATATGGATATTTGGATATTCATTTTTATATTAAGCAGTTTTTATTTTGGTTGTTATGAAAAACAACTATATAGGGAAATGAGTATACATTGAAGAAATGTCAATGGATTCCATCTTTTATCCTTCCACCATGTTTATTATTCCCATATTTGCTTAATGTAAATTTTAATAAGAAAAATAAATTATCCACAGTACATAGTACATACTCATAAACTTGAAATATATAATCTGAATCATACCCTAATCTTATTATATTATAGTTTGGATAAAATAATCAAAAGTGGGAAAAGAAATCAATTTAAGTACTTAAATTTTATAATATATTCTTTTCATATAAATTTTTATCATTTTAATATTGGTCAATTGATGTTTAATTTGTTGAATAGTTGTTATAATTTGAAGAAGTTTGTGGGAAATATATCGAAGGTGGTAAATGATACGAGTGTGTCAAGGATACACTCTGATATTTAAAAATCGGCAGTGTCTGTGAAGAAATTGGTGGGGCCAATTCATCTGGTTGGCCCCATAGATGCCGTTAGCAACGAAGAGATTTTATATGGTTCATATAATCTTGGAAACTAACTGATACGGTTTCACTTCGGTATCGAGTTAATTTTAAAGAACGGCGAGTCTCTTGTGTCACAGCACCTCGATAACCTCCTTTACGTAGGAGGGAATCAATTGTTTGTATTTTATCCCAACCTGTAAAAATTAAAAATTAAACTTATGAACTAGTTCTAAAAACGAACATTATATAAAGTATAAGGTTCAATATTAAAATATATAATTATTATCTACTATTCATTAAATGTTAATATTATTATGTACAAATATGTTCCCTACATTCATAATAAATTATAAAAATACTAATGACACTTAACTCATAAATATTTATTTTTATTTAATTTCTAGTTGTCAAAAAGAAGACTTGCATTCACGCTGTTATTTTATTTGTATTTATTATTGTATATAATATATTTTATTTTTATAAAAATTCAAATTTAGGATTTGCCAACAAATAAGAAAGATGCAGTGACGTTCTTTCAAGAAAAGGGTGTTATACCGAAAAAACTAGTGTGTGGGTCACGAAGCAAAATTGTAGAAACTCTATAGCTATTTGGTTGAGTTTATATTGTGTCAAGCTCTTCAAACAGATGATCCTTGGTTGAAATACTAACCAAAATATCACAACATTTTCCACCTCGTGTAAATTATTAATTTTATCAATTAAATTAAATTAAATGTTATTTTATTTTTATAAATAAGTCAATATTATATTTTAACTATCATTGGTAGTAGCGATAACCAAAAAGATACATTCCTGTTATGGAAATATGAAATATTAACATTTTAAAAAATATGACAATAATTACACCGGTGAAAAATTGAAGTGTATAACATTGTTAATGACTATAAAAATAAATATAGGTAATTAATTTTAAAATATAGATATACCTTGTTCTTCAGCTATTTCTGGTAAATAAGTAGCAGTACGCTTGATTCCACGTTCGTTTTGAAATTCAATACGTATACCGTGAACGCCGATATCCCAATCGTTGTAATCTTTGCCTTCCTCGAAATTTAACAATATCGATACGGTTACATGTAATCGGTTCAATTCATCGCTTGAGATTGGATTGAAACGTGAATCTCTTAATGCACTATACGGGAATTATTATATTTAATTTCAAGCAGGAAATGGCAATTCAAATTCAATTGATTTAATTTATTTTATTTCAATTAAAGGAATTAACAATTATACATTTTATATATACAAGGTATTTTATTTTTTCCCAAAGAAATAAATTTAATTATTAATGATCAATACAATTTTTATTTGGTTTATAGTTCATGAACTAATCACAGCCCTTAAAAATAACATAATATAATATAATATTTAATTAAAAATAAGTATACAGTTTAAATTTTAAATTAATTATGCTCTTTATTTTATACAAAAGTATAAAGATAAAAAAAATAAACATTTTCTCAATGCATAAATAAGAACATTATTTTGTATAAAAAGTATTTGATTTCTAATAAAAGCATGAAGTATAATGTAATTAGAATTTATGTTAAAAAAAAAAAAACAAACAAAAAGAACTTATACTGCTGATAGAAGTGCTACTGTTGTAAGTGGGAAGTTGGAAAATTAAGATATAAAAAATTATTCAATTTATAATACCTACCAAATATAAGTTTTTTGTTAAAATGACAAGTTTCTAAAAATATTTTTAACTGAATTTAAAAAAAAAATTAAAATAATAAAACTATTATTTTTGTAAACTTTCCCATTCGTTCGCTATTTTATTTAATTATTAAAAAAATTACATAAAAAATGAAAATTGATTTTCATACTCACTAACTAGATTTAAAATGCAACAGAAAACTTCACTTGTCATTTTTCGAATGGAGCAAAATTTCTGATCAACAAGTTGTTTACAGACAAAAGCAAAACACATAGTTAAGCAAAAAGATCACTCAGAATCTAACATAAACAATATTAAATATCACTTTATTATATACCTAGTTTTATATTTAATGAACTAGTTTCATAATTTTGTACCTAGTTGATAAAAAAACAAGAAGTCTAATACTCTAATTTCTGAATATTTATAGTTAAAGTTAATATATTGTACTTTATTTTTAAATAAACCAAACACTACAATACCTTGTTATGGCGTATTCGCGTAAGCCACTGTGCAAAGCAATCGAATTGAACGTACCAATACATCCTCTGAGTTTTTTGTCTATGCCAGTCTCCCATGTCACAAATAGAGGACTAGAACAAAAACAATCAACAACCACATTGTATAAAAACTATAACGATTTTGGAAGAAAGCCCCTATTTAAAAAAAATAGAGAGGAAAACCTGATACTGAAAAAAAAAATACATCTATATTATTACAATATAGTACAATTTCAAGCAACAAGGCCGATTAATAGCTGCAATAATCACAGGTGTACAAATGTTCACAAAATTTTCCTGGTTATTCAGTAGGAACTGCTTTAAGGTATAAGCAGTAACTACGTACCAGAGTTTACGATTCAATATTAACTTTTACCATTGAACTTACAACGGGTCATTTGTGAAATCAGGTTTTTTGGGAGGCTCCAGGCTGTTAAGATAATTGTATAATGTATCAAAACAAAAATACCCCATTGCTGGAGAGGTAATTTTTTGAACGATACCATCGTTTAACACTGTAGACACGCTACCACTACCACCATTGAAATCTAAAGACGCCTGATGATGGTGGTGGAGTTTTTGTTTCTTAGTATTGGTTCCGCAACAACCAGACGACATTTTCGAACAATTTGTTGTTTAATAGAGATTGTAAAAACGTCAAAGATATATAGGTATAATTTTATTTAAAATGCTCGCAAGATGTGATTTATGGAATTATTTCGGATTATTTTAATAGTGACTACTGTATTTAAAAATCAACTGCCTAACATTGGAAATAAAAACCTTTAAAAAAATGTCCCATAATAATAAAAAAAAAAAATGTTTTTGTTAATGCTTACTTGGAAATAGAATGCAAATATGTAATTTTGGATTGTGTCGTTTATCACAAAGGAAACAGCTGTTCGACCACAGTTCACAAAAATAATTTTCGAATGTTAACTTTTCGATGTCTTTATGCATATTGAACTCTAAACGTTTCCAAAATAATGGTCACACTGCATTTAATCACCATAATTTTATCTGGGTTAGTAGTTTGTTTTTGTTATTTATTGTTACGTGTGTGTGGCCTTGAATGATAACGAAATAAATGTTGGCTGTGGTTGGAAGCGCGAACGATTAGTACTTTTATACTAAGAAATTTACTATTAGTCACAGTTTGGTACTTCCTCGTTATTAGTGTACGTTTCTCTCTTTAAAAAACTTTTTCCTACAATTATTATCAAAATGCTTAAAGTATACAACAAATTAAATCTTCACCAATTAAAAGCTTTAGAAGATTATAGAACTATACAAAAAACTAGAAGGTACGTTTTTAATATACATTATATATATATTTCTTTTAACAATAATTACAATACAATAAAAGTATCAATAAATACCAAAAGTTTTACGTTATATAAGTAAACAAAAAATAGTATACAGTAATATTATAGGGTAATTAGTTTTTTCATCAATATGATAGACACCAAATACGTAGTTCAATAATTGTTTTCTATAACTATCTTTAAATAAGTAAATTAACTTGGTTATGTTCAAAAATTAATTGAACTTTGATCATTATATTAAATTTAATCAAATATGGCAATTACTCATGTTAATACGTACATCTATTTACCAATTTAATATTAAAAATTTTTGAAAAAGTGTTTAAGGAAAAAATACTGACATATATTAATTAAATTTCCAATATTACAATTTAGAATAGGATTAAAGAGGTACTTAATTTGTATAAATATATATATATATGTATTATGACGATAGTTTAGATTAGGTACCTAAGTAGGTATGTACCTAATTTTATCAAATTAATTGAAATTGAAAATAATCTAATTTTTTGTGACGTTAAATTTATTAATTTACTTAATATCCCTTGTACTTTTTAACATAGTTTTAATGGTGAATTTGACTTTGATAGACACGTACTTGACTAAAAATAGAACAATGCCAATTAAAAATATTGACGTAAGAACCAGGAAGTAAAGTAAAAGTGTGGAACTTTTATGAAAATATTTCTTAGGACACATTTTGTAAACAATAAGTTTAAATATTTTAAACGTACAAACATTATCATAATTATTATATATTCAACTTAATTAAGAAAATAATTAGTATCTTAAATATTGTTCTTATTATTGATAGATTGTACCTGCTTGTACTATCTTATATCACCGTTTTTTATATATAATTGGTATACTGGTACAATATGTTATTATGATATTCAACGTTTATCTGTATTGGTTGGCAATGGCCGGGGGGGAGGGTACGGAATAATATGTGACTTCACTTCTTAAATACAAATAAGATAGTAGTTGTACTTGAAAATAATAGAATAAAACAAATGTTTATTGTATTATTAAACACGAATTATATAAAATTATTGTAGGTATAATAATACAAAACATGATTACGTAGTATGTTTTCGAAAAGAAAAAATTATAATAATGGGTAATCTATTTTTGTGGTCACACTGTATTGATATTTCAATAGCATTCTTTTCAAGATTTAAGATTTACTATTATTAACTTTTAAGGCTATGTTATAGATAGGTATATCCATTGCTAAATATATTTAGCCATGGCTATGTCTATAATCTATGCATTTTAGCAGTCAATCGCAGAGTAAGTAAACAGTCTAATTTATCCCAGAGTATTTAAAGAATTCTTTTTTTTTCCAGTAACTTTCACAAAGATGGACATTAACTAGTTAATAATTTAATTTTTAAAACTTTTTAACTTAAATGTTTATTTCATTTTTAATTAAACTAGTTTAACTGAGAGTCGAAATAACTTGGCTTTTCTTAGTTGATTTAAGAATCTATCAAGTTAGAAATGTTTTGAAATTTTTCGTTACGTAAATATTAATATAATAATGATCTAATAATAATATAATAGTGTCATACTACAAATTACAATTTATTTTATTTTTCTGAAGAAATAATTTTGTATACCAATATATTTTAGTAGATTATATAAGCATAAAAGATAAAGCCATAAAGTATACACAATGGTAATACGAATAACAATTATTGATGAGAAAAATACGGTCAGGTTCTGGAAATTGGAAAAAAAAAATCTAAAAGTAACTTGAAAATAAAATGATTGTATAAACACATTAAATTATAATTTAGCATATTATGTTGTTTAAACCTGTAAACAGTATAGACTTTATTATGAACTTGTTATCGAGTATCGACCAGTCCTTTACGTTTTAAGTTATTCGTAATCTTATGCCTTAATAATAATCAATTTTTTTTTTAAAAAGTTATACCTTACCAATTGTATTGTTTTAATAATTGTATGACCTTAAATTGATATTTGATACGAACAATTTATATTTGTTAAACTGTTAATTGAGATGTTTATAGTTTAAATATTAATAATCATGCAAAATAAAATATGTATATACTATATTGTACACTGTACGTTATGATAAAAGTACAATAAAATTATATATTATAATTTAAGAAATTAGAAAAAAAAAAACAGTCACTCTTTTTGAGATCCACGTATTAATTTTTAAAAAAAAGAGCTGATACTGGGGATGGGCGGCCACTGTTATAGGTGAGAAGTTGGGAAGGTAAGATACATAAGCTTATTTCATTTGTATATGTAAGCAACGATAAACCATTGTTTGACGAAAGATGATTCCGAGCGCAGTTCGGTAATACATAATTTGAAGTGCTGTAATTTTTTTTGCGATTTTCGTTTAAATTTGATTTCAAAACACTTATTAAAAAAAAAATCGTTTGATGATTTTAGAAACTTTACTACGTCTAGGTAAGTTCAATATAAGTATTATCACCAAGTTTCAAGTCTTTACGTGTATTTATAACCTATTTACAGCAAAAAAACTCTCAAAAATTATAATTTTTTAAAAGCTCATCAAAAGGCAACAAAAAAATACCTTATGATATTTCGATTAAATCATTTCTTCTGGTAGAAAACGTCGTCTATGTTTTTATAAAATAATGAAATCTTGAAATTGTACATTTTCCTACGTTTTTTTCCAGTTAAGTGCTTTTATTTATTAAAATGGCGTTGAAAATCAAAAAATGATCTTTTTAAAGTACAATCTAAACAACTTGAGCTTTCAGAAAAGTTGCTTCACAAATACTTTAGAGCAAGTTTACTAGAGAAAAACGTGTCCACAAACTAGAACTAAGAAAAAAAATAATCAACATTGTAAAACTCATAGTGCTCCCTCGCTACATTCGGAATCTAAATAAAATCTTTGCTTTCAAAAATTTAGCTAATTTATGTACTTGAAATTAAGAAAATTAGAATTATATACCAAGCTCTAGTAGAATCTACAGTTAACTATGGTATTAGTATTTGTGGAGGTGCCTACAATAATACAACACTAAATCCATTAAAAATAATACAAAATCGAATAATTTTTATCACACAGAATATTTATACAAAGAATTAAATTTTCTACCATTAAAAAAATATTGTTCTATAAAGCATCAACAATTTATATAATTAAAAATAACCTAATACCTAATATTGATTATGAATATGAGACAAGGCAATTATCAAACATTACTGTTCCCTCAATGTACAGAAAACTACCTCAATCTACTTACTTACATATAGGACTAAAAATATATAATATGCTATCATTCGAATTTAAAACAACTCTATCATTAAAATACTTTTTTAAAAAAAAAATAACTAACTGGCTGCAGAATAAACCAAATTTAAAACTTTAAATATTTTTACATCTTCAATCTAGTTACTTATATTTGTTTTTTATCTTATTGTATTATATATTAAATCTTCATGTATTAATTATTGTTACCTACATAGTATGATATGTTTGTGAGTTTCATTTAATAAGTCTAAAATTATAAAAAAAAAAAAAATGTAGATTATTATTTGAATATACTATTTTCCTTATCATAAATTGTGAACTAATAGACCCCCACACGAACCTGTTCAGTGGGGCCCATTATCTTTTCGAAGAAATAAATAATAAAAATTATTGTTATTATTATTATATAGATAGGTAGATATGAATGATAGAAGTGTTATAATGATAAGACGTAAAGATGTACCCGTTGAAGTACATCATAAGACGGTGTAAAATAAACATTGGAAGAAACATAACAAAGCCATCCATTGTTTGCTGTATTTGCTTAAGTAGACTGTAATATGTTAGTAATAATAGTTTAATTTAATAAAATTCGTCTTCGAAAACCATAGTATAGTATACCACATCGGTACAATACAATATTATACATAATAATATAGATTATGAGCGTTCGCGTGATTTTTATCGGATCAAATTTTTTTAAAGAAAATTTTCCGAAGATACTTACCTTACGTAGTATATTGTAACAAAACTTATCGTCATTTCAATAGAGCCACGTTTGGAATCTAAAAGTAGATTAACTTTTTTTAAACTAAGTCAAGTTAATATTTTTTTCCATATTAACTTTAAACTTGTCAAATTATATTTATAATTTGTTCACTGTTAACTTCTAACTTATCAATCTTGTGTTCTCTTAACTTAACTCGAGTTAATTATTATTTTCATTAACTTATCGACCTTTGCTATTTCAGTGATGAACTGTCTAAAGTTTGAATACTAAACACGAAATTAATAATTTTCGCTGGACTTTTAAATAGAATACCGGTGAGGAGGGTGGTTGTATAAAGTTATTTAACTTATATTTGTAAGCAACAAAAACCGATTTAGAGCAAAGTTCGTTTATACATGATTTGAAAAACCGTAATATTTAAAAAAAATTTCTAAATGACTGTTGTTTTTAAAAAATAAAACTTGTACACTACTTGTTGAACCTCTTGTTAAATTATCAAAAATTTCTGTTTGATCAAACAATTATATCCACATAATACCTATGCAAAGAAAAACTCAAGCATAAAATGGGTACAGGGAAAAAACAAAAAAAGTCACTTTGTTTCCCAACTGAAAAAAACGTAACAATTTTTTTTTATAAAGTAAAAAGTTCGGATTAAGTTTAATGTTAAATTTTAAATTTTAGTAACCACAACATAATAATTGTTGTTAATATACCATAATATTATTATTAAAGGCTATAGCCTTATATTAACCCAACACTTACCTGGTTATAAATTGAATATCTGTTTTTTTTTTTCCTGTAGACCTAAACTTCTGGCATTCATTACTTTCGACTAATCTGGTTTTTTCGATCGCATAAAAGATATAGCTCGTCAATACAAATTATTTGATACTGATATTGCTATTTTGGAAAAAAGTGACTTTTGGTTTTTTCCCTGTACCCATAAAAAGCTTAAAAATAGCAAAAATATTTTAAATATTTTACCAGATGTAAAAAAAAAATAATAAAGTTTTCTGTAAAATTTCAAATTTTTATTTATTTTATATTATCATTTCAACGCAAAAGATGACAATTTTGTACAAGATGACCTTAGACTAAACTATAACTATGAGGGAGAAGTAACAAAAGCGGGGTAATTCAAATCTTTATAAATATTTTTAACTGAATTACAACCAAAAAGCAAAATTCAAATTAATGAAAACAATATTTCCAAATAAAAAAATAATAAAGTAAAAACAAAATTACTGAAATGGTTAATATTCATAACAAATATAGTAAAAAAATATTTATGTATAAAATTAAAAAATTAATTAATTAATAAATGTGTTGCCTGGAGTATTATGATAAGTGTATTATATGATAGGTTTTGAATTTTTAATTCGAAACCGGTCAACTTATTATTTTTTTTGAAATACTGGTGTTAAGTGCAATTTTATCTCACTGTTACATTGTTACCCGCTTACCAATATTATGGCATTAATATATGTAATTTATAGTTTAGTTTCATAGTATATGTGAATCTCTTTATTAATTACACGTACATTTTTAACAGATGGTTATCAACAACTTCTTCACACTCTGTAGAAGCATCTTCAGATTCAAAAAAAGATGTTAAACAATCAAAATCATTTACAATGAATCTTTTCCGTGGTCAACTTCAAACTTCACAAGTTTTTCCTTACCCAGATGTTTTAAATGATGAACAAACTGAAACATTAACTAGTCTTGTTGATCCTGTAACAAAATTCTTCAAAGTATAAGACAAATAATATTTTTAGTTTATTAGTAAATGTATTGATTTAAAAGTTTAATATTAAAGGAAGTCAACAATCCACTTAAGAATGATGAGTTGGAAACAGTAGAACCAAACACTCTTGCAGGACTATGGGATATGGGTGCCTTCTCTTTACAAGTACCTCAAGACCTTGGTGGTTTAGGTCTCAGTAACACCCAATATGCTCGAATGGTGGAAATTGTTGGGGCCCATGATTTAGCTGTGGGTATTGTTTTAGGAGCACATCAGTCTATTGGATTCAAAGTAAGTATTTCTGATTAATAATTTGTATTTCTATGACCTGTTATTATGGATGTATCTTTGATACAACTATCTTAAATAAGTACCTTTGATAAAATCTGTATCTTGTATCGAAACACAGTCCTGGAAGTTATTAAATATTCTGTATTGTGATACTGCAAGCCTGGATTAAGACATTTAGAGGCCTAACTTTATGGGGTTCTTGTTGAAAGATTAATTATATAATTTGTTTTAAATGTTAACTAATCAATATGTTTTAACAAAATAAAAATAATAAATAATATAGACATCATAAGGATCTAAATTCAAAAATCACAAGTATTATTTAAATAAATAAATACATATATTATTTTTAACAAAGTTATTAGTAGTTTCTACTATATAATATTACAAATAAGTTATCAGATAATGAAAAAATATTAAAATATCAAAGTACGAATTTAATGGTAAAATGCATATATAAAGAACATACTGTGAGGAACATGCCTGAGGCCCCGGAAGTTTAATGGCTCGGGTGCTAAGACCCTCTCTGGACCACTCCTTATTTTGGACTTTGCCTAATAATAGACTGTTATAAGGCAAAGTTATACTATAAGATTTCCTTTCCTTCTCCGCTCTTTCTTTAGGTCTTGCAGTTCAATACAAAATATGTCTAGGTTTAAAACTTGGATAGTATCATTTACTCTAAATAAAAAAAAAACCATTATCAGGATGATTTATGTTTCTTCAATTATAAATATAAAATTATTAATTGTATTTAAAAACATTTTATTTTTATTTTTTTGTTCAACTGAAAATAATTGCTATAAATTTATTTAATTATAGTTAACATTATTAAAAAATATTACTGTATTTAAATGTATAGTTATATATTATTGCTTTTAAAATTTTTATTTGGGTCTAGGTTAAAAAAAAAATGGTTAACTATGTTAATTTTTTTTTTAACTAAACAAGTTTGATTTATAAAATATTTTTTTCATATGATTACATAATTACGTATATGGTATATTATTCATTGATTAAATTAAATTTCTTTCATAAATTAAAAATCTACCTAATTCTACCTAAATCTAATTATATACATAATATGTATGCATATAAATTAGTAGTGTCCCAATGCCTATAATATACAAAAAGTTATTTTTATATAATTGAATTATATATTCTTAAGTACATGATCTTTAAGCTATCTAATATTGTAAATTAACTCTTTCATTTGTTGTAATAAAGTTAGATGTGTGTTTTTTATAACAGTGTATTGGGTTTATAATGAAATAATTATTTAACAATTCAATATTTAATAAAAATAAAAACTATAATATTATAACTACCTAGTTAAAAATACAAATTTAACATAATAGATGATAATTTTTCAAATTAACCATTATAATTCTATTATATGTATACGTATCACGTATGTACAAAAAAAAAATCGCAACTTATTAATTACCGACACCGATTTATATCACGTATGTACAAAAAAAAATATCGCAACTTATTAATTACCGATACATTTTCTTAAATTTTGTTTGTTCTATATCGTGGCATTCTTAGCATAACTACATAGCTCTGTTTAAACATTTGATAACCTACTCAATTATTGGTTTAAATTATAAACTCAAGGATTCGTCAAGTAGACAATTATTATATAAACTATAATTCTATATATTTTACTTTAATTTTATGCCAATAAAATTTGAAGTACATTTCTAAAACATTTTCTTAAAAATAGATTATAATACATTATTATTTTGGTGATATTTTGGGATAGGGCATTGATTGGTTTAACATGTTATAGTAAAATTAACATTTGGCATAAACATATAGTAAAATAATATTTTTAATTATTAGTGTCTTTAGAACAAATTTAGAACCAATTAGATGAATGTCAAACATCAAACAAATTAATTAATACATTCATACTATTAGTATATTACTTAGATTTTACTATATATTGATATATTATAATTTATAATGTTAAATTAGGTAATTAACTAAATTAAAACTGAAAAAAATATGAATATTGCTTAGGCATTTCAAATATGTTAACTAATAAAAATATACTAAAACCATGGCTATCTACATAACAGATATCCTTGAGACTGTAACTAAAATATAAAAATCTTTACTCCCATAAATAATCATTATCTGCAATCTGTAGTTTTCATAATAAATTAAGAAAATTAAAAAACCAGCTAATACTAGGGACGAGTAATCCACTGTTGTTGGGAAATTTGGAAGTTAGGATACATAAACTTATTTAATTTATATTTGTAATCAACAAACAAATGATTCATTACAAATTTTAGTTGTACATGTTTTAAAAGACTAAAAGATTTATGTTTTTCATCAAAATTTGATTTTAAAACTTAGAAAAAAACAACATTACCCTAGATTTTTTTTTTTTGATCTCAAAATACGATATACTGTCAAATTTCCAAGTATTTTTGTTTAGTTTAACAATTTTATCCACAGATTACCTACTAAATAAAATTGAATTAAAAATCTCGCAAAATTAAAATGTCTTTAAATAACTCAGAACCTTTGAAAATTTTACTAAGTTTAAAAAAATAAAATATTAGGTTCCTGTCAAAATTTTCAACAATTCCAAAGGCAAAAAAAATCATACACTTTCCCATTTTTTCAATGTTTTTTTTTAAGCTTTCCTCAATTATTAACAATATTACAAAGAAAATTAAAAATTTACTTCCTTATGCACCTACAAGATTCCAAATTTAACAAGAAAAGAAAGACAGTAGAAAACATAAACCATACAAATTTAAAACATAAAAATCATAATGCTGAATATGTATTATTTTAAATTTTTCTTCTTTTTCTGGTTTTTCTCAGTTTAACCAAACTACTTGGAAAATCAAAAAAACAAATTACTTACTAACTAGAATGAGATATCTCACTATGCTTTGATGCTAAAACAATAACATAATTTAACAATTTTTAGGGAATATTATTATTTGGAACGCCCGAACAAAAAGCTAAATATCTACCTAGAGTAACGGATAAAGTGTTTGCAGCCTTCTGTCTCACTGAACCTTCATCTGGCAGTGATGCTGGTTCAATTAAGTATATTTTTTTCAAACAAATATCCTTATGGTACAATGTTTAATATTTTTTCAATTTTAGAACTCGAGCAGTTTTATCTCCTGATGGCAAACATTTTATACTTAACGGTAACAAAATATGGATCAGTAATGGAGGAATGGCAGAAATAATGACTGTGTTCGCTCAAACACCAGTGAAAGATGAAAAAACTGGTAAGACAGTTGACAAAGTGACTGCCTTTATTGTTGAACGGGCATTTGGAGGAGTTTCAAACAGTCCACCCGAGAAAAAAATGGGTATCAAAGCATCAAACACGGCAGAAGTAACTTATGAAGATGTCAAAGTACCAGTCGAAAACGTACTAGGTGGTGTCGGTGAAGGTTTTAAAGTTGCTATGAACATTTTGAACAATGGACGGTTTGGTATGGCTGCTGCTCTATCTGGAACAATGAGATCAGTAACTGCAAAAGCTGTAGAGCATGCTACTACTCGAATACAATTTGGTAAACGTTTAGACTCTTTTGGAAGTATACAAGAAAAACTTGCTCGCATGGCTATTCTACATTATGTAACTGAAAGTATGGCCTACATGATATCTGGCAATATGGATTCTGGATCTGTGGATTATCATTTGGAAGCAGCAATCTCAAAGGTGCTTTAAAAATGATAAAATATTCATAAATAAAATATATAAATCTGATAATGAATATTATTTATCAACAGTGCTTTGCTTCTGAATCCGCATGGTATGTATGTGATGAAGCTATACAGATACTCGGAGGAATGGGCTACATGAAAGGTACAGGTCTTGAAAAAGTTATGCGTGACTTAAGGATATTCAGAATATTTGAAGGTACCAACGATATTTTGAGGCTATTTGTGGCCCTGACTGGTATTCAATTTGCTGGCAGTCATCTAAAAGAATTGCAAAGAGCTTTCAAAAATCCTACAGCTAATTTAGGGTTAATTCTTGGGGAAGTCTCAAAACGTGCTCTTCATTCAGTAGGATTTAGTTCAGCCCCGTCCCTAACACACTTGGTGCACCCAAAATTATCGGATGCAGCTAATCTTGCTGGTCAAGTAAGTAGATTCTTATATTTATAGTGTGTTTCACTCAAATAGTAACACAAAATTTTTCTGTCTAGTGACCTCTGATTGAAATGGGGTTTTCAAGAGAAGATAAGAATTACTGAAATACACATTTTGTATGGAATTTCAAACTTCTTACCCTTTCAGTGTGCGCATAAGCAATAAAACTTATATTTTTTTTTTTAAATGGAAACACCTATTTCCAACACTTGATTTGGATAAACCATTTTTTTTTTTTTAAGTAACTTATATAAAAAAAAACTTTTCCCTTGAATAGAAAATTGGTCAAAATACAACTAGTTAAAGTTGAAACAAAATTATTTTATTATTACTAAATTAATTTAATTTTAAACAGTTTATTACAAAAAATACTCATCAGTCATCATTATCTTATAAATTGTAAATGCTGGAGACTAATCGGTGGGTCAACATGAACTACAGTTCATAAATGTCCCCAAAGAAATAAATTTAGAGGCGTCTAATCAGATGAACAGCTGGTCAAGCTGTTGATCCATATGTCCCCATCCAACAACTGTATGGTGTGAATTAATTGGAGTTTTCATAATAGGTCCCTATTTTTATGATAGAACATTAAATGGAAGAAGATATTTGGATTTTCTCTCTAACTATTTACCACTTTTAGAGGGTGTTCAATTAGCTATTAGAGAAAACATTTTTTCAACAAAATGGTGCTCCTGTGCACAATAGTATTATTGTAAGACAATACTTAAGGAACACATTTGAAAGTCATTAAATGAGGACATATAGACTGATAACTTAGCCGGCGTTCATCTAATTTTACACCTCTAGATTTTTTTCTTTGAGGACATTTATAAACTGTAGTTTATGCTGACCCACCAATTAGTCTCCAGCAATTAAAACAAAACAACCTACTACTGATAACAACTACAATTTATAAGATAATGATAACTGTTGAGTATTTCTTATAATAAATTGTTTAAAATTAAATTAATTTAGTAACAATAAAATAATTTTGTTTCAACTTTAACTAGCTGTATTTTAGCCAATTTTCGACATAAAAGAAAAGTTTATTTATATAAGTTACTTTAAAAAAAAATGGTTTATCCAAATCAAGTGTTGGAAATAGGTGTTTCCATTTAAAAAAAATGCAAGTTTTATTGCGCATGCACAAATGGTAAGAAGTTTGAAAATCTATACAAAATGTGTATTTCAGTATTTCATATCTTCTCTTGAAAACCCCATTTTAATCCGAGGTCACTAGACAAAAATATTTTGTGTTACCATTTAATTGAAACAAACTGTATACTATTTTTATATTTAACTTTGTTTAATTTGTTGGTTGATGTTATTTATAGAGTGTTGGTCTTTTTGGGCCAGCCGTAGAATCTCTATTGATAAAATACGGCAAAGGTATTATTGATGAACAGTTCCTCTTGAACAGATTAGCTCAAGCAGCTATTGATACTTATACTATGACAGTAGTGCTTTCTCGTGCTACCAGAGCACTTAATTTGGGTTTGCCTTCAGCTGAATATGAAATGCTACTGACCCAAGTCTACTGTTCTGAGGTTTGTATCGCATAAATCTAATAATGTATTTATACATTTTATTCTTTCAATGGTTATCGATTTCCATTCTATATATACTGTCCTTCTTTTTACTATCTAAATTAATGTTTTCATTGGATTTTGTCATTACATAAGGTTTCTTTTTTAATTCACAAGTCATATTTTACCTATTTATATAAGTGTATACAAAATAAAATGTACATATTTAAAATATTACAATATTTCAAAATAACTTTGAGGCTACAATTGCTCAAAAATGTTCATTAACAGTGCATTGTATATATTATGTATTTAATATTTATATATTGTTAATTATCAATAATACGATTAACTATACATTTTAGGCCAGTGAACGAGTAGCAAGCAATTTATCGATATTGAAATCTGGCAAGCACATAGATAACTTTTCAAAAATGAGTAATATTGCCGAACAAATTTGTCAAAGTGGTGGATTAGTTCAACCTAATCCACTGAATCTGTAAATCGCTAAAAGTGAAATATTTAAATAATTTATCTGTTATATTAGGATCACTGTAAATCAGGGTAAGGTCACGATGTTATGTATATTTATCATCTTTAAATAGTGTGATGCAGAGAATATTAAATTAAGTATCCACTTACCAAAATAATTAAAATATGTAACTTACAAAATTGTTTTTTATTTATATATGTATAATGAACTTAAGTAATAATTGTTATAAATTTATTTTTTTCTAATTTGTTATCACATATTTATATTTTATAGTGTTAAAAACTTTTAACTTAACATACTTAGAGGCTAATTATTATTTGACTGGTGCTAAATATTTGATTTATTTATATTTTGTATTATATTTGGTATACAACGAAACCAACATTTTGCTTGTAATTTTAAATTGTCTTTGTTTTTTTTTTAAGTGTTTGGAGGAATGTATTAGTTTTACTATGATGTGTTTTTTTTCTGTCTGTTAATAAATTTTTTACCAGAAATCATGTTTCATTCAAATATGATTTTATCCGGCAATGTATTAGACTTTTTTTTATAGTACTTTACTGAATTCAAGTGGAAATTTGGAAAGAGTGACTATTATTATCTATAAAGAAGGGTTATATTAGTGTCTTATAAAAAAACAGTGTCTCAACCTGCAGACTGGCTAAGTTTTATATATGTATAATTAAAATAAATTAAATTTAGGATAACCTAATTAATTTATATTATTTGAAATTTAATTATAAGGTTGAAAAGAGAAAATATTAAAAATTATGTGGGTACTATGGAATTTTCAATGCCCACATGTGTAAACATTTTAATTGTTTAATGTACTTGTCTGTATATATAACTAGATAGGAAATTATGAAATATATAAGTGTTATTTTTTTTTCATTTAGGTGCGATTCATTAAGTATATTATCAGATACAATAATAATTACAAACCTTTTACAATGAAAAATAATTTTAATTATTTTTATAAATCTAAATTATATTTTAAAGATACATAGATAATATATAATTAATCAAATAATTGACAAAAAATAAAAAATATATACCTACACGATTAGGTTCCATAATATAGTTTTCCTCATATAATGAATAGTGCTTTTATCAGTTTGATTATAATTACCGAAAATAGAGTACCTATATCGGTAAACCAAAATTCCACTGGCCCTTATATTTATGATTTAGTGGCTTTAAAGTAGATAGACAGTTCTTGTCTATGTTTTAAATGTATGGATATTACTTACTAATTGGGGTCACGTCACTTAAAATTTATTTTCTATCCGTCTCGTATATTATTAGTACCCAGTAGCTCCGAACTAATTTTTTGTGTGAGTGGAAATAAACATTAATTTATACCCACCTACCTCAATACGGTATTAAACATAAGACATGGCCGATATAGCTCTCCACACCAACTACCAATTCCTTAAACAATAAATTATTATTTTCACAAACTATATTATTTACTGAATAATGTGTTCATATTTTGCATCATTTAATATTTGAATGCATTTGAAGGTACTTAAATTTTTAATTAACATAAAAATTATTTATAATGTGATCATTAGAAACCTATATTAACATTTCACATAGACAGGGGTATATTGGTTTTACTATGATTTGTGTTTTTGTATTTTATTTTTATTTTTTTTGTTTTATGTCTGAACAACTTTTCTACCAGAAATTTTGCTCAGATGTAAATACAATAGAGTGTAATACTTTTTCTGAAATTTAATTTTGTCTAATTAGTGCATGAAAGATGTTAATTTTGTATTTTCAAAATAATTTGTAAAATCCAGGCAGAAAATTACAGGTAAAAAGACAAATATTTACAGTACCCCACTTACATTACCGATTTCATTATTTTAAATTTGTATACACGATATTTTCCACCAGGATATTGACAAAATAAAAAATCGACCAGAGACCTTTTTTGTAGTTTTATTTTTAATAATTGATCAAAACCGAAAAAAAATTCTTAAAAAAACTGAAAAATTTACGAAAATAATTCTTTTATTATTTTCAATTTTGTTTTTATTTCGATTCAGTTAAAAATATTCGTAGAGACTTGAAATTTAGACAAAGAACTAAAGTTTACCTAGAAGTAGTAAAATTTTAAAAACAAGCCATTTTTTTAGCTATTATAAACATTATAATTTTGAGAGGTTTTTTACGTAACTTTTCTTACGTTTAAGACTAGGAGACTTGTCATACATTTTGTAAAGAACAGTATTTACTATGGTTGTCTAATGGTTACTAATGATTTTTTTTTTATCTAGGTATGCGTATTCTAATTGTCTCTTAATTTCAACCATTAATAACTTATTAAGAAATAAAAATATTAAAAAAGTAATTCGTATGATCTATATAAAAAATTATTTTTCTTGGTTACACCAAAGCAGCAAATTTCCCAGAAAATAAAAATGATATTAAAGATGATTTGATTGATAGTGTCGATTCTGTAAAAACACAACATTATTCTTCAAAGTTCATCCCAATTTTCAGCCACTATCATCTGCTCCTATTGAAATGCTTTTTAGTGCAGGATGCAGGTGGACAAATTTTTGGAAAGATAATGGGATCCATTTGTGACAAAAACTTTTATATGTCATTATTGTTGAAGTATAACAAGTATTTAAAATATTAAGAGTAAAGTGTGTAAAGTATAACTTTAACTCATAATCAAGGTTGTGAATTTAATACATGCATGTTTTTTTATTACATCGTTTAAGAAATGGATTCGGTCATAATTTGTTTTGGCTTATTTCTAGTTAAAACACAAAATCTTATTTTGCATGTTTAACAGGTTAGAATATATAAATGGATGTTTTCATGATTTTTTTTGTATTGCCTTTTTTTTCTTAATGTTTATATTTTTCGGTCTATCTAGTATAAATTGATCTAAATATTTTAATTCTATTTTTTTTATGTGTGGACAACTTTTTTACCAGAAATCGTGCTCCGATTTTTGAGTGTAGCATTTTTTCTGAAAGGAAATCTAACTAAGAATATACTTAGCAGAATTCATTTTTTGATTTTCCAAAGAGTTTTCTCAACAAATGGAAAAAATGGAAATGGGAAATTCGGAACAATATTAAACAAATATTATTAAAGAACATGTATAATGCCTATTTAATTATTTTTCCATAAAATGACATAGGTGTATATTGTTTACAGAGAATGTGTCACTAACAATTGAACCCCGCTCAGAATCGTTTTTTCATTAGCAATGGTTTATCGTTTGTTACAGATATACATTAAATTACTTTCTATATCCTACCTTCCCAACTTCCCACCTATAACAGTGGCTGCGCCCATGTGCGAAGTATGTCAGTCTTTCTTTTTTTTTGTAAATCATTTTTAATTATTAATTAAAATTTTTTTTTTATGCAATAAAAGGAGTATTATTATTATTAATAAAGGCAGTGCATATTGAAGCATGATTTGGAATTTTTCAGTGTATATTTGTAGTATTTCAGTGTCTATTTTTAGTGCATAAATGCATGAATATTCAACCCTTTTTTAATGCATTAAATTCACAGCCCTACTTATAATAATTATATTATAATTAGCTATAATAAAAATAAAAATAAAATTATTGTGATTATAAATTTATAATACCTATAAATTATAATTAACTTTCAGTTTTTTAGATTAAGTATACCTTGTCCATAGTTACTCAATAATTATTTTTTTTATTATTTAAAATCTAATATTATTGTTCGATCTTTAACTAATCTATAAGTTGTAGATAAATTTATTGAATTAACTAATACTTTCGTTAAATAAGTAATAAATAATAACTATTAGGTATATTGTTTAATTTTAATATTGTTATTGTATGAGTAAGTTTAGTATTCTGCATACCTAGGTACTTATTTCATATCTGTATGGCAATAATTATTGGTTAGTAAAAAACAAAGTTAGATCAAAATAAATCTATTTATTCGTACACAAATTTATAGGTAATTAACACCCAATTAGATTATAATAGGTACCTACCTAATAAGTTATAACCAATAATATTAATAACTATACAGGCAAATGAGTTTTTAAATGTCCGTAAACACGCATCTACATTAATACCTAGGTCAAACGAAGGCGCAGTTTGTATTTTGTAACCTATATAATATTATGTATGTATATCAAACATTTTCACTGATATATACTAGGTATATTATTAGTTTTAATTAGTCTAATTGACCGTTGCTATCGCTGGTCTATGTAAACATTACTGACTATATAAATAATTTATGTATACCTAGTTATTCATGAAATCATGCATGTGTAAGTGTAAAATTTATTTTAATTTTAAATAGTGGTCAGACATTTAAGTTGATACATACCAATAAAAATTGGCAAAAAATCGACTACTCTTTCGATATTCGATACCACGATATATCATTAAGAATTTTCTCGATATATTGATATGCATCAAAAAATATAAAATCTTACCCAAAATAACGTTATACTTATAATATACTCACCACCTAAAAAATTGTAAGTACTCATTGTGCATTGTTAGATTTGAGCAGAAAAACTTTTGAAAATGATCAAAATCTGGCAATAATTTTGAACATACGATTATAAGTTACCCGTTATCATCATGTCGTGTGGTGTAGACTAAACGGGTTTTCCTGTACAACGTGTTACTAATATTTTTTTTTTTTTTTTTTTTTACATCGTACTAATGTGTACTTACAAATTGTTTAAATTTTAAATATAAACGATATCTAGCATAAGCATATAGATTGCTTATATATATTGGTGAGAAAGTACCGATACAAAAATGGACGATAGATTGAAATAAATAGCATTAATATATCGTTGCTATCCAGTATCCATATATCTACTCAAAACAAAATAAGTATCTATTTATAATTTAAATTGTTTTATTTATTTGTTGGATTTTAGATTCGGAGCGTATAGCGAGGGATCTATTGATTTTACCGTTTTATTTTTCTGCCTGTTAACTTTTTTAAAAGAAAACATGTTCCGATGGAAAGAGTGTAGCATCTTTTTTGAAGAGAAATTTTATCTAGTTGATTCATTAGAGGTCATTTTTTGATTTTCCATGGGGTTCCAAAATTATAGATAAAACCTGAAATATTTACAGCGTACCGTGACGTTACTAATTGTATTGTTTTGAATTTTTGAAAACTATTTTTTTTTTACCAATATGTTGCTCCAATAGAAAAATAAGACACCAAATTTTTGGTTACATTTTGGATCTAGTTCATGAATAAAGTGGTTTTTTGATATTTTCAGTAGTATTCATAATATATTTGGAAAAAATCAAAATATCATAGCTTACAGATATAAGTTAAATATGTTTTATACATAAGACCTTACTAACATTCTACCTATAACAGTGTCACACCCGTCCCCAGTATCATGTGCTCATTGGCATTAGTGTCGTAAAACATGCCTAAATAATTAATAGGTTATCGATACTAATTGTTTAATGATGATCATCGGGATAATTATTATAGTTGGGTACCTTATCTTAAAAATTTTTAAAATTTCAATCCGAAAAATCAATGACAATATAATATTACTGGAACATCTAATTTAAAGAATGAACGTATGTTATACTGAACAATGCTATACAAATGTATAATAGGTATAAATTGTAAATTGCTATTGTGTGTTATGACTGGACAATAATAATATAGTCATAGGTAAGTATTATAAAAATATGAATTCATTAGTGTTTCTCATCTTTGGATATTAATTAGTTATAAATACACAAATAAACATTAAAGACATTATTATAATATTATGTATTAGTATTACAAAACCTTAAATCTATGCAGTTATATTATAATATGTACACAGCATTTAATTATTATAGTTATATATACTATATACTTTATACAAGTCTAAATTCCATTGTAATAACAATAATATCCATAAGTAAGTAATAATACAAGTTGTTAAACATAAATAATATTGTGGGGAGATCATAAATAAGTCAAATCGATAAATATATGCATGAGCAAATATAAAGCGTTGAAGTTTATGCACAATCATATAATTATGATGGTAAGTAATAGATAACCCCAATATTAATATGCGTTTTTGATCGACAAGTATGATGCAGTTAAATCATATTATTGTATTTTGTCTTGAATCTGTGAACAGATGTAACATCCGCATTCATTAAAATATTAAATAAAAAAAAAAGTACCTATTATGGTTAAAGTGTTTTTGTTGTCGGTCAAATGTGTATAGTAATAAAATTTGGACTAACAATGATGGTTATATTATGATGTATATACGAATTAAATTGATAAAGAATTTGCATAAAAAGGAAAGAGAGAATGAAACAGACAAATCATTATGTCCATTTGAATTACAATAATTTTATTATTTTATATTTAATAATATATAAGTATAACACACAGACACACACACACACACACACACACACACACACACACACACACACACATACCGTACAAGAGTACGCAAAATAAAAATATTAATACTAAAAAGATAATAATAATTTTATTATTAAAGTAGGTAGTACAAAATAATATTATATTCATGATATAAAATAATAATAACAATATAATCTTATACAATTTATTTTGTCTAAACAATAAGATCCGTAGTCGTTATACAGTCTCATCATTGAATCTAACGATTTTTAATTCATTGATTGTCCAATATTAAAAAAAACACAATTATGATTATAATAATAATAATCTTATGAGAAAAAAACAACTTTGTTCCTAAGGATCATACTGGCTCTGTACCTTTTGGGGTTGATAGCCCCAGACTAATTTGTTGAAATATTCACCAATCACGTACAGTACGGAAGTGTATACAAATGTACCTAGGAAAAATAGACATCTCAGTGGCAAGTTCAGCTGTGTGAGTATCGGATATACCCATATATGACACTGGCTATATACAATGTGGATCCTGTAACAATGACGTGCAAATCAATTTTATTATTGTATTAAAGTATAAAATACAACTACATAAAAATATTAATTTAGTCATAATATAATTGTAGGTAGGTAATACAAATATTGAAATACAAAAAATAAACAATGTAGTTCATTGTGCATCATAATATTGTGTTCTTAGAGAATCTAGAAAAAAACAATATTAAAACAGTAAAAAAACCTATTGGAAAAAACAACTTGAATGATTAAACAAATTGTTACATATTTTTATTCTCAAAAATTACTCGAGATATAGCTGTCTAAAGTTGATTAAATATATAATTTTTTCTCGAGTTATTAAAATAATAAATATTTAATTTTATTATTTATGCATAATTTTATCATTATCTTTATTTTTAATTTTTTTCCCTATAAACCAATAATTAAATTTTTTTACTTTAAATGCCATGCATTTTAAATTTTTTAAAAATCGAGAAAAATAATCATACTTTTTAATTAATTTTAGATGACTGTATATCTTAGGTAATTTTTTAGTCAAAAATAAAATTAGATTGAACTCTAGCTTTTGGGTAACATGAAAACAAACGAACAAGTAATTATAATATTGTTATAATATACTTAGTATATCTAAGATCATAAGCTATAGATATAATTATACATATAATGAATTGTATCCAACTTATCCTCATTACCTTTGACCTTTCACAGTACCTGCATGGCTACACGACATAAAAGCGTATGACCAGAAATAAGAATCAGCTGATGGTTCGAAAAAATGAAAAATTTAATATCTATTTCAACGTTTTCAATCGTCTTAAACCACCAGCTGATTTTGGGAACAAGATCAGGTTAAGATTTTTAGTGGCATATATAGAACAGGAAACACTTTATGAATTATAACTATGTATAGTTATAATTATATTATAATAATATGTCCTATTTATACCAATAAGTACGCATTTTTTAAAATTATTTTTAATATATTTTGCGCTAGGCATAATGATGTGCATCGTACTTACCATATTAAATAAGACAGTTGAAACGAAATATGCGTGACCATCCCGTAAAGACGAGCTGGATATGGTCGGTAAGCTGTAACCATTTCCAAACAGGCAAATACGAACACGAACGTATGCATTGTTTGATTTAGCCATTGTGGGAAGTACAAGTCAATATCTTTAGGCATCACTAAGTTGCGATCGATAAACCATAAACTCCAAAATGACGTGGATACAAACTAAAATCATAAATATTTAATAACAAAAAAAAAAAAAAAAACAATAAATTAACTATAACTCTATTAATCGAAGATTTGCTACCTGAATACCTGATCGTTAAGCACCAATGTTTAATTATATATGAGAACGCCATGCTCGCATGTACTTTCTTCGCCTTACAAATATACGACATAACAAAATTTGTGTTTATCAAAGACAACTTTATGTTGTTAATTATAATATTAGGGTAAATTTACCTATTTTAAATTTAAAGGAAAGAACATTATCTGTGCAACTACGTCGGTTTTTATCTTAATATTTTAATATTTAAGCAAGTAAGAGGTATACGCAGATTTATAAACTCTAAAATAAAAAATAATAATTAATAATAAATTGTATTTATTTTAGGCCGTTATTATTAATTTCATTTGTATTGTATACGACATATCTTTGTGAATCAGGCATTTCAACATTTAGGTAAATAAAAAGCAAACAAAGTAATCTGTTGAATGTGGAAAATGGCATGCGTTGCGTAATATCAAAAAGATTCCCATGTTAACTTAGTGAGAAATAAACAATTCCAATTATTTCTTAATTATAATATTATATACCTAATTTAATAGAAATTGAAGTGTTTTTTTATTAATAATTCCAAAAAAAGTAATTATTTTATTGAATTTATCATAATTTTGTAATTTACATAATATAATTTATCTCTGTTATTAATAAAAGGTTATCAAATTTTAAATTGAACGGTGAGGGGACGTAAGATTTTTGAAAACCTATACGATGAATAAAAAATGTTGACAACACTAACCTAAAAGAATATTTAAAGTGCAATATTCAAATATAACGTCTCGTAACGTGTTAGAATAATTGTTTACACACATACTAAACAACAACGTTGGCAAAACAGCAAAATACTATTAGTGCTGTTCCCTGGTTTATTTTTAAACGAAACGGACATAATATAATATATATATATATTAGGTTTATACTTATACGCTGTATTCTATATGTACAAATTTGTTTTCCAAATAATTAAACCATTATTCTATAATCAATGCTTAAACTAAGGTTTCAAAAGTATTATAACTATGAAAACTGCGTTACTAAATTTCGGTTACATTTTTTTTTTTCTAATTATTGAAGAACTAAATGTCAAACATAATGACTACGACGTATCTAGTACCTATGTTGTAACACGAAAAGGTATTTGCCAAAAAAATTGTGACAATTATTGAAACAGAAGCCACAACATGCAGTTGCAAAAAATTTTTTTACCAAAACCAATATTTTATTTTATACAATATTTGTAATAATTATTTCATTGATAAACTATATTATAATTTCAATGGTAGGTAGGTATTTTGTGTTTTTTAAGTTATTATTTAAGATAATAAACATATACCAGTTCAACAAGTTCCATACAACTATCTAAATAGAGGGAAGTTTTTAATACTTGTTTTATGAACTATTGTATATTTGTATTTAATATATTTCAAACTGATTAAAACGTATCATTTTTACTTAAATATAGTTTTTCAAAATTCCAAAATTATTTATAGTGTTCCAATTTAGATTAATAATATATCATTAATTTTATGCATTTTTTGTAGTAAAATAAGTGTACCGACCTACTAAAACCGGTGCCTGTAAAAACCTTTAGGTTACCATGTACAATTTTCTACTAGATTGTATTTATTTATTTTACGGAGCATGATCAAAAACATTTGTTTTCTCCGTCTGTCTTGCACGTATATAGCAACAAAGGCATTCCGCATTTTCAAAATTGCGATTCTCTGGTTAAGTTTAGGGTTGAAGGACTGATTATACATTTTGTAAAGAAGAGTATTTACAATGAATAATTTTTTTTTCAAATATTTTATTTTATTTTAATTCTTAATTCTATTTCTCAACATATTAAGAAATTAAAATAATAAAATAATAAATATTATTCTTTATAAAATATGTAATAATAGATCTCTTTGCCCTACCTAAATTCTACCAGAGAGTCACAATCCAGGAAATGTTGAATTACTATTTTTCACCCCAACAATTGTCTAACTGGTAAAACCATAAAATATATAATAATATATTATATAGGTTTATGACAAATGTGCATAAAATGCTATTTTATTTTCGGTCGAATAACTTATTGTTAGAGACGAATAAATGTAATTTAAAAATTCTAACATTAATATTAATATAATCAATTATTAATAAATAATTTACAAGAATCAAATTATTGGTCATTTCTAAGTATATATTGTTTCTATAAACGAGTTTAATAGTTTAAAAACATTCTACAAGAGAATAACTGATCCAAATATTCTTATTTCTCCTTATATATAATAAACTATTCGAAATAATCAATAAAACATTATTACCCATGTATAGACGTGCATACACTAGCAAATAGTAAGTATATTTTTACTTAGAGGTTAGAATATTATTAGTCCATGGTTATATTTCAAGGACTTGTAAATATCCATTAAAAAAACTTGTTTTTTATATATATAATAATAACATGATTCTAATAAACAGTATAAATTAATACAATTACAGGTATTTGATAAAATTTGCATTGAAAAGTAAAAATCTATGTTAAGTATTAATTTTCTTTTTAACTATAGCTACTATATTATTCATCAGGTAAGAAATTAGTATTGTTTATTTCAGATACATTATTAATTTAAATAGTGTTCAAAATAAATTGTAATCGATCATAAAAACTTCTTTCAATAATTGCACCAGGGATTAGGCCATTATCACAAATCGCTTATACCAGCGGTTCTCAAATGGTACGCGGTAGGCAACATGATGATGCGCAGAAGCAAGGGCGCCCTGAGATGAAAATTCAGGGGCGGGAGACAGACCTTATTTGTATTACGAATCAAAAACTTTTATTAATGTACCTATTATTCGTATGTGTATTTTAAAAGATTGTTAAAAGTATTATAATATAATATTAAACTTTACATGTATAATAAGTAATTGAACACTAATTGCAATTTTATTTTATTTATTTTATTAATCCGGATAAACGATTCTCACACATTAGATAACCGCAAGTCAGCTGTCCACAAAAATATTCACAAATGATCGGCTATAATTGTTGGTACTAACAGACCAACTTCAAATCATAGGGTATAAATCATTGTAAATTGTGATAGTAAATAAATAATAAATTAGCGGAATTCTATTATCATGATGAATAACTACCTAAGGTAGTAGTTTAGGTATACCAAACAAGGTGTATTGATATTTATCAATATATATACATATATAACAACTATCACAGATGCCACTCCAAATTATGAATTTCCATAATTAATTAAATTGAAGTTTAAAAAATTAAGATTATTAATGTTTATAATTGTTGTTATATTAAAAAAATTGAGGTAATTAAAAACTTAATTATTATAGTGATCAATATATTAGCAAGGTATATATAGATTCATAGTAATACTATTAAAAAAAATAATTCCCGGAGAAAGGGTTGTAAGCTAAAAATATGTGGTTCTAATTATTTAAACAAAAGTAATTATTTTTTTACAACATAATATAACACGAAGGTTATATAGATATAACATTTCGAAAGGGGAGGTTTATAAGTACATTATTTAATTCATTGTTTTTTTTTTTACTATTTTTAGAATTACGCACAGCATTATAAATAAAATTGAATTATTTCTTTTACTTCAAAATTAGCTTCTAACAGATATTATCTATGGTTGTTTTTTTTAAATATATTTAACTAATAGGTACCTAGTAAAATTGTCCCAGAAGAATAAACAATTAAAATATATTATTTTAAAATAATTTTACTTACCATACTTAATGGAAAAGCAATGCTGGCAAAGAAAAAGTATTTCACTTGACACAGGGTTTCAAAGATCGACGACTTAGTCGGGAAAATCATTGGAAAAACGTCCACGACTAAGGCATAAACGAAAAAAACCGCTTGGAAGCACTAAAATATCAAACAAAATATAAATAAATATTAATATAAAATTATTAAATTCATATCTAAGTGTTTATGAAATTTATTTATGAGTAGGCTATTAAGATATATATTTTTGATGTTAATTAAGTAGTTTATAATAGGTCACTATGGGTGTAACATGTTCGTTACTTACAAGTTTTAAAACACAACATAATAAAATAGGTATATATAATAATATATAATTTGGGTATTGGGTACTGAGTGTAGATATTTTATACTCTTTATAGGCTGTTTAGTTTTATTCGACTTTTATCTATACAATTTGTCTATGTGCATGACTCATAATACCTATTACATTGTCTGAGTGCCGTTGACATTATTATAATATTGTAGGTACACCGTAAAATATCATAGATGCCAATTTTCAATTAAAACCTAATGAACCGTGTCGAACCGCTTTACCCCATAGGCATTAACCTTTTCGTCGTTCTATAAATCTATAATTGACGATTTTTAACGTGTCAAAAAAAGTAACTATACAGATAGCATTAATATATTCTGTATGGCTATTTTAAATATCCATAATATTCAATATATACAAGTACGTAACACTGCAATATCAGTAATTCCACAGACAACGAGAAATATAATGGTATTTATACCTATATAGTTGTAGTGGCTCACCCTGTAAATCGATTTGATCAATTAATTCAGAACATATTGCAAGTTACCATAAATAATAAAATATACAAATTATACATACATTATTATTACAATAATAGTATTATGTTACTTTTGTACACAATACATCTATACCTATGTCCTATAATGCATAATATTATTTGTATTGTGTAGCTTAACACACACTGTATAAGGTAGGTACCTATATACACAAACGATTTATACGAATGAAAAAATACACGATTAAACTGTAGCGAAACCGATCACTTCAGTACAACCATAAACGACGAATTCAGTGATATTAGAGGTAGGTATATATTATGTGTACATTAACCTAAACTATATACAGTGTATACATATATTTTATTTTTTGGAACGTTATTTTGTAATTTTATTACTCGTTATATTATTTCATTATATCATATACTTTATAATAGCGTGTTTTATCAGCGGTAGGTCTCTACGTACCTACCTATGTGTAATACACAATTATTGACCAACTCAAAAAAAAAAAAGACAATTTTCTATAACAACCTATTCAACGAGACAGTTTATTAAGATATAATTTGTGTTATAATAACAATTTACTATAGTCGTGGTTAAACTTTAACAGTATAAATGTTATTAAAATTTTCCAAACAGTTAACAAAAAAAAAGAAAATGATGATAATAGTAGAGCCAGCAGAAGTAATAAGCTGTATACACTTGATCATACTATTTATGATCATGTAGTATAAGTACCTGACTATTTAAATGAGAGACATTTTCAAGTATTAGGAGACATTTTTAAATTAACATTGTAAGTTAAGTTCATAGACCCATAAGAGTTTAGGACTACAGTCTGGTTGCAATATCCAAAGAAATCCCTCTCATCCTCTTCTTCTCAGAAAAATTGTACACTAAAAATATGTGAATAGGTACTTGAATACTTATTGTTGAATAATTATTGAATACTTACTTACACGGTATTGTTAAGTTCAAGATTTAATTTACAATATTTAATTTTAATTTTAAATATTTGAAAATATCTTCTTCAATTACAATTGAAAAATACAAAAATCAGAATTTGAATATATACATAACTAGGTGGGCATGCTTTAAAATTACCAGTGTATCTAGATATCTGGTCTCTTTATAGTGTACAATGAAAATACAATATAGTATATATATAGTGGTGACATTTAACATTACCGATATCATCACCTCAATAAAACAGATAACTGTGGCCTATTATAGGATACTTGCAGGCTATTGGCCAACACTAAGAACGCTTATAATACTTAATATTGAATATATATACTAGTATTCAGTATAGGTACCTATGACCTACCTATGTGGTAATGAGTGGTTTTTATTACATAATATAGAGTAATCACAGTAGTTACAGGTTAGTGTCGCCATTATATATATATATATATATATGTTATTTATGTTATCAGCAACTTAAAAACTCTAAATTTTTATTAAATTATTTGCTTTGATTATTTTATGGAACTTTTAAATAAGAAATAATAATCTAAGCAAAAAAAATGCAGTTGCAGATGCTGCTATATTATAGCATTTCCGAGAACACCTGTAAACAGTCAAATTAATTTGACATACATCGACATTGGACACACTAAAGCTAGGCCAACCTCTCCGCCTTAAAAAAAAAAACAATAAAACTGTTGTAGTATACATACGCAATAATTAAAATCAGATGCCCACGTTATAATAATATTTACAATACTAAAAGGTATATTGTAATAAAGATTGAGAGTATTTATATATTTATTTATGTAATTTATAAGTTTATTCATGTGAGACGATGTTTTATTGTGTGTCTAATTATCCTTGAATGAAAAAAATGTTTAAAATCATAATACCTACCTACCTACCATTCATATATATTATTGTATATAATATGCATGATTTTTATGAGAATATAATTAAATTGAGATGGATTGAATAACATTATTTTAGGTACTTGATTTGTAGTTATTAATAAGTTATTATTATTAAATTTGACAATTCAAAATCATGAACGCATAAAAACCTTAAGCACTATTATGCGAATGACCTACAGTTACATTATAGGTAGTGTATTGCACGCTAAAAATAGTTCCATATAGGTAGGGGGTAGCTATAACCTATACAACAATAAAGTATAATTACAACATAGGTAAATAAATTTGTTTAGCTTCATACACGAGTAAAACAATTAAACTGAATCTACCACTAAGTAAAAACAAAATATGTGCTGATACTAGGGACGGATGTGCCACATTAAGTTATTCAATATATATCTGTAAGCAACGATACACCATTGCTAATTAAAAACGATTCTGAACGAACTTCGGTTTGAAAGGCCGTAATGTTTACGATTTTCTTATATTATACAATAGTGAAATCAATTTTATTTTACCACTAAGCAAGGCTTAAAATAAACTCCCTGTTAAATTTTCAAGCACTTTTGTTTAGCCTAACAAATTTATTTACATAGTACCTACCTAATAAAATAAAAATTTCATAAAAAACTCACGAAATTAAAATGTTTATAAATAGTTCAAAATTCGCTAAGCTTCTAATCTAAAAAAGAAAAAATGAAAAAGAAATACATCTAAAATAGATAAGTACTTATTAGTTTATAACTACTTATAAGTAGTTTATTATAAATATAAAATGACTGCATAGTATTTATATATATTTTCACATACGTAGATGCGCGTTACTAAAAAAAAAAATGGATAATCTTGGACAAGTTAATATTTTAAACAGGTGGCCATATATTATTATAGTAAGTCATCAATGTCACCCGTGCAGTTATTTTAAATGTATTTTTAACTGTATGCAGTGCTCGAATTGGACAATTTTACGAACAGGAGCGCTTATAAAATTAAGATGCCATTATGATGCCAATATAATGGTTAATAATATAGAGAAAACTTTTTCTTTTCTTTTTTTTTTGCTTGTAAACCAGTTTTAATAATACATAAAGGAGGTAGGTATTTTTCAATAAACTGAATATAAGTCTTTCATGATTTTCCTATCAAAATTATCAAATATAGGGGCCGATAGACAAAGTTCTCAGAATCGGGCTTCATAACCGAATACTTCCTATAATAATAAGATTCCGTTTTTGCGATGACGCTTTATTTTTACCGATATCGTTTTAAAACAATTATAGATTTGTTAAAAAAAAAATATTTATTTATTTATTAATTTATTATTATTAATTTTAATCCCTTCGATTGTGATACTGTCGGAAACATCTTACCAAACGGCAAATTGTCTTAATTGCTTCCATATTAACTTATTCGTGTGAAGAATCGGTAGGAAACGAACAACAATTCAAAGTCCTATCGAATGACGAGACGATAATCTTAACAAAAAACGAAAGTCAATTTAGTAGTACAATAAAAATATTAGAAGAAAATAAAGTTGAATACCATCGGCACCAATGAAAAAGTGAAAAACCATTTCGAGTAGTATTACGAGGTATAAATCATGACTCAGATATGGGAATAATTACCAATGAACTATTTGACCAATGATAATGACCAAGGCCACGAAGTAAGCAAAATAACCAATATACAGATCAAAAAAAAATCCGATCCTAAAAACAAAAACAGCGAGTGGACATACATAAGGCTACCATTATTCTTTGTAGATTTAAAACCGCGGGAAAATAATAAAGACATATACAACATAAAACTACTATGTCATCAGATAATAAAAATAGAACCACCACGTAAAAAACAAGAAGTACCGCAGTGTAAGAACTGCCAAGCTTTCGGACACACACAGAATTACTGTCATAGATCGTCTGTATGCGTAAAATGTAGTGAAGGACACAGAACTGAAGATTGTCCAAAATCTAAAAAGACAAAAGCAAAGTGTGCAGACTGTGGTGAAGATCACACAGCCAATTGGAAGGGTTGCTCTGCTTACAAGAAAGCANAACGTTTCATACGCGCAAATGGCTAGTACTTCAAAAGTCCATCCAAAAACACCTCAACCAAAGGAAAACGAAGAATTCACTACTCTTAATGATATTCTAGTCGCGTTAACCAACGTAACGCTGACACTAACAAAAATCACAGCAAGAATGGACAAACTGGAAATAAACCAGACAAAGTCCAAAAATACCTCGCAGAAAATAAAGAAATGAACCACGCACTGCGGATCATAGCATGGAACGCCAACGGGTTAGTACAGCGCAGACAAGAACTAGAAGACCTTTTATACCGGTTTGAAAGAAACGATGCCATTCACCGCGATATGATGCTGCCTACAATAGCAGAAGAAATCCAAAAGTTTGCTCGTAAACACGAGAGGAGATTAGAGGTCCATATCAACCCAATGGCCATCGAACTGTTAGACAACTCCAAAGACATTAGACGCCTTAAACGACTGAAACCATACGATTTAGTTTAAGTGTTTAAATTAAGTACAGGAGCCACTTCATTGGAAGTGTGACTTCATCAATGTGTAATGTATATATATTATCATCTACTATGTAAGATATATCCTGTTAAACATATTTATAAAGACCATCAGGTCGTTTAAATAATAAAGCCCAAGGGCTTATTATTATAAAAAAAAAATTTAAAAAATATTAACTTATAAACTTAACATATTTACGAACCAGAATTCTAAAATTCTAATTTTAACCGACCGGAACGCCGTTCCAGTACGTTCCGGTCCATTTCGAGCATCAACTGTATGGTCGAAATATGTTTAATTAAATAATATGAATATGAATATGAATACAAATATGTATAACATAATTAAATAATAATTAATACCTTATATTTTAATTGTTAATAACTATACAGGTAAAATATCAAACGTTTAGATTTTTATAATAATTATTAGGTAAATTATATTATGGATGCACTATTTTTTAAAGTGCATAAACTAATTATCACAAAACAAATTAGCGTTGAAAACCTAATGTTTTTACTTTACAATGTCACCATTATCGAAAAAATGTCTTCAGTATTTTTTAACTTGTTATGTGAACATCAAAATGGCTTACCATTTTATAAAAATATATCATTTTGTGGGAGTCGATTTAATTGCATACGAGTGTATAAAAGTCTCTATGATCAATGGTTGTAACCAGAGGAGGTACGGCGGTCATGGCTTCCTTTATTTTATTTTAAAAATATTCTTGTTATAATCGTTTCATGTTTATGATATTATATTTTTTGTGTATGCAGTTAATTTTCATATTTTATTGACTAAGTAAGTATAGGATATTTTCAAATGTAATAAAGGAAATAAACGTGCAATTTTGGGTTTAATTATTATTTATTTGTATTTTTTTTTTTTTTTTTTTGACCACTTAGTACGGGATATAATGAAAATTTCACCACGTCTAGAAAAGGTAAAGTTTCTGTCCAAATTTTAAGTTTTTGAACTGAATCACAACAAAAAAACAAAATTTAAAATAATAAAAAGTATTTGTAATTTTCCCTTTACTTAGCCGCAAAACCACATTTTAAATATGGGTACTATAGAAACCACCTCTCTGGCATTCACAGCGGTTAAAAACCATTTTAGTACTTTTTCCACTACAGTTACAAGTACAGTTTTAATCATATTAGTCAATGAGACGATTTTTAATCACTGCAAGCGTTCACAACACTAGCATGTCCGTGGTGAAAAGTAGGTATAGGTACATTTTTTTTTTTTATATGTATTTTACAAAATTAAAATTTAATAAATAATAATAGCTAACATTCAAGTACATACCTCTAATAAGTAATAATTATTAGTAATAGCTACCTATACAACTACCATACACATATACCAAAAATATACAGGTACTTGTGTTCTATACAAATACGTCCAAATATTAAGTAATTATAAATTTATATAAGTATATACATAGGTTATTCTCGTAGATTTAAATTGATTAATATAAGTGACAATATTATCATTTGATGAATATGATTTTTACTTTCACTGTTGTGGTTGTGTTATATGCGCTACGGATTTATATGGGATACCTACCTACATAATATACCTACTTAGGTACAATTGGAATGAAAATTAATAAAAGTAATAACAACACTTATTGTGACACATACCAAATCAAAAAACATACTACTTAAGAATACTTTTTATCGAGGTAGATTTAACGTAATGAATTTAAACAGATTAGATAGATTTAACAAATTGATTAAAATTTGTTATATTGTTTTTTGACAAATGAATAATAATACTTAATAATTCATTCAAATAAAACTATACAGCATAAAAATAATGTAAATTCAACTAGTAAATAACTAGATGTTGAGTTTTGAATTTAAATATATTAGATAAGTTTAACGAAATAGTTATTTTTTTTATTTTTTGAAAAATGTATTAAAATATACCTTATTGTAAATAAGTACAAATATTAAGCAGCATACAAATGATGAAAATTCAAGTAAAAAATAACTTAACCATAGAATGAATATTCAAATTAAAATGGATAATCCTAAGCAAGGATAATATCATACTAGATAACGTTCGTATATAGATTTTATAATATAATAATATTATAAATTGTTATTATTAAATTATTAAATTGTATGAGTCACTATGTAATGAAAAAATTATTATCAATATTATATTTTAATAATATGTACCTACTAGCCTAATTAGTATTATTTAAATTAATCATATATAATATTAACAAAATATAATATGAAACATTGCGTATGTAGTGCAGAAATTTGGCCGAACGTTATTTTAAATGAAGGATTTGTTCATTTTGTTATGAAATAATACCATAATATTAAACTGTCAAGTCCATTTGAATACCGTATAATATTGAAAATATTAACATCAAGCGAATAACATTGAGCCTTGAAATGCATTGTGCTATGAACCGTACAAATCTGGAAGTCTACTGTTTATTTTATATTTTAATATTTTATACACTCTTTATATCATATGCCTATTCGAAACTTATAAACTCATGATTACCTACGATTTTGTTTTATACTTCTAAATATCGATACCTTAACATTTTTAAATGTGCACGGTTTATTCAATTACTTAATTTAAATTGCATAGTTTGAATAAAATAGACCTATATTATACTAGGTATTAAAATATAAAGAAAATTATATAACATTACGATTTGACAAATGTAGTGCGAACGAAGGAAGTTGACATATTTCTTTATTTACTCTGGTATATACAAGCCTACAAACCTATATATCTATTTAATCCTATGCAGTATTATTATTTTTAACTTTAACGAAAGGATAACATTTATAAAACAATTCATTAAAAAAGGCGATTTACTACATAAAAACGAAATTGTCTTTTGAAAATCATTTTACCTAATAAAATTAGATAAAAGTTAATTATGTTTGTAATAAATATTTTTAAGAGAGCAACTCTTCTGATGAACAGACACAAACACATCCTCAAACAGTAGTCGAATTTCCTCATATTCATTTTGTATTATGTATTTACGGAATTTCATCATTCTGGTATCGATTGAGGGCATATGGATGTTTAAAGCTAATAAAACGAACATCTTCCCTTAACAAGATAAAATTTAACATAACTTTTATTACTTTAATCTACCTAAAAAACAACTCTAATTCTCGAGTTTGAGATTGTTTAGTCCAGATAAAGTCACTAGAAGTAACCAAATATAGGTGGTAAAAAATACATTATATTATTGTGTTATAAAATTATATATAATTTAAAGAACATAATAAATGGGCAATAGCTTCTAATTTCGACGAAAATTCGATGCATACATAATCAGAGTACAATCCTCGGTAAAACATAATACATTATTCGTTACGCTTAGCAGTGATAAATTAAAACAAAGCAATTTACCGGTTACAAGTAGAAGGGATTTGCCGCCCCTTTATCATTACATTAAGGGTTTTTTTTTTTTTTTTTTTTTAAAAAAAAGCATAAATAAATACATTGTTAATTAAATTATTATTTACTATTTAAAACTACATACAAAGTAGCCAGAGATGAACGGGTTGTTTTAAAATTGTTACATTAAGAAGGCTAAATTTTAAAGTGAAAAACATTTTAACAGACATAAAGTAAATTTGTTCAATCAATATCATTTTGAAATTTGTTAGGATGATTTAAATGTGTAGTTATCTAGCAATTACGTGTACAAAACTTATTAAATTGGTTTGTATTTGAGTATTTGATATTCAGTTTAAATATAATTTAATAATCATATTGTTGTGTGTCACATATGAAGTATAAATATCAATTTATTTAATTACAATTTGTAATTGTTTTTTCTTACTATTAAACAGAAATTAATGCATAATAGATATGTACCTTAAAAGGAAAACAATTTGGAATAAATAATAGCTAGGTACCTAAGTAAATTATATAATATTATAATTGATATTAGATATACAAAATATTAGATATAAACTATAAACTAGGTATTTTAATTACTATGTATAATATGTTTAATGTTAAGGGAATTAATTAACCATTTGCGTCAAAAAAAAAAAAGGTACTTTTTTCGACCGCCCATTTGTGTCAAATTTACCTGTGTATATTACACGATTAAGTATATTGCACGTAATATTTTAATTTTACTTATTTATTAGTTATTTTATATAACATTTTTTTTTTTCTTGAATAATACTAAATAAATATAGATTTTTACTAAAACAACGTTTACATGATAGTCAATTATTATTATTATTATTTTTAGCACTTAAATAAATAGGTATTACACAAATTTTAATACACATGTATAACAAATACATTTTTACGATAATTATCAATAAATATACAAATTGTTTTCAAATAAATAATAATATTCAAGAACCCAAATTTTTATTCAAATTTTTTTAAAAAGTAATTTTGAAAAAAGACGTCTTAGGATAATGGGGGTGGGTGCAGCAGCTGTTATAGGTAATTTAATGTATATCTGTTGGCAACGATTAACTATTGCTAATGAAAAAACAATTCTGAGCGGAGTTTAGTTGATAGTGATGCTTTGTCAACAATATATATGTCATATTATAGTAAAATAATTAAATAAGCTCTACATATTTTCTTTAATAATATTTGTACCGATTTCCTAGGTTTTACAATGTTTTTCCCATAATTTTTCCCAGTTTTTCACATTTGTTAGGAAAACTCCAGAGAAAATTCGAAAAATGGCTTTCTTAAAGTACCTCCCCACACCAATTTCCTTTTAAAAAAGGTGTTATACATAAAAATCAAGCAAGTCCTCTGGTAGAAAAGTTATCTACAGGAAAAAAAAAATAAATAAAAATAAAAATCTTTGTAAACTCATAAGCTTCTTCGCTCCACTCAAAATCTAAAGTTTGTATAAACACAAAATACTAATACTAAACTAACCTAACCTAATCTTTATTGTAATTAAATGCCACTATTTTTAAATATTCATATCGCGTTAATTTTTTGTTTTTATGATTTTTAATTGCTTTTAAAGTTTTGTTTAATCGGATTTTAATATTTTAATATGCAAATTCTTTGAATAGCTGGGATTATTATTTATTACTGCTCTTGATTTTAATATAAACGTCTGTTTGAACGAATTTAATTAAAATTTCTAAAAATGTAAAAATATTAGAGTGTGATTTATAATATTGTTCATTAAAGTGGGTTGAAGGTAGGAAATTGGGAAAGTAGGATATAGATGGATGTTTAATATATATCCGTAAGCAACCATTAACCATTGCTAACGAAAAAACGATTCTAAGCGGAGTTCAGTTGATAGTGTTACTTTGAAATAAATATCATTGTAAAACCATAAGCTTCTTGGCTTCACTCAGGATCTATAATAACTTTCTTATAATGTACGTAATCATGTACCTAATGATGTAATATACGCAGGTAAATTTGGCGCAAATAGGCAGTCGGGAAACGAGTACCTTTTTTTATTTTGGCGCAAATGGACGATGCCTAATGATAATGGTCCATCTTGTTCCAATTAAAAAATGACGACACTGTTTACGTTGAAATTTAGATTAAGTGAGTGAATAAATTAGATCATTTTTTGATTTTATTAATGATTTTATTATTATAATTGGGAAAACTATAAAGAAAACATGGTATACACTTAAATTCTGTTATGATATCGTTTACACAGTAAATTTATTCGTTTTTCTTTTCGGTTTTCCATAATTACTATAAAACTACTTTGAAAATAAAAAATGACCTAAATAACCTGTCATGGTTTGATTTATGCAAAATTTATGGTTGCAAAATTGTTGTACAAAGACGATAAACCATTGCTATCGAAAAAAAATTCGAAGCGAAGTTTGGTTATACATATTTTGAAAGGATATAATATTAACGATTTCATCAAACTTTGATTTTATAACTTTTATAAAAAAGAAACTAAATAACACAAATTTTTTTATCACCACTACGTAAATTCATAATGAATCACCTGTTAAATTTTCAAGCATTTCTATTTAGTCAAACAATTTTATCCAAAGAGTATCTAACAAATAAAAATTACGTAAAAAAACTCTCAAAATTAAAATGTTTATAAAAAGCTCAGAAATGGCTCAAATTTTTTTTTTTTAAAAATTGCACCACGTCTAGAAAAAATAAATGTAAGTTTTCTTTAAGTTATATTTTTAACTGAATTACAACAAAAAACAAAACTGAAAATAATAAAATCATAATTTTTGTAAATTGTCCCGTTCTTTCTAGGTTTTTTTTCGGTTTTGCTCAACTATTAAAAACTATAAGAAAAATCAATGTACTGACTAGAAAAAATTTTCTTTCAGGAAAAGTGCTATTACGCTGCACATTGGAGAAAAATGTCTGGTAGAAAAATTGTTCACAAACACAAAAGATTACAAAAACACACACATGGTAGAAACCAATACTTTCCTCACTACGCTCAGAATCTAAAACAGGCAGATAAATAGGCAGGTCGATAATATAATTGTATATCCACTTGTAATTTTAACAAATATATGTTAAAATCACGGTTAAAATATTATACATAATCACATCTATAATTATACGTGAAATGTATTTGTTTTACAATGATGTTTATTTTTATTTTATTTATTTTTGTCTATGGAGAACTTTTCTACCAGCAATTTTGTATTAATTTACAATGATAGCACTTCTTCTGAATAGAAATCTGACTAGGGGGTACTTAACGAAGGTTATTTTTTGATTTTCCCAATAAATGAGAAAAAATATGGGAAAACCGGGAGAAAAAATACAAAATTAAACAAATATTATTAAAGAAAATAAATAATGCGTATGTAATTATTTTACCATAATGTGACATATACATATATATATATATATATATATTGTTGACAAAGCAACTGCATAAACCGAATTCTGCTCAGAATCGTATTTCGTTAGCAACGACTAATCGTTCGTACAGATAAACATTAAATTTTCCTCTACCTTCTCAATTTCTTACCTACAACATTGGCCCACCCACGTGCGAAGTATGTCAGTTTTTTTTCTCTGTAAATCATATCTATTTTTATAATATCGGTATACAATACATACATATCGAAAGTATAACTCTAGTTCATATTATGGTTGTTTTGTATGTACGACAATTTATAATATTGTTTTGATTTTTTTTTTTAATTTAACCAATTACCATTTAAGACTAAACAATTTTAATTTATCGCAGTGATCTTATCGATGACAATGTTTTTTTGATAAAACAAAATTTAATTAGGAATATGTCAATATTTAGTATATATTTCACTCAACACATTCCCATTATAATTGAAATGTATAAGTTATAATAATGAGAAAAATATATTTTTTTAAGTGTAAATTATTAAATACAATTCTCGGTGTGCACAGAATTAAAAACCCGCTTTTGCTTTTTTTTTGTTTTTAACTGTGAACAACTTTTCTATCAGAAATCTGGTTCCGATTTTCAAGTGTAGTACTTTTGAAGGGTAATGTTCGGGAGGTCATACTTTAGGGACCTCAATTTTCCCAAAGGTTATCATAATAATTGGAAAAAAACGTAGAAAAAACCGGAAAATTTACGAAATGTGTAATTTTCAAATCGTAAAAATGACGGCCTTTCAAAACATGTATAATCGTTTTCCGCTCAGAATTGTTATTCGTTAGCAACATTTAATCGTTGTGTTCAAATGTACATTCAAATTTCCCTTCTATCTTCCCAACTTTTCACCTACAACAATGACCCACCATACGAAGTATGTTCGTTTGTTTTTAACAACACAATAGTATAATAAAAAATTTTGCATTCAACAGTTATAAACACTAGGTATTTCATCATTTCGTGACTTTAGGACGGTGTTTTTTTTTTTTGATTTAAATCCTTTCCCCTAACCTATTAAAAAATCGAATGTACTACAAAAATCAACCCGATCAGGTAAAGAGGATATTTATTTTGATTTCTAAAAATAATATTATTATAATTAGATGGCGATTTATCGTATGAAAATAGCGACTTACCCCGTTCAAGAACGTAAGGTATTTGAATTTACCGCCGAACGCATCGTCGATCGGGTTCACGCTAGAGGGTATGTTGACATGCACGTAGTTGAAATAAACGGAATAGACGAACACGAGGGATCCGATCACGTGTACGGCGATGTTGACCGCCGGTAAATACGTCGTCAAACCCATGGCGAAATAATATCTCCACGGAGACGTGTGTTCCACTATAACTGAAAAGAATTGCGGACAATAGTGTTGTGATATTTTGCAGGGACCGTTGCAATTATAACAATACCGATGGAAAAAAAAAATAAATACCGAAAATCGACAAGCGACGAAAATAAGACAAACGCACAAAACAGACGATACTGAACCACTGACCCGTGTTTATCCGTGTGATCGCATGACCAGCCGTCGTCACGTCGCAGTCCTCTCTGGCGCCGCCGTGCAGCCGTCCGAGAGGGTCGCGTGCTACGAACGTACCATATGCGCGTGCGTGTAAATCGATGTCCACTGCGAGGCGGTACGGTGCGGTACGGTGCGGTACGCTGACACCGAGTCTTTCGTCCCCACTGCTGACACGTCACTACGGCACACCACAGAGTATGTAATTCTTACTCTATGCTGCACACTGACAATGCACAGTTTGTCACGTACATGGCGATTGTATTTAATATTTATCGACGTCACACGGGTACGCAAAGGACAGGACAGGATCCCATTTCGCGCAAGGATGCCCACGGATAAAACTCGAAGGGAGAGAACCCAAAATCTCCATAAAATAAAAATCATTACTATTTTAATTCTATTGTTTTAACAGACAATAATAAATTATAATTTATTTTAAACTGTAATCTGTATTCATAATAAAACATAAACCGTTTTCCATTTAAATTCTTAAATTTTAAACAAAAACTGTAATTTTCTACGGACTTCCAAAATTAAGGGTACTCCCCTTGTCATTCTACTGCTACCCCTACGAACGCTCCTGCTTTTGCCTACCTACTACTGATAATAGTAATTAATTATTTAATTATTTTCTCAAGAGTTTTGCGTCTATTAACAACTTTTGATCAGAAATGAAGACAAATTATTTTTCTTTATATAGTTGATAATGGGGAACAGTGAAATATACCCGATATCTAACGGCTTCTGTTAATTTCGATTTTGCCTCACAACGATGTTTATTTTTTATACTGTTTTCCAAATTGCTACTAGAAATCTTATTTCGATTTTCAAGTGTAGTATCTTTTCTAAAAGGAAATCGTATCTAGATAGTACTTTTTGGAAGTCTTTTTTACAAGCAGCTTTCATAATATTGTACATAATGTACACAAATAATGCTTTTATTATTTTAAATTTTGTTTTTTTGTTGTAATTCACTTGAAATTTGGACAGAAAACTTATTTTTGCATTTTTAAGACGTGGTAAAATTTTCAAAATATTTTAGCCATTTTAAATTTGAACTATTCGTAGACATTTTAATTTTGTGAGTTTTTTACATAATTTTTATTCAGTAGATATTCGGTGGATATAAAATTGTTAGACCAAACAATAATGCTTGCAAATTTGACAGGAGATTTGTTAACAACTGTACTCAGTGGTCAACAAGAAGAAGTTGAACTTAATGTAGTATTTTTTTCCTGAGAATCTTAATATCATATTTTGACGAAAATCGTAAATAATACGGCCTTTTAAAATATGTATGACCAAACTTCGCACAGAATCGTTATTTTTTGTTTACAATGACTATAACTTGTATAGGTATTTAAAATAATATAATAAATATTATTTGCTATGGCCAATGTTTTACGTAAATTTACATAACTGATCAACAAGCAAATCTAGTTTTAACGAATAACAGGTAGGTTCAGAATAATATGTTGTAAGATTCAATGTGGTTTGACGAGTTATTATAAAAATATTACAAACGTAATAACGTAAATATAAATGGGCCATAATAATACGTATCGAAATCTACACATGCGAATTTCTACTTTATTAGTTACATTCGAAAGTACACACATGTTTTACTATATTATTACGTTAATTGGATTTTTACACTTAAAAACAACATATTTTTTTAACCAATAAAATTTGACGTCGCCAAATAAAAAGTAAAATTTTTTTTTTATTAAGATCTTTTAGTTAGAAGTATAATATTATTGTCCCCTGAACTTCGACAAACATTTCTTAGTTCTTAAATAATAAAATATAAAAAAAAAAAATATTAAAAATTTTAAAAAAAATCGCACAATTCATTTAAATAATAATACGTATTAAGGTACGGTTTCCAACCCGCGACTGGTCGTTGCGGCTGGCTGCAACGATTTTACGCAACAACTGATCGTTCCGTGTGTATTGGTTTCCTACAATACGACTGAATGCTGCGACTAGCATTTATTTTTAGTTTAGTTTAGTTTAGTTCAATATTTCCTAGTACACACGCGTATTTTTTTTTAATTTGTCATAACAGATCACTAATAATGAAATAATCATAAATTTATTAGAAGAGGGGGAAGAAGAAGTAATAATTTTAGACAAACGTTGAATTCGGTTTTTTTATCCGTACATTACCGTGGCTGCATCCGAATTAATCCCCATGCCTAAATATGTTAATTTAAATTGGTTTGCGAGTTTTTAAGAAAGTTGTATCCCTATATAGTATAGGTAACATACTATTACATTCGAATTGGTTCCTGATAAAAACTTTAAAAAAATGCGAAATGCAATGTATATAGGAAATATGTGAAATAAGCGAAATTACGAAGTACGATGGGTGGATCACTATTGTAAATGAGAAGTTGGGCAGTTAAGATATAGTGGGGAATTGTATGTATATTTGTAAGCAAAGATTAGCAAAAATGGTATTATTATTAAGTTTTTATTACGAGGGTTGTCCCAAAAGTAATGCACAATTTGCTCTGAATAAATAAGTTTTTATTTTAAACTAAATACAATATTATAGACCTTCGATATAATCTCCCTGCTTGTCTATACACGATTGCCATCGTTTCGAGAGCGCTTGAATGCCGCATAGGACGCCATCTTTGTTGAGTTCACGGATCCTTCGGCTCACTTCTTCATTTAGTATATCTAAGTTGGAAAAACGGATCCCTCTAAGTGGTTCCTTCAGTTTTGGAAATAAATCAAAGTCCGGGGGACTTAAATCCGGCGAATACGGTGGGTGTTTGAGACGTTTCCATCCATATTTCTCCAAAAGAGCGACGACTGGTGCTCCGATATGCGGCCGCGCATTATCGTGCAATATGGACACACCATTTTGTAACATTCNTAACCGTAGAGGGTCGGCCAGAGCGAGGGTTGTTATCAATACTTATACGACCATCACGGAATCGCTGATGCCATCTTTGCACCGTACTACGATCCACAGTATGCGTTCCACACACTTCATTTAACGCGGCATGAATTTCAGGCACTGTTTTACCACGAATCGTTTCGATTTCAATGTATGCGCGTTGCTCAAAAACAGAAATGTGAGCCGACAAATTGTTCTCACTTTCGTTATCGCTCTCACACATCATCATACTTTACTAAAACAACTAAAACTGAAAACGCACGTGTTCTTTAGACTTCAAGCTACAAACTGATACTAAAATCAGCTGATAATATCACATTGCAAGACAGCTAGAGCGCGCTGTGCATTACTTTTGGGACAACCCTCGTATTTTAATCTTTTTTAAACAATTATTGTTGTTATGGAAACGCACATTGTTGTAATCATTTTACCATAAATGATATATATCATATATTGTATTTTTAACAAAACAACACTATCAACTGAACTCCGCTTAGAATCGTTTTTTTCGTTAGAAATGATTTATCATTGCTTATAGATATACCGTCTATATTTTACCTTCCCAGCTTCCCACTTACAACAGTGACTACACCCACGTGCGAAGTATGTCCGTCCATTTTATCAAATGATTTTCAACAAAATTTGATATTAAAATTCCTTTATAAAAAAAAACTACATTTACAACATTTTTTTTTTTATCAAAAAGTACGGCTTTTAATGTACGTTCTGTTAAGTTTTTAAGCATTTCTGTTTATATAGTGCAACAATTTTACCACAGAGTACCTACCGAATAAAAATAACGTACAAAACTCACAAAATTATAATATCTATAAAAAAGTCAAAAATTGGCTAAACTGTTTTGAAAATTTTACATTTAAAAAAGGGAAATATAAGTTATCTGTACAAATTTCAAGTCTACGAATATTTTAAGTAATTTTAACTGAATTAAAAAAAAACTAAATTGAAAATAATAAAAGCATTATTTTCGTAAATTTCCCTGTTTTTCTTACGTTTTATCCTGAGTTTTCCCAGATAATATGAATACCGCTTGGAAAATCAAAAATATTACTTCCCTAATGTTCTATCTAAACAAAATTTCAGAAAAGGTGCTACATTTACATATCTATAGCATTAAGTTAGTTAAGTAGCTCACCAAAAGTGTGCGTTATATTTTTGTTAATTAAAACCTTAACTCAAAAAAATCTTAAATTTATTATATTCTACAAGAGCTGTTAAAAAAAACTATTTTATGGTAAATGATGTATTATATGGTATCATTCTCCTCAAACATTTATTTGGATTATGTAAAGATTATAAAAAAAATACTACATAATTTCAACCAACTAATTTTAAATTGAGCGTCTACAGACTTTGAATCACTTTGCGTTATAAGAGTAGCAGCTTCACAAAATATTTATAAGAATAAAGAAGTGAATATGGAATTGAGTACAATTTTATGGAAAATGCCTGTTATTCGAGTCAACGATTCAGATAAATTAAAACTTTTTAAATAATTAGACTCTCGTAAAGCACTCGCGGACGAGATTTAGAACCTGGGACTTGTGTGAATATTCAGTCTTACTGATAAATACTTGTCATTCATAGATGGTTAAATATAGCAGTTTATTGGAGAAACCGAGGTTTGCTACCTATCGTCTTGGTTCGATCATTGTAACCTTAAAAATCTCAAGATTCACTTAAACTCTGAGGTGTGCTCATACAATGATTTCTGTCTACGCTTTAAAAATAATAATACAGCTATATTGTATAAGGTGTATACATATATTCAAAAACCGTATTTTGACAGAGAATCTAGTGCACCCTTGTTGACGAGAAACAAGTTTTCCTCATACTCGCTGATTGTAACTATGGATTTATCGCAGCAAAACGATAACGTGAAATCATCGACCGTGGACTTGCGTATTGAATTTGAAACAAATGTTACGGTTCCGGAAAAGACTTATTGTCTAATTTTACACGACTAAATTATTACGTATAACGCGTTTAACGGAGACGTGCAAAAATTATAACTTTGTTATACAAAACCTTATTTTATAAAACTTATAATATAACTAATACTATGAATAAATGAAACTGATTTTTTTTTATGTAAATAATTTGTTTTTTATATCATATGATTTTAAATACAAGTTATTTTACAATTGTATCTCATAATGGGATATATTATATTCTTCTTCCTCCGACGAATTGATATATTGTGGATCATATGGTCCATCGTTGTGGTCAAATCTCTCTTCCTTTGCGTGTGTGTAAATATAGGTTTTAAATGTATGTTATATAATCAAAATCGTTAAATCGACAAACTTTAAATGTCTATAATTTTAAAACTAATGACTTGCGTCAATTTTTTTTTTTGCATTATCGTTTTCAGTGTTAACAAGTTCATTAGAATAAAAAAAAACCTAAAATTTAGGGTGCCCCATAATCTAGAAATATTCCTACCTAAAGGAAAAGTAATATTTAAACTAACTGTTATGTGCAGGGTTGATTCCAGGTTTAAAGGTCTTTTGTATATTTTTAACTTTTGTTAGATAAAATTATCTACCTAGCAAACACTGATTATGTATGTTAGATATCTAATAGACCAACCCATCCTAGATATAAGAATAAGATGTAAACGTAATATATAGGCAGATGTCGATAATAAATCTTTGGCACCACTTTATTAATCTATTAAAATACATACAGGAATCGTCTGACTCATGACAAAATCTCGCATGTCATTTTTATCAAATTTTACCAAAGAAGCAAAAAACTCTGGTATGCTTAACTATTACACTATTTTAGATTCTGAGCGTAACGAAAGAGCTATTGGTTTTTCAATGCTGTTTAATTTTTCTTCTTTACATTTTCTTTGTTCTAGTCTGTGGACAAGTTTTTTCCTAGTAAACTTATTCCAATTTTTACGTGTAACAACTTTTCCGAAATCTCAAGTTGTCTAGATTGTATTTTGTGTCATTATTTTGATTTTCGACACTATTTTTTTAAATAAAAGCACTAAAATGGGGAAAAAGTAGAAAAACGTACAATTTCACGATTTCATTATTTTATAAAAACACGAACGACGTCTTCTATCAGAAAAAATGATTTAATCGAAAAATCACAAGACACCTTTTTTGTTGTCTTTTTAATTTACTTTTTGCGCTCGGAATCGTTTTTTCGTTAGCAATGTTTTGTCGTTAGTTACAGATATATATGAAATAACCTTATGTATCCTACCTTCCCAACTTCTCACCTAAAACAGTGGCCTCTCCCATTCTCAGTATCAACTCTTTTTTATAACATACCTGCAGTTAACATGTTTTCTACCAGAAATCTTGCTCCAATCAAAAGATTAAGAGACCGTTTGCGTTACATTTTGGTTCTTATTGACGAGTCAGTGGGTCGGGTATTGATTGTCTAATCATTTTTCATAATGATCGGAGAAAAACCAGAAAAAAGACGTAAAATAAAATCGGACAAATTTTCGGCGCAAACAATTTCGTTATTTACAAATTTTTCCCAATTTTATGAAACCTGAGAAGACTGCCGACTTGACGAACACGCGAAGCGATTACTTTATTATTTCGCAGTATGCGGGAGTGACTATGTTTAACAATATAATTACGCTCCTAACGGGTTTTTTTTTTTTTTTCTATTAAATTTATCAAAACTGACTTGTCAATAAGTACACCATGAAACAATAACTGAATTGTTTGATTTCCTATTCATTAAATTATTAATACATCAAAATAATTATAAATAGTGATAATTTTATTTTATTAATTAAATATTACCCTACAATGATTATAGTTGTGATAGCCTTCTGAAATATCAGTAGTAGTGGTATTTGAGATAACTTGTTAAAATTTTGCAATTATTATAATCATTATTATAATTTATAACCAATTGTATTACATATATAAAGTTGTTATAAGATTGAAGTTCCTTAATTTTTCTAGATAGTTTTCAAAAAGCATACTGAGCATATACAGCTATGATAAAAAATAGTACAGTAATTAGGTAATAAGAAATGTCTGAATACCTTGATATTTCCAATTTTTCCACACGTATGACTATCATGATATTATATTTGAATTAGTAGTTACCTTAAATGCAAATGGGTACATTCTGTAATTTGGGTCCTATCTACCGAAACAATTTTTTTCTTTACAGTCATGTTCCATGAACATACAAATGGGTATATTTAATAATATACCTACTAATTAAACAATTATTTGTATGTTTATTACATTGTATTATATTTGATAAAGAAGTCTATATTATAATCTGTAACAATAAATTTAAATAACTTAATTTAAAATAATTTTGAATAAATATAGGTAATTTTATTGTAAGTATTATGCTATTATGCTCAAATTATATAAAATACTTACCAACTGTTAAATTAATATGGAATGACATAGGTAGGTATTTTAATATGGTTTTTATGTAATGGATTACAGGATTTTTTTCCCCCGAGGTTTTAAAACAAATGAGGGGGTCACTCAAATAAACATACATTTTCAACTTAAATAGCAACCTTACAGATCTGTGGTAGGTATTGTGAAATTAATTGTCAATTGTTGGTGGTATTTTTAGGACCGTAAACACAAGGCAGTAGATATAAAAAAACGTAGTAATTAATTTATGATTTAATATTATATTTTGAATTCATTAGTATTCCATTTAATATAATAGTACTTGTACAACGGTATTTGGTTTGGTTTAGCAATAAGGAAAAGTAGCTTGGCTTGAGCGTCTGGGAACTCAGATGGAGGAGCGTTTGAGGATAATATGAGTTTATGATTTATTTTATTTAAACCAGGTAAGTGTTTCTTATCGTGGAACAATTTGACCTTTTTATACACCGAAGATAATTTATAATTAGCGGTATGTGAGCCAGAGCATAAAGCACATTTAGCCGGTAAATTGCACGACTTGTTGCATTATTCGGTTAAGTGGTCCAGGCTACACTTAACGCAGCGAGGAGTGTGTGAACAATAACGAAGCGTGGGCCCGTATGATTAGTAGTCCTTACATTGTGGCTGATGTTGAATTTTCTTTGGTTTTTCGACTTTAAAATAAAGCAGTTTTGTCAGTTTAAAAATGTCCATGTTAAACTCATTAGCAAGATTAACAGTGAAAAGTGACATCGGCAATTTGCTGGTCCTATTTAAAATAGTAATTGTAATTGTAATTTGGTTGATAGGTCTGAGACCGCATGATAAAATAAATGTTAATAATTTGTAAGTTTATTTTGTTATGACTGATTAGATCAAACAAAAACTGATTTGGCGCTATTTATTCAACCAATGAAAAACGGCAGAAATTGGACGCCATTTTTGCAAAAACTCACATAGGATTCGTATGTTGCTGACATAAATGTTTATTTTATTTAGAAATTTTTTGGCCCAACTGTGCTTCAACATTTTTATTGAACGGCCACCACAATCGTAAATTCTGTAACCGTAATTGAGACAATTTATATTCGGCACGTCGTTAATATTATTGTACTAGTGACAACAACAACCCTGTATACCAACCGTAATAATTACCATGGCAAAATAAATAGGTATGCTATCATCAAATCGTATTTTAGACGAGAATGCGCACCCCTCCCAGAACTGTGACGTAGTCCATAGACATATAAAAGATATTATTCTTTTATATGCGTAAGCCTTACGTTCTTAGAAGGTTCAGAATTACAGAATACCAATGTATAATAATATAATAATTATAAATTAATTTAAAAGCGGAGAACGAATGACGTCACGTTTGTGCAGAGGAGAGCCCGAATGTTGCGTATCACAAAGTTAATATCATACCTATTTTTCTTTTCATGATAACTAGTAACTACCATACATCTATTTCGTCCTTAAATTTATTGCCATAGTAACTACACTGTTATTATTATTAAAGGGCGAATTATTGTGTTTGGTGTATTGATTATTATTTCTTTTTTAATAGGTATAAAGTACAGCTTTGTATTTAACGATTGTTCGTCGCCAAAATAACTAATTAGTATTTATAATGATTTCCGCTGTTTTGGATGAAGTTTATGCTGCCAATGAATTGTCACATATGTAAAAAAATTATAAATAAGAAAAAAAACACCATTTTTGTAATACCTACTTTTTTATTATTGTTTTGTAGTCATGCCGAAATCAACGATGATTTCCCCATTAATACTGACATAGCATGGCTAGTTATTGAAAATGCAAATTATGAAACTCGACCAATTAGAAGAACAAGAAAAAAAAAAAAAGTATGTGGTGATTATAATTATTAAAAACTAGTCCATTTAGTATTCTGTTAAAAATACTAATCAAACTTATGTATAACAATTTTAATTTATTTGTATTCATTTTTCAGGTATCTTCTGAATTGTTTATACAAAATTCTCCATTTTATTCGTGTAATATAGTGAGTCAGGTATTATTAAAGCTTGCTAAACAATTTAAGAATGTCGAAGAAATTGGTTTCAGTGAATATTAATATAGATAGTACTAATTTGTATACTTATATACACATTTTAACAGCACTCACTTGCATATTTTTCATATTCCTAAGGTAGATTAATACAATATTTATTATAATCCATCCTGCATATACCAATATATAATAATTAATATTTTGATTTTGATGATAATAATTCACATAATATATTACATAAAAAATTAAACTGTAATATTCATACACACAATGGCTACATAAAAAGAAAATATATCAATATGTTAATGACCTTGGTTCGTATTTTACAATAGTAATTAGTGGAAACCTATACAGATATTTTGTACAGAATTTAGTAATAAATTATTTATACTATCAGTATGATGATACATAGACATCATATAAAATAATTGAGTATCATCATCATCATGTCAGGAGGAAGAATGCTAATCTGTGACACATCAATTATAAATATGATTATATATCTATGGTGAAGCGCAGATGACAAGTATCCTGTAATTGATAAAGCGCTTACAACAAGATAGGCTTTGCAACACTCACTGGTAATAAATGCTTTATGTATTGATTAATTAGCGCTGGAATTAAGATTCAGTTGACATTTTTTTCTAAAACTTGCTATGTAATGCTTGTATTGGCATAAATTTAATTCACATACTTTTTAAACAATATAAGAAAGTTTATTTTGTATTTTTTGAAAAATGTTGGTGTTTAAGTGATTTTTTTTAATTTTTTCTGAATTTTATTTTAATAGTTTGTTGTGTTTTTTTATAAAAACATAAGCAACTATTAAGTAGGTATTCATATTATATAATACGATAAAATATATATTATCAGACAATAATAATTTCTGGCCCGATGAGAATCAACATGAGATCATAATTCGTAAGGTCCTTTTTTGCACTGAATGATGTAAATACCTCCCAAAAACTAAAAATCTGTTGTTTAAGTCAAAAATCCACTTTGTTCTTTTTGTATACATCAAATCATAATAAAAAAGTGCATTTATAATTTTCAGGGCATACAAGCATTTTTATGGTTTTATAGGGCAATTTTACATTTCTAACCAAGTAATAATACTGCCATCTTATATTTAATCTATAATTTATCCTGATGGCTTGTTTTAAATAAAATATATTTATAATAAAAATAGTTTTACTTTAAAAATAATTGTTTATTAACATAATTGTGATGGTTGGAAATCAGTTTGTCTTGTGATTATTCAAACACAACAAAAGTTGTGTAAATGATGCCACCACCATTTTTAAATACTAATATAAGTAAACAGTATGTGTGATTTCAAATTTTACAATCAATTTCAATAATGTACAGAATACATAAAAAAATATAATTAATGTTCACAGAATAAAAATAGTCTGTATTAAAAATCTTATGTAATAAAATAATGTCTAGTTATTTTACATTCATGTAAATGATCATAACATTTTCAAGTTATGTAAAAATAATAATAATACAAATTATAAATCAACTCCCAAAGAAGATCCTAACAGACTTTTTAACCAAATTCTTGAATCATATGAAGGTTGTTCACCACCAAACTCTGAAGGTAGAATATCTCTTGGAAAGTATTCATGTAGAGTATTCAAATTCAAACCATGCATAATTATCTAGTCAACAAGCAATTAAATAATAGTTAATATTTATTTATCCCATAATAATATAATATATATTTTTTATACCTATTTAATTAATATGTTTAGGTAAAATGACAAATTTAAATTATAATGTGTTACCTTATTTTTTGTTTTTTCTTTTAAAAACGGTTTGATGACAGACATGACACCATCAATATACCATGGTTGGTTAATGAAATGAACTGCCTTTATTTTTGCTGGAAAGCTATCTTGTAACCCGTGGAGCATTACACGCAATAATCTTGGATTGATGTTCATTGTTTGACGAGCAGTAAAATTGGTCCAGTCAACAATAAATACAAAACCATTATACTGAGTGTTTACATCCTGGATCAAATTTTCTAGAGATACTAATAGTGATCTATATATAGTTAGTAAACAATAACGCTCAGTGTTCCATTGGGAACAAACCATAAAAAGAACACGACGACTTCGCCTATAAATCAAAAAACACTTACATCAGAAATCTATTATTTAAAAAAAAAAATTTGATGACATCTTCAATCATTACAAATTTATAAAAAATAAACTGTAATAACCTATCTAAATTTGGCAGTACGGAAGGAAAACCATCTTGAATAGCCATTTGTATCTTAGGATCATATGGTTCCAATTGACGAAACCATAAATCATGATCTTTTCTAAATTGATAATATTTTTGAATTAAGTCCAATGCTTTGCCCTCATTCATTTTTCGTGCATACAAAAACCTCATTATAAATGCTTCTTTATCATTTTCTATAAAAATAGACTCGTTCTATATTAGTCAATCATATTATATAAGCATTTAACTTGTACTTATCAATTGAAAATTATAAGCAGTATGTAATGGTAAAAAAAATTCTGTTGGCTTCTTTCACTAAATGACTCCCAACCTCATGTAAATATAAATTGTAAATATTAATAAATGCCTACACATTTTTAATTTTCATACCGCGCATATGAAGGCATAGATTGAAAAAAGTTTGTTTTAATTAAATTGGGGGGAAAGGTTTATAATGTAAATAATATTGATCACTGAGAAATATGTAATCTACAAATTAACAGGATGTCCCAAGAAGATATACCTATTGTAATTTCTCCGAAGATAATAAAGACTAAAATATTAAATTTAAATTTCAATTAATTTTTTATGTCTTCATAAAAAAATTAAAAATAACTGATCTTTTATTCTAGAAAAATTGTATAGTTTATTCTTCTAAAAATGTTGATATATTTTCATTAAATTTATGATTTTCAATAATTTTTTAAGACCAAAAAAAAAAAATCTACAGTCAAGTAGCCATAAAAATAGTAATAATAATCAATTATGCAATTATAGCAAGCTGCATAGTTACAGATACTTTTCTATCCCAGCAATGTTAACAAAGGTCCATCATGTTATTTAGACGAAAAAAAAAAAGTACATTTCTTTTCTCTTAAATTTACAACATTTATTAAAAATCACAAATTTAATGAAAATATATTGCTAGACATAAATTTTCAGAAAAATGGACTCTATAAAATGGCAATCTTCAAATTTTTCAAAAATAATAAAATAAAGTGATTCTTTTAATTTTATTTCCAAAATATAAAAATTTAATTCAAATATAAATATTTATATTCCTTACCCTTGGGATTATAAAAAAATATATATACATATAGAATTTGATTATATTAAATACCTCAGAAGATATTGTAATGGGTATATGTAAATTATGTAAATAAATATTATAATAAATTGATTTGAAATATTAATTTAGGCAGGTAATAAAATAGTGAGATAATCTCTCGCTTAATTTTATTATCGTTACCATATTATTTCATTTGTTTTTTACTTTATCAAGAGATAAAAAAAAAAAAACAAATCATATGTACCTTAAAATGTACTATTATTATTATTATTATTATTTTTTTATTGAATGAGAATGATTCAGGCGCATTTAGCCATCTAAATTATGTTAATGCTACTCCCTCCCTTTAAAAAAAAACAAGTAAATACTCACACCATTAATTATAACCTCTAACAAAATTACAAGGTTAATATAGAAAGACTATTTATCTACTTTTCCTAAATTCTTTCTCTTTTTTTCTAAGCTTCAAAATACATTTTACCAGAATTTTTCAATATCTTTAATTAGAAATTACTATGTTTTATTTAGTTAATTAGAACCTATACTTGTACAATTAAAATACAAATATAAATAGGTACCTAAGTACACTTAACCTTACCGGCTAGAAAACCAAATCCATTATTCTTGAGCAATCTTTTTAGTCTTGACAAAGCTTCAGTAGGCGTATTTTTCTTTATAGTACGGTTATGCAAAGGCTCGGGGAATAATTCGACACCATAATTGAAATGTAAAATATTTTCCATATTATTATTTTGTTGATACTCAGCATATTCTACCATTTTTTATACGTAGGAAAGTAACTATAAAATATAAAATAAAATTTAACTTTAATGCATGGTGATTATTTTAATAATATCAAGATTCCAGGAATGAAAACAAGGAAAAAAGTTTTCTAAACAGATGTTTATCTATTACTTATATAAAATGTGCATTTATCTTAATTATGCAATAATACTTTGTATTATAATAACAAGAAGATTAAATACTCTTTAGGTACCTATTACCAAAAAAAAATATGAATAAAAATAATTATTCGAGAATTTTGTTGATGAGTAAATACCTACATATTATTTATATTTTATAGCTGATTATCAATGTGGTTGGACTGATTTTATTAAGTAACAAAAAACAATGGTGACAAATAAATCATATTTTTATATATAATGAATTCCACTAAAAAATAAAAGATAATAAATATTACGGAATAACCATAATCGCGATGTTAAAACGAATCAACAAGTAGTTCACTAGTTTAACATGTTAGTTTTATTGCTTACGTATTGTAGGTGTATAATAATAATGTATAGAAGGAAACGGAATAGCAGCAACAAATGTTAATACCTATTGAAAATTAACATTCGACAATTCTCCTCTATTGCGTGCGGTCAAGTATTCACCTATATTAAATTCACTATTAAATCGGAGTAACTCATTCATTTCGTTAATCACAAAATGTCACCGTTTCTGTAGGTTGTACGCCCGTAAAAAAACTGTCGTCACGTCATGTTATTACTCAAATACAGTTAGAGCGAGACAAACAAATAAAACAAACATTATTAAAACATGTCCTTATCAGAAATGAATAACGTAACTATATTAGCTGTAATATAGCCAAGGTTTGCAGTTACCTACTGTTGCGTGACCATGATGAGTTAATTATATTGTAGTTGTAATAGGTATTGTATGTTTTGCTTTTGCAAAATGCACGGTACTTGTCGTGTTAGGGCTAATTGAAAACCATCGTTAGGTAATATTTGTTTTACTGTGTAGGTACTTACATCAATGTACCCACTTAATTCGTTTGTTCGACTGTATTGTACTTACTTAATTGTTTTTGGTCTCCTTCCATATGTATTTTAATAAAAGATGAAATAAGAACACACAAGCAGTAAAGCTCCGTGACTAAAGTCGAATTTTCCCTCAGCGGAGCCGACTCTGTTGCCGTTTTCATGTTTTTTTTTTTTTGTTTTTAATGATCAGAGATTTAACAAAAAAGATTTTATCAAAATAGTAAAGATGGGCATATAGGTCACGGCCATGATATAGGTAAAATAAAGGATACCATTATTGTCTATGGGGTGATTCGTGGGTCAATGTATAAACCGAAAAGACGTACTACCAACCAATACAAGATTTATAGATAATACAGGTTGTCTCAAAGGATGGTCTACAGAATAAAAAAAATAAAGTATCATTGTAAAAAAATTTAAAAAAAGGCCCAATTATTTTGGAAATTTTACTACGTCTAGATACGTTCAATATAAATATTATTACCGAGTTCCACGTCCCTATGTTTACAATTGAATTACAGCAAAAAAAACTACAGTGCGAGCACACTTGTATCAGTGTATCACTCTGTATAACTTGAATTATCATTTACGCCAAACAGCAATTTAACAAAATTATGTTTAGATTAAAACAAATATAAATATATTAAAAAATGCATGATATGTAGGAGAATACATAGGTGACTTGAAAGTATTTTTAATTAATAATCTATTTTCATATTTAAACGTAACTCGAGGATTTACAGTTGTTTGCAACTCTTTTTTTATCAATCCGAAGATTGGTTAAATGATTAATGGTGTTTCTCTCCACTTATCTCTGTCACTTATAATCCTCTTCATCTCCCAGTATGTTCCTATTCCGGTATCTTCCATCACCTGCTTCAGAANGCTTTCCTCCTCAGTCTTAGCGTATTCCATATTGATTTTTGGGTATTCATTCTCCTGAAAACCTCATCATTTTTTATCTTTTCCGTCCATGAAATTTTTAGCACTCTTCTCCAACACCATACTTCAAAGGCTTCTATTTTAGCTTTTTTAGCCTTCATTATTGTCCAAGTCTCTGCTCCATATAGAGCTACGCTCCACACAAAGTTTTTTATAAGTGCTTTCCTGGTGTCCAGACTTGCAACTCTAAACATACGTAAAGTGTGAGTATGCCCATATGACATTTTGTGTGTCAGTACATAGAATTCAAAATTAGTATCTTGAAGAAGAAGTATACCTTATCTCAATTTAGCTTCATTATTATTACTATTAATGAAATATTTCAAAAAATAGATAACCATAATATATATTCTGGATCTAAAAGTTAATAACTAAATTTAAATTATAAATAATTATTAATAATATAAAATATCCCTTATCCTTCTTCTGTCGAAATTTGTTTAACATTTTCATTATATTTATGCCCAATCAAAACTCTAACAATATCTGGTGGTGCTTCCTAAAAAATATATTTGGAATGTTAAATATTCATGTAATTATTAAGCCATAATATTGGTTAAATCAAATCTTAGATAATATACAACTTCTTGAATGATTTGTTAATATTAACATAATCTTCTATAACTTAACTAAGAAACTATAACCATTTTTGGTTAATTAATTAACATGTTTAATAATTAAATAGGTATTATATATTTGTTTTTAATATTTATTTAATAATGTACCGATTTTAATAAGTTTTTTCCAGTTTTTCACATTTTCTGGGAAAATTCTTTCCCATATATCCTTTCGGAAAAAATGCTATCATTGTAAATCAGAACAAAATTTCTGGTAGAAATTTTGCTCACAAAAAAAAAAGAAGGCCTTAGTATAATTTAACTTATACCTACATTTTTCCCTGTTTTTTTCACTTATTCACTTCAGCTAAGTGCTATCATTGTAAATTGGAGCAAAATCTCGATAGTAGAAAAGTTATCCACAGAAAAAAAAAATTTTAATATTTTTACTAGATTATATATTTTGTACATTTTTCAGTTTTTCTGCATTTTTTACGGTCATTCATATTTGATAAAAAAAAAAACTCATGGGAAAATTGAAAATTACTTCTCTTAAGTACCACATAAGAAAATTTCCTTTCAGAAATGGTCTACTACATTCTTTGCTACTCTTAAAATCTAAAATGTAAGCAAATATTATAGTATGTACTTCTTGAATAATTTTAAACCATCTTTTCATATTAATTAATGTTGTTAGTCATGTAACATCATAAACAAATAGTACGCCATGAATATTTCAAAAAAGGGAGAGAAAAATATTTTTCTTGGCCAACTGTGTCCCTGATAAACATTAAAAAAAAAACACTCGGCATTCCTCGTATTATTTGTCGGTTTTAGGTGAGTATAATTTTTTAACCAATCTAAAGTATTTGAAAATTGAACACGATATAAGTTAGCTTACATCATGTTACAACTTATTATAAGTTTTAATTGATGATCAAACATAAATAAATTGTGTGTTATGTATTATTTTTATTTTTACAAGCATTTAAATATCAAACTTCAGTTTAACGAGAATCGTAAAAATAACGGCATTTTTTATATCGTTACTATTTGGTAGGTATACGTGGATAAATTGGTTTAGCTGAACATAAATACTTGACAATTTAATACAAGATTAATTTTAAATTGCACTTAGTAGTCAAAAAAGGAAATTTGAGTTTAATGCTTTAGTGTTTTTTTGATAGGCGTTTTAAGATCAAATTACGGCATTTATAATAATAATAATAATTTTAGACTTAATTAAATAACATACATTTTAATAATAGAAAATATTCAAAATGTTGTTTTATTATTTTTGTTTATTCAAAATTGTGTCCGAATTATAACTCAAAATTTGCACGTTCTTTCAAATTTTTGTTTAAGATATCGTCGTTCATACTTCCAAGTTTTGTAATTCAACATTTTCTGATTAAAAACAATGATAAGAAATGTATTAACTACAAGTTGATAATTAATAGAGTTTCAGGCGATTCAGCTAAAATACGTGGCTTTAGTGAATCCACATTCCACAAGATATTTTTTCTGGAATATTAAATCAGTAAATTTTTTTGGAAATAATTTAAATTTAGAATCAATACAATTATATGAAAGATTATGTATTACGTGATGTAAAAAACTTGATAAGCTTCAGCTAAATTTTAAGTGTATTTTTAGTGACAATAAAGGACGAATTTATGACCGTTAATTGTTTTGGTGAGCTTTGCATTCGTTTATGAAAAATACTAGTTGTTTGCATAATGTTGAACATCTGATTTTCACTATGAGAAATTAAAAAGTCTTTTTACGTACATAACTTACAATGAGTACATAAATTACTATTTGTTGACCTTTGAAATTACCTAACTAAACCATATATGTCAAAAAATACTAAGCCATTTTACTTTTTATGGCGTTTTGTTGTTTTTCATCAATCGTCATTATCCATGTCATTTATATGTGCATTCATTTTTTTTTACAGAAAAAAAAACCAACACTATTACTACAATTTCCTAACTTTTTTTTGACAAATTAACGAGTGAGTTAACAAACATAGTGTGATTAATGTTAAAAAATAACAATACGAAATATTGTGTAAAAATTAAGATTACTTGTTTATGTATACGATTGTTACTAATTGTTGATAATTGTTTTTAAGCTTACATCATAGTACAGATTATAATATAAAATAATGAAGTTATAACAATGAAGTCAATGTAGTGTTTTTATTGGGATAATTATATAGCTTGGTAGATACCTATATAAACTTAAAAGTGAAAAATATTTATTAGTCATCTTATAAGAACTACAGTATAAAAATTGTAGCATAAATGCAGTTTAACTTTGAGTAAATTTTTTTCAACTACCTACCATTAAATTGATCATGCAAAATTAAACATTTTGAAAAAAAATAAATCCAAAAAATTGCTTAGGAGGTAAATTGCATTTGTTCTACAATTGTTATTCGATTAATTGATTTTAGAACATAATTTAAGTAAGTTGTTTACATACCATTTCAAAAATATACATTGACTAAGTGAAAAAAAAAGCAATATAGGTATGTATAATTCAATTACAGTTATTTTTTTTTATCCAGGTCATTAACCTCAATTAAGAAATGAAAAAGGATTTGAATGTGTAAAACCGGTTTTTAGTAATAATATTATTATTTACCTCTATTTATATTGCTCATCATTGACTGTTTTAGGAAATTAACTATGGAATTCTTTATAGAAATGTTAAAAATATTCTTACTTTGTGCACTGGTATACATAATAATAAAATCAGTGATTAAATACTTATTACTTATAAGTAAGGTTCAGATTTTTAGACAATATTAACAATAATAAAAAAAAAACACTTTTCATATAAAAAAAATTATCTAACATCATATACTTTCTTGTGGAAAACTTCGATGGTTTGACCTTAAAATACTTTTATAAACATTAAATTAACTTGTTATACCAAATTCTTGATAAAGTATTTGGTGATATTGATAAATATCACCAATAATAAAACTCATTAAAAATAATTTTAAACATAATATTGACAATGCATTGTCTTCACAAGCTCATTGATTTGTAATATTTGTACAGATATAATACTATATCACATCAGTTGAAAATTATATACAAGAAAGCAAAGATATTTTTAAAAAATATATATATTCATCAGTTATCTTAGATATTAAATGAAACACATTTTTGTATAAAAATTATTTTTCTATTTTTATTAAAACAAAAGCTTTTGCCCTCAAATCCAAACCCTACTTATAGATTGCAGGTAATTGATTTTCAAATTTGTCATCAAAATTCAGAAAATAATGATATTGCACACAAGTCTATTTTTTGTTGGCTGGTTCCATTTATCAACTGTACTTATAGATATATAATATCATGTTATGCATAACTGAATCAAATTATGAGTCATATTTTAAAAAATTAATAAAACGATTATGAAATACCTAAATTTTTAATATGAACTATGTAACTAGTCTGTTTAGTAGATCACGTAATTTTAAAGTTTCTAGGATACAAAACCTTCTTATTTTTAACACAAATTATGTTTTGAAATGTCTATCTTAGAATATAATTAATCTAGTTACCTAGTACACACTCTCACTAAAACATATTCTATTTTTAAGAATAATAATTTTATATGGTTTCCTTAGAGGTGTTAATTTGAATTTCTCAGTTTCAATAAATTAATCTAGCATTTTTGTAAAAAAAAAAAAAAAAAAAACTAGTAAATTAAATACTGTTATAACACTGCACATTAGTTTTTGGTGGTAAATAAATTTACTTTTAGTCTATTTATGTATAGTATACAACTAACAGATAATTTCAAATTAAATTTAAAAAATAATGAATCACAAATATATTAAATTACCATTTGAATTTTTGAATTGTATACAAAAATCAATAACTTAAACCCAGATCAAATTGAAAAAGCGAAGTTTATGAAATGTTGAAGGAGACTAATTTATTTTACTTAATATAAATGCTCAAGTTATTGAGTTATTAACTCTATTCATAATATAATATTTAACCTTCAAAAATATGTTACATAATAAATTTGTATAAGTTAGTTCTTACATTAATGAAATATATGAACAGTCTGAGGAAATAAATAATATATTCAATAAAACTTTATTATTTTAATAACATAATAATAATAATAATAATAAATTAAAAATGGAATTTGTTTAATAAATAAACAAGAACGCATTGAACAACAATATAATTGTAAACACAATTCATTTGATTTCCATACAAACATATTAAAACTCAAATAAAAAATAAAATGTGAAATACCTTTATTTATTTTCTTGAGGATCACTAAAATATAAATATATGCATATATATATTTACAATATATACATATATTTGTATAATGAAAATATTGTGCTATAAAGAAGAAAAGAGAAAATGTATTATCACAATTGATAATTTTATGTTGTAAATATCTTACACAGTGAGAGTTCGGAACAAAATTAAATAATTTATAGGATATCCAATAACCTACAGTATAACACACTACCATGTAGGTAAGTAATTTATTTATGTACAAAAATAAAATTCACATGAAAAAAAGTTTAATCATACAAATAGTCTGTTCACATGATGACGCAGTTTATTATAATATTGGTCTTAGGTTTTCCTTCCAATTTTAAACAGGTAAGGACAGTCGTTTTCCTTTTAGTACTGCAAAAATAAGAGTAAATACAAATAATAAGTAAATTTAAAAATAAAATAAATTCCTAGTTACAAACCTTTGGTAATATAAAGATAAAAAAAATCACAATACAATATGGTTTGTACAATTCCAGCAATGATTACAATCAAATCTAGGAAATCCTCTGTGTAATAACGGTAAATCCAATTTAATATATAGAGTGCTCTGTATGAGCCTAGAGCAAACAAATAGTGAGAAGTAATTGTTTCTGCTTCGCCTGTTCTTGATACCATAAACAATTGTGGCATAATTGCTACAGCTTCTAAATAAATACTGTATGTCCACAAAACCTATAAATCAAAACAGGTATTACTAATAATGATTAATGTTATACATGTATAAATATTAGTTTAACAACTAACCTCCATCAATGTATAGGCGTGTACAATAACAAATGATAGTACCAATGCTGGCACAATTAAGTATAAGATTCTGGAAAATAAAAATTGATCAAGTTGTTAATGTGTAATTTTTTTTTTAATAAGTTTAAAAAGTTATAAATAAATAAGTACCTAAAGCTATCATGGTTGTGGTCGTATGTTGGCTTAAATTTATAAAACATTAAATATAATGTTCCGTATGAAGCTGATAGGAATACTATCTTCATAACACTGTTATATATAGATACAAAACTAGTGAATAAATCCAAGTATCTTGTTGTATAAACAATTGCAAAAAGTATCTGAGATTTTCCTGAAATACCTAAAAAATAAAAATTACAATTACCTATATTTTAAAATGTATACTTGTTTACAATACTACCTAAAACTAAATACCCAACTAGTATTAAACTATCAATCAATATTTAATATATGAATATATTTAGATAATAAAATTAGGTATCCACTCAAATTTTAATATTTTATAAGTATCCTAAATATTAAATTTGATTTGTTTTTAAGTAATATACAAATTTACATTCATAATTAGTTAGTACGTAAAAATATAATCAAGTCATAAACTTATGACAACTCAATATTATAATAATTATATTATATCATATTATTGTTTATAACAGAATTGAAGGGTTTTAAGTGGACACAAGTTTTTAGATTACTATTTTAATACAAATATGATAGCCTCATTAATAATACTATTAACTGTATTAATGAGGAACAGAATAAAAACAAAAATTATAATACTTATGACACAATTAGAATTTTAGAACTACAAAGTAGACACAATAAAAACCTGTTGAACCATAATTTATATTATGGGTTACATATTCAAAAAAAAAAAAAATGTTAGGTATACTATGTTTGTAGGTAATTTTTTTATAGAAATAAATCTATAATTGAACACGTAATACAAATCATCACTTAACTGGTTGTCTCTTAATCAAACCATACTACACTATTGTAAGAAAAAATTGAACATGAACAGTTGACATGGACTGTAACTTGAAAACAGTAATCTATATAGACCCAGATTTAGATTTAGATTTAGATTAAGTTGGTAGAGCTTAATTAGGAAATGTAATAAGATTATCGAAGACGATACGTGAAACTCATTCGCATCATCCCTCGGATCACATTATTAATGTCGGTCGATGGCAGCGACAATTTCGGACAATGACTATAAACCGGTTGTCGAGACTGCCACCTTCAGGATGACCGGAGAGAAACAATAATAAAATAAAAATAGGTGGATCATAATACTGTTGAATAAACTTAAATATTACCAGCGCAAGATCGGGTCTTCCATATCTTGACCAACAGCAATAGGATGGCTAATAAATGCGACAGGTCGCCGCAAAGTCTGAATATGTTCATCTTGTTTCAGAATTGACTAGTAATTAGGTAGTTAGGTAATTGCGGTGGGCACAAGTTTCAAAACAACGTATTTACTTCTGGAATACGTGTATCACGAAAGCGTCTCTGTCATACGTACGTATGCGCGCGTTGGTGTGTGCGTGTGTACGTGCACGCGTGTACTAGTAAGTACGGGAAGGGACCGGAAGTTTTTTAGGAAGGGATAAGAAGACGATCGGTTGTGAGGAGAAGAAACTTAAAACGTTGAATAACTTAAATTTAAAAACCAGATGGTGAGTAAAATGTAAGTTTTGAACGGGAAGGTAATATTTACGATTTATTAGGGGACGTTTGGTCGGGACGAGACACGAGATAACACGGTCTCTGCTACGGCGGAATGACGTGGCCGGCGTTTTTTGCCGTACTTACGTATCTACAATAAACAACATACTTATAATGTCAAATGGAATATGGTACGAGCCGCCGCCGCGCGATTGCTAGCGTGCCGGTGAAGCACGGCACGGTGGATTGTAGCCAACACAACGGCACACACACTCGTCATATTTTCGTTGGCCTCCCTAGTGTCGTTATCAATTTATTATCATTACCGTCCAGAGGTAAAGCAATCTGCTTTGAGTATTTGAGTAAAAAGATTAAATTAAATTAAATTATAAAACTATAGAATGAAAAACAACCGACCGGAAAATAAAACACTGCCCAACTCATGTTCACAATAAGTAAATACGTCAAGTAACTTAGAACTACGTGAACTTGGGGTGTCAATAAATCAAAAAACGCCGCAATTGAAGTGACGTAGAATATTCTGTATCAATATTGTAGTGTCTTCACCGTGCCCGAAAAATGAAAATCGATTCGGACTTTTTGCCTGAAAAACAATGCGTTGTTATCGATATTGGAACCAAGTATACTAAGTGAGCGAATTGAGTTGAAATTATTGTGCCTTCGAATTTAATTAGACCCTTACAGTATATTAAATTCGATTTGTTGACATTGGTTAATAAACAAAAATAGTAAATCATTTTTTTCCATCAATAAATAATTATCTTCAAATTTCCTTTATTATATACAATTCAAAGTTACTGAATTTAATATTATATACCAAACAGTATTTAATCATATAAATAAATAATATTTACACCATACCCTTATCAGTAATATTTGCCTTCTATTTATATTTCACTTTTACAAAGGCATTCCACATTTCCATAACTTCGACTGGTTGAGTTTAAGGGCAAAGAAATCTATAATATATTTCATAAAGAAAAATATTTTATATGAATCTTACAAATGACTTTTAAAATATTTTCTTTTTTGAATAGGTTATTAATTATTAAAATGAAGATAAAATTAACACTCATTTCTTGATAAAAAATTAAAATATCAAAAAAATCATTCCTAGAATTCATAGTAAATACGCTTTCTTTTTTATTTATATATAAATTGTATAATAGGTCTTTGACCTAAATTTAGCCAAGTTATATTTGTAAAAATGCTAAATGCCTTTGTTGCTTTATTGAGACTGAAAAATATTAATGGCAAGGCCCTTTAGCTGCATAAAATATTTAATTTGGAATTGATATTTCATCAATAAGTGTATTATAAGTAATTGAACAAAATTAGTGTAAGAATCTTTATATTTTAAATTTTATATAACTTTTAGATTTGGATTTGCTACTGAACATTCCCCCAGATGTATTATACGGACATTTTGTGAAATAGACGGTATACCTATTCCTGATATATATAAATATAACAATGTTCAGAAACTCACATTAGCACTATCAAATTTCATGCATTTATTATTTTACAAGTAAAGTACATTGCAAAGTTCACTATTGATATATAGTACAAAAAACTAAATAACACAATATAATGTTGTTTTTAGACATGCTCTTGTTGCACCCAAAGACAAAAAAGTAATAATTGTTGAATCCTTGTTGTCACCAACAAAATTCAAAGAAATACTTGCCAAAGTGTTGTTCATAACTTATGAAGTAAGGTTTTTATATCCATTACAAAAAGCTTCTATTTTTAATGATAATAATATATTTAGATCGCATCTCTTTGTTTTGTGCCTTCACACTGTGCTTCCTTATTTACACTTGGTATTTCTACGGCATTAGTACTTGATGTTGGTTACAAAGAAGCTGTTCTTATACCAGTTTGCGAAGGAGTACCTGTTTTACGGTTATGGCAAGCAATGCCATTGGCTGGAGAAATCGTAGAGGAACAAATTAAAACACGAGTTGATATAGGTCAATTAACACTAAATCAATCAGTAGACGTTATAGCTGAAGACATAAAAGGTACCTAACTATTAATAAATAAAGCATCAATGTTATACAAATTTATTAACTATTTTTGAAAATTGTATTCAGCCAGAACCTGTTTTGTTACTCTAAGAAAACGTGCCAAAATTCTAGCAACAGGTCAAAGTATAGAACCAAAAACTACCAATGTTGAATATCATATAGATGGAGAGAGATCTGTTTCTATATTGGGCGATGTGAGAGAAACTGTTTATGATGTATTATTCGAAGAAAATATAGATGAAATGTCTTTGACAACAATGATACTTGAAACATTAAATAATGTTGGTGAATTGTATTTTTTTTTTTTTTTTTTTTTACAAATATTTTAAATTTTGTTAATTTACAGAGTAATGTAGACATTCGATTAAAACTCGCTGAAAATATTGTCCTTATTGGTGGTACAGTGATGGCGAAAGGTTTCATGGCAAGATTAAAAGAAGAATTGTTGGAAAAATTAAAATCTTCAAAGTATAGTAAATTGAAAATCACAAAATTCAAATTTCATGTATCACCTGTTTATGAAAATTATATCTCTTGGCTCGGAGGTAAGTATAATCCAGTGTTTCTCAGCCTTTTTACTGTCGTTGCCCTCTAAATGAATATTTAACTTTTTAGCGACCCCCAAAAGGGCCGCACTACCCAGGTTAAGGAATTCTGGTATAATCTATTTTATTTTGTACACTATTAATGTTCGCCTGATTGTTGGTTTTTTTTTTTTTAGGGTCAATATTTGGCAGTACAAATAATTTGAATATCCTTTCACAGACAAGGGAAAATTACATAAATGAAAACTATGTTCCAGACTGGCCCACAACTTTTACAAGAAAAAAAATTGAATAAATAACAGTTTTAAATCCGGGCACCTTTTTCTATATTATGTACATTTTAATAATTTTGTTTTTGTTATAAATAAATAATTCCGTAACCATTATTGTTTTACAAATATTATATGCTAAAAAACTTTGAGGTAGTAACACAAATTAAAATAAACTAAATAATGCACAATTGTTTTTGGAATGAACTTAGCATTGAAAGATCTTGAATAGTTGAGACTGATGAATTGCAATCTCGAGACTGGGTTGGTAACCCCCAAACCTCATATTTTATCACTAGTGAGAAAAAAAAATTGTGCCCGGAATACAGCAACAGATTCAGAGCTTACAATCGGTTGGGGGTAACACATGTCATGCGTTACAAACGGCCATAGCTTCTTCTTTTTCTTCAAGCAGTTCTTTAGCTGTTAAATCTAATTTACTCTTTGCAAAGTCAGTGATTTTCAAACCCTATAAAATTTAATTAATGAATAAAGTTAAATTAAAAAAAGGAAAAATAAACAGTTTTTTTTTTTTGTCATACCTCTACAATTTTCCATTGTTTTTTCGAAATGGATACTGGCATAGAGAAAATTAAATCTTTTGGCACACCATATGAACCATCAGATAAAACTCCCATTGAAACCCAAGTACCTTCTGGTGTACCTAACCACCAATCGTGCATGTGATCAACGGCTGCTTTGGCAGCCGACATAGCTGATGACATTTTTCTTGCTTGAATAACAGCTGCTCCTCTAGTTTGAATAGTCTAAAAATACAAATTATTTAAATCACACTAAATATTTTAACAAAAGTCAAATTTAAATTTAAAAATATTTAATTTATCAATAAATTAGCAGCCTTTACCTTAATAAAATCATTTTCAAGCCATTCTGAATCATTGATACTAGAGTATACACCATTTGACTTGCCAGATAATTCAACTTTTGCATTATATACGTCAGGGAATTGAGTTGATGAGTGATTGCCCCAAATTGTAACATTCTTTACACTACTTACACACGTGTTAAGACGTTTAGCAATGGCTGATTGGGCTCTGTAATTCATATTTTTAAACCAAAATTTATATTGTAAAAAATTTAAGACTATGATTATACAAGTTATACCTATTTTGATCAAGTCTGGTCATGGCGGTGAAATTTTCTTTAGGTATGGAAGGGGCATAGAAAGAGCATATTAAAGCATTAGTGTTGGCTGGATTTCCAACCACTAAAACTTTAACGTCTTTCTTTGCGTACTTGTCTAAAGCTTCACCTTGCACTTTAAATATCTTGACATTAGCGGACAGTAAGTCTTTTCTTTCCATACCTTCTCTCCTTGGCATTGCACCAACCAAGAAAGCAGCATCGACATCTTTAAAAGCAACTTCTGGTTCAATTGTTTTCACATAACCTGAATAACAATTTTACAACATTAGAATAATAATAATAAAAACAATTAGCTATCTATGAACAATATCATATTTTAATTATGTAAAATCGTCTAACCTTTAACAAGGGGTAAAGCTAGATCATCAATTTCCATGCATACTCCTTCAAGAACTCCCATTGCAGGGAGAATATCTAAAAGATGTAAAATTACTGATTGTTCCTTTCCAAATACATCACCATTAGCGATCATGGAGATCAGAGAGTAGGCTATTTGACCCGCAGCACCAGTTACAACCACACGGATCGGTTCATCATTGTTGATCTAATAACAAAAAATATATATAATAAAAATATAATACTATATGCATGGGTGATACTGTACAGTTATACATGAGCTGTAGGCATAATAGAACCATAAAACAATATGAAAAAAAAAAACCTATTAAATTGTCTTGAATAGTATATTCTGTAATGATACTGCTGATAAATAAGTTTGACTAATCTGTAGTTTTTATTTTAATTTATTAGTTTTAATAAGGGACATTTATTTTAAATTATTAAGTTTCACTATAATCATATAAATATAATTTATTAATTTCTACATAATAGAACCAAATTCAATTTTAAATGATCACATGTACAAGCATATTCATTTAATATAGAAGTCTAATGTAATAAAATATGTTATATGGAATCAGTTTTAGGATATCTAAGTTAAATAAAAGTACTTTTAGTATTTCTAAAGCTTTAATGGAATCAACAGAATATTTTATAAAAGTTAATTTGATAAATTAATTTATCATGTTTTAATCAATCAACAATAAGGAATTTAAATTAAATGCAAAGAAAAATATTGTGCTAACTTATGATATAGACTTATCATATTGTTTGTTTTTTAAACTTAGGTAAACAAATTAAAAATCAAATACATGAATCAATAATGCCTTTTATTAACATTTCATTTAGTAAATCATCATTGTTAATTTATGGATTTTTCAACACAAGCTATCATTTAAAATCAAAAATTGGTTTTACCAACAAACATAATTAAATAAGGGCAAAATAATTTTTTACAATTTTTAACATAAAGATATTTTAATTTTTCAAAAAGAAAATTTCAGAAAAAATCATTATTTTATTTCATTTACAATAAAAAATTATTTAAGTTTAATATTAGCACACATAGTATTTCATTATAATACTGATTACTCTGTATATATTGATAAGATATTAGGTATATTATGATTATTATGGCAGTCAAGTAACAAATAAATAAAATAACATGATTCAAATGGCAAACAAATTGATCTAATTAAAATAAAACAGTATAAAAACAATTTATAAAATTAAAGATAATTTGTTTTTTTTTCTATATTAAGATAACGATTATAAACCTTATGATATACATTCATAAAAAAAGTTTCATAATGACATTCTATTTATTTCTTTTTGAAATATAATGTAGATAAGAATTAATTTTGAGTATACACCAAGATTATTTTAATTAAAACACTAAAAATATTGGTAAACACTAAACTGAGTATAAATATTCTAATTAATAAATTATCATTATAATTCCAATTCCTTTTTTAATTGTAACCTGTAGGTAAAAGTATATAACTATAATATACAACATACCTTCAAATTCAAGTTCATTATGAAATTGAAATCAAGTCTTGTTAAATAATTTTTATGATTTACACTTTTAATAAAGTTCAGATATATTAAAATATATTTAATATAATCAGATATATTATTATCTGAAAAAATGTCTAAAGAATAAATATTTAAACATTTTAAATTAAGATAATGGTATATGTAGGCACTTGTCTATATAAATAAAAAGAAGTATCTGTCTGTGTAAAATCAATAGCACATAGATTTGAAAATTTACATAAAAAAGTGGATTAACAGGTTTGTATGTACTTCAAAGCCAGATTTCCGAAAACGTGGCTCACCTAAGTATTCGGTATTTTTGATATAAAAATGAAATCATTTTTGTTGATTATTAGTTATTTTGGTGGCACGGATGAAAAGTAAAATTATTTTTTTTAATTTGGTTAATTATCCACCTAATTAAATAAATAGATGGATATGATATTATTTTAGTTTTTATTTAAGTTTATAGAGAATTTTGGGAGAAATCAAAATTAGCGGTTAAAATAATATGAAATATTATAAAACTATATCTGGTTAAAATAGGCAGTACCTAATTATAAAAAAAAAAAATGTATTTTATTCAATCATAAATCTGAGATAAATTAGGTTAAATTTTGAATTAACTTGATATTAAAGGGGTGTTACAGTAAAATATTTTATCTCTATATATGTTTGATAATATAGCAACAAAGTTTACTCAGGAACTAGATCTCAAAAATTATTTCTCTAAATTCAAAATAAAAATTTTACCATGTTTAAAAGAGAGAATTTTTGGATAAATTTGTTACACAATTTTCTATTAAATAAAAAAATAAATAGTCTGTAAATAAATAGATTGTCGTTCATAGAGCAGTTTTATATGATAAGTAATCCTCTGGGAAGTTGCAATATAGTTATTAAAAGGTAGTTTAAAATAATATAGGTAATAATGTTTGCCGAATAACCTATTTGAAAACTGAAGAGATTTAGACATCTAACCGAACCACCTACAGGCGTTAGAGACCGGTAGACTAGCATTTGCATGGCCGTTGAAAGGGTCATAATTTCAAGGACATATAAGGTCATGTTGCATACAAATGTTAATGGGTGCATTGGGTGGATTTTTGGGAAAAGCATTCATATAATCAGCCACCAAATTCATTATGCAGTTATATATTAACACTTACGTTTACCATCGTGATAGGTACTTCGATAATTCTGTTCGTGGTGTGTTGGTGATGTCAATAAACTGCAATTAGGTATGATAAGTTGAAGACAGCAGTGTTGTGATGAGTACTGACCAGTGACTGCGGTAGTGTACTATTGTGGTCTTCTGAGGTATATGATCGAAACTAAGTAACCTTTAAAACGGACTGACAGATTTTGACAATAGCAAATAGCAATACGAAGTACAAACGATGTGTGCATGTATGTGTGTGTGTGTGTGTGTGTGTGAGTGAGTGTGTGTATGTGTGTGTGTGTACGAGTGTACACTGTACGCTATCATATAATTTTATTAAGGGGAAAAAAAATTATCTGGTATTTAAAGTACTAGAATTATCTGTGTTAAACACATGAAAATTACAATTCGTATACGCATGCGCGATTCACATAAGCCGCCGGTAATCGTGGGTTTAGGCATTAGGTGTATTATGCTAAATATTTGTATCATTGATTTTATAATAAATGACTACATGAAAAATTACAAATATTATAAATTATATGTCTATTAAAAAATCAATACTAATACTATATTATATACTACCTATGTAGTATAATACTATAGTCGTGAGTTGGGTCCAACTGCACACATCAAATTAACAGAAGAATCAAAACTGAAAACTTGGATTTTGCCAAGTTTACTGCAAAAAATCAGTCTAGCAAGACTGATTTTTTGAACTCCTGGATTTTCGATCTAATATCCGTGTTCTTCCATTATTATAAAAAGTACTAAAATATAATTCTTATGAGTAATTTTATTTCGATTTTTATCAGTAGATAGGTAGGTAGGTTTGTTACATTAGATGGCCTTGCCCAAACCACTGGACGGATCCATTTGAAATTTGGCACACAGACAGCTATTAAAAACCAAATACCACTGACTCACTTATAGCTGTTCTCAAAAACTACTCAACGTACGCACTTGAAATTTGTTATAGTGATTCCTCTAATACTCTCACTGTGCAATAAGAAAGTATTTTTAAAAATTCAACTCATAAGGGAGTAAAATAGGGGTGTTTAGGTATATTTGGTACGAATATCGAATTGCTTATTTATTTATTTTGGAACAAATCTAGTTTACCAACCAAGCTCGTTTTTCAAATTATTTTTTAAATTGTTTACAAGTTTTATTGAAGTAGATGTTTATATTGGATGTTTATATTGGTATTCATTAATTTCAAGATAAAACATGCAATTCTGTTCATTAATTAAGTTGTTACATTGGCTTGGCTTGCAATAATAAATAATAAAGTAATAATAAAACTATTAAATGGTTAATACTCGTCAATACATAAATATGTTTTCTATTTATTCCCTCATTTATTTTTTTCATATATAGTCGCAATTTACTTTTTGATTTTGTGATTTTACCTGATGGTGAATTTTCAATTCAAAATCGGTCATACAATACACATATCATAATACATCAAGTAACACATTAATTTATTTATTTTTGTAAATAGATTAAATAAATAAATACATAATAGGAACTTCCTATTTTGTAATAATGTCAAATTTTTCTCTAACCAAACCCATTAGTATTAGTTCATCAAAAAAAAAAAATTGATTCCATAATAATATTCTTAGTTTATCCTATAGAAATTATTAGATTATTTTGTTTTCTTTATAAAGTAGGTAGGTATCTACATAGAAGATATGTGAAACCTGCATGATTGTTTACAACTCCCATCAGTATTATGATAATTGATAAGTATGTATGGTAAGTAGATTGGTATTTATTAATATGTTCCTATTTAACACATTTAAATTATATTATATTAGTTATTAGATAGATACTTATGTATTTTATAATAGATTGTGAAATTATGAAATCTGCCTACACTTATGAAGGCCAATCCACATTTTTAATGTACTGTGCACCAGAAGCTGTAGTAAGTATAACAAAATAAGTGTGCTCAACTGCTCAAGCAGTTCTAAAAATATTTTAGCATATCCTTTCTGATTTTCATAATAGACACAGAGCTATTATTTATCAAAATCGACGAAGGGGTGTGATTAATTTACTGACTCCAAATGTATAACAAAATCAATGTAAAAATGTCCTGGCGTTAATTTTTCCTATGTATACCTATTGACTCAAGGTTGCTCCGTGTCAGCTTGTTGGTCTGAACTGGGGGTATCTTGAATAACTTTTAATGTTAATAGAAGGTCCACAGCTAGATTGATACCCAAAGTACTACCAGCTGTAGATATTAATATGAATTTTTTTTTTGATAGCATTGTGTTCAAGTTACTTATATTCACATTAAACATTTTTCATGTTTCAACTGATGTAACAATACTTTTCTTAAAATTTTGATTATATAAATATTGCCTAAGTATATTATTAAATAAACAAGTAGTTTGTGATTAATAATTATTTGAAATTTAGAGAAGTGAAGTTGGTGGTTTTTTCAGTTTCAGTTTCCATAAACACATTTGACCCATTGACTTAAATGTGATAAATCTACAACTGGTTTTGGTTCTTTAAAATTAATAAACATTTCAAAATAAAATACAGTTTTGTTTAAAATGAATCACACATCCATTACAATAATATAGAAATATTATAATATTATTATTATGCAACTATGCAACTTTAAAGGATTATTAATGGGATCATTTAATTTTAACAAACAACTCGCATAATTTAAATTCAAAAGTAAATTTATTAAAATTGTATACATTTGTTTTATAAATTATAATTGTATATAAAATAAAACACATTAGTAATGTTCAATAGGAAAAATAATACACCTAATGTAATAATTATTATAACTAAGTGGCAATATGATAAGTTATTTTTAAGATAATCTATAGTATAAATAATAGTTTAATAGCAATTCATAATGACGACCAAATATAATAAATAATAAAATAGTTTATGTTATTATTTATAGAAGAATAAGCTATTGTAGACATTGTTGTTTAATTTTATTTTCTGGGTTCAACATACTACTTATTATAACTAAACTCGTTAAAGTTGTATCAGACATTTAAAAATTACTTTGAATTTGTTGAACAGAAAAAAATGAACAAAATATTACATCAATAAATAAATTCTTATTAATCACATAGGTATACATTTTAGTGGACGGTTTTTGAACTATGTTAATAATAATACACGTATAATTTGTTTTCACTAACTATAACCTTAAAAAAAATATAATGGAATGTCTACATTAAAATAAATTACAAAATATACTACAATATTAAATTTATTAGTTCTAAGATGGCATTGTTGAGAAATATGTATCACTTTTAGACAATCTGGATATTCTAAACTATTATAGATTAAATTAAATATATTTTTATAATTTATGTTTCATAGTATTTTAAAATTTGTCAAAGAAATTTTTTTATGAATTTATTATTATTATTATTAAAGTATAAATGCCATATTAGAACATAATCAATATTTACTCTTAACAGTTGTACACTGTACAACTCCTATAAACTATGGCACTCTTGGTATAAAACATTTTACAATTAAATACATAGTACATAAGAAAGTTGTTATAATATTAATTTCAAACAACATATATATATATATATATCATTATTATAACTAATTAATTTGACTTAAATTTCAATATATATAAAATAATAATAATAATAAAAAAATACAACAATATTAATACTGCATTCTAAATTATCACAAGTAAAAGGCAAAAGCGATGAGCACTAATAATATACTCATCATCCAATAAATACGCAAACTCTGATTTTTTAACAGATTTAAAAATATATTATAATTATTTAACATTTAATTTAATAAAAAAAAAACCTAAAAGATTTATACAGCAATAATAAACTTATTATTTTATTTTATACTCAAATTATTTTGTTAAAAAAAATAAAATATATAAACATAAAATTTATATTGTATTCAAATATAGTAAAAAAATGTATACTACGTGAAACTTAATGGTTGAAAGGAGAGAGCAACAATTGCTTGAAAATTTGTTACAACAAAAGGCACTTTAGTTCACAATAAATTTAAATTGATCACAAATATAATAATAGAAAAATAGTTATTACTAATTTGATGTAAATAATGTTGAGCATTAATATAAAAAAACTGATAATTTAAAATAAACTTAAAATATAATATGCAGATGACAAAATTAAATAGTTGTTTTAGTAATGTATACATAAACAAAATATATTTATATCATATATGTGTTTATAAATTATTAACACAATTTTCAGTCTGAATCAAATAATAATAATACAAAAAATTGTTTAATTAAAATAATAAATTCATTTATCTAAATTGCACAAAACTTAAATTCCTAGAAAATATTAAACAAAATTGTCAACTAACGGGAAATGTATTTATTGATTTATTGTATCCCCCTCATAGTAAAAATATTGTATAAAAAAAAAAATAGTAACAAAGTTTTAAAAAATATATATATAAATAGAATTGATGTATTGTTGATTTCAATATACAACTTTTTGGAAATGTGTAAGAAAATAGTTTAACAGAATTTTTTTTTGTATACATTTTTAATTTTTGGAAATGTAAAAGAAACTAATTTAACAAGATTTTTTTTTTGTATACATTTTTAAATTAAAATTTCTTTTTAATCCACAAAATAATAACAAAGAGATCATATTTATTATGAAAATTAAAAATATTTCCATCAAATATAAATATGTGATGCCTAACATACAAATTTTACGATAGTTGACACTAATTATTTAGGTGATTTAGGTTTTATCTCAAATGTATTTTTTAATAACCGTATTTATAAAAATAACATTGTATTATCAATAAAGAATAAATATTAAAAAGTTTAAATTATAAAACAGTAAATTAAAATATATAAAACATACTTAACACATTTAAAGTTGTGTTGTGATTACAGATTTTCTGGTAATTATTTTAGGTCCGGAAGTAGTTTCTGCACCGCTGCTAACTAACCATGGTGAAATTTGATTTATAGGCTTTATCTTAGATGGTTCCTAAGAAAAAAAAAAAAGGAAAAAAAATGAAACACAATTAACTATCCCAATATATTTAATTAGAAAATTGGCCAATGATTTATTTTATTCACAATAAGTAAAATATTATATTTATATTTTAAAAATGTAATTTGCAAACAACTTAATTACATAAAACCTTGTATTATATTTTAGTTTATTTTTTAGAAAAATATAATTTTATCCTCATATAATAACAATAAATAAATAACTGAATAATTTCAAAGAGGTGCAAAGTTTCTACAATTGTTTCTTTCTGAAGTTGGATAAAAAAAAATTGATTTTGTCAAAACCGGTATTATGTAAACCATTGGTAATTCATAAACAACAAGATACTAATTCTACAGAAGTATAGAAATTATTTCTCAAGTTGATGATTGAAGTAATTTATCTGATTAAAAATTGTGTTTACGGACTGCTAAAATAAATAAATCACTCATATTTAAACTATTTAATTATTTGGCTATTTATTATCCCAATTAATAACAATTATAGCAATAAATAAGCAAAATTACAAGCAGTCACTAATCAGAATTAAAATTACAGCATCTAGTTATAAATAGCAATTTTGGACACATTACAACTAAGCTCATAGAAATGTAATTGTACATAAATCACACACTATTGACTATACAGTAAATAAAAACATATTTATTGTCTTTAATATGAATAATTTAAGTCTAGTATGTTATGCTGCTTTGAACAAATAATTATTGAAACGCAACCAAATTAATCATCATTGATATAAATTATAAACTAAAAACATAAGATATAAAAATTAAATTTTTAAACTAAATGTATTTTAATCGATGAAAATTTCTTGAAATTTATAATCTATTTGAAGAAAAAAATAATTCAATCATATTAATAAACGAATCACGTTATAATTAACATTAAAATTAAAATATTTTACAAAATTCAATATAATAAAATGGAATTTACTTAGTGTCTAGATTTATTTTGTGTATAGTATAACAATTCTTGATAAAAACAATTATTAATATTATACAAGTTGATTTAGGACATAAACATACCTGGATTTTTTGGAATACTTTTGTATCAGAATTTGCAGTATTATGTGTTCCAGTATTTGACTCAACCACAGTGACCACGATACCATTAGTAGAATCTTTTTTGATACTATCATCAGTAAATGGATTTGATAATGGCAATAAAAATGGATTGGTTGGCGTGTTTTGGGGATCACTAGTAAATGGATTTGCCGAAAATGGGTTGCGAGGACTAGTTGGTGAAGTGGCATTAAATGAAGGCAAAGACACAATGCTCGACATACTTTCAGTAGGACTTCTTTCGGGAGAAATTACTCTTTGTTCTAATTTGCCACATTCACCAAAAGAGAAATGAGTCACTGTTACTGGAGTAGCACATCGTTTACGGTCATCTTTAGTTACAGGAGATATTTCAGATATAGGTTGTTCATCCAATGGTAGCTTAATTTCTTCCGGTGTTGTAATGCCACCATTAAGGGATAGTGTCAGTTTGTCTCCGCCCTTTTTAAATACCAAGCAAAAAGCCATAAACAAAGTAAAATAAAAATAAAATAACAACACAAAACAATACATAGCAAAAAATAATAACTGCTCTCAAATATATCTCAAATAAAGAACACCACAAAATACAAAAAATATTATTTATCATTTTATACAAACTTACAACAGAAACAAAGGTTGCTTGTTCTTTACCAAAAGAACTTGATTTTGAATTTAAATTGCATTCCCTAAAAGTAAAATTACATAATTTTAAATATACATACAGATTATAAAAAAGTATACTTAAAACAATATAATCACCCATTATGTAGTAAATGGTTATCATGTAAATTGGTAACTTTAGATAACGGATCAAACATGGCCAATGGTGATTTTCTCATTTCTTCTTCAACTTTAGCTATACAAATAAAACAAATAAATATGTTATTTTTAAGACAACAAACTAAAAGAGGTTTTTTCTTTGCACATTCTTGTTTAGTTAAATTAATTATTACATTTTCATTAAATTACCTTTAAGTATATTACATTTTAAATGTTCTTTTGGAATTGGTCTCGGAGTAGTATTAAATGAAATGGTTCGGTTGTTTGGTAGAGGAGACGTAGAATGATTTTGATCTTTACCAAAATCTAACAAAAAACAATATTTATTAATACTGATTTAATATAAATAAAGGTTAATAATAAAAAAAATACTTTACTATCAGTTTTATTAATTTTATCAACACAATTTGATTCATTGATGTTGCTATTTATTAACGGAGTGTCTTTATTTAAACTTTTTAATAATGAGTCTAATCTATCCTCAGCAATATCTGTAACATATAATTTTATTAAGCAATAAACTAATTTATACTAATGATCAATTAGAAGAATATAAATTCTCCTTAGCTTTTTTATCTTGTGTAAATGTTATATTACCTGATGAGTTTGAAGTTAATGAAGATGTTGGCTCTAGGTGAGTATCTTTAGAATCTAAAATTGGAGTAGGTGGTTTATCCATTATATTGATTTGTTCAATTTTATCATTCTCATCAGTTAATTTTGGTTTTTCTGTTTTATCCCTTTAAAAATAATATAAAAAATTTAACATTATCATAAAATAATACACATTATGTACATGTAGTATATTATATAGTACTATACTAATTTTTGTTTAAAAAAAAAATATAATATAAAATTACTAAATTTAAATTTACTTTTGTCGTTCTCTTAAAACATGCGACTGTCTTCGTGCATATCTTTGACTAGGTCTTCTTTCAAATTGAACCGTTCTTCTTGCTCTGTTTAATTGAGTTGTTTGGAACTCTGTTTTACCACTGAGTTAAACAATAAAAAATGTTTTTTTTTTTTTTATTTGAAAATAGATTCAAATATTTGTATGCATTTATTACCTATATCGAAAACGTGAGCCCATTCTGAAAAAGTTTTGTCTAGCTGATGGACCTTTAACAGGTGCCCGAAGCCTAAAGAATGCGTGATGTTCAACTGCACATTTCCATAAGTGTTTACATGCTTTTTCATTATGTAAACGAAAAACAAAAGTATGCTCTTGTTCTCGCCCTTGATCATCATCTTCTACAACTATTAAAGTTAGTTTTTTCTTTTTGAAATCCAACTTACCAATTTTTGGCCTATACAAAAAAAAAAAAAAATACAATATAACGTTTATAACAGCTAGGGTAAAGAACTTCTAATATTTGCACGTTTCAGCAGCCCTACATAATAGCTACTTAGAAATAAATTTATTTTATAGGATAATAAAGCCAAATCTATTGGACATTGAAGTCTTTTTTTTTTTTAACTTGTTGAAATATTTTTAGATTTGTTGTTTTTTTATACAATTTCTTAAAAATAACCTTTAATTTTTTAATAAGATATTAAATATTTTAATGTTCAAAATAGTTTAATATCTTAAGAGTAAATATTTTATATTTATAATTCAATAAAATAATTGAATGTGCTAATGTCTTCTAAGTAATCAATAAAAGTAAACATTTTTAATTTGGATATAGTATGTCATAATTTTAAATTAGGTAAGTCTCTTATTGTCTTATATTTTTAAATAATTAATTGTTTTAATGCTTTTTAAGAATTACATGTCTTCTTTCTCAATAATAACACATTGTAATAACTTTTATAAATGTACAGTGTTCGAATTGGTAGTGAAGGCTTTTGTAAATTTTAAAAATTGTCTCTTGAACTCAACATAACTCATGGAGAGTTATATATTTATATTTATTTATTGTCATACCAGAAGAAGAGACCAATTTTTTGAAGGCCTTCAAAGACTAAAATTCCAGTTGGTGTTAAGCCAAGAGCATATTCACATCCATCTTTACCCTAAATAAATAAATAATCAAAAATAATAAGTATTTTGTGGTTAAAAACTTAAATTATGAAATACTTTATTATTTATAAAATTAATCATTTTGAACAGACTTACTAAAACGGTATGATTATCAACCCCATACATTTCTAACCATTTAACTTTATTTAAATAACTTGTTTCTGCTTGAGCAGGAGATAATCCTTTACACTTTTTAAACTCTTCTACAATTTGTATTTCCATATCCTCAGTTTGATTTGGTACAAATCGAAATTCTGATATAACAGCAGGAGTATGACAAGTTTCATCATAATCACCGAGTTCAGCTATTTAAAATTAAAATTAAAAACTTAAATAATACACATAAAAAATATAATTATAATTAATTAATTAATTAAATAAAAATTATAATGGGCCATACATTGTAGAGCTAAAGCCGCTAATTCAATGCAAGTATTTTGTGGACATTCAAGACGTCCTTCTAGAATATCCAGTTTTAACTGAAGAAAAAATTGGTACCGTGTTAACTCCTCTCGAAGCATGTTTGGTTCTGAAGAGTAAAATTTAACACGCAAACGAAACGTATATGGTGGTCCAACTTTAATAAAAATAGTAATAATAAAAAACAATACAAATTTTAAAACATGCGAATGTATAATAACTTACTTCTAACTTGTTTTTTTATAGCTTTTGTTGGATCAAGCCAGTGCTAATTTTAAAAATAAAAATAAATAAGATATTATATATTTTGAATCAGATAATTAAATATTTAACATAATATAGGGTAAAAACAAAATCCAAGATAAAGTAAAACAATAACCAGACAATTTATACATTTTCTTCGCCTCAAGTAGTCACATAGCATTTTGACTAGAACGTTTTAATTATTAATTAAATAATTATAAGATAGGTTAAAATTTAACTTAACAATTATTTAAAATGTTTAGTAAATCGTTCTTTCATTGTAATTCTTACAGGATTGTCAAATAGAAAACTACTGCCAAGTTAGTTATAAAGTTTTGAAATGTTCAAAATATTGAACAAGCCTAATTATAATTATTTTTAATTTTTAATCTAAATTATTCTAACAAATTATTAACTAGACAATATTAGCTATATAAATATACACATATTTATGAAGGTATTTACCTGAACATGATTGGCATCGGTAAATTGTAAACCAAAATAATCTTTTTCAATCAAATCTAATGAATAAAATACTTGTTCATATAAATCACTGCCAACAGCTTTTTTCTGAAAAAAATATGATAGCAATTAATTAAGACAAATAAATTAATATTACAAGTGTATCCAGTTAAATTAATAAATAATGAAGTAATATGCAACAATTGTATTTAATTTAAAATCTAATAATAATTGAATTAGTAAACAAAATTTATATTTAGTTAAAAATATAACATTTTTTTTTTCCAAATAAATAGTTGTTTATAATGATGAAAATGGTACAATTAAGTTTTGGTGAGTAGAGATTTCCCACTGTAAATGACAAATATTTATAAAAATAAATAAATGAATAAAAATTAATCTAATTATTCTACATGTGATACATAAATTATATTATGTTAAAATTATTTAAATTAAACAAAAATCAGGTATTTAATTTTAGATTTATACAAAACCATTTAAAAAATTACCCAATAACTGAAACTATTATTAATATAAACAACATTAAAAAAAAGAAGGCGAAATATTTATAAAATTAATTTATAATGAGTAGGTATTTAAGAAAATATATTTAGCATACTAATCACATTTATTATCATTGCTATGCATATTATTTATAAAAATGAACATACTATAAGAACAATGAATATAGATTAAAAGTTAATGGAATTTTCTGAGAATATTAACATATTATACTTTCAACAATAAAGACTTTCATTTTGGATTTATTTAGAAAATATAAATTCATAATTATACCTTTTAAATCTTTTTTATAGGTTTTAAATATTAGAAATTCAATAAAATGGAACAAATCTAGCTCGTTTTTAAAATTGTTTTTTTCAAAATGTGTGTTTTTGCTTGTAAATTATCAATCTAAAAAAAAAATTTAGAAAAACTTTGTAAGCTGTTGGGGAGAACTTTACTAAGTTTGAGTTTTCCATTTTGCGTGTTTCTTAGAGGGAATTTATTTATTTTTTTAAATGAGAGATTTTTAATGCTTAATCCAATGATATGATCAAAACTTACTTATCATACTTAATTTTGAAGTTATTGTACATAAACGTTGAAAAATAACATTTAGAATGCACTTAGAGACCTGAAGGGGTCACTCGTTCGCTAAGATTGTTTTAATCGGAAATAACCCTCAATTTGCTGTGTGAAACCAAGTCGAGTAGGTACTATAGAAAAGTGGAAAAGCATTTTGGGTGCATCTAGACATAGGGGGATCACTAGGGTTTGAACATTTGTAACTGTAAATTCAAGCTGATAGACTTATTCCGACTTATAAAATATAAATAACTACAAAGCGTAATAATAATAAAAATAACCACATTTTGGATTAATTTCAAAACTGTTATATTTCAAGGTTTATGTACTATAAAAGTAAGTAATTTTTGATTATACCAATGGAATGAGCATTAAAAATCAAGCATTTTGTAAAAACAGAATTTGAAAATGTTAAATTCTCACTAAGAAACACCCGAACTTCATGAAGTTTTCCCCCATAGCTTCCAAATGAAGTTTGTCCGATTTTTTTTAGATTCTCAATGTACAAGCCTAAATACACATTAAGAAAAAAAATCTTAGGTCATAAACTAGATTTATACAAATAAAATAAAAAATTATCTATAAGTAAATTGTAATAGAAATAAATTAACATTTAATACTAACACTATACACTTATAGTAAAACTACCCATTAAATATTTAGTATTTTAATTTATAATACATAAAATCAATTTGTTTAGTATAGATACTTAATAAATTGTTATTATTATTTTTTTAATTTGTAACAACTATCTACTTAGGTAAATTAAAATTATTATTTGACAAAAATGTAAAATAATAAATTGTAGGGGTACTTACTGATAGTTCAATGCATAGGTCTGTACCATCTAAAAGCATAACCCTACATTGCATACAATGCTTGTTGGGGGGATTTAAACGTTCGGCTCCAGCTTTAATGTTTCTTGCTTTAGGATCATTTCGACCCCGCTTTCTGCTTAAAAATCGAAGCATTGCAATAGCGGGTTAATAGATTGGCAGTGTCACGAAAATAAAAACATTCTATTAATTATCCTGAAATATTAACTTTATTATTTGAATTCATTGATATTTACTACACTGATAGGGTTTAACAAACAATGTATATGAAATTTACCCGTGAACATAAAAATGCAAGTGGTAGTGATTGTTATTTATGCATGCTTTAACATTTTACGTATCAGGTTGTGTAGTTTGTGTTCACCCAAACAAGCCCCACTAGGCACTAAGGTGAGGTACCGACGTACCGTTATGTGATCGCAAAAAAAAAAAAAAACAAAAATAACAGATTAAAAAGATACGATAAAAAAAATCTTAACTTTTAGCCAAGATTGACGGTTTGACCAAAGGTATTACAATATATTATAGATTATATTTGTAGTTCTAATAGTCTGAGGGTGGAGTCAAAGAAAAATGTAAACGATTAATGAGTGCTTAATGCTAAAACTAGTATTATAAGTACTAACAAATTACGATTTACGGATGTTCCACTGGCAATATTTGATAAGAGAACCCAGTGAGTCTCAAAATGCGTAAAAATTAAATTGAAGACAATAAATGTGCAATAATGCACAATGTGATATCAACAAAAGGTGCAAAAGAAAATATTATTTAAGTAGTAGCCTATACAGTAGTCACTGTAACCAGCCGAAATAGTCTTCTTTGTAGCCCGATTATAAAATAAAATCAAATAGAAAAAAATGTATTTCACCAAACGATAGATCGTGAAGTCTTCTTTCAGACAGTGTACTCCACTAAGAGTTTCTCCGACCGGAACATCCGACAACAAAATGATTTGTTTATTTTAAGCTAAAAATGAGAACTCTAACATTTTTGTTTTTTCATAATATTACATACTAAAAAATATTACTGAAATTGTGTAGTTGACCCATATTTACTTAAAATCGAATGATTTTAATATATATTGTTTTCCTATCTTTTAAACCTTGTTTTGTTTTTATTTGTAATTACATGTTATTTAAAATGAAAGATCTATACGAATTATTAAATAAGTGGATTAAGCTTATCGGGTATACCACTTGGAAAAAAAACACACCAATACAATATCTCAAAATGTTGAGGTGGTAAAGAAATCTTCATGATGATCGATATATCATTAATATTTATAACATAATTTAAACGAGATAATGAGGTATTAACATAATTCTTTAATTAGTTGGTGAAAAAATACGAAGTAAACTAAAAAGTATAATTAAATCCGATGACAAATTTTATATTATCTACAAATCAAATAATAAAATTAGGTAAAAAGATATCAGTATTAATTATTATATTGTAAAAGTAAAACTGCATTTTTCCGATGACAATCAAGCAATAATTTTATAAACCTTTGCAAAGTATTCATATAAATTGTATGAAATACTTAGGATAGAAAATTTAAACAGTTATTCCTAAAACAAATAAACTAATTATTAGATAACAGTTATCTATGTTATCGATACCTGTGTTTTACATACATAGTTTAAAAGGTAAAAGGGTTTGAATAATTAAAAAATTAATTTTTCGGAGTCGTGTAGGCAACTTATTTAAATTAGAAAAGTACAATTACAGGAGTTTAATAGGCAACATTGTATACACTTTTGGGAACCATTGGCCTTTCTTATAATATATGGATAAAGGAACGTACATGGTTACCATGATTAAAGTTATACCTTAAAAATATTTATCTGTAATTGTGATGATTACAGAAGTTATAATTTATAAACATTATTATTGTAAAATAAATTGACAAATTGAAGTATGGATATGTTTTGCGGTATGTAAAACACACAATTGTGTTTTTTTGTTGGTTACAAGTATTGCTTTATTTAAAAAATGTGTAATAATACTAAAGAAGAAGATATTGTAGAAAAATGGGGCTTGCCTTTGAAAGAACTATATACACTGGCTCTAAAGTTTTTTAAAGGTAAGTTATTATTTTTAAAATATTGGTTTTTAATTGGCAAGACTATTTATGTTATAGTAAATCAATTTATCATACTATTCAAACTTACTTAATGTGTCCCAAAAATTATTAAAAAGAAATCTGTTTGTGCTCGTGCTTTGTATTTAACTAATTTTAAAATATATTAATATCATGACATCTCCTTCAATTATCTTGTAAATATTATTGTATCTTGTAAAGTTATTAAAGATTACCTAGGAACCAGAAATACATATTGTGTGTGACAAAAAAAAAATGTATTGTTAGATATTTGAATTATGACTACTGATAATAATATAAGTTATGTATAAGTAACTTACAATCAATTTACATCAATTTTAAATTGATATCTAGTTTAATTTAGTGGGTTTTAATTAATATGAATTTCATAATATTATATTTGTATGCAGAAAAAGAAGGTAAAGCTATACACTTTACATATGATGATAAATTGAAACTCGTTGCATATACACGTCAAGTTTGTCATGGAAAATTAGATGAATCAAAATTACCACCGTTGGGTGTATTTGATGTTATTGGAAGAGATAGACGGTAAATGTCATTGTTTTTACTGTTTTAGATATTGATTAATACATGTATTATATTCATTTATTTAAATTGTACAGGCTAGCTTGGCAAGCACTAGGTGATATGTCAACTGAAAACTCTATGGTGAATTTTGTTAAATTGGTTAATAAAGAATGCACTTTATTTAAACATACTATTGAAGCATATAAAGCAGATTTGATTGAGCAAAAACGGATCACGTAAATATCTTTATCATTAAATAAACTGATACAAATCTAAGTAATGAATGAGTGTAATCTGATTTTCACAAATTAGACTGAACATCACTAGACCATATGAAGAGCCTAATTAATTGTTTAATGAAAACCATATTCTAAAATTCTCATATTATAATTAATAGACTCCATTTAGACACAATTTATAAAGTAGCCAATGCTATTTCATAACAATTGAGTTGTAGTATTAGGACTAGAAAAAAAAAATGAAATTTTCACATTTACAATATTACTATTTACTTTATACAGTACAATTTTAAAACAGATTTTGTAAAGTAGAAAAAAACACTTTTGTTAATAATAAAATAAATAAAATATTATTGTATGTCAATTATAAAGCAATGAACATATTTTTATAATATTTCAGTGAAGAAAATATGAAAAAAGAACAAGAAGAACTAGAAAAACAACTTGCATCAATGGAATTAAAACAAAAAGAAGAAGAAGAAAGATGTAAACAAGAAAATACCAAGTATTTAAACATACTTATTCTTAATTCTTTTAACTGTATAACTCTCATTTTAAGATTTTATATTATATGTAAAGAAAATCTTTGTACAACTGATAATTTATTAAAATTGGTGGATATTTTAATTTAAGATTACATTTCAGGCAACTCGTTCAAGAAGCATTAAATATACAAACATATAGCCAATTTCTAACTTACGCCCAGAATCAATTTCCAAATAATCCGGATGAAGTTAGTTATATACAATTAATTAAAAACGAACCAAAACAACATTTTAACATTTTTTTTAAAATTTTGTTCTGCATTTACAAATGTCTAATTTTACAACAATACTGTTTAATGTTATTTAAAGCAAGCTGTACTTGTAAGGCAACTACAAGAACAACATTATCATCAATATATGCAACAGTTACAACAAAACTATGAACCTGGAAAAGAATTAGATAATATAACTACAAACTTAGTAGCTGTTCCTGAAGATAATAGAGTAATTGAACAGGAGACTGTTTGTAACGAACAATGTGAAAATAATGACTGTCTTTCTGGAGAATGTATATTACATATTATATCAAGATACAAAACAATAAAATATTTTTGTTTTTATTTAATTTATCATTAATAAAACATTTTTTTATTTTAGGCTCTGTTCAAACATTATTTCCTGCTTCAATGTGGACAAGAAAAAACATTGATGAATTTAAAGCTAATTTAGTACGTGATGGTGGAGAATCGGTTATTAAGGTTAACCATGGAGAAACAGTTACTGTAAGTGTTTTAAATTCAGAGCGTAGTAACAAATCTATTGGTTTTACTACAATGTGTTTCTGAAAGGTAATATGTCTAATTTATCTCTGGTTAGTGCATTTAAAATGTTATTTTTTTTTAATTTTCAAAATAATTGGGAAAAACCGAAAAGAAAATATAGGTTTAATGGCAGATATTTATAACGTTACTAATTTCATTGTTTTTAATTTTTAAAACGTGTTTTTCTACCATACATTTTGCTCTAATAGAAAAACAGCAAGTACCTTTTTTGTTGTATTTTTAATCTAGTTGGTGAATAAGAATGCTGTTTTTTTAATTTTTTTTGTAGTTTCATTAAATCTAAAATGCAACAAAAAAGGTTTCTAGTTGTTTTTTGATTGAAGAAAGAAATAATTGAAGTAGAAATTATATACATAATTTAAAAATAAAATAAAAAACTTCATTATAAACCGATATATTCCTCACTTTGATCAAAATCTAATCATAATTTCCTAATATTATTTATAGGTTAGAGTTCCTACAGCTGAAGGTGGTAAGTGTGTATTTTGGGAATTTGCAACTGATGGTCATGATATAGGATTTGGTGTTTACTTTGAATGGGTCAAACCTACTACTAATCAAGTCTCTGTGCATGTTTCTGAAAGTGAAGATGATGATTGTGACGATTTAGAAGACGATGACGATGGTAGTATAAACTCAATGTTCATTGAGTTCATTATTTAAATACATTATCTGATTATTTGAAATGAATGGCGGTCTCGTAATTTTATACACAAATATTTAGTAAAATTGCATTTTAAATACCAAAAATAATATATTTGACTGTTAGAATTTGCAGTAGAATTTATGTTATTAATATACAAACTAATAAAATTTGGGAATATTATAACAGAATAACATATTATAAAATATGTTTAAAACATATACACCTGTATATTCTAAAATATAAATATCAATAATAGATTTCATTATTAGTAGCATTGAGTGTACTACTATTTTCTATTTTAACAAATGTTTATTTTTGTTTCCATGTATAAAAAAATAATAATAGTTTATTTATTATATTTTCCTATGCTATGTATTTACATAGCTTGGGAAGATATATATATAAAAAAATTAGATTATAGAACCCAAAAGAATTTAAAATGTATAGTAATTTAATATTCAGGTACTTATCAATACTGAACAAATATTTTTATAAATATTATGAATACCCACTCTTCACTTTTCAGTCCATTTTTATTATAGCATCTAAACATGATTTCTTCTGCAAATATAGCATTTCTAAATTCTCTAGGTATCAGATAAACAAATAATTATATAGTTAATATATTAAATGTAAATTTTACAAAATGAATACAAATTTATCTATTTTGTGAAATGGAAACCTTAATTTTATACTTGGTGTAATTTTTATTAAATTTACACGATATGGATACATTTAATAAATTATAGAATATTGTAAATACAATAGATATACTTGTATTATAAAAAATTGGTAAATTATTTATCACAATTTAACAATTTATGACAAATCTTCACCATTAACAATTATTCATAATCATAATAATTTAATGTTAATATCATATTTTTTGAGGAGATGATAATTTAATCTATTTGAAATTATTAAAGGTACAATATTATCATAATGTTGGCTAGTGAAGGAAATAAAAGTATTGATACATGAATGATAAAAATATATCAATATTCAATTATAATGAAGTAATAAAATGTTAAAAATGTTTATACCAGATACCAATTAGGAATTCAATAGAATAATTCCTGTATGAGTATATCTATTATATTAATAATGTATTATATTTCATTAATATATTCATATCTTGTAAAATTTACATAAATTGTAAAACAAAGATTTCCATTTCACTAAGTATATTATGTTTACACCATGTGGATGTGACATATTATTTATTGATGATTGTTATTATTAGATTTACTTAATGAATTAGAAGCAAATGGTCACACCATTCAAGATATAAAAAAGGCTAACGAGATAAATAGACCACCATTATCAATAATTATTCCCGTATACAGAAGAGACTGTCATAAGGAAGTATATGCTGGAAATCACTTGTATCCTGGCGAAGGAGTTTATTTACTTAAGTTTGATAACTCCTATAGTTTATGGAGATCAAAAACACTATATTATAGAATTTTTTACACACAATAATTTATTATTCTTTAGCTTCTCACAAATATGTTGTAGAGTTAAAAACCTTACTTATATTCGCATCCTTTTTTTAGAAATTATAATTAACATATTTTAATCACCATAGTGAGTGCTGTAAAATAAATTAGGATATCTAAATATTTTAGAAAAAAAAAGAGACTGCATGATAAAGTTTAATTATCTCTGTAGAATACTATCATTAATTTTTGCTTTGCTTTTCAGTTACAATGTAATATTATATTATATAAGTTTATTAACTATATTATAAATAGTTTATAGCATATAAATATCAAACTTTTGTTTTAAGCTGTAAAACAACATTCATTGTTTTAATATTCTAATACGCTATAAGTCATAACCAGGATTTGGGATTTAAAATCATACAAAAAGGCATTTAAAGAAAAAAAAAAACTTCAATATAGCCTAGCCCTAGCTTAAATTGAAGCAACTTAAATATATTTAAAAAAGCAAAAGAACTATAGTCTGTCACATGAGAGTTCGGGTCGCTTGCTGCCAGTCAAAAACGGTCACTGCTGTGCATCCCCGCATCACAACCTTGCCCATCAATCACCCGCTTGATGGTGTTCGAAGTCAGTTGTAAAATTATACATGCACAGAAGCGGCCCGATTTCTTGTGGGACAGACTATAGTAAATGATTACTATTGTTTTTTTAATTAATTAATAAAGAACTTTCTATTTCATATTTGAATTTGTTGTATAACATACATTTTCATTACACTATTAAATTTAATGTGAAGTTAAAAATCAGCAAATGCTACAAATCATGGAACACTGGTCATAACCAGAATAGTAATTTTAATCTCATTACATTGTTATTGTATTTGTACCTATTTGCATTACCTTACTTAGTATTTTAGGAAACATTAATAAGGATAAAAAATATTATTCTAAACTGATATAAAATTGTATGTTAAATATATGTGATTTATTTTAATGAAAATAGTTTAATATATTGAATACATATTAATATACACAGTAAAAATAACTAAAAAAATAATGGTATAGGGATTTATATCCACTTAATTCATATTGTGCAAGTAAAAATTAAAAATTCCAAATATTTATCCAATATTTAATGCAAATATGTCTATTAAAAAACATACCAATTTTATTTTCTAATTGGGTTTAGTAATTTTTAGTAATTCATAATATGAGAATTAACATTATTAAATACATTACCTTAAAATTTATACAATTATTACTGATGATTTTACAAATCTTCTGGGTGTTTAAAGTTTATGTATTCAATATTAAATTATTTAATTAAAAAAAAAAAACTTGTTGAACTGATTTAATGTAAAAATAAAAATTTCCTTTTTTTTTTATTTATATAGTAATTTTGTCATAAAATATTAATAAAATAAACTACTTATTGACCAAAAAAATCTGTATTCTTTTACCCACTACTTAAGTTTTCTCTGGACCAAAAAAGCTTTAACTTGGGAGATCAAGATTGTTTTACAGGCGGATTGAAGTGATAAAAATGATAAGAGACTGAAAAAAAAATGTTTTAATTATATATTGTTATTATAATCAAATTAATATTATGAAATGTAAAAATGTGTACACAATTAAACCAATAGTCGCTCAATTTCAGTCTGAATTTGTAAGATTTGTGGTCGTATTTGTGAACCCTCGTCAGTAGTAATAGAACAAGCTATAACTGATCTTGAAACACCACATGCTCGTCCCAATGCTGTAAAATAAAAATTAGGTACAATTAAATACATAAGATATGTCATGTTTAAATTGTTGAATAAAAAAACAAACCCTGTTTGGATCTAATAAAAACATAAGGCACATTTTTATCTTCACATAGCAGTGGCAAGTGCAATAATATTTCTAAAGGTTCTGCATCAGCGGCACATACTATAAATTCTGATATACCTCTATTTAAGGTTTTAGTAGCTAAAAAAACAATCACAAATTAGACAATATTCTAGAATAAAAACACTAATAGGAAAAAAAATTCCCATTGTAAATTAACACATAGATATTACATATGTTTATAAAATAATAATGAGCTGTAATCAAAAATGGTCCTAAGATAATGTTGATGGGTGTAGCCACTGTGATATGTAAAATTTAATGTATATAAGGAACGATTAACTATTGTTAACGAAAACCGATTTCGAGAAGAGATTTGTTGATATTGATGCTTTGTCATTAATAAATGTTTAATATTATATTTATTTTCTCATTTGTTGTTAAACTCCTGAAAAAATCAAAAACTGGTATCTCTAAAGTATCTTCACACTCCAATTTCCTTTCAAAAAAATGTTATTGAAAATCAAAATAAAATTGCTAGTAGAAAAATGTCCGCAGAAAAACTAAACATAATTGTAAAACCAAAAACTTCTTCTCTCCATTCAGAACAATAATATACACTAAAAATATAAATACTAACTGAATGTTGTTAATATTTAACACAAGACACCAGGTCAATTGCACAAAATCCTAGGACCACAAATAGAAATAATAAACAAAAGAACAATAGATTTTTAAAACCAACAGACTTACTTCTTTAAGCTAATTTAAAAAATTTTAGTACAAAAAGAAAAAAATGTAAACAATATGTAAAATCTGCATATAGCTAATAATAATCAAGGTCATTGAAGGTAATTAGTAGAGTTCGGATGTTAATGCACTTAAAATAACTGTAATATGCAGTTAAAAATTACCAAATATACATTAAAAATCATAAAATACACATTTTTAGTTAAAAACCAAAACATGCACAAAAATGGTTAATTATTATTTTTTTAATATTACATATTAGTTTACAATAAAAGTGTTACAGTGTGATAAACTGGTTTTTTTGATTTGTTCAAATTATACAATTTTTTGCAATTATAATTCATTATTAATTTAAATAGTTTTTTTTATATAAAAAAAAAAAATCTTAAGTATAATAAAATATACATTTATATTCTTGATATCCATGAATATGCAAAATAAAAATAATTTTATTTGATTCTGTAGAACACGAATAAAATTTATTATCAGGTAAGTATTGAATTAGATAAACAGAGAAAAATATCATTTTTTTTTTTAGCAATTTTACAGTCATCTGAACCTTAGTAATTAGTTTAATAATAAAAAAATTAAACCAATATTTTTCAATTTTTCAACAGATTCATTATTATTTTTTAAATAAGAATCTATTAACAAGGATTTTTTCCTAATAAGTTTTTATCAAGACTTTCTTCCTAAATTTAAACAAAAATACATAATTTATTATTGAAATTTACCTTCATTTGCTCCTTTACGCAATTGTTTATAGTTCATAGCTTGTTGAACCAAATTCAAAATTTTTGTTGTCAATTGTTGATCAGCTAGAGGGTAAGCCTTTGGATTTACATCTAAAGTGATATTTTGGTCATCCATACTAAAAGATGATACATATTTTATAATTAATGTAACACAGATACTAATAATTGGATTCATTACCATTATCCATACTAGTATTAAAATTAAAATTTGTGTTTACAAATATCAACTTAATTTAGATATTTACAAAATTCTGATAGAAAAATAAAATTTAAGGAAAACACACAAAACTACTATATTTTAAGTTCTAAAATTTACAAACAATATAATAATGAAGCGTAATATTAATAAAATAGATATAAAATCAACACATACAAAAATTCAGTTTGACATATGTCAAATTATTGAGATTACATGTGAAAATTAAAATTTAAGGAATCAGCATAAATTGTATAATAACTAAGCATAATTCTAGTTTACCTTCCACGCGATTTTTGGGTTTTTGTTTTTCAAAAGATGTGTTTTTGCATGTACATTAAGAATATAAAAAAATAATTCGGACAAACGAACTTCATTTGGAAGTTGTGGGGGAAAATTTTTATGAAGTTCTGATTTTCTGTTTCACATATTTCTTAGTTAGAATTTAACATTTTCATAAATATTTTTTTCCAAAATTTGTATTTAATGATTAATTCATCGGTATAATGAAAACACTTACTTTAAAAGTTTTAGTACATTAATCTTGAAAAATAGTGTTTTTGGAATTCAACCAAAATGTGATCAAAAATAGACATTTTTTTTAGTATTATTATTTGTAGTTATTGATACTTTGATAATAAATTTTTTTTTTATCGAAATCATAATAAGTCTATCTGGCTTGGATTTAGAGTTACAAACATTCAAATGCGCAATGTTTTGCTGCACTCATTCAGAAAATTTTAATCGAACATAATTTTAGAGAGTGACTACATTGGGTCTCTAAATCCACATACATTTCTTCATATTTTTGTTACCTACCAGACGTGATAGTGCACAACAAATCAACAGTTATTTTTGATTAAAATTGTCCAAGTGAGCGCAGCACATTTAAACTTCTGTTACACTAAAATTAAGTCAGATATACCTATTCTAAGGTAAATAAAAAAAAAAATAAAAATCACAAAAACAATGATTTTTTATAATTAGATTTTGATTTGGATTAATTCTAAAAATGCTATTTTTGAAGGTTCAAAACTATAAAAGTAAATATGATAGGTAAGTTTTCATTATACTGATTGGATTAAACATTAAAAAATACACATTTTGGAAAAAAAAATTTTGAAAATATTAAATTTTAACTAAGAAATATATGAAACGTCCATTGAATATTGTTTAATTTTTCGTTTTTAACAGACATTTTACAAAAATTGAACCTGAGACGTACGTTATAGAAATATTTTTCTGGGTAGGCAAAATAATATAAATGTTTGAATGGAAAAGACTACTAATAGAAATTTGATTTTAAAATAATAGTGTTAAATTTTAAAGAAAAGAGGGTAAGACCTGGCACTGCATTGAACTCAAATTTTTTATTTAATTTCACATTATGATAATAAAATAATTTTAATTAACTTTTTGCAAAGACATATTATAAAATTTGATATTAAAATATAAAACTGGGTTTAATGAAAACTGAAGGAAGTATTATTTTTTCTAGTAAATAAATAATAGTCGAAATCAAATTATTCCGTAAGGTATGATTTATGGTCTTCAATCTAGTGAAATGAAACACCAAACAATATAATACTTACTTAGATTATTGAAGAACACATACACTTTTGTAACAAACAAGTGCCGAACGAAATTTATAAGTTTGAAATTTTGTTTATGAGAAAATGTGAGGTTTTGTTTATAGTTTAATATCTAATGATCCGTGCCTCGTGGTTTCAATTTTTTATAAATGTTTCTAGGTTTGTATACTATAATATCGTTTATATCTTCATTTTAATGGTACAGCTGTTTATTGATACCATGGATGTAAATAAGCGACGACCGTACAACTGTATAATATTATAATCAGTGATAACAAGTTGTGCGGTAACACGGTACAGCTGCTTATTAACCATATCCATGGAGCATAACCACGGTCTAGAATCTTATCATCCTTAACTTCATAACCTCAAAATATGTCTATTCGGTAATGGTTTTGCGGTAACATGGGAAACGTTTTTCCCTCATTAAAAGAAAATATTGTTATTGGCTGGAAAGTAGAAACTAGAAAGTTGTTTGACCTTATCTTCTAAGACCGTAAAGATAACAGTGCGTTTAAAACATGGCTGCCACTGGCGTATCTTGTATCTATTCTGTGCCCTTCTATGAGTTTAAGCGCAGTGGATTTATATTAAATATTAATAACATTTATAAGAATATTAATATTAATCCACTCTGAGTATAAGCCTGGCGTACATGGTACATCCCATAGAGTAATTCTAATCTGTGGTAATATCATAGACTTTATTCTAGTTAATACGTAGTTATATTAGTAAAAGTTCTATGTGTAATAAATACGGACATCGTCCGTGCGTACATCTACTTACATCATACTTTTTATCATATTTTTATCAGACATATTCTTATGTCTATGATTTTGATTTTTATCTCTTAATACCATTTGACAGCAGCTATATTATCTGGCTCTGTAACTGCCATTATATCAGATGCAATATGGCCGATACTGGCGAAAATGTGTAATGTATAATTTCGTTATCTTGCTACATGCATGGATTTATGCCATGGTATTAGCTTTTTAGTTACCTGTTGTACACGAAATAAACGCCAAAATATCTTACATGACGCATAGACGTAAACATGTAGTATATGGGTAGAAATCTCTAAGGTCTATGATATGACGTGATTTTAGATTCTGAGTGGAGCGAGGAATTTACAGGCTAAAGGTTTTACAATAATATTTCGCTTGCGTATTATTTTTCGTCACGCATAGGTGCTCATGGGGGAATTCTGGAAAGAAAATACGGAGAAATAAAGCCCATGGAAAAAAAATTCCGAATTCATTTTTTTAAGATAAAATGTCCGACTACGAAATTATTAAAATTATTTTTTAAGTCTTAATTTCTTAATAATATAAATAATGAATAATAATTGTGTTCTATTTCATAATTATAATTATAATATATATAATATGAATAATAAGTAAAGTGATATAATTAAAAATGAATCATATAATAATGTAATATTATTTAAAACTGAAAATTTGTTAATATTTATTTCATTTATGAATACAATGTCCAAAACTAATTAAAAATTATTCCATTGTTATTTCATTATCAGCCGCCCTAGAGCAGAAACTCCGTAAACGTTCACAATATAGATTTCGTCTATATTCGTAAACAAATTATTACTAGTATTACTTATACTATTAATTTTTTAATATCCTTTATTATTAATATTTTTAATAAATTAAGACAAAAAAAGTTAAATCGGACTTTTTTTCTGTTTAATAATTTTGTGGTCGGTCTTTTTTTCAAAAAAAATTAAATCGGACTTTTTTTCCGACTCCCGCTCATAGGATTAGGGGAGTGGCCAGACGAGGCAATTGACCTCCCTCCAGAGCAGCACTCGGTTTGGCCATCGACAGGCAAACGTTTCGACCGTTTCGTACACTGTGCAATCGGCAGTCCCTGGCTCCCTGCACAGCTACACTGGCTGCACTTACTAGTCGTTTGTCAATTTTTTTATTTTCTTTGCAATTGCTAAAATTTTATTTTTTGTTTACAGACAAAATAATATAATTGAACAATAAACAGTAAATTCTAAAGAATTTGTTATATTATATATTGGGTTATACTAATTATATTAATTTTACTATTCCATTTTGACTAATTACTATGAATATTTAATAATATCTAGGTGTTTTATAATTTTAATTAGATATCTACATAAAATAGGTACTTATTAAGAATGCTTTTACTAAGACTATTTCCAATCTTTCAATTATTATATGCTTTGGATGACTCTACTTTGGTTCAAAAAATATCTGATAATAATGCTCCTTGTAAAAGTTGTAAATTATTAGTTCAGTCATTTGAGAAGGTAAAATTCCTAAAATAATTGTTTTATGTATATAGAGTATCAAACAGTAATTTGCAAATAAATACTTATATTTGTAGAATCTTTATGTATAATTTATATACATTTAATAGTGTTAAACTTTTTAGGGCCTTGAAAGAACAAAGAATCACTATGGTGATAAAAATACAGCTTCAGAAGAGAGCGAAGCAAGATTCGTGGACATTTATAACTCTTTATGTGATACTTATCAAAACCAAGATATGGTAAAATTTGGTATACAGTATAGGTACATGTTAATAAGTCGGTTTTTTTTAGTGTTTTCATACATTAAATGAATATAAAAATGATTTGAAAGAATGGTGGATCAATGGTCGTCAAGGAGAATTAAACCAATGGTTTTGTATAGATAAATTAAAGGTATGTTGTCCACCAAAACATTATGGACCTAACTGTTTACCATGTAAAGGTTATCTAAATGTTTGTAATTCACATGGCACTTGCAAGGTAATAAAAAGTTTTAATGTCTAATAAGTATGTATTACAATTGGATTATATTATTTCATAGGGCGATGGAACTAGAAAAGGCAATGGATTATGTAAATGCTATAATGGTTATGATGGTGACAACTGTGATCGATGTGCTTACAATTATTTTATTGTGATGAAAAATGAAACTCTTACTTGTGAACAATGTCATAAATCTTGCAAAAGAGGATGCACAGATTCTGGACCAAAAGGTTACACCCATTTTTAGATGTATATTATAATTTAGTATGTTTATATATTTTGCACGTATAGGTTGTAATGAGTGCAAAGATGGATGGATGTACATGGGTAAAGGTAAAGGTTGTATTGACGTTAATGAATGTATAGAACAAGATGTTTGCACGTCACAACAATTTTGTGTTAATAATGAAGGTTTCTATTCTTGTTTAAGTAAGTGTCAAAATATATATTAATTAATTTAATCCCTGATTTTACATGTTTATATATACATATATATTTGATTGAAATAAATTTGTTTTAAGATTGTGATCAATCATGTAAAGACTGTTATGGTGATGGAAATGATATGTGCTATAACTGTGCACCGGGGTATACCATGAAAAATAAAATATGCACAGGTATATTTAATTTAATTTAACTTTTTCAATATTAAGATTGTATTAAACATTTTATAATTATGCAGTTATGCATGAGTAAAGATTATTATAAAATTTATTGTGGTATGTTTTACTATCAAATGCTTTATTAATTATTGTTTTGCAAGATTTTTACATAGTAGAAGTTAGACAATGTATTCATTATATCTAAGAGGAAACTGAGTAAGTTTTTTTTTATACATATATTTAGATCAATAGTTTTTAATTTTAATTTATGTTTTTACTTATCAGCATACAATATACGCAAATAATATACATTTTATAATGTATAAACAAATCAAATGTTATGATCTCCATTGTTATATTTACTACACATTTTTATTAAGGAGAAAACAAATTGTATACTAATAAAACTACATACATGAAACCCTATGTTAATTATTAGACTTTAAGTTTATTGCCTGTTCTACATAATTACGGCACGATAAGGACCAACATATCACAGATTACAGCACATTAGATTATGACAAAATATTTTTATATTAGCACCAAACCAAAATCTATCAACAACCATTATATATTAATGTTGTTTTTAAAATATATTGGTTCTTTTTCATATAAAGCTGGTCTTTCTTTCTATGAAGTTCAGTTTTCGGTAACAATTTTAATATATTTTGTTATTTTTTAATTTCTGCCAAATTTTGCTACTATAGTAATTCAATAAGACAAATATGAAAAAATTGTATATTAAGTTTGTTAAGACTGAAGAAGTTTAAAATTTTTCATCATTTCAATTAATTACAAATCTTTTTTTTTTTGAAATTAATTATGTTGGCATTGCATTTTAATATTATATATATATATTTTTTTTAAAAAATGTTTGTTAACCTTTACTTATATTTAATTTTTTTTATTGTCAACAGTATTTTAACATGTTAATATTATGTTTTAGTGAGCACTGAATGGAAGGACGCAGATCAATCTCGGTACTTAACATACATTGGTCTAGGAATAGCAACATTAATTATTTTCAGAATGGATACAACTATAGCAAGTATTGTTGGAGTACTTTTAGCAGTTTATATAATGATGGCTGAATATCTTATGAATGAATTTTATAAGCCGTGAATTATTAATTTAAATTATTACTTACTACTTATTAACTACCTAACTAATTAATCATTTATGTTCTTTTTAAATGTCCATATTCTATATTAAATAACATAATTACTTCATATCTCATAAGACTTTGAATCATATGAAATATTCACTGAATTAATGAATATATTTCAAAACCTTCCCTAAATCATTGAGATAAAATTTCCTTTCAGAAAATAAGCTAGATATGATACATGAGAGCAAATTTTCTGGTAGAAAAGTGTGCATAACAAATTGAGGGAAATTTTTCTATTAAAATCATCCGAGTGAGTGATAGCTAGGTCCCTTGGTACATTTAAAATGCTTTTGTTTTTTCCCTATTTAGATAAAAATGGAAAAAAAATTTCTTATCAAACCCCGGGTTTGAACCCTCGACAACATATAATATCTGAACTTCAAAAAGCTATAATTTCGAAACATAGTCAGTCCGTTCAATTCTGACTTTACCATCCTTCTTAAATCGGCAATATACATATGTTCGAAAACAAAATTGTACTATGTTTAGAAAAGGCAAGTTTTCTGTCCAAATTTCAAATTTCTACAAATATTTTTAACTGACTTGCTATAAATAACAAAATTGATAAAATAATAAAAGAATTAATTTCGTACATTTCCCGTTTTTTTTACGTTTTATCTGGGTTCTTCCCAGATATTATGAAAACTACTTGGAAAATTAATAGATAACCTCCCAAAAGTACCATCTGGACAACATTTCCTTTCAGAAATGGTGCCGCGCGTATATATCTGAGCCAGATTTATGGTCGAATTTTTGTACACACTATAAAGAGAATAAAATTTAAAAAATAAATATCTTAGTAAAACCAATACATTCTTCATTACACTCAAAATCTTAAAATGAAAACTATAACGCCGCAGTCTGCCGTAAATATTTGCCGTTTTACCTATTATGCATTATAAAATGGCAAACAATGAAAATAATCATTTTGTAAAAAAGTACAACATTATTTAATTTTACTTTTTCGACTGCACACGAATTGCATGCCAAAAAAAAAAAATATCCGAATTGCGTGCCGTGTATAAATATTAATAAAAAAATAAAATGGCATTTTCCTTCACACTTTTACGGACTATTAGGACTAACAGTAAAAACTTAATTGTTATACTGGTGTGGTTAAAAATGTTTTGTTTTTTAATTTCATATTGTTAATAATTTTACTATTTTAACGTATTTATACGTATAATATCGGCAATATATTATGATCTAACGTCTTATGTACCTATTTATTATATGCCATGAGTCATATTTAATTTGTTTTCGGCTACGCCATATATGATAACTTTTCTATTGATTTCATTATTTTGAAATTGTGTTGTCATTGAACTTATAAATTCTTCTTTTTCTAATATTTCTCGACGTCTTTTATTTAAATTGGAAGAACGCATTTTTACATATATATCACATTGTATTTGTTTTAAGACATCGACTAGTTGAAATATATTAGGACTTGGAGAGTAAAACATTCTATTCAGTTTCGAATTGAATGATTCACAAACATTGGTTGTATGCATTGTAGAATTATAAAATTCAGCCCAAATAAATGGTAGAAATGAACTGTTGGCCATTACATAAGTTTGTTTCTAGTTATACTTGCCTACCCGTCACAATATCAGCGATCGATGAGAGATGTCAGTATGTTCATAACGTTCTCTCATTGGTTGTGGGGATGTTATAATAAAAAGAGTACGGAGACACGGACTAAGACAGACTATTCATAAATATATTAAGATATATCTTAATCCGCGAGAGGATCTAATATTTATTTAGATACAATCGAGTCGCTGATGCTAATATTATACGAGTAATATTTATTGAGCTTATTAATTAATAGAATAAAAATACCGTTATTACTAATTTCTATTTTCTGTTTTTCTTTTAATAAGTTTAGAGGGAGGTATCTAATCAGTAAAGGGTCATAGAAGTGTTATTCGTCATTCGGTTTTAAATAGGTACGAGTAGTTTTGTACTTATTTTTTTTGTTTTACACACAATTAAAATGGTTATAAATGTTATTACTAAATAATTACCTATCTATCGTCGCGCCGTTTTCGTTAGGTTTCTTTTTAGGCTGGGTGTAAAGGCAAAATTTTATTTGAACATTTTGATATCATCCCTGATAAAGATGATATTCCAATATGCCCTAGTGTCGTGGTTGTGGGTTATTGGCCGTTATGTACTGAGTATACTCTATAGTAGCCGAAAAATCGGTTATCGTTACAAGTGTTTGGGTAGCCATAGACATTAGACTTAACACTTAACCCCATAAAAAAGCGTATTTCTAGAGTATATCCATTTGAACGGAGAGCTGAGATGAAACAGATTATAGGTACATATGGCATATTTGTCGATTATTAAATCAAATACAGCAACTATCCAACAAGAGGTAAATATTTTATTTTAGTTTTTTTATTTTCTTTTTTATTTACTTTTTAAAATATGCAAGTAGAAATCGTTAATTTATTAATATATAAGTAAATCTATAGTCTTGATACACAGGGTGATTCATTTATCGTAAGACATTCATTATTTCAAAAAGTGATAATTTGTTGAGGTCTTTATTTGAAATTGTAAGAAATATGCCATTCTAAAATGATAAATTACATTATTTTTGTGAGTAAAACCACCCATACTTAAAAGTGGAGTATTTCATCAACTGATAATAGAAATTAAAAAAAAGATTGAACCGCACTCTCACTAATGATCATTTACGACTAACACAGAAATAACTGGCGAGGACAGCGAGATTAGAAATTGCCTAAATACTACTTAAGAAATCGCCGCTTTCAACCGCCTTAATTACATAAATTATATGTTAATATGTCATGATTAATATTATTGTATACCTAATATAATCTAGAACATTAAAAGATACATAATACATCAAAAATTCAAAATAGATAATCAGGTTCATATAAACATTACACATAATATATTACCTTTATAAATACTTGCTATAATTAACAAAATAATATACATTACAATTCAAATTGGACCAAATAAAATAAAATGGTACAAGATGATTCCAACCTAACCTTATTTTTATTCTATGGCTCCAAGCAGTTAATTTTCTTTTAAAGCTTTGACAAAGATACTTTTTAAAGTACATTTATTTACGCTAAATCACCTAGGTATTTTGAAAAAAAACTTTAAGGACTAAATATTTGTACTCGTAACTTATGGTAGATATGGGCAAAAATCACAGACATATTAATAAATATATATAGTGCAACAGGCATCGTTGTACCACGAAGCGTTGCTCATTTGGCCCAAATCCCGCACTCCGCCAATCAATACGTTACCTGGTCCGGTACATTATCTTAGTTCGTTCAATGTGCCACATATTATACATTATTATCTTTAATCTCACTCCGGGATTAATCTAAATAATTTCGTTTTCACCAACATTAATAAAGGCATTTATCTGATTCTTGAACTGAGTTTATGACTGATAACCGACCACGATTGGTATTATTACCTTATAAATTCCGTTTAAAAATTAACGTTTACGTGTTCCGGACATTCCCCCCCCCCCTTGGACATTTTTACCTTGATTCTGTTGCAGCTGGTAACACTGTTATGCACTACGCACACAGATAATAAGACATCAGCTGACTCGGTAAGAAGTGGGTGTATCCGTATTCCGTGCAAACGACTTAGTACTTACACAGTTACACACAGACATACACAAATACACACTAGTAAAATCTGTATTAATCATTAATCATAGAAAAAAGATAATTGTTACAATTTTATCGCAACTTTATATTTACAATTCTGATATTCATTAATAGTCTGTTTTCTTGAAATTCTGATTATTGGAAATCACGGGCTAAGAAAGTTAGAATAATATTATGACAATATGAATAATTTTAAAGTTTTTTTTACAATTTGGTAATGCAGTTTATAGTTACATATTTTTATCATTGTTATGCGATTTTTCGATTTTACGTTTGCGGTGTAAGTGTAACGTTAATTCATCGTTATTTATAGTGTGAAGTAGTTTCATTTCTTTTGCATGAGAATGTCTGCAAACGAAAACGAATCTGTGGACATTCATCTTTACGCGAATCGACGTTCTAATTCGGTAAAATATTTTATTCTACCTTTTTTATATATTAGTGTATAGTTATTATCTTAACGCCCCTAATACCCTAATGTTTTTTGTGAAAAATAAAATAGGTATTAGGTAGTGTAAAAATTATGTAAACCCCCATATAAACTATATAAATTTATAAATGCATATTCAAAATACCTTTGTTGCCCTTCTCCAATCAGACCTTGACCAATTGGTACATTGCTGTGAATCCCTGAGGTTGACACTTGATATCTCTAAATGTATTAAGATGTAATACTTTTGTATCAACAATCCAATTATATTCAATTACACCATCCATAATATTCCATTCACTTCTAACTTTGTTCGTGACCTAGGTTTTCACTTTTCACTTTTCTTCAAACCTGTTCCCAAAATTGCATATTCAGAAGATTTGTTGTGAAGCATTTAAAATCCTTGGATTCATGCAGCGTACTTCTTCTCAGTTTAAATTGGACCGTTTGTTAAAAATACTTTATTGCTGTTTAGTCCAACCTATTCTTGAGTACAGATATGTTCTTTGGAACCCTAATTTATCTATAGATACTAAGCGATTGAAAGGGTTCAACAAAAATTCCTATCATTTGCTGTTTATTCTTGATTTATTATTGAAAGGTTCATTGCCCTCCACACAATTATGAACCTTTCCGTAAAATTTTAAATTTATTTAGCTTTGCTGATCGTCTGCGAATATATCATTTCTTTCTTAACTTCTATCAAATTCAATAGACTGTCCTGCTCTTCTTTCAGAAATTAATTTTAAAGGCCCCCCTTGTAATACTAGATCTACTGGTTCCTTTGTTATTCCCTTTTCCTCTTCTAATTATATACTAAGTATACTAGGGTCTTGTTAATAAAGACTCCACTTTTAGCTAATAAACTATTTATCAACTGGGTATTTTATTGCTGTTATTATTTTTTTATTGTTTATGTTATCATATTATCCCACATCATACAACGATTTTGAGTCTCAGATTGTATTGGTATAAAAATAAAATTAATATTAAAATACCAGTGAATGCGACTAGTATGAATAAACATTAATTTTAAGGATGTATAAATTTTAAGAATGTTAATATTAGACCTAATCATTTAAGAAATTATAATACCAATAAAACACCAACTATCAGAATTCTCAACATTTGTTTGTACTCATTTGCCATGTACTAAATTAATGTTGACCAAAAACTTAATTTTTTATCTTCTCTATTATTCTTTGACAAGATTGTTTCCATTCATTATTGATATTAGTCAATTTAAATTCTGCTTGTTAAACTAAATCCTACACTCTTTTCTTTGTTCTAAACATTGCATTCGTAATTACTTAGTAATTGATTCAAATTACTGGATATTTTAATGTGATTTTAATAATTTTAAACACAGTATTGCCTAGCACTTGTACATTATTTCAGCCAGTCTTGGAAGGAAAATTCCCTTCTACATTCTTAATTAGGTACTAAGTATGAATAATTATATTTTATTTTTCATCTTACAGATTGATTTGGAAGACATTAACCGTATGGAAAGACCTAGTCGTGTTTTCAGTAGTCGTCATAACTTAATGCCTCCAGCAGTTGGAGGATGGTCTCATTTACGTAATTTAAACAGATTTGATTATTGTTTGATAATTTGTAAATGTGTTTAATAAATTAGTTTTAGATCCTGTAGAACAAGCTGAACAATTTCGTAGACAATATCCTTATTATTATGAAACCCCGTATACTTCACGAATTGGTGGGAGTAAGTCATTTTGAAATTACTTAATTATTTACTTTTACTAAATAATTCATTTCTATTACGATAATTTATTTATACAACATTCAAAACATATATCTAGATTTAATTTCTTTAGATTGAATAAAAGTATAAAATTGATCCTATTTTTTCCACAAAATAATTAAATTTGAATTTGAAATTTCCTTTATTATCTTAGAACTGCAAAAAAAAAAAAGCTATTGAAATAATATTTAGCATTCTATATAATATGTTATAAAAATAAACAAAAATCTATACTGTCATTTTTAAAAATATTGTCAGCAAGATTAGATATTATATACATATAGTTTTTGTTTACCTAGTCCTTAAATATTTAATTGTATACAAATAGGTGCTATTAATTATTATTTTTTAATAGGTACAGCAAATGGAGATACTACAAGAAATAGATCTCCATTTGTTAGATTTACAATTACTGATCCAGAAACTCAACAAATAACCGCTGCTGGACAAATTCCATTGAATAGTCCACCAACAACTACTCAAGCAAACATTTTAACATCTAGTTAGTTTCAAAAATATTTTCTTATATTAAACAAATGCTATAACTTTTGTTCTGTTCAGTTTTTTTTTTTTTTTTTTTTATAATACAGTAAAAACTTGATTAATCGTCTACAGTTTATACTGTCTGTAAACAATTTTTCAAAAGAAATCTTGCTACGATGTTTAAAGTAAATTATCTTTTCTGAAAGGAAATTTTGTCTAGTTGGTACATTAGACAGATTATTTTTTTAATTTTGAAATAGGTTTTCGAAATAAATGGAAAAATCCCAAAACAATTGTTTGAATAAAATGATAAATATTTTTGATATGTTGTGGCATTACCGATTACATTGTTTTTAATTTTTGCAAATTATGTTTTCTAAGAAACCAAAAAATGATGAAGAGGTTATTTTTGTTCCTTTTAATATTTAGCTACTGAGAAAGAAACATCATTTTTTGATATTTAAAGTATTTTTCATAATAATTGGGAAAATCAAAAAAGATGAAAAATAAGATTTTTTCAAATTACGGTTTCATTATTAAACATTTTTAAGATTATATTTTTTTCCCAGAAACCTTTGTTCAAATGTCAAGAAAAAAATTTATTTTGAAAGAAAATTTTGTCTAGTTTATGAGTAAAAAAGCCGTTACAACTTGATTTGTCTAATTATCATGGGGCACTGCATATTCCATACTAGATACTTGATTTGTTTGAACAATATGTTTCTTTATTAACTTTTTATAAAATCTTTTTTTAGTATTCAATCAAAATATTTATAATTGATAATAGGATAGAACACTTAAATGAAAATTTTAAATTACAAATAAATAACAACAATGTACAAATGCTAAAAGTTATGAGCCCTGGTAATAACATTGTTAGTTTAAATATTATTATAGTTATAAAAATAACATAACTCCAAACTAATAAAAAAAAGAAAAGGTTATTGATGTTTGACTAAATTCTCATGTTTCTACTTTTTAGATAAATATACTCCAGTTAGAAAAAATAAAAATTGTTTAACTTTGTATTGATTTGTTTAATCTGAAAAATATATTTTAATGGTATTTTTAGATGCTGAATTAGGATTAGCTAGTGATCCCCTAAATGAAACAAGTGATGACGAATATTTGGGCCTTAGAATTAGGAGATACCATGTTGATCAAAATAGGCGTTATATGGACCATTTCAATGCAGTTGGACAAACTCCGCAACAATTACGAAACTCAAGATCTGGAAGACGATCAAGGAGATATACAGAACATCCTTATAGCCATCCTTATACGAGAAGTAATTTCGATAATAATCCATCCAACAGTAGATCCCATCATAATAGGCGTGCTCGTTTCTCTTCAACAAACCGTGGTTATAATGATTCTGTAAGTGAATAAATATTTCTACCTACATTGTTTAATATGAATTTAAGTTCATTTTAAATACCTGCTAATTAATGTGATATTAGACAAATATTATTTTCAACTGAAACATTTATACAAACAAAATGAGCTTATTGGGATAGAAAATGTTACAGAATAAATTATATTATATTATAATATTAATATTATATATATTTACAACTTCATATAATTTATTTATTATTTAGACACCTGAAAGAGCTCAAACTCCAGAACAAGAACTTCCAGAAGTACTTGAAGAAGATATGGAACATGAAGACCCATTTGAAGACGATTAGTAAGCTAGTAAAATTAATGTTTCAATTTTTAATATTTTAATATTAAGATTTCATTGACAAATATATTTATTTTATGTACAGTCTTACGAGTCATGATAGTACATCAACTTTTTCACTTCGTTCAACATATGTACATTCCGAAAACGAAAATTCTATTGAAGATGAAGAAGATAGAGTTACTTTAGATGTACCTAATGAAATTCCAAGAACAAGAGTAGTGCCATTTGTTATGTCACCTATACCATTACAATTACCTTTTAGTCCACATGCAGATCCATCTGATGCATTGGATATACCAACAGCAACTATAAACAATATATCTACAGGAATGCAATTTGATAATATTGATGATAATCCCATTCCGGTTTTCAGGGACCTTGAGTAAGTTGTCCAAAGACATTTTGCATTTTTGAGTTATTATTTTGTTTTAATGGATAAAATTATTTGGCCAAACAGAAATTATTATTGAAATTTCAACATGAGTTTCATTATAAGTTGTTCTTTGCAATCAAAAAATAAATTTAAGTGTAATGCAGTTGTTATTTTTATCTTCATTTTAGTTCAAATATTGCCAATATAATACGGCATTTAAAAACACGTTTAACCGAACTATGCTGAGAATCATATTTCATCAGCAATGATTTATTGTGTACAGATATAAATTAAATAACGTTATGCCTATTACCTACCCAACTTCCCACCTACAACAGCGGCATACATATCAGCAGTATCAGCTCATGTTTGTTAGTACTAACATTGATGGATAAGGCATTCATTCAAATCTTGCAAAATCAATAGATTTAAGCCAACAATTTACAATATTTTATGCAACCTGATATTTTTATTACAAACTGTGCATTATTATTTAGACTAAAATGTGGCATGGATTGAATTCGGTGAACCTGTGGGGACCTTTTATTATCTCTATTAGGATAATCGTTATTAATATTATAAAAATAGCTGGAATTTCAAACGATGACAAATTTAACCATGTAAGAGGTCTTACCTATGTGAAGGCATAAGAACAAATTACTTGTTATAGCCTGGTATTGGAAGATCTAAGAAAATAATGACAAGTTGTCAACGCCTGTTGCAGAGAATGAATATGTTTTGTCGACATCAACGTTCAGTGTTAAGATAAAGTAGTAGCTCTAAGGGGATACATATTATATTTACACATTTTTATTAATAGTTGACAACTGGTTGTGATATTTGATAAATGCAGTAATTATTTTAAACCTCCAAAATTATTATTTTTATATTTAATGTACATTTTCAATAATAAATAATTTTTGTTTGTATAATGTATTTATACATTTTGTGTATTTAAACATTTACTTTATTTTATTTTATTAAATGATTTTCAGAAGCCCTCTATTACCACCATTCATCGAGTATAATGAACCTCGTATCAATTTTATGTCTGTACGTACTAATGATGTAGATTTACAAAACAGTGTACGTACTACTGATACAGTTAGTCGGACAAGTGATGCAGATTTAAACTCCGCAAATAATACAACAAATGATACAGTTAATAATACACTTAATGCAAATGAAACTGTTGATCAAAATAATGATGATAATCAAAATATAATCTTGAGACCTCCATCAAGTGCATTTGCACCTACTGTGCAAGAAGGCGACCAGTAAGTTTATTTAAACTGTTATACATTTAAAATTGTTGAAATATTTCTCTGTGTGAATGCATCCTATATTAAGAAATGTGTTATATGGTAATAGTGGATATTGTCCACTTTTAGGATATTCTTATTTATTTTAAAATAATAGTTTATTGTTAGTATTATTTAATTAAAAATAAAAATATATAATGTATAGTTAGAAATATAATCATTTATTTTCTTACATAACTTATAGATCTGGTGTCACTGAGGAAACTGTAACAGTGCAACATGCTGAAGAACATCCAGAATCTTATGAGGAACTTAATGATCAGTTAACTCGTTTATTTGAGTGTCCAGTTTGTTTTGAACATATTGTGCCTCCAATTTTCCAGTGTTTATTTGGTCATTTGATTTGTAGTAAATGTGTAATAATGTGTGAAAATTGCCCAACGTGTAGAAATTCTTTTAACTCAAAACGTAACTTATACATGGAAAAAGTAAATTGAACTATATTTTCATTATTATTTAAATATTACCTGTTGTATTTTTATATTATTATATTTTTTTTAAGGTTGGCTATTTAATAAAGTTTCCTTGTAAAAATGCATTAACTGGATGTAAGCAGCAGATGTTCCTTGGTCAAAAAGAAACACATGAACAAGAATGTTGTTATAGACATTACCAATGTTTTTTTACCAATTGTACTTGGAAAGGATATTATCCAGAATTGCATGTACATATGGTTAATAGTCATAGCAGTTGTATTTTAAATGGAACAGATCGGGTACAGTATAATAAATAACTTTTGGAAAAATTATATTTAAAATGTGTTTTTGTTTTCTATTTTATTTTTTAGACTTTTGATGTTTTTTTGCCTAATCATAATCAAACATATAAATGGTTTTTATTAGCTCATAATGAATATTTTGCTGTTATCGCTCAAATATCTGCTCCACCTAGAAGTATAAAAATGTAAGGTTCCTTTATTTATTTATTTATTTACTAAATAAATAAAGTAATACTTTATTTAATATGTGTTATTGTATAGTTATAAATATGAAAATTGATAGTTCTTTTATTTTTATTTGAAATTATTTTAATGATGAATGATTACTAATCTATTGATAAATGTTTGTTATTATTTCTAGTCAAGTAAATTTACTTGGGCCAGATGTTAAGGCAAAAAAATTTACATTTAAAATAAAATTAATGCAACAAAAGTCTCCAACTGATACAAGACAAAAATTAATATATGAGAGAACAACTCTTCCATATTCAGATATACATGATTTATCAAACAACAATGTTTTGAGGAAAGATGTATTTTCATTGACTAGTGATATGCTTGAAACATTTACAAAAAGAAAACGTCGCCGCCGTCTGCCAGTAAATTTAATAGTTAATCCAATTTCTAGTTTGTAATGACTAATTTAATAATATTTATGATTAATAATTTTTAACTATTGTATGTATACTACCTACAAAAAAAGTGTTTATATTTAGAGCCCTAAAGAATCTCCCACCTCCTATCAAAATTCTTTTACACTATTATTATTCAGTTAAGCCATTTTTAGGACACATTGTTATGTCCTGTGTTTGTATAAAAATATTAATAATCTTTAAATATGTTAAAATAGTTTTACTATAGTATCTATTTTAATTATCTTAATTTTATTCTACATTTATATTTGTTCAGTATTTTTATTGTTTAATATTTATTAATTTAAATTTATGTATATTAAATAAGCTTAGTATTTAGAACAATAGGGTGTTCAAAGTATATACTATTACCAGCTAAAGTTAATATTTTATATCTTATAAATATTTTTTTTTATTTATGTGTTAAAAATAATAAATGAAATCTTGAAATGTATAGCATTTATTTACCATGATATTATCATTGGCAAAAGCTAACAAAGGATATATTTGATATACTATTGCAAAAAAATAATACTATTTTTAACTAAGTTTCTAACTTTTGAGCAATTGATAATAGTGTGTGATGTGCACTGTTTTGAATTGTAATAATTATGCATATTTAATATTTATAATTATTATTATAATGTATAATTATTATATAATGTTATTTTGAGGATCTACTGTTTGGTTTAACTAACAAGGCAATATAATAAAAGTGTGCTTTTTAGTTACTTAGCTATGTTAGTTTTTGTCTTTTTAATTAGCTGTTTCATTATTTTTTATCAAAGAAAGCTATGTACACCCCTCGGAAATACTTTCATTTTAGATTTTGAACGTAGTGAGGGATCTATTGGTTTTACTATGATGTTTTTTGTGTGAGCAACTTTTCTATCAGAAAACTTGCTCTGAAGTACAAGTGTAGCATTTTTACTGGAAGTTCATTTTATCTAGTTTGTGTATTGAGAAGGCCACTTTTTGATTTCTTTAGAGGTTTTCAAAATAATTTGGAAAAACTAAAGAAAATTATAGGTGAAATGCAATTATTTACAGAGCCAGACAGTGTTACCATTTCCATTGTTTTTAATTTTTGCAGTTTATGTTTTCCACCAGAAATGTTGCTCCAGACGAAAAAAATGACAAGAGATGGATTTTTTTTCTTTTAACATATATCTACTGTCAAAGAGATTTTTTAATATCGAAAGTAGTTTTTATAATGATTTGAAAAAACCAAAAATTAAAATCAAATTACAACAGAATAATGATTTCATTATTTAAACTTTTTTACCGCTTATGATTTTATAAATATATTGCTTCAATATTAAAAGATAGTTGACCTTTTTTGTTGTATTTTTAATTTAGTTAGTTACCAAGAAGATCGGTTTTTAATTTCTACGTAGCTTTTTGAATAATTGAGCAAAACTGAAAAATATGTAAAATTAAAATAATCCTTTTATTATTTTTTTCAGTCAAAAATATTTGTAGTGATCATTTTGACAGAAAACTTATATTTGCTTTTTCTAGTCGAGATAAAACATTGAATATTTCTGAACTATTTATAGACATTTCAATTTTGATAACTTGCGTAATTTTTATTTGATAGATTAAATGATTTAAAATTTTACAGGAGGTATACTATAAAGCGTACTTAGTGGTAAAAAAAACAAATTTGCTACATATAGAATATTTTTTTTTACAAGAGTTAAAATCAAATTTTGACAAAAATCGTAAATATTATGATTTTCAAAACATGTATAACTGAATTATAGCTTCGAATCGTTTTTGGTTACCAATGGTTTACCGTTGGTTACAAATATAAATTAAATAAATTTATGTACCTATCTCATATTCCCAACTACTTATCTACAATCTGTCCCCTAGTATCAACTCTTTTTTTTTTTTTTTTTAAATTTAGTTATTTATATTCAAACTCTAATTTCAACCTAAACACCATAAATTATTTTTGAAGTTACCTAACTTTGCTATGTTTTCTGTTAGTAAAACCGATTATTATTGAAACAGTTGATATACGAGGACACGCGTCCTCTTAATAATAATTTCTTTATTTTATGTGAATTATCAATTTTCGTGACGGATGAGTGAGGATAAACAGTTGTTAGGTAGGTAAATTATAATACTTAACAGATACAATTGATTATAATTGACACAACATGGTTTTGTGAACAGAAATTGAATAATAACAATTGTTTTATTTTTATGAAAATATTTTACATATAGTTTTCAATTTTTTATATTCGATTTGTAATAGTTATGTATTTATTAAATATTAATCATAATATTCAACAATTAGTTTTTATTAGGTACCTATACCATGATAAAAAAAAAAAAAAACATTCGAATGCGATTAACTTATAAGTACATCTAGTAGGTAGGTAAGTAAAACAATTTTATAAACATATTATACCATCAACATGTATAATAAATGTATTTATTAATTAAACAAAAAAAAAAAAATCTATTGGTAGGTAGGTACACTGTAAAAAATGTAAATTAATGTAAGACAATGTTGATTTATTAAACCTTAGCTATTTACATTGCATGGTATTTGTACATTGGCAGCATATTTTTGGGGGATGAGAGAGTTTGCACCAAAAGGAATAAATAATAGGTATGTACCTACCTAGATATTTACTTAATATTATTCTAGTAGGTAGGTACTCATCTAGTAAGTATATTGATATTGCGACATATTTTTTAATATTATCTACCTATTTATTTATTTTGATTAAGTATTTTGAAAAATTCAACAAATGTATTGTTCTAAATTTTAATATTCAAATAAATGTGAAGAACTAACTAATACGATTGTTAGATACCTACTTACCAATATAGGATATTAGACTAGCATATCATATAGTTATCAATTTCATTTCGATACCTAAATAAATAAATAACACGTAGGTATGGTTGCCCAAATTATTATTTTAAAGGCTGGGGGGAAGAGAATAAATTGTAATTAGGTTTTTAAACACGCATGTAAAAATTAATATATAGATAAATATATGGACATAAGAATACAAGACCTATACAAAAGTTTAGGTTATGTTATACAGTTATAATAAGTCTACAACGAGATGATGAATTAATAATCATTCAGGTGGTGCGTCAAGATTTAATAAATGCAATTTTTGAGGCTATTGATATTTTTCAGGGGTGGCATATCCTCATCTTGCTCTATCAATAAGCTCTCACTACGAAGTGTAAGTAGGTTATTTTTGGTTCAAAAACTACCTAAACTACTTACCCATAAGCTACATGGTATGCTGGGTTAGGTTAAGCAACCATACAAATCTGTACACATTTTTTTCAAATTGAGGAAAATGTATTTTTCATTTATAATATGTACTTAAATTCATTAAATTATAGGTAATAATAAATCGTAAGTGCTGGTTAGGAAGGTATAGGTTCCTATGTAGGACTGTGCAATTAAGTATAATAATTTATTAACATACATATTAATCAAATACAATTCCTGGAGGCGTATCTTTAAGGAGGTCTTAAATAAATTTTGTATAGTTTTCAATACAAGCAAATTAAATTTTTAAAATCCATACACCTGTATGCATAAACTAGCACATTATATACGCTAATTTTGAAAATATGTTTATGCAATTTAGAAAAAAAAATAAGGGGAGAAAAGTTATAAAAATGAATGCCAAAAATTGGATAGAAAAATTAAGCCTTTCTACCCTGGCACTAATATGAACATATTTACCTATATGTATTCATTAATAAATATTGCTGGTAGGAAATTAAAAATATACATTATAAATGCATCAAGTAAGTAGGTACCTATATTTGTTTATATATAGATAGGTAGGTACTTATTTTGTAGTATAAAATCGTTAATTGTATAGGATGATTATGTTACGGGAGTTCTTTTATAGGAACACAAAACACATTTTTTATAAATTAATAATACGTTGCAGGTTAGTTAAAACTTGGTAATCAGATTAAAAATCTCTCAGCCAAAGCAAAAATATCCTCTTTTCATGTGTTTTTAAACTGTTTAAAACATATCATACAGGTAAAATATAAGTTTGGTATTTTCTCAAATACTCAACTAACATAAATTATAAATTTTTTATCAATGTGGCTAGGTTAGGTTATCTATCACCTTGACTATAATAATAGAGAAATATTACTATTGTATAATCGGATCAGTTGACAGTCCAAAAATCCGAAAAATCGTATGTCACGGTAATTAATATTAACATCATTAGGATGGCTTATCAGATTCTGTATTACATTAGAAAATCAGTATTTATCTACAACTTTAAATTATTATGATTTATACTGACTGTGGGTAATCCATTTTAATACAACAAATTGTACAACTTTTACCGTGTTATAAGAAATTAAGAAACATTAGACAGCAATACTAACTTGGTTAACATTTTTGTGATGTACCTACACGAAATACAGCTATAGCTATAGCGCAATGGACGTTCTAACAACTATATTTATCAATTATTATATCAATAATAATCCGAAAAATACTTAAAACGGATTCGTTTATAATATTTAAAAAAAAAAAAACGTACAAATATTGTACATTGGAGATTATCTAAATTGAGTTCGTTAAAATGAAATATACGTTATACCTGAATACATAAGAGTACGCAGGTCGTTTAGGAAGTCATGATTTTGAAATCAAACTTTATACAAATATATATCATCGGCACAAATGGATAAATATTTTTTTGTGGGTAGGCTAAACCCCTCAAATCCCCTGTCCTCTATTTGTGCCAATCCAAAAAAATCAAGGGGAAGATAGAGTTGAATGTTTTGAAAAATTGTCTAAAATATTTTTTTAAGTACTTCGGCAGAAAATCTCATAGGGAAGGTAACTATCCCCCTTGCGCACGCTTATGAACCGAGTGTTTTTAAAACAAGTTAAACATAAATAATTCAATATTTGTGGCTCGTGATCATGTACCTACATAATTCTAATGCAAATGTAGTATTTAACTTAATGCGTGTAAAAGCAATTGTAACCCATGAAATTCTGAATCCGTGATTAATATACTACACACAGTACCTAATACTTATTTTTATTATTATAGTGTACTGATCAAATATATTGTTGAAATCTAAATAATCACATATAAATTATCACGTATAAAACTTTTAAGTTTTTCAGTACATTTCTTTTTGTCCATATTTTTTTTTGGGATTTGTTTTCTATGTTCCTCAGTGGATTATTAATCCGGGATTCGTTATAATTAAGAAACTTAGATACTAGATAGGATAGAATAAGAATAAAATGTTTACCTGCCTATTAAAATAGGCGGGGTGTATACTCAGTGTTCCACTTAGAGACGAAAACACATATCGCAAGATGAGTATTTTCGTAAAAATTTGCGTTTATTATAGAATTGGTACTTACATTCATATTATTACCTACTTAAACTACCTGTAGGTATACTCAACTCTCGAAAGTATAGTAAAGTACATATCTATGTAAAAAATTAGTTGAAGTAATCATTTATGGGGTTGCGTAAAATATCCAAAAATATTCTATTCGAACTGTAATTTAGCGGAAAAATATTTGACACACATAATTTATATACATAATACATAATATGACAAATATATTGTGAGAAACATATTTTGTTAGAATAGCAATTTATCCGAAACGTAGTTTATTCGAAAAGAAATGCAAAGAAAATATTTTGGCAGAATCGTATTTATTAATTTTCAGACAAATTTTAAGAAATCAGTGACAATATTTCAGCGTGATCAACATATATAAAATATAACCGTATTAGTAATAAATTACTGACACTATTGTAGTCTCTGAGTACCTACCTAATTAAATCGTCGTTTGGTTAGAATATCATGCCAATAAAATATGTTTTAATGGTTTTAATATTTTTCGTAAACATATTAGGCATAGGATGAGTTATTTTCTCATTTTGTGTAACTCACCATCAGTTTCAGTTATGCCACTCCCGCCCCCACCCCCAAGTCAAGCGCTCGTTTAAGTGCTATAATATATTATAATAGGTACCTATGATTTTGGTCACGAAAACATATTAAAGTAAAACAGCGGGACAACTATGTACACACAAAAAATCAATAACACACATCCATAAGACGGAAAAGAAAACGAAAAATACATCAGCCGCAATGTGATTACAAACTGGTCTCGAAAGTCACTGCCGACGAGGGGTTGCGAGCGACTGCGACGACGGCGTTGTCCGCGGCCGCGCGTACGGTATTGTTGTTATTGTTGTTGTTGTTGTTATTGCTGCCCGCTTGGTCGACGGACTGTTCGAACATCGGGTACCTGATCGCCTCCTCGTAGCTAGGCGGATACGCGAACGGGCTGGACGATTCGATGTACCGGATCAGGCTGGACGGCACGTAATTCGGCGCGCACGTCCGGAATATAGTCAACGACTGCGACGGGTCGAACACGTCGTACTCGTACGTCGACGGACAATCGATGAAGTACGCCGGAGGTGCCGGATCCATGAGCATCGCCTCCGAGTAGCTGGGTATCATGCGCACGTGTCCAAACAGCTTGATGACCTATTTACAGATGGGTGTAATGGTACACAAAAATGGACGGGTTTTATTAACAAACCATTAGTTCTTATATAATAATATGACATTTAAATTGACTCTATTGTAGAAGTACCTACCTATTAAGAGGATACTGTGATACCAAGCCAAACCCGAATTTAGGGGGGAAGAGAGTTCAGGGGAGCTTATGACTCCGAGCTACAGAAACTCCAAGGGCCTGGGTTTTTGACACAGTATATTATAATAAACTACTGTTGTGATAAGGAATTACCGTGTGACGATTGTGATTATTATTGAATATTGTTTTCGCACTTTTTTTTTTCTAGAAATTAAAACACGGCTATTACTAAGAAACTATTCGTTCAATATCAGTGTGTGCACATTAAAATGTTTAGAATAATATCTTTTACAAAATGGCTATTTTGAAAATTTTGTAAAGTCAATGAATACAAATTTTTTTTATTTTGTATTTAGGGGATGAAAATAAAAATGTAATTTTTTCCAAATCTATGTCCTTCTCAAAGGCAAACCGATTGCAAAAAAAAATAATTGAAAAAAATTGAATATTAACAGCTCTAGAAAAATCCATCGAACATGGTGGGACATACTGTATTATTATGTATTATTTTTATTTTATTAAAATATATTGAGTAATAATTTTTAACATTTGTTTTTTTATTATTAAAGATAAGAATGTAATATAATCTGTAACATAATTTGTGCAATTTTGTAAATGTGTTATTTTTTCGATAATTTTCAAGCGAGATAATATAAACATTATTACATTGTGATTATGGTAAATTAACCATTATGGTAATGGTTAATTACCAAAATGTAAAACTATTAGTACAGTGTTGTCTCTGTTGAACGCAAATGTCGTACGTTTATAAGACGGAGACAACACATGCGGGTGTATTCACAAGAAGACACAATACCCGCATTTACTGTCTCCGTCTTACAAATACGTGATATAGCAAATTTGCGTTCAGTAAGATACACTTTGTACAGTTATTTTTAATATTAAAGCAAATTGATTTATAACCACATTTAAAGATAAGACGATTATAATATGTGCCTTGACATTGATGTTTTTTTAGATATTTAATTTTTAAGCGAGATATGAGTACTTAAAATATCACAATTTAAAAATGTTTATATCTTTGTTTTATTATTAAAACTAATGGCACAAAATGTATCCTATTAAAAGGAAATTTTCTACGTCTCGCGTTTGTAAGACAGAGACAGTAAATGTCGGTGTGGTGTCCTCTTAAGAATAAGTTACAGGTACGTCAGCGAGAGCGTTTTTTAACATATTATACTCGTATACATCTTGTGTCAAAAAATTATCTTATCGTTAGTATTTAAAATATTACCTATAGGATTTAGCTTAAAACTGTATAGCTGTATACTAAAGCAATTAATAAGAACACAACTTTATCTAAGAATTAATTTAATTAATAATATTAATTTTTTTAAAGATATGTTACGGTTTTTTTTTATTGTAAAAATGGCTAAATGATAAATAACTACTATTTTAGGACAATTTAAGAAACATTAGTAGCTCTAAAATGTTACAGATCCTTTTTTTTCTCTATCTCGTTTATATTGTTAATTATAATAATATTTAACCCATAGGAGTTTTAAGGGTGGGGGTCCCTCGTGCGATATTATTCACGAAAGTATTTTTTTAAATTTCAATATGTAATTCAAAATATTAATTATTAAGTCAGATTAATATAACATGTAATACCATATTAATTTAATGGTATAAACAATTAGATAATAATTTATTTTTAAGTTTATAATATATTCAAGTGCCATTGGATCTCAATTATCTAGTGGGGTAGATCCCTGAAAAATGTCAGTACCTGTTCTTTCCAAAAAATTCTACGAAATTCTAAACACGCCTATATGATTTAATCCCTCTGTTTCAGCTAATGACCTCAGTAGTCAAGGACATTACACTTATTTTTTTCATCTTTATGATAGGAAGTGAAACCACTACCACATTTTGATTTTCAAATGACAATACCTATGTAGTATATAAAAAATCCTATAAATAGATGGAGTTTTAGTTTTGGTGTTGAAAATTTAACAGCAGTGATTATTCGTTGACGAGATATTCTATTTTTAAAGTTTGTCTTTTTGTGAGTAGGGAATGAGTAGTGGAGTATCATTTGTGTGGTGGCATGGCTTAAAGCTGCTTGTTTCTTAAATTATTTAACAAAAAAAGTTAACACCTTCCAAGATAATATGAACATCTTACGTTACATTAATCGTTCTATATGTTATATAATATAATACCTTAAAATGTGCGTGTGCTGTAATATAATTGACATAAATCCTGTAGGGCCACGATAATAAAAGGGATGAACATATCCAGTATGTCGCGGTATTTATAAACCATGGAAATTTCCCGGCATGTATAAAAGCTTCAAATTCGACACCAGGCAAGTCTATGCCTTCTTTCTTTTCTATATGGTCGTCCACTGGTTCTAGAGCCGAAAAGAACTCGTTTCGAATGCTTTCATATTCTTCAGCGTGTCGCGGTCTAGCAAAAGCGAATCCTGTTGTATAAAAGATAGGTGAGTACATAGATAAACATAATTAAAATCGCAGTGTTATTATTTATATTATTATATAGGTAAACATTAATGAAAATCGCATTGTTATTATTTATATTATTAAATAGTTATGAGCAAAATAAACTTAGGCATGTACTACCAATTATAACATATGTTGGCAACTAAACTTCAAACGTAAACTAAATAGTTACGCCTACCTTTGCTGAATCCAATTTTCAACAATGGACTCTTTTGGTGGAACATAAGACAATCAGATATGTCGGTAAATCCGAAATTTCGGTAATCAAATGCTACTTTAGACACGTGCATATTCACCCTAGATGGTATTCTTGAACTTCGTCTTGGTGACTTTGGTTGTACAAAATGGAAACATGACGCTTGCCACCTAAAAAGTCAAAACAAATATCATTATAATAAAATAATAACGGTTTTTAAATTTTTTAATTCGTAACGTAAATAGTCGGTCGACCCCAAATAGTTGGGATGAAGGCGAAGGAGAAGAAGAATTCGTAACACAAATATTAAACTAATACAATAAATAATAATAAATACATACCAAACTTGTGGTTCAGATCTTTTTAGGCGAATAATGTACTCATGAACTTCAGAGATTGGCGTAAGATCTGGTTCTGCCAAATCACATACAATATCACTGTACCGACATTCTACCATGTAGAATGTATATATAAATAGAAATCCCACGACACAGTAAGAGTATGTAATCCAACTACTGTTTTTTGATAGACCATACTAGAAAGATATCGAAATAATTTTAAATGCTTTTCAAATGATTTTATATTTAAGTTATGTCGCTACAGTTATACTTATGTGAGAAGTGACATGTTATCACATTAAATGTGTTTAGCTTCGGAATGAACAACAATCATCAAGATAAATCTGGTATAGGTAGATAAATATTTTTGATATTTATTAATTTATAAAAATGATTACCTAGTAAGTTAATAATATTTTCGTATCTGGGATATATAATATGTATATTGAGTTATATAAGTCCAGTTTTGAAATATTGCAAGTTTTTATGTTTATTGCCGATGACATAAAAATATTTTTAAAAAGACGTTGTTGCAGCCACTGTTAAAGATAATTAAATGTATATCCGTAAGCAATGATAAACCATTGCTTACAAAAAAACGATTCTGAACGGAGTTCAGTTGATAGTGATGCTTTGTCAACAATATATGTAATTTTATAGTAAAATAATTAAATAAGCTCTATATATTTTCTTTAATATTATTTAATAATAATAATAATAATAATAATATTAATGTTGTACCGAATTTCTCAATTTTCCTACGTTTTCCTTGGTTTTCCCATGTTTTATTTCTGTTTTTCAAATTTGCTGGGGAAATTGTAAAATGACCTCCCTAAAGTACCTTCCCAGTTAAATTTTCTTTTAGAAAAATTTCTATTATTATAAGTTGGAGCAAAATTACTGATAAAAAAGTTGTGCACAGATAAAAAGAAGGCCGTAATATATTTTAACTGATACATACATTTTCCCATTTTTTCTCCGTATATTTTCGGTTGTTCACATTTGTTAAGAAAACTCCTGAGAAAATCAAAAAATGTTTAAAATTGAATCAAAATCTGACGAAAATCGTAAATATTACGGCCTTTCAAAACACTTGCAATTAAACTCCGTTTTAGTTAGTATATGTTTTTTTTTTAATAGGAACATTTTGAGCAAATCCAAAATACTCCAAGGAAAACAATTTTAAAAGTATTTAAAATAAATTGGTACCTACCTATTCGATTTTAAATACAAATAATTTTGAAATTATTTTAAAAATATGAATACTAAACTAAATAATTTTCGTTGGTATAATTAAAATACGTACTTGAGTAGGTACTTAAAAAGTATTATTTGAATATTTGTATTTAAGTACTTTTACTCAAACGCTTTACAAGTCTGTCGTTTGAATATTAATTATTATTTCAGGTTCTTACCTATTTCATTTTATACTTAGTAAGAGGTAGGCTATCATTTCACGTTTTTGTAATGGTATAATAGGTCATATTTAGTGAGTATATTTACGTACATCTAATGGATCCAGAATTACGTCAATTATGAATGCGACAATAATTATTGTTAGAACAAAACATTTCCATGTTTCTCTCCAGCGAAATGCATCTTTTAGTGTAGTGTCTTTAATAGGTTTCTGGAAATAAAATAAATTACAATTATTTTTGAAAAAAAATACGAATAGGTTTTTAATTTTACTTATTTTCCTATAGATACAAGTTAAAATTTTTAACGAACTTGCTGAATTCGCTTAAAATAAATGTTTTTAACCAATAAGATGCACTACTATTTATAATTCAGATATTATACAACGTGTACCCATTACTAAAGTTCAAAACTATGTTAATAAATTATGGTAACTTAAAAAATACAAAATAGGTATAATATAGTATATGTACAACTTAAATTTAATAATTATAGGCAATAATATTTTTTACTGTATTTCTCATACCGATATTGTCCATTATATTGCATATATCAATATCACTGAGTTTATGCGTTATATATAAATTTTAAAATATGAGTGCAAGAGCGTCTTAAGTTAGGTCAGGGGGTACAGACGATTCCCCTCTCACTACTATTAGGGACGCGCGTCTATATGAAAGCTTTAAATATGAGTAAATTAGTTGAATTATGTTCTATTAACAGATCAACGATTTGTCGATTTGTGCTTAATAAAAAGACGATCGTGAGACGTGGGATTTTTTGAAACGTACAAATATTTGTTTGGATTTGCAATTACTTGTTAATTAAAAAGAATCGACGACACCAATAATTCCGACCCTATGCGTTATAGTGATGGGGGGGGGGAGGCTAAACTCAACGAAAAATAGCATTATATTCAATGAAAAACTGTACAGTAATTCAATACAACACAATTCAATTTAAAAGTATACATCTATTTAGTCTGTACATCATCCCACATCACCATCCATTATTTGTCTGCGTAACGACAGTTTCTAGTGTTATTAAATGACACTATCCAATAGTATAATATATACTTACTCTGTACATCAGCCAATTGTCATTTTCCTCCGACTAATCTAACCTTTGCATCCCTTCGAAAAAAATTATGCTCATGATAGGGTCCCCTATACATGGGATTACATTTTCCCAAAAATGGTTTTTGGGTACTGTTTTGCGTTAGAGGTTTATTAAGTAATAATTAAATATCTAATGGAAATTTACCCTCGTTACCATCGTTAGATTGTCGTAATTATATATTGGAGCCATTTCGTGTAAATTATTTCACGTGTCGCAAAGTGTCAAGAAATGGCAAGACTAGTTATTTTTAGCAATATAAATGAACAAAGAAGTCAAAATATAAATTGTATTCATTTAATTAATAATAATTTGTAGATTTAAGAAATATCTTATTATACTATTAATAAGTATTTAATTAGGCTGATATTTTAATTATTTGTTTGTCATGCAATGTTTGTGTGTAATATGAGTTACTTTTGTGTAACAATATTTATTGATATGATAATTGTTTTTATTTTTTATTTTAATAAAGTATATCCTTGGATTAACTAATAATGTTTCTTTCTGTTACAAATAATATGTATAAATACAGTTAATAAAAAACAATTATAAGCTCAACAAACCAGACTTATAATATTCATTTAAAATTCTTAATGTGTATTTCTATAGTTATTATTTATAATTAGTTCAATTACATTTGAATTAACGTAATCATTTTCTATTTCGTATTGATACAATATCTAGTACGTGAACAAAGTTATTATATTGAAGTTTAATAATGTTTTTTTTTTTCAAATTTATCATAATAGTTTTCATTGAATGTATACATGAAGTTAGCCCCTGTGCCTTTTCAATTTGTATTACCAACGCGAAAATAATGTTTTGCACATTTTAAAACTAAAATTCTTGTTAAAATAACTGGCTAAAATATGTTAATGTTGGTTTCATCGATTTCTGATATGGCGCAGGGTGAGTCAACTTCACGGGGCTGTATTTAGGTAAAACGATATTAAACAAGCACGTATACGGGGAATCTGAACGAAACCATTTTAAGACAGCAGTGATGTATAACCCTACGATAACAACCTATAATAATTATTATGCCTAATAGTCTGCGAGGATTATACGAAATTACCTATATTATAATATTATACATGGGTACCGGACTAATGTTTATTATTGCCTGCAATAAACACCATGTTACTATACATTATCATTATTATCGCCCGTGGGATACACATTCCGTATCTGTTTCATTATTAATAACGCGAGTTAAGCTGCGAATCACCTAATAATAATGATAATATGATATTATTATTATTATTCTAATACCTATAGCCACCCGCGGGAGCTTTGCGGTCAGCAGCGTCTGTACTACGTATAGGTAATGTTTTATCGCGTCGAAAACTAATCGATATTTAATTTATTGGGCGAGGGATGATGGTGATGTTAAGCTTATACGTATATATATATATATATCTATTATGTATAAACCTATCACCGAGAGAGAGGGAGAGAGAATAGAGGGGGTGGGGTGGGGTGAAGAGGGACCTCCCTTTCTCTGACAGGTGCGGGCGGCTCGCGCGATACATGGTACACCCACAAACTTTCGCTAAACTTTCGGCGTACACTGTGACGTATGTATGTATGAGTATTAACTGTAGCTAATAAATTATAATAACAACGTAATATAATAATAATCTGTATGTATATAGCTAGACGCCAGTACGTAATAAGTCTATATTATATGATAAATAGTATACGTGCTTACACAGAATAAGCGATATTAGCGCGAAAATAAAAATAAATGGAAAAAAAAATAAAAAAAAAAAAAAAATAGCTACGCAACACAGAAAACGTTTAGAGCGATATTATATAATAACAACAGCATAATATAATACACTTACCGGGGTCAGTCGATGTTGCTCGGGTATAAATGGCATTATACCCTGTGTTCTGCGATAAATCCGGCGGACATACCCTGTTGCAGTTACTCGCTTGTACCGCAGCCGAATGCTGCAGATACGGACACCGCCTATACACACTCACGTTTATCGCACAATATTTATAAAACGATAAATACCAATTGGAAATTGTACGGCATGTGGCATTTGGTTTTTTTTTTTTTTTTTTTTTCTACAAAAATTCCGATACCGTCGCTACATAGACACGGGGACTTGTGATATTGTATAATATTATTATTACACTTCGGTACGGTTTAGTTTATGTGTTTGGTGTGCGGGCCGCCGAGCGTTCGCGTCGCGCGGTAGTGCGCAGCAGGCCGCGAGGGGGTGGCTGGCGCGGACACTGCGCGGTGCGACTGAACGGACCGTGCGCGCGATCGCCAGCTCCGCACGGCGAAGCTCCCGGAGAAACGTTCGCGGCCACGCCCTGTCTACCTCGGCCACGGTTTTATCGACGGGAATCTAAATGTCAAAAATTGTTTTTAATTCACTTACGGGTATATTATTATAATGGTATACCGCGTATCTACCGTTAATACTTACGCGATCCCAGCATTCCCGGGGCACCTGCGGCTACAACTGCAACAGTATAGTGCCCAGCGTAATTTATTGTCGTTGGACACGACATAATAATATTATTAGCATAATCCAAACATGCGGATATGATATTTATTTTAAAACGTACCCTGACGTACCATAGACGTGCGCAGGGAATGGTTGGTTGAAGGGTATATCCCACCGTGCGATTGGGAGATTGGTTTGAAAATATACAACACAATTAAATGCGAATAAATAATTTAGGAATTTAAATGTATATTGTAATTATATTTCAGTCAAGCTACAACTAATTATATCCTACAAGGAAAAGCTTGACTTTTCAAAAAGAAATTATCTCCTTTTGGACCCGGCTTTTAAATTTTCATTGTTGAGTTAGGTGTACCAGGTGATTAGTTTAAGTGGGTACACCCATTATCTCGAAAAGTATTAACTTTTTCCGGAATTTGTTTTCTAATACATTTATGAAACAAGCTGCTCCACAATTTTATATTTGTGTTATTTTTTTGTCATCCTTATTTTTGAGAGTAAATCAATTAACTACTTTTGATTTTTAAATGACAACCTATATTAAAAATTCCGTAAATAGATTGAGAATACTCAATCTATTGGAGTATCATTTGTGTGACGGTACAGCGCGCGGCGTGTTAACAATGCACCACCACCATTCTCCCCTAACCCAAACTTAAAAGTGGAATATCTCTTCAACGGATTAACGGAAATCAAAAATTTTAAGCACCAAAATTTATTTTAATTAATAATTCATCTATTTATGGAATTTTTAATTTAAATTGCTATTTGAAAATCAAAAGTAGGTAGTGGCTTTACTCCCAAAAATAAGTGTGACAACAAATAATACAAATATAAAATTGTAGAGCAGCTTGATTCTTAAATGTTCTAGAAAACAAATGCCGGAAAAAGTTAATACTTTCCGGGATAATGAGTGGAGTGTACCCACTTTAATAAATCACCTGGCATAGCTGTATAATTACAGTGGTGAATATATCCTACTTCTGGATAGGGGGATCGAATTTCAAACCCATACGAGTAATATGGGGTACAATTTTCTAAATATAAAATATATTATAGTGAATAAAACCTCAAGGGGAGGATCTATTTCTTGACGATATCCACCATTGGTACGGATACAGAAGATTCTATGACATATACGTGATAATTATTTTCCAGGTAGGTAGATACATTGATATTCTTGCATAATAAAATTATTCTATTTTCGAATATGAGTTTAAATATAATATAATCAGTTTTCATTTGAAAATCAAAATTTCAATATGTTTATGTGTTATAATTACGTTGAATTAAGATGAAATTAAAAAATATATGAATAAACTTACTACAACTTTTATTATTAATAATCACTGGTCCATGATAAAAAAAAATATGGAGTCATTTCGAACGATTGGGGTAGGCCACTGTAGTAGATGAGAAGTTAGGAAGGTATAGGATGGAGAGGGGAATTTAGAACATATCTGTACGAAACAATTAATCTTAACTAACGAAAAACGATTCTGAGCATAATTAGATTATGTGTATTATATGTTTTAAAAGGCCATAATATTTGTGATTTTCGTCAAAATTTAATACTAAAATATTTATAAAAAATTGTCTACATTACACTTAATTTTATTGACCACAAAGACCAGCTTATAAATGAATTTCCTGTTAAATTTTCAAGCATTTCTACTTGGTCTAACAATTGTATTCATAGTGTACCTACCGAATAAAATACACATAAAAATCTCGCAAAATTAAAATGTCTATAAATAGCTCAAAATGGCTAAAATATTTTGAACATTTTACCACATCTAGAAAAGGAAAATAAAAGTTCTTTGTCCATATTTCAAGTTTCTAAAAATATTTTTTATTGAACCACAACAAAAAGTATTTTCCCGTTTTTCCCATTTTCTATGAAAACTCTTGAGAAAATCAAAAAATGACCGGGAGGGGGACGAAGTCAAAAGTATAAATTTACAAGTAATCGTGGCTTAAATATTTAAGCCATGAAAGTAATAAAGCAATTCATATTTAATATTACTAAAATAGCAGAGGGGGCATGGCCCCCATCGGCACCCCTCTGTGGGTGCCCTTGTGAGTGTATACCACAATAAAATTCGAAAATGTAATATCATAACATAGATATACATTTTCGTGTACACCCGCTTATACACCTTACACTTATGCGGGACTCAATTATTTTGTACACTAGAAATTTAAATTGGTAGTTTTGACAATTTTTTCGGGTTGAACATGTAATTTAAACTTTACCTAAGTATAGATAGATACATAGATTCTGCCAAATGCGAAATGGGTGAATTTCCCCCCCCCTTAACTTATTTGGTAATTTAAATGTGAATAAAATAAAAATAAAATGTCTTTTCTGTTTCACTCGAAAGAATCTACTACCATACGTCCATACAATAAATAAGTTAATGTGGGAGAGTTCAACATTGCTAAACAAATATAAATAATTGCATTCTAGCTAAACTATAAGCATTTTCAACAGTTGCCAAGTATGTTGGATGAAAATACTTAAGATGCCATTACAGCAGAATTTGCTGTCTCTGTTCTTCAAACGGAAAATAAAGCATAACTCTCTATTCACGTAAAATAAACTAAAGCAAGACCATCAAAATCAGTTAAGATAATAAAAAAATATAAATATTTTTATAAAAAAATATAAAAATATTTATCTTAAATAAATATATAATTTATATATATATAAAAATATTATACAAATTACAACATGATATTGACATGGTAATACATGATCTTCAATGCAATAAAATATATATATACTTATATATTAATACTATCTGTATTACTCGCGATTTTGTTCATTTATGTATGTCTGCAGATCCAGGTTGTTTAGGCGAGCAACCGAGAAAATCTCGGTGGGCCGCTTAAAGTTTGAGCCGAACGTGATTTGAGTGTGGGTGAAAATAAATTAATGTTTAAAAAAGCTGTCATAGGATAATTGGGACGGGTGTTGTTGGTGGAAAGTTGGGAGGGTAGGATACAGAAGGAAATTTAATGTATATTTGAAAGCAATGATAAAACATTGCTTACGAAAACAACGATTCTGAGCGGAGTTGAGTTGATAGTGATGCTTTGTCAACAAAATAAAATATGGCATATAAAAATACCGCAAAATATATACATATTTTTTTAATATACCTACATTTCGTACATTTCCCGTTTTCCCTCCGTTTTTTTCGGTTTTCTACATTTGACGAGAAAACTCTAGAGAAAATCGAAAAATGACCTCTTTAAAGTATCTGCCCAACAAGATTTTCTTTCAAAAAAGGTGCTACATCTTCGGAGCAAGATCTCTGGTAGAAAATGTGTCCACAGAAAAAAAACATCATTGTAGAACCATACGTTTTTACGCTTCACTTAGAATCTAATACAATTAGCCATCTATAAACTCGTAACAATTTTAGACGTAATTTGGGCCAGTATATTTATAAATGGGCCACATAAAAGTGAAAATCTCGACGGGTACATACCATACGATACATACCAATCCGGCCCTGTATGTCTGTACAGTTTAATGTGTGCATACTCTATACATTGTAAATTTTAGTCCAAATTAGTGCTTCCCGTCTTCAAAAATTTTGTCTTTCACCCCCTATTTCACCTATTTTAGAGGTGGGTATAAATTTCAAAAATCCATCCTGTGGATTCAGGGCCAGGGAGAGAAATTAAGGACACTGAGGACAAATTAATTCCTTCCAATGTCAAATATTAAACTTACCACTTATACCAAGTGACGTCTTTTAAAACGTGAATAATAAAATAAAAGTTTAAGGTATATTCATAAGCAAAAATTATAATATTTTTACTACCTAGCATACAAAATAATATAGTTCAATGTAACCAGGTATATATATTTACTTGCTCAAGTAGTTCCATTCAATTGGCTTTATAATTGAATACTAATTACTAAGTATTACAAAGAGTAAGATTACCTAGTTAACTTAATAGTTACCTAGGTATCTACCTATTAGCTAGGTACCTAGGTATATTTTTTTAATATAGCAACCTATATGTAATACAAATTAATTTGAGTTAGATACTATAATGTTATAATTATATAATATTATATTATAATGTAATGGTCGAGTAGGTATACCAAACTTGATAAATACTGCTTAAAAAAAGTTAATGTGCTAATTGTTAACTTAAAGTGTTTGAAAAACTTAGTAGGTTGTAAATAAAAGTAGGGGTAAAAGACAAAATCCAAATAAAAAGTCAATAATCTTATTATTTTTTATTAATCTATTATGGTCTAGGGTTGTCAATTCGTTTGCATTAGATTTGTATAGGGACTTCGTTTTATCCGTAAATCGTACTAATAAGTACTAATATTAATTAAATTTTCAATAGTCGGTACTATAATTTAATACCTTAGGTACAATTGTATATGATCTAAAATAGGTAGGTAATATAATCTATTATTTATAATCGTGGTTAGTAAAAAGAATTGCACTTTTTTTAAGGGTATGTTTTTTATCACCCAGGGTGAAGTGATAAAAACGTGGGGGTTATTTATCATCACATTTGATCGTGTTTGCTCTTATCATAAATTAAATATACACAGAAGTTTATTATTTAATCTATGTTCTTATATGATGATCATATCATGGAGTAATATTATTAAGTAGGTATTTAATATTAAGTATTAAGTAATAGCATTAATTATAAATATTATAATTTATAAGTATTTATAATTATTGGTAATAGGTGTTATTATTATATTATTACTCTATGGATCATACTGCAAACAGTGCAAACTATCATGATTCACAAACAACACGATGATACTGCTTATCATATAGATAACAATAAACTTTTTGATATGGAGATAACTTACCGGTTCGCTGACGTTCATTTGCCACTTGCTATTTATAAGTTACAACAAAAATTACTACTACATAATTTGTCTATGCTCGCCATTAGTAAGTTTTCCATTATCAATATTAAATGATAATTTTAATCTTTTAAGTTCTAATTTTCTAAATGAAAAGTGTAATTAGTATGTTTGTAGATATGTCGGCCGCTGTGAAAAGAAAATTAAGTGATGACGTTCCAGCCATGAAGAAGTTAAGGGTCTCAGCGCCGGAAACTGCAGAGCAACGTGTGCTAGAAATAATAAAAAATTCTGGTAACAAAGGAGTTTCTGACGAAGATCTAATTAAGGCATGTCCTGTGTTAACCATCGACGAGCGTGTAGATGTGGTCAATAAATTGATTCAGAATGATACTGTTACGCTACATAAAGTGAAAGGAGAGCTCAAGTACAAGTACAAAGGCCCGACCATTTCCTCTCCGGGTGACACCAATACTGAAGAATTGGTTGTGTTCAATCTGATACGTGATTCAGGGCGCAAAGGCATATGGATTCGAGATGTACGCATAAAATCTAATCTAGGGCTACCACGTTTGAAAAAGATTCTCAAGTCACTGGAGACAAAAAAGGCAATAAAAGCTGTCAAATCTGTGGCGGCTAGCAGGAAAATAGTATATATGCTCTTTGATCTAGAACCAGATAGCTCTATCACAGGCGGTGCTTGGTATTCTAATCAGGAATTTGAATCGGAATTCATTGAAATACTTACTAAACAAAGTTATAAGTTCTTAGAAGCCAAAAAATCAAAATCTCTAAAAAATACCGCTATACGTAGCCCATTGATTAAGTATAATACTTCTTATGCTACTGCTGACCGAGTTTTAGAATTCATATCAAAAACTGGCATCAGTAAAGTAAGACTCTCCGTGGAAGACATAGTATCTATATTAGATTTATTAGTATATGATGGGTTAGCAGCAAAACGTGTAAACACTGAAGGAAAAGTTGAATATCGTTCTACTAAATCGCTACTGAAAAGAAATGCTGTGAGCTTTTTACCTTGTGGTAGCTGTCCAGTTATTAAACGATGCTCAGATAATAACCAATTAAATTGTTTAAACTGTAAGCATATGAAAATTTGGACAACAATTTAATACTCTATTGATTAACCTTTATTTTGTTGTAAATACCTCAATACCTTGTAAAAGTTGTTACTTAATTTGTTTTAAAATTAGTTTATTAAAATAATTATATTTTAATAAATACTAAAATCGATTAATTTGTTACAGCTTTTGAACAGGATAATGAATTTCTGTTTAATTATTATTTTTGAAATATAATATTTGCTATTATAGTTGTTGTATACATTACATAAATACAAAGGGTAGGATTATTAAATAAAGTAATACGATAAAAATAAAAAAATCAAATCATGAAAAAATAGTATTAAAAACTAGTTACTTATTTATAAACAATGAATAAATAAGTCAATAGAGCTATCTAACTAAATAATGTAAATTAAATGTTGGAGAATCTCTATGAAGAAAATTAAATACAAAATAATACATTTTGATACTCAAAAGTACAGTAAAAATTGGTCTTAACTTTTGTTTTTTAACTTTCTTTGAAACTTATGTATGGACAAGAATTAATATTATAATGTTTAGTTAATTAATAAACTTTTTTTTCCAAATTTTCTTTTTTTTTTTAATAGACTTAGTTTAACCTTTTACATTTAATGTATGTTACAAATTTTGAATATCTTTACACTAACATTTTTTTGTTAGTTCCTATAAACAATAACTGAAAATTTGAATTCTCTTAACAAGATATTTAATACATTAACTTTTCTTACTCATTGGAAAATAAAATTTTGACTGCTAAATTCTTTGTTGTCAAGTGGTCATACTGTATTTTATCATTATTAAAGAACCAATGTTTTTGTTTATTTCTAATCGGGCGGTCAGTTATGTTATGGAATGTATTGTAATGTAATTTTATTTTAAAATTCAGTTTTTGTAGATTTAGTTTTTATTTTTTTGTACACTGTTGATTAATTAATACATTTGTTTTATATAATAAAACATTTTTTACTACAACAAAATGAAGATGGCAAAATCAAATATATATTTTTCGTTGGTTATATTTTCAACAATATTCATACAAGGTGAGTATTATGGGGAGTGGCCCTGAGGACTGTGATATTTTTTGTTGTAATATTTAATTGATTCTTTAAAGAGAATATGCATCAGCATTATTTTATTCATTTTTATTGTATAGCTCAATCATATTTACTATGCTACCAATGTGTTTCAACACATCCTGGGTGTGGTTCACCATTTAAGTGGTTGTGGTATAAAACAGTATCTTGTCCCGAAGAAGATGACATATGTGTAAAAGTTATAGAGAAAATTGGAGGTAAGTATTTATTTTTTGACAATAAAAATTATTTTTGTTTTGTTTGTATAAGGTGCCATCTTTTGGTTTCGAAAAAAATAACTATATTTTATGATGTTTGATGCAGACACCTTAAACATTTATAATATACCATTTTAACCTTTATTTTTCGGTACATTTTAATATATATATATATATATATATATATATAAATATAAATATATATATTAGGTGTCCACTCCTTATTATTAAAATATAAGTATATTAAACATGTTCTTATAAAGAATTTAGTTTTATTAATAATATAAACATTATGTGTTAAGTTAATATACAGAGTTTTATATTATAGGTTTAAGTTATGATTTTAAATACCTGAAAAACTGACAATATATGTAAATTTTTGATAACTATTATTTAATAAGTAATAATATTTAACAAATCTTGTAAATATTCATCAGTATGTAGAGAAGATTAAGTGATTGTACTCCGAATAATCAATGTACATAACCTGCCATAATGTGGCAGTCTACTATCTTTTATGATTTGATACCATTAAAAAAATTATTGCTTCTGCCGTATTAACGTAATATGACATTTTTCATATTTTTGATATAGAAGTATTATCTGTCAATGTGTTAACATTTTGTTATGTAGCATATTATATTTATTATTTACTTAACATTAAAGGAAGAAGTACGCAGTGTTCTACTATTATACACTCATAAAATATTTAAATTGTTTTATACTATCCCACAAACAATTCCCGCATAAAAAAAAATTCAGGACTTTTTTAAATAGCCACTGTATTTGATAGCTATTTATTAAAGTTTTCCAATTTTTGAAAATAGAATTATCTTGATGTTTTTATATATCTTTGTAAAATCAGTTCATAGGAATGTTATATATACATGTTTTGTTTTCGGCTATAAAATCTAATAGCACATAGTTCTAAAATCGGAGAAAAATTAGTAGAGGGACGCAAGTGTAAAAGAATTAAAAATGTTAGTACCTGAAGATTTATTGTCTTATTGACTTCACAGTTTATAATAGTAAAAATAGTTAACATTTTATATTATATTTTAAAACATTATTTCAAAACATGATTTTAATGGTAATAATAAAGTTTAGTTGTTATTATATATTTTACAGGCTAAACCCAACTAAAAGATAACTGAGTTTATCCTAGGCAAACTATATTAGACTAGGATAAACTGATTAAGACTGTTAATATTATTGTGATTAATGTGATACAACACATTGTATTACTATAATAATAACTAGTATAGAAATAATATTGTAGTATAAGTATTATTGCAGATTTGTTTGTCCGTTTGTTAGTCTAATCAATTTATTGTTATTATATAGATAACATTTTATGATAAAGATATGATTAAAATATTTATTAAATAATAATTATAAACGACATATCTTAATATAATATATTAATATCGACTGATAAATAATGAGTAATACAAATATCTTGGATACACTTTACCTAGCATTTAATAATTTCTCAATGATTACATTTATAATTTAAATGTATGTATGGCTTATTTAATATATGATTTATAAAATTAATATTTACTTTTCTACAACATTTGTTTAATACATTTTAGCTGAAGAACGTATTACTCGTGATTGTTTGAGTTCATTGAAAGGTTTTCGAACAGATATTCCATCAGACAAATATGAGGGTTGTAGACCAAGTTCTGTAGACTTGAAACTAGGAAACTATGTCAATAATTCTATATCTGAATTGGATATTAAACGGTAATATCTGCATGGATATTAAATTAAATATTAGATTTTAATTATTTTTAAAATTTACAGAAACCACTACGATTCAACTACATGGTGCTTTTGTTATTTTGATCATTGGTGTAACTCAGCTAACTTATCTACGTCATCCAATTTGCTTATTGTTTTAATAAGTATATATTTTTTTGTTAGAAATATTGATCAGTGATTCATTTTTTATGAACATTAATTTACTCTTTAATTATTAAATCTGAAAACAAAGTAGGTATGTATATTGATAATCTTCGTTCTCCACAGAAATTTGACAAGTATAATAACTTTTGGTCTATTTGATATTTGTAATTTTTTGATAATAATTACTTTCTGTCTATAATTCCTCCATTTTATATTTTATAATTTTTTTTTATTTTAGACAAAAATTTATCAACAAAATTATTATTATTAAAATTTTTTATATAATACTAAACAATATCAATCAATTCATTAAAAAAAATAAAATAATTTTGTTAACTTCAAAAAATCATTAGTAAATATTTGCAACATCGAAATTTTGTTTCAAAATATATTTATAAAATAGTCGTTTTAAATTTTGTTAAAATAATTTTTTATTGTTATCAAAAAAAAAAATTAAATAGAGGAATCATAGATCAAGGATTCAGTAATTATCACAAGGAAAAACATTTTTAAATATTGAATAAAAGAAAAGTTTTGCATTTATCAAATATTTGTGAAACACCATATATATGTCGCATCCACATAATGAAATTACTTATTTCATGAACTGGATATCCAGATAGTGAAATTTGTCCAGATTGTGAATTTTGACAAAAATACATTATATGGACATCCATTTCATGAAATGGAAAATTATATAAACCATGCATATATTGTATTGTATAAATGACGGAGTTACCTATGAAGTATTTTGAAGTAATTATGAAATGATCTATACCTATATTTGTTATATTGTTTTATTACAAAATAATTAATAACTACACCTATTTATTTTATCATGAAATGAGTGATTTCACTGTGTGGATGCGACATATACATAATTTTTAAATTTTTATTATATATTACTATAGAATTAAAATTATTATTTAAAAAAAAATATTTAACTGTTTATTATTAGAAAAAAAAAACATATTATTGAACACACCATAATATTGTTTGATAATTTCAATTATAATACTTTTACTAATTAAGCATTACTATTCAACTATTCAACTATTACACCATGCCAACATCAACTGTCTCTGTCTTACAAACGTGAGACGTAGAAAATTTGCATTCTTAGTACACATTTTGTGCCGTTAGTTTATCATTAAAGCAAATAAACTTATTATTATACTTAAAAGTAAGATTATATGTGTCCTCTCATTAATGTTTTTTCTATATTTTAATTTTTAATAAAGGTAAGAAATAGGGAAGTATTACTATAATTAATAATATAAACAAGATAGAGAAAAAAATAATCTGTAACATTTTAGAGCTACTTATGTTTCTTAATTTTTTTAAAAATAGTAGTTATTTATCATTTGGCCATTTTTACAATAAAAAAAAACCGTAACATATCTTTAAAAAAATAAATATTATTAATTAAATTAATTCTTAGATAAAGTTGTGTTCTTATTAATTGCTTCAATATACAGCTATACAGTTTTAAGCTAAATCATATAGGTAATATTCTAAATACTAACGATAAGATAATTTTTCGACACAAGATGTATACGAGTGTATTATGTTAAACACTCTCGCTGACGTAGCTGTAACTTATTCTTAAGAGGACGCCACATCAAAATCTACTGTCTCTGTCTTACAAACGCGAAACATAGAAAATTTCTCTTTAGTAGGACACATTCTTGTATCATTAGTTTTAATAAAAAAACAAAGATATAAACATTTTTAAATTGTGATATTTTAAGTACTCATATCTCGCTTAAAAATTAAATATCTAAAAAAACATCAATGTCAAGGCACATATTATAATCTTATCTTTATGTTTGGTAATAAGTCAATTTGCTTTAATATTAAAACTAACGGCACACAATTTGTTCTATTAAATGCAAATTTGCTATGTTGTACATTTGTAAAATGGAGACAGTAAATGTTGGTGTGACATCTTCCTAAATTGATGATATTTTATTGCAATTAATATAAAATATCAAAGATATTAATTAGGTAGAAGTTTAAATGTGTTTGATATTTCATGTTATATCTTTGATTTAGAGGCTGTCACATTCATATTTATTGTCTGTAATTTATTATTTTTTCTCATAATTTCAATATGAAATATTTCAAAAGATAATTAAATTATTTGAGCCATTTTGATTATGATTATTTTTTCATTCTATAATTTGTTTCAGAAAAAAAACAGTTTAATAAAAAAATTGTTTAAATTGTTTTTTAATCAATAATTTCCTTTAAAATACAAGTTACAATCAGTCTGTCACTGTGTGATGGTTTCTGAATATACAGTAGAAACCTCGATCAATTAACCTCATAATTATACAATAAAATATATTAATCTCATTTACTAGATACAATAAAACAATTTTGTATATTTCTTTAATTTTAAATTGTTGAGGCTTTACTGTATATTATTGTTTATTTTTTAGTGAGACTGTCTTAAATTAAAATATAATTAGGATAATTCTGTATATTTACTAAAGTCCGTCCATTTTATATGACTTAAATTTTGTATTAAATATAATTAGGATAAGTCTATATTAACTAATGTCTGTTCATTTTATAGCACTTAAATTTTGTATAACAAATAATGATTTGTACTTATTTTCTGAAATAAACGTTTTATATTTTTAATTTAAAAGTAAACAAATATAATATGTTCTCATATTTATGTTAGATGATAGCTTACTATGAAAATGACTTATAACAAAACCAGTTATATTAAATAATCCATTTTATCGGTGTATGTATAATATTTTAGATATTGGCCAATAATTAATTTTATTATTTTAATTATTTATAGTTAAATTTTGAGTTTAATATTAGGTATAATGTATATGTATATTTGAAAATTTACAATTTACAATTTTGTGAATTTATTGTGCCCTTATGGTTATAAATTACAATAGATTATATATTTATATTCTATGGTCAAAAATGTTAAATGTCTAGAGCAGAACCGTGTTGAGTGATCCACCCTTAAGGCCTTACCTGAGAATAATTTGGAGGTTAATCTCCCTGAATTTGTTTTTTTACACTTTTATTAGACATATCATTGGGCAAAATGTAATATCATGAATTCATGTTGAACAGATAAATCATAAGCCAATGTGTTAATTTTATTTTACAAACATATTTTTGAACAATGATAGTTTATAATATTGTTAATTTTATTTCTAGTTTTATATTGAGATGGGCGTCCCATAGTTTTATGAAGCTTAGACACCCCGTCACAAATGTCCCCATTGTTTATTCCTTCAACATAGACCTACCTTTAAGGCCTTAAATAGTTTAAAAATTAATAGAATATTTTGAAAATTTTATCACATCTATTAAAGTCTAATATAAGTACCCTGAATATTTTAGGTGTTGATACATTTCAACCAATTACAAATGTAAAAAAAAAATCAGTCTAACAATTTTATCTACAGAGAGTATTTTTTTTTTTTTTGTGAAGAATATTTACAACTATACTAATATGCACAATAAGTAAAAGTGAGAACAAAGAAAATTTAAACTCACGAAAAAGACATGTAGGAGGGCAGTACGTAGACAAATGGATTGAAAAGATTGGATTTTTTGAATGTCGGTATGAGCAGCAAAGCTCCAAATTTGAATGCCATAATACCATAGAGGGAAGAGTAAAGTTTTGTATAGAAGAATTTTGAGTGTGATATTAAGTTTGGAGCATAGCAGAGGATGAAGTAAATGAAGTCAAGAAATTAACTGTTTATGTTTATCGGTAATGTGGTTTTTCCAATTAAGGTATTTATCAAAAATGAGTCCCAAGTATTTGACTTGATCAGTTTAGAGTAATACATTGTTATAAAGTTTGACAGGGGGAGAGGTAATTGAGCGAAGGGAATAAGTGATATGGCTTGATTTGTTAGTGTTAATTTTTATTTTTCATTTTGTGAACCAAGTTTCTAATAAATTCAGTTGGTGTTGAAGTTTAGAACTTGCAATAGTGGGATCAGTGTCAGATGATAAGATACTTGTATTATCAGTAAAAGTATTCAGTATTGAAGGAAGATGTAGGTATATAGGAGGTGAAGACTAAGTAAAGACGAGTATTTAAGTCACTACCTTGAGGGACCCCAGCGTTTATTATAAATTGGTTGGAGAGAGAGAGTGAGTTATTTATATTAACATGGAAAGATCGTTGATCGAGTTAAGATTTCAGTAGTAAGAAATAGAATTGGAATATCTATTTTTAATTTATGAAATAATCCTTCATGCCATATTTTGTTGAACTCTTGGGCAACATCTAAAAAGATAACCGAGCAGTATTTCTTTTTGTTCAAGGGATGATGAAATAGCATTAGTGAGACGTTGAAGTAGGTGAATTGTGGAATGGTTTGCTCGTAAACCAAACTGAGAGCGACGGATGATTTTGTTAGCTTCAGATATACTTTGGAGGCGTTTTAAAATGAGTTTTTCGAACAGCTTTCCAAGGATAGGGAGGAAGCTGATTGGCCAGTAGAAGATATTTTTCAGAGGATTAATATATGTAGGTTTACCGGGTTTAGGGTTATTATAATAATATTATTATGATATTTAATAATGACTTTAGTTTCGGAGAAATATATGGAGATTGTCGACCAACCCAAGTCGTCTCCTGGATTTTTTTTAAATTTTATTGGTGGAACATTCTTAATAAGATTATATTTGGCGTTTAAAGAATTTGATTGTGTGTTAGGAGATAGTGGAGATTTGTTGCCCAAACCCATCGTTCAAGGTTCAAATGACTTGGATATGAACACTAATTAAGAGACTCAATCCCTGGAATTTTAATGAGGTTGATATTGGTGTGTAGATAAAGTAAATAAAAATAAATATATTACCTAATTGCGAAATCGGCTCAACGCAGTAGATAAGACGGGTTGCAGAAATTACAGTGCGTCCACTCACGATTTAAGTAAGCGCTAAACTGACTGAGTACCTATCAAATAAATATTATGTACAAAACTCGCAAAATTAAAATGTCTATAATTAGTTCAAAAATGGCTTAAATGTTTTGAAAATTTTACCACGTTTAGAAAAGATAAATGTAATATTTCTGTCAATATTTCAATATTTTTATTTAGAGGACGTTACATATTAATTTGTTGTTTCCGTCTTACAAACGCTGTAGACTACACAGAACTCGCCTAATTTTGGTTTTAAAGTAAAAGTACTTATTATAAAATTAAAAGAGAACAATATTGCGGAGGACAAGACGTTACGTTTCTTCCATTTTATCCGAATATAACAGCCAGTTAACAATTTACCATTTATAAATAACGACTTTTTCAACATTAATTAATTTACTACTAAAACTTTAAAAAAAAATAAATATTTTTTTAAAAAATGCAACGTCATGTACTCCAGAATATTGTTTCCCATTAATTTCATAGTAGGTCCTTTTGCTCGAAAATCAAAACTATGCCAGTATTTGGAGTTCTCTGTGTAGTCTGCGAACAATCAATATAATATTTAAAAACCAAATACCACGCACTTGAAATTTGTTATAGTGGTTCCTCTAATATTCTCACTGTGCAATAGGAAAGGATTTTTAAAAATTCAACCCCTTATGGCGTAAAATAGGGGTTTTTAGGTATATTTGGTACGAATATCTAATTGCCTATGTATTTATTTTTGTTTATTTAAGGGTTAGCTCGGTGTTACGGAAAATAAAACTATAATAATAATAATTATTATTATTACTCATAAAATTTCACAATAGAACACATTTGGTCCGCCGAAGGTGGACTACTCACTTTCCACCTATTTGTTTTCATTCATTTCTGACACGGCCAAAACCAAAAACTAATGTGGGTAAAATAATAATAATAGAAATTGGCACGGGCAACGCCGGGCGCGGGACAGCTAGTAATATTGTATTTATTAATGCAGTCATACTATTTATCACCTAGAGACCGCTGTGTGCTGGCGTGAAAGCCAGTTTACACGTTTTGAGCTTCACATTATCACTGTTCGTTCCGCAACCAAATTAGCTACAGCCGTGCCTCGGTCTTGGAAAGATCTGATTAGATCGGAAACTGCAGCACCAGCTGCAAAACTTTACCGTTACCAGAATATGTAGTGCCTATAGGTAACCTATACAAAATTATGCGACTAAGTTTAAGGATGCACTGCAATAATCTGGCAGTTATTCACACTGCAACTGTACAACTTTGGTCTTGATGTGCGCCCCGTCTAAATGTCTAAATATTATAATTACCTCAGTATTTGGTCGTCTAAGATTAACAAGGAAATGTACTGATTACTTATTAGTTATGATTAAACAATTATAAATATGCGTATTATTTTAATTGTATGGTTAACGCCATTATTATACAGTTCGTGGCATACGGCGAAAACTGGTTATTCCCGCACCACAGTTGACAATATTAATTATAACCACTGAAATAAAATTGTTGGGAAATTTATTACATCCGGGTGTTTTATGGTTATCGCCACCTGTCAAGCGTTTTATTTTTTCGCAGTCGAAAAACCGTAGTATTAAATTAATAATTTAACTTAATTTTAATTAATCTGTATAAAATTAATTTGAAGTTAACACATTAAATGTGATAAAGATGTAATTGATTAGGTTAAAAATTACTACCAAAAAAAAGTAACGAGTTATTTAACTTAGTTAACATTAACTTAACGTTTTGACTTAATTTAAATTTTTAACTTGCTAATGCTCAACCTTGCTAATTTAATACCTTTCACTTTCACGACCCGAAAAAAGTGATAATAATTAAAATACACTCCGTGGCGGCCATTTTGTTTATATTTTAATAAGCCTTTACCACTTGCGAGATACTAATGAATTTATAAATGTACCTTTTATTATACTTTGTATTCTACATTATTTGTTGTAATCACTTTTTTATTTTAGGCTTTATGAGGGAACTGCAAAAATACATATATTATTACATGCATACTAAAAAGATAAAATCCGAAAATCATTAAAAATTTGTCGAAAAATGTTTCAAATAAATAACCTCATTTTTTAAGATACTTAACGCAAGTATGAACAATTTAATTACTATTTTAATTTTAATATATTGATTATCTTGTATTTAAATATAAAAAAAATGTAACTATTGTTTTTACTTATCTTGTATTGCAATATTTGTACGTAAGTAGATATATCTTGTATTTATTGTACCCAAAAATCGTATGTTTAACAATTTTATTCACAGAGTACCATCAACCGAAAACAAATTACGTAAAAAACGCGCAAAATAAAATGTTTATAAAATATTTTGAAAATTTTATCTCATCTAGTAAAAAGAAATATAAGTTTTCTGTCCAAATTTTAAGTCTATAAGAATATTTTTAACTGAATGACAACAAAAAAAATATAACATTTCGTAAAGTTTCATTAATTTACTATGAAAACACTTAAAGAAATCAAAAAATGACTTCTTTATAATACTATCCCAGAAAAAATGTCCTTTCAGTAAAAGTACTACACTGGAAAATCGGAGCAAGATTTCTGGTAGAAAATTTAAAGTACCAACATTTTAAACAATGAAACATTGTAACGCCGTAAATTTATTAGTTTTAATTTTTTTTTGGTTACTATGAAAACTGTTTAGAAAATCAAAAAAAAAAAATGTCTTCGTGAGGAATTAGATTCAAAATGCAACAAAAGAGGATGTATTGCCATTTTTTGCTTGAAGCAAGATTTTTAGGAGAAAACATAAGTTATAACTTACAAAAATGTAAAATCATGTAATCGTTGCGACGTAAATATTTGTCCATTTATCCCTACGTTTTTTCCCAATTATGAAAACCGCTTGGAAAATCGAAAAAATAATTTCTTCAGAGTACCAGCGCAATGAAATTTCCTTTCAGAAAAGGTGCTACATTTGATATATCGGAACTAGATTCCTGGTAGAAATTTGTTACACAGTTTAAAATAAACATCATTGTAAAATCAATATGTTCCTCGTTTCGTTCAGAACTTAAAATTTGTAAGAAGTTTATAGGTAATAAGTTTACTGTATGAAAAATTTAGAAATATTTTAAACACTTGTGTAATTATTATACAAACGCATTTTAGATTTTAGTATAACATATTTTTAATAATCCCGATAAATTAATTTTAGGTAGATAAGTTAAAAAAAAAAAAACTAATTATGATTCTCCCATCACCACATACCTATAAAAAATACATATCAATATATATTATTAAAAAACTATCCAAATAATATTATAATGTAGGTAAAATTATTGCTCAACCACGAAAAAACATTAATTATAAGTAAATACCTAGGTACTAGGTACAATGATTTAACGACCACATAATATTATTATTACATCGTTATGAATGCTAAACAATATCAAATATTTATTTTATACTAATCAAATCAGAAATCTACATGATATATAGATACACGGATATAAATATATAACCTATTAAATTATTTCAACAACAGGTATGATTTTTTAAAATTTAAAATTTTAAAGTGTAGACACTAACACAATATTATAATAACATTACCTAACTCGTTTTATACGATACTTACGTACGTGTTAAAAAAATAAATACATACGTACATATACAAATGCATATCGTGTACCTACTGCAGTATGATTGCAAGTGTTCTGTGTTATATTATATACGTTGAGTTTTGAAACTATTATGTAATGTTATGTCCTATGTGTATCAGCGAACATGCATACTGCATAGGTATTATAATTAGTGAAGCAGTGAGTTAATACCTATATCTGTTACATTGCATACCTTTCGTATATAAGTAGGTGTATTATTGTACATAATAATACATGTAAATATTTATTCGGAAAAAAATGTAAAAAATGATAATAGGGTAATGGATTTAAATTAAAAAATGTGCCAATGGTCATCAACGGCTGTCGCAAAGATTCGATTTGAAAACGGTGAAGAGTAAGGATATTATGGGTCAAGCAAATACTTGAACGGCAAAACCTTGAACCAGCTAATTTTTATCCCTTAGAAAATGATATAATAGCTATTGCCAATTCAAGAGTTTACCGTTCAAGATTTTGCTATTTGACATTTTGCCGGAATTATTTTTTCAAGATTTTGCTGATTCAAGATTTTCCCGTTCAAATGTATACTGTTCAAGATTTTGCCGTTCAAGGTGTTGCCGTTTAAGATTTTGACGTAAACCCGATTGGTTGGTATCATTGATATTCTAAGAACCAAGACTGTTTCCCCAGTTTCACAGCCAGTAAGAATTATAACTAAAGCAGACAGTTTTTTTAAAGATTTTATTTGTAATATTGTGCCGTTATTAGTTACCATAGATACCATAGATACGTTTTGACCAACCTTTTAAACTTTTGTTCATATAGTTTACAAAGACATCGTTTATAATATTAGTGCAACGGTATTGGGTTCAAATATCAGATATCATTACAAGTTATACTAAATTTATTATTGACGAAAATAATAATACAAATCAACATACATGCCCGATTAACCAATGGCAACTAATATACCATTATTATTTTGATTTGCTACCAATAGCAACCATACAATTAACAAAAATATATTATTATTTAGCGCCACTGTCATTTCATTACGACATTCCTCTCAAAACTGCAATCTTATAGGACTTGGTTTATGTCTAAGAACATGTTCCGGGATGTCTTCTTTAATTTAAAAAAAGACGAATGAAATCAGAAAATGCGTGACCAAGGGAAATAGGAGTCCATTTTTATACATAGAGATAACAATGTTTTTATAGACAATATTTAGATAATAATGAAACATAATTTAGACAATAATTAAGGTTCTGTAAGTTTTTACACTAATGCCCGGTTGCACCTTATCCGTAGTTATCTATTGATAAATCCAGTGTTAAATATTTACATGACGATAAACTAACAGTTGATAAATTAAAGTTTTATCGTATGTTGAATTTACAAGTGTTGCTCAATCATGTTTTTATATTCAGGTTATTACCAGAATACTGGTTATCAATAAGTAGCGGCTGTAGAAGTTAATATTATTATCACTCATAAACTATGATAATAATATCAAATATGAATTAATAATATAATAATATTACCTAATGTTTTCGATTATTACCAGTCACCACAATAACGCAAAAGCATTGATAACGAAATTTAACTATAGTTAAATGATTACACAGCGATAAATGGACCTTTAACTCTTGACAAACTACATTTTTACCAACAGATAAAATTTAAAACGTGGTTGGTGCAACAGAATTTAGTTCAATTACACATAAACGAGTATATCTCTGTGCAAATAGTTGGTGCAACCCGGCATAAGTGTTGTATATTTTGAATTAAATTTACAAAAAAATGTTTAAAACTTTCCGTGTGACAATTTTCAGCCCTCTTGCGACACGTTTTGGGGCTAATTAATCATTACCAAACTAAACTAATTTTTTTTTTGTCTTTCCTATAAATAAGGGCCACCCAAATAAAACAGAGGTGATTTATGACTAATATGTAGGCCATAATGTTATCACTGTCCAACGATATTATAATTAAATAATGTCTCGTCGAGTTAACGTAATAATAATGTTGAAAAAAAAAATGTGTAAAATAATTATTTTGAGAATATTATATAAGCGATGATGATAATAATGTTTTATAGTTTTTGGCCATCGCGTATTATTGGGCTAAAAACGATGTAAGCAGGGCCCCACATCCATATTATCTTTTAACCTTCGAAGTGTATACATAATAAAACCGATGTAATTGTATGTAACTATTATTTATGTCCCCTCATCGTCGGCACATTTGTTTGCACAAATGTTCGCACGAACGCCTCCTTATCCGCACATACCACACATATGTAACCGGTGCACATGTAAATTCCGTATATACGTACGATTATGCGTATATATAGGTATATTCACACATAACATAATATACGTGTATGCGTGCGTGTGAGCCACGCTGTTGTGTGTCGTTACGACAACGATAGGTATAGTAGTAGTCATAATTATTAATTGCGTATATCGGATATAAGAAATTCAGTAATCGACAATGTGTCTGTACAATAGTGTGCACCTGCAATGGATACGGCGGCCACTTGTAAGTATTACGTGACGAAATTGCTCGGAATTAGTCCCCCGAAACCCAATTGCGTGTACGACGTACGGTCCGGCAATGTTCGCAACCGCGAACAAAAATCCCTGTTCCGCGTCTTTTACCGGTCCAATGGCCGTCGCCGTAAGCACCGGCACCGGTCCAACGTGCAGGAGTCTTACGCGCCGTCAATGCACGCAGACGAGGCGGGCGCCAAAATAAGCGACGGCCGCCGTGCGTTGGAGGAGGACACGGTCGAGGATATCGAGAAGAAGTTCCAGGGGTTCAGGAACGTGTTCGAAAAGTGCAAGGTAAAAAAAAAAAAACCGCGATTGTTCAACGTCAGCTCGGGGTTACGTTTCACGCTTGTCGCCAATACCATGCTGATAGACAGCCAAAAAAAGGCAAACGAAGCGGCCAACAAATCCGGCCACTCCGGAGAAAATGCAATCGTCGAGAACGACGGCGACGATGAGGTGGAGGAGGACGAGGGCGATGAGGAGGACGAGGATGATGAGGAGAACGAGGAGGACGAGGAGGTGGAAAATGATAACGGTCATAACGACGAAGAGGAGCATAAAGCTAACGCTCAAATGATAGAAATGGAAAACGATTTAAACGCCGAGACGAGGTCTGAGTCGACATGTCCAAAGGATGTTGCTGATAAAGTAAATTCTTGGATCGACAGTTCCGTAAAACAGACTGATGCATATTCCGAAGAGGAAGCCCTATTTGTCGACGAAGAGGTTAGTATTCGTGATAATTATTTAGATTATAATAGAAATTAACCAATCATTATTACTATTATTAAACGCGATATCGGCAGGAACGGATATACGGCCCGGGTGCGTGGGGGAGGGTGGTGTAAAACTACCTTAGACACGGGAATTAAGAATATTGAGTCGGCAATTCAACGATCACTTCATTTTAAAGTCGACAAAATTAGTGATTTCTCCATTTTCGTGGAGATTACGAGTGTTTTGTTGCATGAATATTATTGTATTATATTAACGTAAAATGTATTATTTATAGTCGTTAGTCATAGGATAAAATACCGGGTAAAAACGTTTTTAGAAGTTGGTAAGTTTGGTATTTGGATTCCAAAAATGTTTAATCACGCTTCTCTCAATTTATTTTTGTTAGCGTCTGTTTAGAAAAATGTCAGTCCGAAATCATCGATTAAAGTATTATAATATATTATTAATTTATTGCGTTATATAATAGGTCTGATACAGACATTTTCAAACAGTTTTAATTGCGGAGTATATTTAATTCGATAAAAAAAGTTACGAAACCTTCATTATAATCAAAAATATGAATTTTAATATGATATACCGGATATAGTATAAAAAAAGTTATGTTCATTAATTGTATTAGACTTTCTCAGAACGATTATCTACTATAAGTCCTAACAAAAAGTTATTTTAAAAGTCCATGATACACAGATTTTAAATATTTTTTTGCGACAAAAATTCGGTCAAATTTTACATTTCCTTTTAAGTTATTACGCAAGTATTTTTACCCGTTTGGCATATTAATATTTAATTTATTTAAATTTTAAACACTGCCGATTTATTATTTTTGATTCAAATGCGAATTTAATTTAATCAATAATAGGAAAGCTTTTGCAGCATTTTAGAATCACCTACATAGGTAGGTAGTATCTATACTTTGTATATAGGTATATAATAATTCAATTGTTGAGTATTGTTCAATTGATAACTAGATTTATAAAACCTTTAGAGTTGAGTTGCATACAGGTGTATTTTACATAGCAAGTGCATTATTTTAGCAGGTTGAACAAAATTAAAAGAATTAACAGTATTATTGCAATGATTACATTTAAAATTAAGGTTTTAAAATTTGTTCTAATACAATATAATGATATCATTGACATTATTTATACTTAGAGATGATATTTTCAACATTTTCTCAGTTTTACTACCGAAATATTTAAAATTATTGTTTTTTAATTGATACCTACCAGCCGTGGTATTGTTCGTATATCATGTAGCAAATTGATTTAAGATTCAAGAATCAAATTGAATTTATCAGTTGATAAATTAATTTTTAGATTAGCATACTTTTGTTATTTAATTATAATTCAGTTTAAGAATTTATAAGAAATTAAGAAAATTTATTTTTAAATATGGATGGTATTTAATTTTTTTTTATAATGTTTCAAGAATAATAATACAAAATAATTATGTTGAATTTAGAACGAATTGCATATAGTCAGTGTTGTGTTTTATCTAAATAAATTATATAGATCAGCAGGTATATTTTTATTTTTTATTTTATATAGATAAATGAGAAATATGTTATTTGAGAGGCTTTCTGAGATAAATAATTGATTGATCTAGAGTAAAATATTTTATTTATAAAATTATACGGTTTAATAAATAAATTATTGACTATTGAGTTACATAAATCACACAACCTTTTTGAAATTTAGATGTGTTATGATCACTTACCTCTTACTACTTTTAGTATTTAGTTTTATGATGGGTATAAATGGATACAATTATTATTGTTATTATTATCTGAATAAATAAAAGTCGCTTAATATTTATCTATATCTAGATAATTAAATTGTTTTGTGTTTTTGATCTTTATCTAAATAATTAAAATTTAATATTTATTCGAAAGAATACGAGTACATTCTAATTTTATTATTACGAATTCATATGTTGTATCACATCTGGTGATTTATATCAGGTACAATAATTATTGTGCACGGTTAAGTTGTTTGTGGATGAGGGTGACTGATGATAATACACATTTTTGACTTAGGTTATCTGTATTGATTGATGATTGTATTATTAATATGAATATACATACTATTTACGTGTTTATTTTTTTGAACGAGGGGGTGGCGTTCACACGTTTCAGTGAATCACGTAACATAGATAAAGTGTGTTAAACATATTATAATAAACGTCATAGCGAAAAATAATAATAATGGGGGGGATATTTATGATTGTCATCTAAAATTATAAGTTCACTACGGCGGCGTGACGTGTTAAATTGGTTAACGTGCTCGGTAATAAAAATTATTTGAATTTGGTCTTGCAAGGCACCGGGATGTGTATATTTTCTGTCATTAATTTTTCCTTTTTTTTGCTGTCCGAGATGAGTTGATCGATAGATTAACAGTTTATAATAATAACACAAAATACGATTATAAGAGACTAATAAATAATTTGATTGGCAGACAAGGCCAAAGTATTTATAATATATAAATCTTTAAAGAAAAAAAATATGTAAGTAATATTTGAATGGTTGTAGTTTTCTTTTTTAATTTTTATAAACAGAGCGCACGCAATACTCGAAATATCATCTTTACAATGTTTCATTTTTTTAATAGGTAGTATATAATTAATAGTAATTAATAGTAGTAGGTAATAGTGAATATTTAAATTGAAGATTATGTTTTGGACGAGCTATATTTAATATACATATATATGCATTTGTATTTATATGAATTTAATGTACATGCAGTTATACTTAATTTCAATTTTTTTAACGATTCGTTAACGATAGTTGGTCTAATTTATATACTGCATAATATTATCTAAACCATTTTAAAATTTATTTATTCGGTTTTTTAATTTAATAAATATTATGTTTTGTAAAAATGTGTATAGGTAAAAGTGTAGTATTATACAATGTACAATATACATGCATAGTATATTATACCATAGATGTGTTATAACGAAAGATAATTTAATTTTAATTTTAAATAACCCCTATAACAGCATAGAATTTATCGGGAACCGATTGTTCAGTACTCACACGGTCAATAATTAATGGCCAAAGTTGTACAAATATCTGCAATATTCTAAAAATATACCTACATACAAATCAAAAGCTGTCGAGCTTACGTATGTATACTCGTATTTGTGGTAAATACAAGCGCTCTCGCAGAAGAAAATCCCACCCGGGGCAAAACGGGGAAAACGTTTTATTTCACAAATATTCTACATTGTTATGGTAGAATGGTATGCCGTTATACGTAATAAAAGTACATACAGTTGAAAATCCCATGGAGGTGGGCAATGGTCCCTTTACCCTCTCCCCCTCCCGTGGGCGCCCTTGGGTACTTACTTATACACTTATACTGCAGTAATGTTAATAGTATCGCAGGTATCAGTAGTATGAATGTAATCAAATCTAACCTAACTTATAGTTTACTGTGTCTGTACCAAAGCTGGACACTAGACATAGTTAGAAAGTCAGAATCAAGTCGAATATTACGTATAACAATGTAATTAATTCGATATATTAATTATTTTGTTAATGACTTTGAAGTTAATCAATTATATAATATAGTTTGAATTCTGAACAACTCTCTAACTCAACGCGTTGTATTGGAAACCTGAAGAATTCTTATCCACCGCGTTATTAAGAAAAAGTTTTTTTGTATGAGTATGTTTTCAACTTTGTCACGAAGTAAGTAAAGGTAAGGAAATACGGTCCGCTCAGAATCGAAATTACAACTCAATAATATTGAACCGGCTTCCGGGTACAATTTCTATTACGGGGTTTTTAAATAATTGTAGTACCTATAACTTTATGAAGTTATTATTTTTTGGTCCAGCTCTATACGATAGGTGGTTACGCGTATAAAACAGCGGGGCGAGATAAACACTATGGTCGGTGTATTGCGGCTGATCATTGTCCGCGGTCTGCACGCAATTGCTACGGGGTGGGGGGGGAGGGGGAGTATTATCGACCCACACGGATGCCCACACTTTGCGCTTAATAGAAACGGCGAGCGGAGCGCTTGCGTTCTCTCAGGACGCGTCGTCTCTAGTCGTCAGACATTTTACTACTGGCGGTGCGGTTTGTAATTTCAATATTAGTTTCTGAGCTTACTGTAGAATGTATTGGTATTAGTGATGCAACGGTTTTGCATCCGTGTTTTTTTTGTTGTTCTTTTGAAAAACCGCGGACAGGAGTTCTACTCGAATCTCGCTCCGACCGTCAACTTTTTACTTTTTAATAACGATTTCTATTATTTTTGATTTATTTTCATTTTCCGTTTTAAATATAGTCGTAGGATCTGAGTTTTTCACAAAATACTAATTTTTTTTAGTCATTTTTAGATGTGGTACAATTTTCATAATCTGGCGTTTTTTGAAGTTTAAAATTATCGAGGTTTTTATTTTATGTTTGGTACAATTTATTTGGCTTATCAAAAATGCTCGAAAATTTGACACGAAAAAACACGGTTAATTGTAATTAATTTTTTTGTTACAAATTAATACGATTTTAAATTTAAGGTTATCAAAACATGTTTAACCAAAATTCGATCAGAATTATTTTTCGTGTAGGTACTAATATTTCGTTACGTACAGATAAATATTATAATTACCCTGTACACCTCACCACATTGGCATATTTAAAACACAGAGAATGTCCGTCTCTATGTTTGTGTTTTAATAAACGCGTGCCAGTTTGGCTGAAGACGGCCGGGACACGATGAAATTGTCGAGTCTAATATCATAATAATGCCGACGCGTAAATTACTGTGGCAGTATTTAAAAACTTGGGGATGTTTCGGATGGGAAATATTCCCGGGATTTATATAGGCGTGTAATATAGGTGAATCACAGGGTAGAATCATAAATCGCCATGACCACGTGTACCTACTGATATAACAACCCGACAACGAACAAGACGTAACGGCGTTTTAATGACGATTACAGAACCACTGTGGTTTTCTTTTTGAAGTTTAGAGTTATTCTGCAGTGCATGTACAGGAATCCCTGCAGAAGCGGTCTTGCTATAATCCAGCACGTAAACGCATAAACATAAAATCAACGAAAAGTTTAAATTGAATTAAATTTGTATCACAAATGTTATTAGATTTATGTCTTTAAGAAAAAAAATGCATGCATATTAGGTATATAATATATATTATGATTTATGATTTTTAAATAATTCAGAAAATTAATTTACATGTAGGCGGTATTCGTATAGTATTATATACGGGGTGATCAATCTATCATAGGACACTCGTTATCTCAGAAGTATTAACTTTTTCGGGAATTTATTTTTTAGAACATTTAAGAAACAAGCTGCTCTATAATTTTAAGTTTATGTTATTTTTGGGGGTAAAGCCACTACCTACTTTTGATTTTCAAATAGTAACTTATATTAAAAATTCTTTAAATAGATGAAGTATTAGTTAAAATACATTTTGGTGTTGAAGTTTTTGATTTACGTCAATCCGTTGACGAGATATTCCACTTTTAAGTTTGGGGTAGCGGAGAGTGGTGGTGCATTATTAATACGCCGCGCGCCGTACTGTCATACAAATGATACCCCACTATTCTCCTCCAAACCAAATTTAAATGTGGAATATATCGTCAATGGATTAATGAAATTCAAAAATTTCAACACTAAAATTGATTTTAACTAATAATCCATCTATTTATGGAATTTTTAATATAGGTTGCTATTTGAAAATCAAAAGTAGTTAGTGGCTTTACCTCCAAAAATAAGGGTGACAAAAAATAACATAAATATAAAATTGTAGAACAGTTTGTTTCTTAAATATTCTAGAAAACAAATTCTGGTAAAAGTTAATACTTTCCGAGATAACGAGTTCTTATGATAGATTGATCACCCTGTATATGTGTTGCGTCAGTGTAAAACAAGTGTTTCGGTTTCAAAGTAAACATAAAAAAACATTTATTATCAAAAATGCTTGAAAAATATGTGAACAATCTTTTAAATTTCAAACGAAGTGGAGTACAGTCGATTTTACGTTGTATTTCATAGACATTCGTTTTGGTAAAATATTTTTTGAAATCTTCATCTACAAAATATTAGTCCAACATAATCACGAAGATTGTTGATGCGTTTATTGTCGATCCCAATTGGCAATTTTAGACATTTATTTGGGGAGATTAAAAGTTCAATTTAAAAAATAGTAAAGTTGAAAACGTCATATTTTAAACAAAATCTCAACCATTGATTAATATATTATTAATATTAGAGTAAATTAAAATGTATTTTGCTATTCGCTTTCCATATATTGAATTGAATTATTTCAATAATTTTCAGAAAATAATCTCTAGATTTTATTATACAAACCGTATTATAGTACAGAATAATAATAAAAAAAAAATACAAATGAAAATATTTTAATTAGGTTGGAGTGATTGAATTAGTTAAATTGATGGTTGGATAGAGTATTGGCTATATCCATTAAACGGCCAAGAGGATGATTGCGATTTGCGGCAATACTTCGTAGTACGTTTGGGTACTACATATGGAGCGAGGGAACAAGTGGAGTGCTGGAGAACTCGGAAATTAATACACAGGAGAGAAGGGAAGGTGCATCAAATGGGCCATTTATAAGTTTAACTAAGAAACGTAGATTAGCATCAGTACGTCTATCGGCTAGATTAGACAAGTCTAACTCCAGGAAAATGGTGGAGTAGTCGTGAATGGGATGGAGAATATTCAAAGAAAAACCAGCGAAGGACAGAAAACGTCTTTGAACTCGCTCTGAAGTAGATGAGTCGGTAGCAGTATATGGATCCCGTAGAACGGAAAACTATACTTGAGTATGCGACAAACAATGCAGTTATGCAGTACAGAATCTCGAGAGAAGAAGAGAGTCTAAATTCAGAAGATACCCTCTTAAGAAGTCCTAAAATTTTTAAAGCTTTGTAACTAATTGACAGAATATGTGCATGATAATTGAGGTCCAATGTTAGGATTTCACCTATAATAATAATCACAAATAATAATAATAAGTAAATCACTCTTAGTAGGATACTCGTTTTTATGGGCAAGCATAATGTTCTACTTATATTCGGATCGTAAATTTAATTGTAACATCTTAAGTATATAATAAAATGAAACACTCGTTCATAATTTTATACGAACCATAATAACCTCCCTCCATGTGTGAATAATCTATATTTAAGTAATCGTACGATTTATTTATTTGATATAAATTAATTTCATCGGATTAAGTGGAGTTTTTTGTATATTACTTATCTATATGTTTTCCTTATTACGGCTATTATTATGATGAGGTGTCACTGGTTAATTAAAAATATTTATTTTTGTTTTTAGGAGCCTAAAGTTTAATTTAAATTAAAATTTAACACGATATCGTTGATGTACATGTATATATCAGATATATATTATATTATAATATACTGCAAAGAAGACTTTTATACGACAAATAAGACGCACTTATTATTTCAAAATATTAATTAATTTTAAAAGATTTTCGTTTTTTAAATTTTAAAATAGTTTCCTATGTATAATACGAGTAAATAATATGTATACCTACTTTAAATGTATAGATGTTGTATTCTTTATACATTAAAAAACCGAATTACAACTAAATAGAAAGCTTGTGCAGTTTTCTATCTCATTATTTCGCTATACGCACTCCGAGTTCTAAATCATTTATTTCTCCGTTAATAAATTGTGAAAACTGCAGTACCTGACAATGCAGTACAACTGTAAAGAGGAAGAATTTAATATTTGTCTGTAAACGTTTGCAAGTTAGAAGGGCTACGCAGTCAGTGTCGGATCTAAGGTAGGGTCGATGAAGGCAATTACTTCCCCTTACCCCGGGTTCACTCTTAAATTTTAGTTCCAACATACTTTTAGTTTGATTCACTATCGAATTCATCATAAATGTGTGGCATAAATTATCTTGATCTAGATCCACCCCGAGTCACATTAACATTTTTCGTTTCTGACTACCTAACGGGTTATGTAGCAATCGTGCTCAGAATTTAATAGACTTAAACAAAAAAATGTTTCACCAAACTAATGATGAAAAAATTGTACTATGTTCTCAAAAGAGGATTTTTTAATACACAGGATGTCCTAGTTACAGTGTTATTCAAATGCATTAACTGTGTCAATGTTATTATTTAGGACAAAAATATAGAAAAAAATTATATATTTTGTTTTTATTTCTTAATCCCTGAAACAAAATAACTTTATTTTTTCATTTTTTAAAATTCTGAAAATAGATAATTTGTAAAATATATTATTCTAAACACTTTAATGTACTATACTTATATATTCCGTTAATAGTTCCTTAGTAATCCGTTTTAATTACTAGCAAATTGGTGTGAAAACAATTAATTATCAACAGAATAACATATTATGCGATAAGCAATCGCAATCAGCACTATAATTCCTTATCTTCTATTGAATATTAATTGTTATCACGCCTATTTTACATACTTTAAAGCCGTCATAGTTAAAAATCTATTAATCAGAAAACTCTGTAGTCATTATAAAATGTTCAATAAAGATTAAAAAATAATAAAGTATTAAAACATTGAAGTACGATATAGTGGCGTATTTATGGGGTAAGTTAGGGAGATCTTCATCTTGACGGTTTTTTTTTAATGAATATACGAGTATAACTATCAGTTTATAAGACCTATTCTTTAAATTTATACTTGTTTAGATACTTCTTAGTTAGATAAATCAAAACTTTGTCAATATAGGTACCTAGCTATATCATGATAAAAACTCGAACGTAATAACATGCTCGTTTAAAACATTAAAAAATGCCTATTTGTTAGAATCACTATACAATACACTAACTCAATTATGCTTTTCGTAATAGTAATTTGATGATTTTAGGTCAAATTGAATTGTAAAATATAGTATACTTGTAAAAATATAATTTTGAATATAAGTTAAAAGTTGACTTTTTTCCGGTCTACACGTAGACCGGATTGTATCACACAATATGATACGATTTTCAAATCGATGACAAAATTCTAAATTCGACACTTGAAGTATTAGTAGAGTATTTGGGAAATGGATACCCTTGAAAGGATAATAAATATTGTTGTATTTAATTTGCTGAAATAATTTTTGGTTTAGATCACGAGTACTATTGTAAGTACGAAAACACAATTTTGCTATACTGCCCGTTAGACGGACAGAGCCAGTAACTGCCCTGTTAATTTCAATGTGTGTATATAAATGTATATAAACTCATATGATTTATATTATATTTTATAATAAATTATTAGCTTAACAAATTTACATAATATTTGAATTGAAATTAATAACACAATATGGTATCGCATTACAGCAGATCGTATTTATGACATATAAATCGGGTATATACGTGTACTATTGTAAAAAGTACAACGGGAGTGGGGAAGTGAAGTAGAAATGTCATAATGTAAAATAAAATGCGATCAGGGATCATCTCTCGTAATAATCTCCATTATACTTAACTATATTATATACTCGGTGTTGCCGTTTAAACGCGTGCTCGTTTTAAGTAGACATATTTGGCCATGTTCGTTATTTTATGTTTTATGCAAAATTAATATTAATACATCCGGGTAATATCGTAATATCTTTAAGGTGCGTATACCTTAATGTTAATATAGATTACAGATACCGATACAAGTTGTCCCACGAAGGTCTGACAAATGCAATAGCTTTTGTTATGTTCAATATTTTTAAGTTTTTTTTTTTCTTGTAATAATTACTGAAGCCTTACGCTATGTTTCCTCGACTATACATATTTTTATAATTTAAATTTAAAATAATTATTTTTACCGAAATCCAAGTTAGGAATTTTATAAATATATTTTAAAACAATAGTTCGGCGCTACAAATATGTACTGACGATGAATATTTTAGTTTCCAAAATCGTTTGAAGTTTACAAAAATCATCAACAATTCATGGACAATTGGACTATTGGAGTATGGATTATTTAATTATTATTGATGAATCGATTGATATTATGTTTTGAAGTTTACGATGATTTAAATTAATTGTTTTCATTGTCATCACTAAATACGTTATTACATTACTACTAAATCGTTTCACCAATTCTTCTATAAAAAATAATTTTGTTAATAATATATTTCATTAAATTAAAGAAACTTAACGATTCATTATTAGTAAATATTTGGAATACCAATAGTTTTGTTTCAAAATTCTTAATGCCAAATTTGATTTTTATTACAAAAAAATGTATACATATAAAAAGTTATTGCATTTGTTAGATAATCGTGAAATACTCTGTATACATACATGTATTCAAATAAGAATTATTTGATACAATAAATTGTGCAGTTGTTGCGTTGCGTGTTATATTAATAATAATATTTACGTATTCGCGAACTAATATCGTTGTACTTTTTCTGTATAGGTACTTAATTTTAATTTTTGTTCATATAAAATGCATTTTGAGAGAGGCCTCGACCGTTTAAAAAAATAACCCAACGCGTACAATATGATACCTTTACAGTTTACACGCCATGTTGCAGGTATATAAAAACAAAACGATTAAAAAAAACAACAACAAATATTTGTACAATTACAAAATAAAAGAATATGTATACACTACCTCGTGCATTATGTTTATACTAGATTAATGTCCGATTGCTATAGGTATGTAGCCAGAGAAGGTCCATAGGATATAGACTCCTCCGAAATTTAAACTTCTAACCTAAAAATCAGATTATCGGTACAATTATTGATAGTGATACATTTCATGTTTGGACCACCCCTCCCAAAAAAAAAAATCTTGGTTTTACTATGATGTGAGTATTTTTTACATTTTTTTTGTATTTATAAATAATTTTTCTATCAGAAATCTTGTCATTATTTTCAAGTCATTTCAAGTAGCGTATTTTTTGAAATTAAAGTTTGACAATATTGGTGCATCGAAGACGGTTTTTTTTTATCCTTGTAGTTTTATAAATAATTGGAAAAAAAATGGACAATTTACGCAATAATGATATCTGTTATATTTAATTTTTTGTATTTAGGTTAAAAATTATTCTTAAGATCTGCAATTTTTACAGAATACTTATATTAGGCTTTTCTAGACGTGGTAATATTTTCCAAACATTTAGAAGATTTTTAGTAAATTATAGATATTTACATTTTCGAGGTTTTTTAAGCATATGAATGTAGTAAACGATAATAATAATAATTGTATTGTAACGGTCAATGGCGTGCTGAAAATTGTTTATACTTGAGACAAAACCAAATAATTAGGACACGCCCACCCTTTAGCTAAATTGACTACGCAATATAGGTTATAGTATCCGTATGTAAGTATATTTATAATACAATACATAAAACTAAGGGCATCTCTGATCTCTGGACTAGTTAATCTTAATGAACAATCATCATATTTGGTCACCCATGCAATCACCCAGAGAATTCATCATGAGATAATTGCCTCAACAAAATCTACTTTGGCTCGCCACTGGTAAGAGTTTGTTCTAAATAAATTATAATATTAGTAATATTATAATTATGTACATTGAAATGGTAGAAAAGGTCCGGAAATAATATTATTTTTCAATATTAAATCACTGATTAATTTCGATTGTTGGTTTATAAAACGTTCGTATTGTGCTAAACCACTCTTGCATAAGGGTTTTTTTTTTTTAAAGTATCCTCATAGCATAAAGTGTATTAATGTATGTTAACGTCAAATCGCTTTTCGTTTTAAGGTATCTATATTTACTTGTATTTAAAACCGTGAACAACATTAATAACATATCATTAAAAAAAAAGTATTGTAATATTGAATGTTGCATGTAAATAATATGTTTATGCGTATAATTATCGAATTTATTAAGCGGTATTATAAAAATTCAATATTTCAAAGCATAGAACGAACAGATTTTAAACGCGCGCGGACATTTGAAACACGCGTTCCTATAAAATTCACGTTTAACTTATCAAACGTAGTTTGGGTATTTATTATACTCACTGCGTACTATTTCAAGTGATGTAAATATGTAATATTATTATAGATTTGCAGGCACATTGACTTTAAACCGTTATAGCCTCGTCGTGGTTACCGGCTATTTTCGTTTTCAAATAGTTCCTCATGACATATTACGTGACTTTATAGTTCAAAACCGTTTTACGTGAGTTTTGATTGCTTTGAATAATATTCTTCGACACAGTAGTATTTCTTGGGGGGAATCAATACAATCCTCACTGTCATTATATTGCTTGGAAATAGTCAGAAACTCGTGGGGGCATCTATGCATTACATGCAATTATATTTTTCGAAATATGAAGAACAACTTACTTTACAGAAATTCATCCTCGACATTTGTCGAGTATGCAATTGTCAATTTTTTTAATTTTTTTTTGATACTGTGTACACATTTCTATCAGAAATCTTGTTCCGATTCTCAATTGTAGTACCTTTTCTGAAAGAAAATTTTATCTGGGGTGGCATTTTTAAAAGATTATTTTTTGATTTTTCTAAGGGTTTTCATAATAAATGAAAAAACTGAAAAAAAAAATACGTGGAAAGAACGGGACAATTTACGAAAATAATACTTTCATTATTTTCAATTTTGTTTTTTTTTGTCTTGTAATTAAGTTAAAAATGTTTGTAGAGACTTGAAATTTAAACAAAAAACTTATATTTGCTTTTTCTAGACTTAGTAAAATTTTTAAAATATTTTTGCAATTTTTGTGCTATTTATAGACATTTAAATTTTGCGAGATTTTGACGTAATTTTTTTCAGTATGGGTACTATGTGGATAAAATTGTTAAGCTAAACAGAAATGCTTGGAAATTTAACGGTAGGTTTCTAATAAGTTGTACATTGTGGTAAAAAAAAAAAAAAAAAAAATTGAGTCTGGATGTAGATTTTTTTTATTAGAATTTTAATATCAAATTTTGACGAAAATCGAAAATATTACGGCCTTTCAAAACACGTATAACTTAACTCCGCTCAGAATCGGGGTGTTTTAGCAATGATTAACTTTTGCGTACAGATAAACATTAAATTCCCCTCTACGAGTATATCTCATCTTCTCAACTTCTCACCTATAATCGTGACCCAACCATCGTGAGGGTAATATGTTTGTCTTTTATACACAGTTATTGGTATTCATAATTATTGATTTATAATTTTGTTTTGAATATTAAATATATTTGTACATTTATTTGAAATCGATAAAAATTCTAAATCAATTAGTTTTAAAATTATAATTTTTTTGTCTGCTCTTCAAAGTAAAATATCTTGTAATTTTCAAAACTCTAATTTGGTCAGGTTCACTGAGTACCTATATAATTTAATATGAATAGTGAATATACCTACTATAATATTAGTTACTTTGAGACGAACGAGGTTTGAACTTTTTTGGACGTCGGTACCTACATTATAATATAACATTGAAAGGATAATAATATATTTAAAATAATTTTGTTTCGTGTTGGTGAACATTGTGATAATGTCAAATAATGTACAATCCTTCGTAATAAACATATAATACCTCGTTATATGTTGGACATTTTTTATTTTCAAGTAGATACTGTAGGTAGGTATGTTTTATATAAGCTCATACGTTATACTTTAAGCTGTTCTCGCCTACAGAGGTACTTTATTTCTTTCGAAATTTGTTTTCTAAATTAATTTGCTATTTCTTTAATATTATAAAACACTGTTAGTGTGCGATTAATATATTTTTTGACAATATATTTTTGAACATAATATATTATAACTAGAGGGACGGATTTGTGTTTAAATATATATTTATTTCGATTTTAATAAAATATTTAAAGTTTTATAAGAAATGTCCACAACATCATTTTAAATCATTCTTAATAAAATTACGACAATTTTTAATACACATATTTTGGTATTGTTACATATTTTTATATATTTCACTAGTTTGTAAATGTTTGAAAACATATTCTGGCGTATTATCATTTATACGTTTTTAAACCATATCGCAGTGGATGAAACCAAGTGCTTCACGGTTATTTCACGGATTTTATCGAAATATCACCGTTTACTTGCGATTTCTGTTTTCAATCGTTATAGTGTATCTAATTACATTTATTTACGATTGAAAATCGTTGATAATAATATTGGCCTTTTGTCTTTAGTCTATGTTTAATACATTTTCTCTAAATTTATTATACTTACAGTAAAATTGTAATTTTCCTCCCCGCATATTTTTATGTTTTTTCGTAACGTCACATTCATGTACTTCAATTACCTAATACGAATCCGTTCGTTAATTATAACGTTTATTGTTATCAATTTTTGTTCGGGGCTATTTTCTCAATTTTATATTATTGCTGTTACGCGCGGTTTTATAACGCGATCGCATGGTGGGCCGTACGCGGTGTACGACGGTAGCTGGTAGATATTATTGTATCATGGGCACGAATCTCGGCGGCACGTCACGCGCAGCGCTATCTCTGTGCGCGTTCGGCGACGATGTCGTTGTCGGCGGCGCGGCACGGGCGCTGGCGGTGGCGGGTCGTTGCCGGAAAATCGATTCGGCCCTCGCCCGTGCACGGGAATCGCGCGCGCCACTAAAAACCATCCACACGGTTTTCACCGCGCGCGCCGCCACATTATCATATAGTACGCGTATACGAGGCCCTGCCGCGCGCCACCGAACCATACCGACCAATGACAGCGGGGGTGTTTCCCCGAAAAGTCTCCTCGAGCCCATAGTGTCGTAAAGCTCGTCACGGAGCAACAAGCCCCGCAGTTCCGCAGTCGTACACATAATAGATATTATATTAATTAATAACAATAATAATTATAACCGTTTATTTTTATACGTATATTTTTTTTTAAATTTATTTTTTTTATTTTTTTTCCCGTAATTGTTATATTATTTGTTTTCTCCGCTCCTATACGCAGTCGGTGTTTTACGTTTTCCGAGCGCGTGTTAATAACAATATTATTACTACTACATTTTCTCCGCCGCCGCCGCAGCCGCCGCCCCCCCCCCCCCNCCCCCCCGCAGTCACTGTGTATAACAATCAAGTCGAATTTTCTTCCGTGTGTGTGTTTTAAACAGTGCGGTGCAATCGTTCGACGGAGTACGACCGCCGCCACCGCCGCCGCCGCCGCCGCCGCCGCCGCCGCCCAGCCGCCGCCGACACCGCCGCCGGGCGATCGTCACCGCGAGGACCGTCATAGCCGTCAACGCCAACGTCATCACGCACGGCCAGTAAGTCGTAAATTATAGCGGTATCGCCTTGTCGTTGTTGTCGCCGCGTTCGGGAAAAAAAAACGCGATTCGGTTAACGTAATTACGGCCGCGTAACTCCCGCGCCGGCTTGGCGGTTCGAAATATCTCGGCGTAGGTGAATCCCGCGCCGCGTTCCACGGTGTCCCACACCCCGTTCGTTGTTCCGCGGGCCAGCTCTCGCGTAGACACCGCGCGTACGGCGCGGATCGCGAGGGCCCGCGTGTGTGCGGGCGGCGTGTGCCCACTCGGGCACACTATTGATTGTGCCGCCACGGGGGCAGCACGGCTCCTCGCGGTTCACTACGTGTTATGCGCGCACCGCGTAATGCCTACTTACTACACAATAACAATAATAATAATAATAATGATAATATTATTCCGCCCGCGGTAGACGGCCGCGGCGACGTTTGTTCAGTACCTACGTGTACGTGTCGCGGTTGTGACAGTAGCGTTTATCGTACCGTCTCGAACGGTGGCGACGCACGGCGGCACGGCGGTTTATGCCCGAGAAAAAAAATAAAAAAATAAAAACCCGCCCGTCCGCCGTCGTTGTGCATGTACGCGTGTGTGTGTATGTGTGTGTGTGTGTGTGCGTGAACGTGATAGGTGTTCGCACTAATTGTGCAGCGGCGTAGTTGTGTACTTATGTGCGGGGGGGCATCACGGGGATAGATCCCCCTCCCATAATCTTTTTTGTACCTTAGTATATCAGACATACTCGTAAAAGTATTTACGATACGGCAAAACTTAGTTCTTACGTTTTACGAAGCGCGAGTGATTAGCCGCTGGTCGGCCACTGCACTGAGTTTGGTAGGTATGAGATAATTTGGTATGGGGTAGTGGGTAGTGTGATTTGTATACTGAAATCGTTGAGATCAAACATAGGTCCTGAACACAGTAGTATTATTAATGGTGTAAGTCGTGTTTTGTACCACCGTAGGCATAAAAGTCCACATTTTTAAGGTTAGGTTATGTTAGGTTATAGGCCTGAGAACATATCAGAATAACACAACTCATCAAAAAAAGTGTTTTAAACAGGTGCAATTATTTAGAAAAAGTATTAAAAATTTTGAAAAATTGTTCAGATAAAGTACTATCGGCTGAAAAATTCGTATCTTTTAATGTATGGCATGAAAAAAAAAAAAAACACGGTTTACAATATGAGAAATTCACGTCGTCTTACATTTACCGTGGTTTATGTTCGCGGAACAAAATATATATCGGGTACGTGCTCTCACGTGCTTGACTTCAAATTTCTCAGTGAAATTACCGATTATAATTTTCTCATCAAGATAAGGCACACTTAAAATAACTAGAATCGATTGTATAGTAAGTTTTAGTTAATTCGTTTTTCAAATTTTTCATGCTAAAGATCGATTTGGCGGCCGGATCACGTGACCTTAGTCAAATTGATCATTGTCTTCGGGATTATTATCATGGATTAAACCCCGATTGCCTCTATACGAAAACGATTAAAAAACGATTTAGGAAAATAAAGAAGAAATTCTAATTGCATGACGATTGACGAACTTAAAACGGAGATGATATGGGCGAGTCAGGGTCAATTTCACCGGGTGTAATATGGAAAACAGAAGCTGTTATTCCGTACATAACCAAGACAATTGCTACACAATGGCAACGTAGGTTTTTTTTTTCTGGCAAAAATTCATTTTTTAATAAAGTTGCAATATAAAATGAAATTTGGCGTTTTTTAACAAGTAAATAATATTAATAATATAATATGTAGGTCGAACGCTGAACTTTTCGTCCGTGGAGAACTTTTAATTATATGGACAGAAACCAAACATTTTGAAAATAATAATTTTCAAACACACATCGATGGTTATAAATGATCGAAAATTACGACACTTCTGAGAAATACCTAAATATTTTTGAAACAAATTCAAATACGGGATTTTTTCTCAAATTGCTTCTGTTGCTATTAAATGAATAAAAAAATACGAATAATCGGATGGACAAACTGATGTCTTTGAATCGTCTATACAATTAAAATAAATAGCCCGTAGGTCTTGTACGTATAATTCGCATTGGCGCCACTAGGCCACTAGGCCATGCCAATGTTTGGCTTATGGGGGTCCAAATCGATTTCTCCAAGTATTGACAAATCGTATGGGGAGCTTTGCTTTCATTACTCACGTTCGCTTTGCGATTAATAAAACAATCCCAATATACGGATACGGACATTCGTTTGCACTTTCATTTGGTATAGTATTATGTATTCCCTAAATATCATCTGTGGTATGAATGAATAATATTGTTGTTTTCGGGTTGATAAATTAATCTATCGGCAAATTGACGGCAATCAAATGATTAAAAATAATGAAACCATCATTTCGTAACATAATGATGATTATTGTTTCAAATTCTTAAAATCATTTTTGGATTCTGAGTAAAGTGTGGACTGTATTGGTTTTACTTTGATGTGTTTTTTTTTCTTTTCGTGTCTGCAAATAACTATTGCTTCAATCGAAAACTTTATAGGAACTTTCTCGTAGAATATTTTGTCTGATTGGCGCATTGAGGAAATCATTTTTTCGATTTTTCCTGATAAATGAAGAAAAATGCTAATTGTTTGTATAATTTTTGTGGATTTCTGGATTACCTCGGCAAAAAGGGAAACAACATTACTAATGATACCCGGCTCAGAATCGTCTTTAGTTGGAAATGATTTATCGTCAAGTACAGATATAAAAAAATAATTATAATTCTATGTAATTCTTCCGTTTAACTTCCCTGTTAAAACAGTGACACGTATCCATCGTCTACCAGTCTTTTATTGTTTGTTTATTATTATGTAATATTTTATTACGTAAATTCAAAACAATACATTTTTTAATAGGCTAGAATTCTGCTTCAGCGGGGGCAAAAAAAAAAAATCTTTGCACACGTTACATAATTACAATGTGTGCATGTGTACCGTGGCACACCCTCGTAATTACCCTACTGCCTATTTGTATTTTATTTACTTTATTATTACCTACCTATTTGTATTTTTTTTTTCTAATCGTTTCTTGTTTACCATTTCTCCAAAAATTATCGAACTGAGAAATTTGAAAAATCACCTGTCTAAAGTGCTACCTGTATTCTGTAATATGACTTATTTATAAAGTCGTTGAATCAAACTCTTTGAGCACGTTAACTGTTTCAAAAAGTGTTTTCCGAGAGACACACCATTAAATTTGACTATGATAACGACTATTAGCTATACTTCCTTCCGACTAGAAGAATGATCATATAACGATAATATTTATATTTTTTCGATGCATATCAATTTTAAATTGATTAAGTAATATAACATAATACTGATATTTGTCGATAATAAATTATACATTGGTATTTTCATACGGCTATAATACAATACGCATTATTACTTTCAAATCTACAATTAATTGAGCTTGTTCTGATTCTTGCACCAGCATTACTATTGCTGGTTAGTATTTATTTATACATAAGAAAAAGGTAAGTAGGCGATATTTCTTGCATTATAGTATGGACGTAAACATGTTTTCAACATAAATCCGCACCGATAATAAACTAATTAAATTAAGTAACTTGTATTTCTTTTAAGTCTAAACTGTTTTACACTCGTCTTACATTATATTGATAATAGCAAGGTTGATTTTATTACCTATTGTATATTATATACTTATCTATCTTAATGTTTAATAATAAGATATAAGACACTTCGTAATTGAATTTACTTATTTAATAAAGAACGAGTTCAAAACTGTTCAAAACGCTGTCATCAAAGTTTGAATGATAGAAAAATGACGATAATAATAAGAAGCAGAAAATCATAATTTAATTATAATTGCAGCTATTCTTGAGTTGTTTGATTTTACACTAGGTGTACATAAATTTGACTGTTCGCTTTAGTTTTAATCGAGTCTTTGTTATCTTCGGAATCCGCATATATATTTTTAATAGATATAGGCAGCTAGGTAGGTTATACTGAAAGAGTTTATATAAGATGATTTTAAAACTTTTGAAAATTAAAATAATAAAATAATAATTTTAAAACACATACGTTTTCGTGTTACACAGATTTACAGGCAAATTCAATCATCATTAAAATTGTTAAACTATAACTTATTAGATTGCTCATTTATAACCGTGTTATTAAAAGTAATATTGCGCACGTTTAAATTATATTAGTATACCAACATATTTCATTCGCGATTACTATTTCAATTTTGAATTGTGGTTTCTGATATTCAGTTCAAAAACGTAGGTATAATTTTTATATTTTCTGTAGAGGATGTTTAGGATATTTCATGATATCTATCTATACTTTATTTATAGGTGGATTATTATGTGTAGTTTATTCGAAAAAGATATTGTTTTATGCATTTTACTTAGTAGTATGTGACGGTAAACGCGAGAGTAGCAATAAAAATCAACGTTTATTGCATAAATTGTGGTGTTCGTAAATTACCTACTATTATAATATTAATTTTTTTGATTTTATCCATTTAGTATTTTTATTTGAAACACAGGTATTAATGATGTGACCTAAATTCGGATTTTGGATTTCAAAATTTATAATTATAATTAGTTTTTGAATTGTATTTAAAATGTTTAAAATAATTCAAAATCAAAGTCTAAAAACTCAAAAGCCCAATTTTAAATACATTTTCGGATTTCGGAATTCAAAAATCCGAATTATTGGATTTCGGCAAATATAGATGTTCCCACCGTAAATAGATTTATGTACAAATAACTAATTTTCCGATAACGCTTTGTAGTTAATATTAATTTAAAAATAATAGAAAAGTCGATAATACTGTTAACGAGTAGGCCACTACTGTAGACATGTTAGGTTGGTAGGATATATGCACAGGGTAATATAATTCATATTAGTAACGATAAATTATTGCAAACGCCAAATTCTGAGCGGAGTGGTGTTTTTGCCCGATGCAACCTATAATCTCGCCATTTACCCACCCACACACCAATATTTTCCAATATTCTTAGTATACCCTATTATTTTTCTAAATTGATTGTGAAAGAGTACTAAGTTTTAGTTATTTTCTTATTGAGCTTCCGCCCACCTCTAAATTTTAAACAAACCGAGAAGCAACCACTTCTAAAAGATCGCATTCGTTTCACGACCATGGCGCGGTATTGTAGGTACCTGATAATAATAAGGAAAGTGGGTAACATTTAGACTCAAAAAAACACATTTTTTTTACCACTACATTAACCGCGGTGTTCGTTATTTAAGAAACGCGATTTGTTCGCGTTTACGTTAAATGCGAAAAAGAAAAAAAAAATTACACGCATTCGTGTTTGGGATTGTTTGTTTGTTCATTCGCCCGTGCGTTAATTTATAGACTATATATATGTTACTGTGAATGTTTGTAGTTGGTGAATGCTGAAAGTCACCGGTTAATGTCGTCGTACACCAAAGCCATTGGTAAATGTTGGCGTATTGATTAAATTTATAATGTTTGTAAATATTCACTAGTGAATGCCAATATTTATGTAAAGATATTGGTGAATGTTGGTAATTTCGATATTGTTTTATTTAAATGTAATCTAGTAATAATGCAAAAGTCAAAATAATAACACTGCATCATTAATATAATACAATAATAATATTGCAGGTAGTATATAGTTTTCAAAAGAAATGATAAGAAATCGTAGCCATATCGGCATAACGTTAAGAAAAGAAAGTTGAAATAAAAATGTAGTTACACCAACAATACAGAAAAAAAATATTGTTTCAAATTATGTATTCATAGTAACCCGTCTTGTACAAAATCACGTTAGGTAAGTAGCGTGGGAAACTGAAAAAGCATTATAGCCTATAGGTGGAACTAGAGACTCAAGGTGGTCACTCGCTCTCTGCGCTCACTTGGACAATTTTAATCGAAAATAACTGTCGATTTGTTGTCCACGTCGGGTAGGTAACGAGAAAAAGTGAAAAGTATTATAGGTGAAAGTATTTTTAATTGATGTACTATAACTTATTTATGTATAGCCGTATTGGTATTAGGTACTTATTGGTTATCACGAAAATACGGTAATGGAAAAATACGGAATACCAAAATATGGTACAATGATACTTTAGGAGAGATCGGTTGGCAGTTATGAGTACACCGTACAAATATTCAATAATTAAAAAAAATAAATATTTTATAGAATGCAACATTGAAGTATTGTAACTGGCATATTATCAATTTTCTGAAAACTGTTACTCTCCGTATAATTGTAAATATACTACCTAGTACCTATATACAATATTAGGTATTGTATACAGATATATAAAATAATTAGATAGCCGACTGCTATAGTCTGCACGTATAAAATAATGTCACCAACAAAATGGTCGCTAGTCGTTATCTAAGAGGTGAATTTTTACAAATTAAACTGATATGGTTAGTGATAACGTACTATTTTGGAACTTTAGTGTACATCGTACAATGTACATCATATATTTTAACTCTTTATAGGACATGGGTTATTATTAAAATTGTTTCTTATCAATACTATAAAACATATAATGTTCATAGATAAGAATGGCGGCCATTTTTTTGGCGACAATAATAATACCAAAGTCGGCTATCTAGTTTTATATATCTGTGGTATTGTATAAGTTGATAATTTTGATAAAATGTTTTATTACCTTACATAACTATTTTTATTTTTTCTGGATGCCATGCCTTGTCCGTTAACATTTATTATGATCAAGGCTGTTATTATCATAGATAATAAAGAAATGGATAGGCCACTCCTGGAGTGGCAGTAATTGGAGGTAAACTGAGGCGTTTTATTATTGTTTGGTTATCACTTTATTGCGAATTTTATGATTGATAAGTGATATTTTTTGATGTTTATTTGTAAATTAGTTAATAATTTAATATTATTTTACATTTTTTTTATGTTTTATTAATGCATAATTGCACAATATTAATGATAACTCATAAGTTAAACATAGAATTTTAATTGTTAAATTCACTAGACTACGCATGGGCCACAAGTTGCTACCTATCATTTAGGTGTGAATAGCATGCGTTTATAGCTTACGTTGTGTAAACTAAATTGATTAACCATAAATTAATTTGTTGAAATTTAATAAATTATTTTATTACAATAATACCTATTTTTCATTAAACAAAAAAAAAAACATAGATAATAAAGAAAAAAAAAAACGCCTCAGTTTACTAATCAATCTTGGAACACTGATAAGGCAAGGATAGCCTGTCCATTCCTTTGTTATTTACGGTCATAATACACGATGAGCTCAGTTCCTCCATTAAATATTTTGGTTGTTGTAGATAAAATTAAAATGACCGTCTTAAAGTTGTACAGTGTGACCAGAATCCATCATTTGATTTTTACGGGAGCGGCGTTTTGATAAGTACCTATATATTCATCCACAATAGTTTATCTAAATGTGCGGTAAAAGTTAAAACAGTCCTTGTAGCCACATTGGGCAACTTTCGGACGTGCATTTTAATTTTGTCTCGAAAAAAAGTAAAACCATCTGATAACAATCGAACTGGGTTCACCATGTATTATAGTCGCCTTGAGTATGTTATTGTCATACGACACAGTCACATATTTTATTGTATACGGTTGATTTGAAGTTTTAAACAATAACCAAAACATTTTTTTTTTTTTTGAAAGGAAAATATATGTGAAGTATTTTATAATAAAGTCAATAATTTAGTATCTAATGAAATGCACGATAATTCTTTTTTTCTGATAAATATATATTTTTAATTAGTTAAGAGAAAAATTTTTCTTTGTTACACATACTCTTAAATTTAAAATTAAAAAAATTCATCAATTGGCGGGCAAGGGTATACACGATGCATATTTTGAAATACAAAATGCACCATAAAAGAGTGTGTTTACAGAAATGTTGGCATTTTATGTAGTTCAAAATTTCATGGCAATTTGTCATATAAGTGAAAATATTTCTTAAATTTTTTTTAAAAATAAAAATGTTTGCATGGCAAAACAGTCAAAATTTTAATTAATAATATTAATTATTTATAATTAATTAAATATGTTGTAACTATTTTATACAAAGAGAAAACTCTTTATAAAGAAAATCTGTGTAACATAAGAATTACTTATCTAATAATGATTGATCCTGGTTGGTTTGATTTTATAACTTATGTGTATTAGGTCTTTAATCTTCTCTACTGCGAAAGCTCTCAATAACAAAAGAAATGTCTCGGTCCCTTGTTTCGTTATAAATAATTGTCACTGTATTGTCTATAGTTTATACTATAATATGTGCGTATATATATGTCAACATTAACCGAAACCGTGTTGTGTATGCCAATATTGACCAAAATTCTGACATAAATGTATACATTTTTAAAATGTTTAAACATTTACCAATTTAGGAGGTGCGTGTCGACATTCACTAGGTGATTGTCAGCATTCACCAATTTCGGACATTCACAGGAACATAATACAACGAATAAGTCTAAACCCACACGCCGTGTCGATTTATTCACGTGGTTATATGATTAATATATTATAATAATTATGGTTCACGTATTCCGCTCTTTAAAAGCGAATTAGACATCAGGTTAATTGAATTTTTTTATAACGTATTTAACGTTTGTGATTAAAATTATATGATATTGGGTGCAAAAACTATACGGGCGTGCGCGTGAAATATAATATCAAACGAACGACAGTAATAATATTATTAACGAGACGATATTGTTGGCGTACACGCCGGACAACCAAATGCGTTCTACATTATGATACCTTTGAAATGGGTGCATTTTAGGCTTATGGAATATCGAATCCAATAACGAATATTATTATTATTAAAAATATTATGTTGAACGCGTTCGTTTGCAAACGCCGCGGGATAATACACTTATTATAATATAGGTACATGTGTGCTCGGTATGTGTGTATACAAATACAATATATTATTATCATAGGATCAATCGGTTAAAACTATGTTAACGTTTCAAATATGTCCGAATAAAATATTTTATTTATTAATTGCTTATTAATTTATAATATTATTATAACGTATACCTATGTCCTGTATAATACTCGCTGCGTTGAATTTTATTCGTATTTCAAACGAGGTGACTGTTAATTAATATTATAATCTGTATAGATTGTTAAAAATAGCAAAAAAAAAAAAAAAAAAAAAAAAAAAAAAAAATACGAAAGAAGAACACTAAGGAGACTATATGGACCAAAAAATTATGTCACTTGACACTATGATATGAGGAGTAGGTAATAATGTTATGAGAAGACGATTCAACCTTAGATGTAATAACGAAACGGGTTCTAAAGTGGATACCCAATACTACCAAAAAGTACTACCGGATTAGCCAAAATAAAGGGGGATAGATAAAGTTAGGACAAATTTAACACAAATTGGAATACAATGATGGAAAAGTATTAGTTCAGGATAGGGTTAAATGGAAGTAGAATTATGTTATAATAATGGGCCTCAATAGCTTTTAAAAACCGAATAAGAAGAAGATATTATATTGTAACTTACTTATTTATTTACTTATTCAAATAAACGGACCAATAGTCTTATTACACATTCGGTAAGAACTATAAATTATTAGATTATATAAGTATACAAAATTGTATTTACACAGTAATTCATAATTTCACAAATTACACAAAATCCCTGTGGTAGCTAATAATATTCTAAATCACATTTATTACCTTCAATCATTAAAGGGAGTTTCTAATGAGTTAATGAGTTAATCATACGATTTTTTTCTATTGAAAGAACGGTAGATAGGTTTTGGATTTTTGTGCAGAGGGAGTTTATTTTGAAATGGATAAGAGAAAGGAGTACTGGGCAGTCGGTAACACTAAAAGTTAAAATTTGTATGAATAGAGAAAGTTCGGACGAACATGGTATTAACAAGATTAAGAAATTTGAGAACATTTTGGCAAGAATCATGGGTGTGGGAATATTGAATTTAAATGAGACAAAACGCAAACAAATTATTTGTATGATGCATGGTATTTCCAGATATTTACAAAGAACTATAAGACCGACGACGTTTACAATGTTGATTTATAAACATAATACGATACAAAGCCTGCAGTTAACATAGAAATTAATGGGGTCCAAGTCCCCATGTGATTTTACAAGTGCAAGATCCAAGTCCAAAATATAAACGAGTAATAATTTTTTGTATTTTTTTTTTATTTTATTTATATGTTCTTATTTTATTAGAACTACATGTACATAATATATTAGGTCATACAATTTAAAAAAAGACGTATTATAGTCGTTATAATTTATTTAAAATTGAATTTCTGCCAGCAGTTTTAGTAAAATAAAATAAGACGAACGATCGTTTTTCGTTTCTCTTGACTTTTGGTCCCTTATTCTTATTGTAGGGTCTAGCTAGTAATGAATTTATTATACAGGGTGTTCCACGAAGATACACCCGTTGTAATTCCCTTGGAGGATAAAGATAATCAAATTTTATTTTATTATTTTTTTTTTTATTTACAAAGATATATATATTTATATTTTTCATAATAATGATAAAAAACTAAAAAAAAAAAATTTGTAATTTGAATGGTTCAACTTTTTGTTGAATGCAATGCCCAATTACCCATTGCAATAGGTAAGTATTCGTAGGACACCTGTATGTGTACATAAACAAATTTTAGACTGCTCACAAGTAGGTTACATTGTAGGAAGGTAGTCGGGAAGGTAGGATGTAAAGAGTAATTTAGTTTTGTATTATGTATCCAACGGTAACTCATTGAAAACGAAAAACGATTCTGTGAAGAGTAATATTAGTAGTATTTATTTGTCGAGTTATTTTGTTCCCACGCTAAATCAAAGATCAACAAAAATAAAAAATGTATAGAAGGTGAATTGCTGACAATTTCGGTAAACGTTTTGAATAAAGTACTATATTGGAGAAAATTTTGTATCATTTGAGATACTCCGTGAAAAATTTTAAGCATTCGCTTAACAAAAAAAGTGTTAAAAAAACAACATAAAAACCTTTTTTTTTTGGAAAAAGGATTAGTAATTTTGAACTAATTTTTCTTCGGGAAAAAAAAAACAAGCGTTTACTATTGAGTATAAGGTTGGGATAAGGGTGACGTAAAAATAACAAAATAAAAACCAAAGTTTTTTTTTTTTACTACGTACTTTATATAGTAGAAGTTTAAAGTTATACCACGAAACTATATATAATATTAGAGACGTTCGAGTGCCGAACACGGTTAGTTTTGTTTTCTTTTTCCCATCAGATCTTTCGATTTTTGTCCGCATCTTGAACGACGGCAGTCTGCAGACAATATTATAACGCAGCGTGCACTCTTCGAAAAAATAAAATGGGTTGGACGACGAACAGCGAGCATGCGGACATTCCGGTGTGTGTACATGTATATATACCTCCGTCTTGCGGCTCTGTAAATCAATAATAATAATATATGTTATCTTACACTACAAAACGGTTATCGCTCGGAGCAATAACATATATAGGTAGGTATACAGGGTTTTTCGAGTGTATATCGTTGTTTTCATTGCAAAACCGCGTAACTCGATTTTTCGAAATTTCACAGAGGGAAGAAAAAAATGTTATGATTGTTTTATCATTTTGTAGATAGGCGTTTTTGGAATATTCCATTATCACGAGCAAAATAAAAGATTATTTATACCAAAGACTTTTAAAATATTTGTCAAAATCCAAAGCAATGTTTACTCGCAAAAAAAAAAAAAATCTAAATTTCGTGTTACGTTGTTTTGTCATGGTAGCGACGATTTATAGGCGCAGCAGACGCTAACCGAACCGAATTGATGGATGGTTGTGATTAAATCGAATATCGATAATTAGCTGATTACCAATAGAAAAAAAAAAAAGTTTTATCCTTTTCGATAAACGATATAATTAATATTATATTATAATGTATTGTACGGTTATCATTTTTTATTGCAACGATGATCACGTAAAATTAGTAAAATAAATTTTATCAAAAATGAAACAATCGTTGAATTGTTGACTCAGGAATAGTCTGGGTTTTCAAGTTTATGGAATTGAGAGTGTTACAATTCTCCCAGCAATCTCCTATTCGGCTTTTCAAATGGACTTTAAAAAATTTGATTTCTGGTTTTTTTTTCAATCATTATACGAAATCGTTTAAGTTTAAGGGGGTTCCGTACCCTCGGGGATTAGTTCTCATGCTTTGCAGAGTGATCAGATTATAATGACTATATTTTTGTTTGAAAGAAGAAGACTCTCTACAAACCACATTGAATTTCGTTTTTAATATTTTTTTTCTCAAACTTTATAATATGTCTTTAAAAGCAATCAATTTTTAACTTTATTTTACTAATATTTTTATATAATTATTTAAAATCAAATAAAAAAACTGGGTTAATTACGATTTGTGGAATATTATTATTTATTAATTTAAAAACCGAGGAGAATTTATGTAGTTAGTGAGTTATTCCCACGAAGTCATACTTTTGTCGGTAAAAACGGCCGTACTCCTTCCTCCCTAATTAGTATTGGGCAGTAGCTTAGCGAAAAAGTCTTATTTTTAAGGTTACAATTGCCAAATTTTACAAAATTTGGAAAACCAGCATATTTTTTAAATTCTGTTTTCAAATGATATACTCTTATTCTTACTAACTTTTTGTTTTGGAAGCACCCTCATCCATCTCTTTCCACATTCAACACTGATTCGAGTAACAAATATTTTTCTTAATGCAATATTGATACGCATAATAACGCCAATATCAAATTTAGCCCTTTTATGAGTTGTATATATGTATACATACATACATAACAACAGTTTAGAATTTATATTGTAGGAATGTATGTTATAAGAAGCACGAGGGTAATGGTTGTAATAATTGATCACGATCTAAGAATCATTCTGTATTGTAAACGAATTTTCCTTTTGATTTTATTTTCTCATTTAAATTTCCCCAAATCCGGCCATTTCTTTTACCCAGTTTTTTAGATTCTGAACGTAGCGAGGGAATTTTTGTTTTCCAAATAATAACTACGTTGTGAGACGGCGAAAAAAAATCATAGGTACCTATCTATACCCTCCTACGTACGTAACTATAATGCGTTTTCTCGTTTTATTCCAAATTAAAAGGTCTACGACGACGGGAATATTATAACGTTTTCTGTGAATGCGCCTCGATCGACGAGTACTACACAACGGCGCTTAAAAAATTATAATTTAAGCTTGACCTACATAATATACAGTAGGACTTTTTTTTTCTTCTCTCTTTTTTTTGTCTCAACCACGTCACAATAATGTATATACTTTTTTCGTACATACTTCTATATATATATATATATACAAAAAAAAAAAAACTATTTTAGAAAACACTATATTTATACATAAATTGTATTATAGCGACCGATTAATAACGATTAACCGCGCGTATATAATGTAACAAAAAATAAAAATATATTATTATTATTATTTCTATACTAAATTTTTTTCTCCACTCTTTTCACAGGATGCCGATCATCGTCAGTGCGGCCCAAATCGTGAACACAGTACTCCCCGTGTGAACCGCAGCGGTTCCTCATCTGAAGAGGACAACCACGACGACGACGACGACGCCTCAACGGCATTCGCACTGGTAAGTTTTTGTTACGAGTTCAGCCGTAACTACGACGACGACGGCGGTACAATACGCCGTACGGTTCCGTTGACAATTCCTCTTTCGTTATTCGCACTTATAATGACACGAACAAAAACAATAATACATATATATATATATGTATAGGTGTATATATAGGGGGCTGAAAACACTTAGGACGTTTCGAGTATATTTGACGATAGCCCGATTAGATTAGTTTCCTACGTGACCTTTGACAATTAGCGATTGTTATATTCCCACGTGCGGACGAAGAAATTCCGTCTCAGGAGGACCGTCCGCAGACGAGCGTCACACGTCACAAGGGTTGCGATGACGTGCATTTTTTTTCTTTTTTTTTTTAAAAAAAAAAAAATAGTTTTATATTTTTCCAAAATGGCATATCAAAGGTTCGTAGTAGAAAAAAAAATGTAAAGAAAGATTGAAGAGACGCATACTATATAACGTATGGGTACATAATATATAATATATATATATATATATAAAGTATAGTATTTAACATTTAAAGAGCAAACCCTTGTAACTTTTTTTTTTATTTACTATACAGAGTCGACTTTTCTCCAATAGTGCGAATGCAAAGTAAATATATTCTACAAACAATAATAAAAATAAAATAATTGTTACTTTTGCAATTTAAACGACAACACGCAAATTGTATTTTCGATAAAAAATATATTTCTATGACATTTCAAAAATTTAAGTTATTATTCGCTGTAGCCATTTTTTTTTTTAGAATCTGTATACAGAGGAATGATTTGACTTTACTACGATGTGTGAATTTTTTTTAAAATTTTTTTTTTGTCTGATCAATTTTTTATCAGAAATCGTACACTGATTTTCAAGTGTAGCAACTTTCCTGAAATACAATTTTGTCTAGTTGGTGCATAGAAGAAGCCATTTTATGATTTTTCTTGTAGTTTTCTTAATAATTGGGGAAAAAAATGTAAAAATAAAAGGACTTGAAAATTGTATAGAATATTTACTACACGTGTTAAAATTATCAAAGCATCTGTCAGCTATTTATAGGCATTTTACATTTTTGAGTATTTTTAGTTTTATTTAGTATTATGTGTAGGTACTTGGCAGTAAAAAAAAAGTTGAGTAATATCGTCATTTTTATTATAAACGTTCTTTGAACTTCGTTTTGAGTTATCAATAATTTATCAATGCGTACAGATAAAAATGTAATAATTATATATGTATCTAATTATTCCCAATTTCCCAGTTATAACAGTGACACACCCGTCAGCAGTATCGATATCTTTTTCTTTTTCATTTTAGTTATTAGAAAATAAAAAATATAATAAGTGTCAGCTCGAGCGTGTTCAGCGGAAATTCCTCAAGTTCTGTGCGTATGTTTTGAAAATTAATTATCACTGACATAATAACTCTCCTGTTCTTCGTACCTAGAGAAATTTGATATTTTTAAATAATGAACTTCTACATTGATGCTCCTGTGTTCAAAAGTAACGTACATTTTCCGGTTTCTCCTCGTAACTGCGTTTTCCCCATGTTTTTCTCGCTTTTTTCACATTTGCTGAAAAACTCTTGAGAAAATCGAAAAATGACCTCTTTTATGTACCTCCCTAGTCAGATCCCCGTTTAGAAAAAATGTTATCTTTGTAAATCGGAGCAAAATTTCTGGTAGAAGAGTTGTTTACAGAAAAAAAAAAATTGTAATATTTTACTAATATATTTCGTACATATTCCTGGTTTTTTTTTTCTGTTTTTCACAATGGTTGAGAAAACTCCGAAGGAAAACGAAGAATTACTTCTTCAAAGTACCTTTCCAACAAAATTTCCTTTCAGAAAATTTACTAAATCGTAGAAATGTTGTCCATAGATAAAACAGTTATAAAAGTGTAAGTTTCTTCGTTCTACTCAGAATCTAAAATGAAAATTATGTGTAATTTATGATAGAACCATAAAAAAATTGTTTCCTTTATTTGCTATATGCCAATATGGTATGGAACCCAACAAATTTAAAATTGCTCCCCCCTCTAATGTTTTATCAAAACCGCTATTGTGTATCCCTGTTTGTCCTACTCAGTATTTGAAATATAATCCTTTTAAAAATAATGCTAAGGTAATGAAGTTGGCCAAGGAGGATTCATAACTTCTTGTTTGATACATTTTTTTTTTTATTAAATTTTATGTAATATTGTGTGTTACTACGTTTATTGTCTTTTGAATGTTTATTTTTAATCAAATAATTTGTTAACGTACTGTATTTGAATTGGGTCAATCCGGTATATTTCCAATAAATAAATAAATCAATAAAAAAAATCATAATTATGTATATGTAGAACAGTGTTAAATTCCATCGGACTTTTTTATAAACTTACTAACGGTGTGAGATATCATTTCTGATTGAATCGTTTCCGGCAATGTCAAAGTCTATATATTTAAAATATAAGTTTCAGACAGTCCGATATTGTTTAATAAACTCTCCCTCCTTCGTTGGATATAGTTTAGTAATCCATAAGTTGAACTTGTTGGTTTGCATTCGGATTCATATTAAATTTCTCGTGCACGAGGTTATCGGACAAGTCTAACAGGATGGTTATACATAACACAGAGCGATTTATTTATCACGAACCAACGATTATCTAAACGAAGGTTTCGAGTGTACATTTAATTTAGTTGAAATTTGGGCAGAAAGAGTATGGGAATGGTAAAAAATTTCAAATCTGTGTTTCTATACAACATTAAGGAAAAAAAAACAATTCAAATTCACTGAAAGTTTTCGTAATATATGTAATTTGATATTTAATATACGTAATTGCTGGTTCGTGAAAAAAAAAAATCACTCCGTATACTATAATTCCGAATGTAATCGACTCCTTACAATTGGATTATATTTGTTTGTGTGTGTGAAACGAACATTGTAGAACAACGGTCTATTTGATTGTCATTTGGAATGGGTTCGTTTTCGTCAAATTGATTGTATGAAAATAACGGCCGTTTACTAAATGTATGGTATTTTTTATTATATATTTTTATTTCTAAGATTATAAATTGTATTATTTTCATTCGGTACTCGGAATTCGGTTTTTACTTTTTTGTTTTGTTTTGGCAAAGCATTAAACTGATCAATAAACTCTATTTTTGGACGTGTTTTTTTTTGCTGTTTCCGTACAATTTTTGCGTTGTCTAATCTTTTTACTCGTTCAATTTCATTTCTGTTTTAATGTTTTATACATTTTTATTTGTTTGATCAATGCTATTTTAACTCGGAAAACTTTTTATACACCATGGTATAGTGAGTTCAGGTTACACATGTTAAATATTCTGCCACCTTTTTGTTACTGCCATTTTTTAATATTTTGTCAATTTTAACATTACACCCTTTTATGCGATACCGAGAATTGTGTATAAATATTTAATCTCCGATTAATAAACACGAAGATTGATTATCTTTGAAGATTGATTGATTATATAGGTTTTCATATTTTACCTTTTATATTATACAGAACATAAAAACAAGGTTTGTTTTCTCTAAAATGTAACTCAACATTTTTTTAACTATACAATACTTACATACTATTATTTTATTGAATAGAGTTAGTCTATTTTTTTTTTCAAATATGATTAAAAATTAAAACTCAATATTATTACTTTTAAAATATTTTTATATTTTAATAACGAAATAGTTTTTAAAAAATAAATCTTAAATCATGTTTAATTTAATCAATAATTCAATTTTAATTTTATATATCGTGTATAGGTAATACAAGTATTGGATACATTTGAGATTTTAGGTTTAGATAGTTTGTTGTATGATTTACCTTAAATATCTATTGTTAAATCATAAGATTAATTTTTCAAAGTCAAAAATTGTATGCCCACAAAAAACCTTAACTGCGTTAGTTTTGTTTTTGATTGAATGGTAAAAAATTATCAAAAATAAACGAAATAAATTGTGTAATGATCGCTTTACTGTGTTTATATTTTAATTTTTTTTTTCTTAATTAACTATTCTCAGAGGAGTATTGTGTTTCCCACAGAAAACTTGTATTATTTTTAAATAAGTATTCATTTATTCCCGTTTCTCACAAAAAAAAAAAAAAAAAAAAAAAAAAACTATTGGAAATTATTATACCTCTTAGTTTTTTTTAAATAAAATTATTTTCTGGAATCTAAAAAAAAAATCTATACTTTTTGTATTAAAATAGAAATCTGAACACTTCGGATTTGCTATACTTAATTTAACCATATATAAAAATAAACCTGGCTATGTACTTACGACTATTGGTGAAAATTAATGAGATTGCTTAGGTAAATGAGGTAAATGAGGTGAATGAATGGAGATTGAAGCACTACACTATAAAGAATAGAACAAAAAAAATGTTTTTATAAGTGTGGTTGTTTCAATAAAGAGTTAATATTATGACAGAGAAAAGACTTAGGTCATTTATTCTTGTGATGAGATAAGTGTTTGCGTAGGCAATAAGAATAGTTTTATAAATGAATATAGATAAAAGATAGGAAAGGAGAAGACTGTAAAAAGTTACAGTTGAAAGTGCAGTCAATAGTTTCTGGGATGTGTTTATTGACGATATAGAAGATTCATACAGAATCAATGTGGCTAATTATTTATAAGAAAGACTCCCGTATCGAATACGTCTTATTAGTGAGTATTAGGACAAAATACAATTTAACACAATTCTTTATCAAGTCTAAGGTGTAATTTGTTGATACCAACAGCATATGACAGAAACTACCGATCATTGGGCGACGTGAAAATTCAAACTTAAGCCAACTCGTTCTACAGCAAGTATACTTCATCAAGTCCTCACACCCACAATCCACCCGGCTTAACTAGATAAACTATATATCTATCTATCTCGCTGCTATAGATTGTATTTTTGTTCTATCTCAATTATAAAATATAAATATCAGCGTTTTGTGTTATAATACTATTAATATCTATGTATTATTACCGTGTTACTATTTAATTGTACTACTAGCACACGTGGATTATTCGTAATAATATTTATATCATCACCGATTATGACCGAGTCGGCGTCGGGCTTTGCGTTTGCGGATTGTCCTCTTTCACACCACCGCTCGTCATTCCGCGTAGCGAAACCCTTAACCGTGTGCCTACACAGTATACAATATTATATGTGGTATAAACCATTATAAAGTATAATATTATACCGTTTGACCTTAATCGCGGTTTATTCACGTGCACGTGATTATTATACGCAAGCGTGGGTACCTACGTAAATTAACACACAAAATAAGAGACGCGTATTATCCCGTCATCCGAAAAGTTTGATCATTATAAAGATTGACGTAGATATTTTATTATTATTATGTAATATATAATAAAATAATAGTATTGATATTATATTTTTTTTGCCAGTGTGTCTGATGTGTAAAAATAAAAAAAAATAATAATCACATCCCTTTGACGTACATATACAGTGATTGAAATATATAGTCAAATATTTTTAGGCGGTTTTGCTGCATTTATATAGAAGGTACCTTAACTTTCAAACCTATTTGTGAAAATGAGCCTTCTGGATAAAAAAATATACGAATATATTCCCATATTTAGTGGGCGTGTCTATAATTGTTTTTAGAGAACACTATCTGTAACACACGACTCTTCTCAGAGATATTATATCAGGGTCATACTATCATATTATATCTCTTGCTGTTGGTGTTTTGTGTACCAATCGGCTAAAAACAAAAATATACACAGCGCCGTTGAACACGTGTGCAATTTCCCATTAGTATATTGGGTAAATATATTACAAAATTAAAATATTCATGGATGCTACAATATATTTCTTAAATTTATACTTGTATATTAATAAATATTCGTGAATTTATTCACCACAAATATTATTTTAGGCTATTTTATTAATATTAATATTCTTTGGGGAGGTAGGATACTTATAGTTATTTAATTTATACCTGTAAGCAACGATAAACCATTGCTAACGAAATCCTTATACATATTTTGAAAGACCGTAATATTTACGACTTTTGTAAAAATTTGATTTTGAAACTATTTACACATTTAACTATTAACACATTTATTTAACTATTTACTCTTAAATAATGAAATCGTTGTGCCGTATTTTGAAAAAATAAAATTGTTTTCGTTTTTTTTTGGTTTACTCAATTGTTATAAAAATAATTCAGATATCAAAGAACTACTGGAAGTGGTTATATATTAAATGGAACAAAACTCATTTTATATAATTTTCGGTGGGAGCAATATTTCTGATAGATATCATAAGTTGCAAAAATTGAAAACAATGAAAACGGTGACATCACGGCACACTGTAAATAACATCCGTTTTTCCTACCGTATTTTTTTTTTTTTTTTAAGGTTTTCCAAATTCTTTTGAAAACATCTTCGTTAATTAAAAAAAATGACCTTAATGTATCAAATAGACAAAATTACCCTTCAGAAAAGATGCTTTACTTGATACTTAGGAACACGATTTTTTGTAAAAGTTTTCTACAGACAAAAAAGAAAATATATATTATAGTAAAACCAACAGATTTATAGAACACGACCAATTTATGTACAGATAATGTATTATCAGTTGAGTGTGATGGTGGGTCATTGACTATTTTGTTAACACTAACACTAACAGCACAAAATTGATATTGTTGAAGGATAATTTGTTATATTGTGGGTTTATAAGATGAAAAACAATAAATGCATGAAGTGTCCTTTTCATCTTATAGAGTGTAGTAATTCAAAAGAGGTAGGATAAAGGGGGAAATAATTATATGATATAAGATAAACTGGGTGTTTTACTTTTATATCTAAATTAAATCTGATATTTGAATCACTACCTTTCTTCTGCTATTCGGACTCACAACTCCGTTCGTGAGTCCGAGAATAGTAATACTAATAAATAGAAATTATAATTGTTTTACCTGCCCACGGTGTTAGGACGCTAGGGTTATCAATCGTAGGTGTCCTCACGTGATCCTAGAATTGTAGGACGGCAGCGACAACTCAATAAAAATAATCTAAATTAATCTTAACTTTTAGAAACAGCATGCATTCAGATAATAAATGCTAACATTTAAATTAGAATATAAAAAAAGGTTTATAATTAAAATAAATGTATAAAATAAATTGAACACGTGTGATTGTAGCTGCTAAAAGTCGGAGCTACCTATTTGAGATAAATATACAAAAAAAGGGTCGTAGTGACTGTATGGGTTCGGTACAGGGTTCTCGACAGAGTGATTTTTAAAAATGAAATAGCAAAAAATTTGAGTGCATAAAATGTGTGTTAAAAATAATACATTTTAAACTAAGTTTTATACTATATTATATTAAATAGAATATAAAATATATATTTATCATAGTAATTTATGCAAGTTATTTAGTAAATAAATTATTTTCTCAAGAACATATTTTACAGGGTTAATACTTATTCTACTTTATAGAATGATTTCGATGATTTTTATTTTGTTGAACTGATTGAGACTTTTTACAAAGCGTGTTGGACTTAAATTTTGTAAATTAAATTAATAAACGCTATAATTAGAGTTTGTATATGACCAATTTTTTTTCTTATTTTTACTTTTTCTAGCAGGAAAAATCTTTTAACAGTCTATTTAGGACTATTATCGCTTTGGATATGCTCGTATACTTCTTTCTATCCAACAACGCTCTCATTTTCAGCAATGCACGGATACCCATTTTAACTTCTTCTTTACTAAGAAATATCAAAAACTCTGCTTGTTATACAGTTGCCACAGGTTTTAATTGGTTCTTCTCTAGAAACTTTTCAAGTAATCAATGTATACTGTACTGGTTTATATAATTTCCTCAGTATTTTCCTTTTGAAACTCTGTAGTTTTTCTTCAACCCCCCGAGTGCTAGATCACGTCTCGCATGCGTAATCTCTTCGCCATATCACTAAGCATTGTTTTTTCGTTTATGTTAACTCTCAAGTACCTGAATCCTCTTACCTGTATGAAAGTAAGCTCTTTGATGCAGACAGTACTCTTCAACATTGCGTTCTTAGTAATCACCATAGTATATTACTTTTGTTTACTATAGTAGTCCCATATTGTAGCTAGATTTTAAGAGCTTCCATGAATTCTTTTCCACATGGTATCTGGATTTATCTAATAGGATAATATCATCTACATAGGTAAGCAAAGTAAAGGGTCCTATTATTTTCATTTCTTTGATGTTTATAATATCACTCACCGTATTTTTTAGGTTTTGATTGAATAGTATTGAAGACAGTACATCTTAGGTCAGTCAGTTAAATAATAAAAAATCAAAGTCTAATGCATTCTTTTTTTTAAAAAAAAAAAAAAAAAATAATAATAAAAAAAAAATCATTGTAATCGGACGTCTCATAAGACAAGAGAGATGGCCCTGTAAACTATGTTTTGAACAAAAAACAGGTAGACTACTTGTGCAGACGTCCTAATACAACAATTAAAATTACAATGTTTGACAAGACATGTTAAAAATTTAAAAAAACTTTTAACTATATAATAATATATATTTTTATTTTCTGTAGTTTCAATCAAATTTAATATCATAAAATCATTAATGTCTGTTTTAGAAATCATATTTTATTTTATTTTTTTTCTATCAGAGCATTTTATTTTGGTTTTTCTTTTAATCGTATTTCGATAAATATGATTCAGAATATAGTTTTACGGCCTTCGAGTAAAAGCCGTTAAATCCTCGTAAAACGGCATTTTAATTTTGAACAAATTGGTGTAAGAGGTTAATTCATTATCATTATATATTGCGGTGTAATGAGAATTAGTATTATGAGATATCAAAAATATGAGACCTACATTGTTTAAGTCTTATGAGACTAAAACGATTTTTTTCATACGCCCCTTTATACATAAATTATACACTTAATAATGTAATTAAATATTATTAAATTTTAATAAAACAATTGTTAATTAAAGTTTAATTAATATTTTAATTTTATTTATTTTAAATTTCATAGTTATTTTAAGCGTTATACTATTTTAAAATGAGAAAAACTTTGTTTTCGTTCTCTTGAGAAATTGCAATTTGATTTTAACTTTTATCCGGATGCCATCGTGTTATTCATTTATCACGACAAATTAATATTATATGGGTTGGGTACCTATATAATATTTATTTATTGAAAATCATTTGTAATTCATATTTTTTGTTGAGATTAAAAACAAAATATATTAAAAAACTCGAAAACGATCGAAATAAAAGAGAATAATATATAATACGAAATTCGATTGAATATAATATATAGGATGTGTCAATTATTATGTAACATCATGATATATAATATATTGTTATATCGAATGTATATATATATTTAATCATATTTTCGGTATTGATTTATGTTCGGTGTAGTCACTTTTTTTTCTTCTTTTTTCTCAAGAACGGTATTATACATACGAACCATACCTCGGCCGGGTCATATTGCTCAATTCCTACGAGATATATGTATAAAGGAGAAGAAGGTACAAACAAAAGGGGTTTTCTCCCTTATACACGTATCCTTCTAATTAAATATGCAAAAAGCTTGGTGTACGTAATTATAATGAGAACGGGATTGGGTCGAGTGGCCATGTATACGTTGCGTACGTGTGTACGCGTCATCTGTCCTAAAAGAACTATCTTGTTTTTTCATTAACACACAATAACTATATATTATACGGATTGTATGAATTGTTCACAAAATTCATTAATACATTTTTAAATGCATTAAAACCCTTTTCAATGAGATGGTACACACAATACATATATACGAAATATCATGTACGCGGATGTAGTTTAGTTGTTACTTTAGCAGTATCGGCTCTTGTTTAAAAAAAATTGATTTTATGAAATTATAGCTTTAAAATTTATTGTAAACACTGCATACGTTTTCTTAAACTATTTTATTATTTTAATAATATTGTATAAGTACCTAGTTTAAATTTTATCTAAATTGAATGTATATATTATTTAAAAATGTGTGTGATGCGTATATACAAAATGGGAGTAGGTAACTGTTGATTGGAAAATCAATAGAAGTAACTTTGCCCCGTTTCGCTCAGCTAATGAAATTCATTATTGAAAATCTGTCTCTATGCCATTGATTTTAGAATGCTACGTGTTGATTAGATGAATTCCGCTGTGATAATATTCAAACAAAAGTATTCATCGCCTGACGTGTTCGATATGATTATTGTTTTATTGTGAGTGAATATGATGGACGATTGAGTAATATGTTTTAATATATTATAGTTTTTACACGTAAGAAGAATACCTATTAAATGATGATTTTATTATTATTTTCAAACATAAAACTGAATAATATTTTTTCTCAGTATATTTAAGATACGTCCAAACTAAAAATAGTTTTGAATTATTGAAGTGAAAAATACGATTCGAAATAATCGTATTATTCAAATTATAACAGTATAACAGTTTAGAGCTATAGATTAAAAATAAAGTACACTTATGTTAAGTCTTTAAGTTAGATTTATTATGATATAATTGAAAAGAATATTAATGATATTATTCAATTATTGTTGACTTATAAGATAAGATTTATATTTAGTAAATATATTTGTCGAGCACGTTCATATGATGTTTTAATGTAATTTATATCAACCAGATCTCGCGGTAAATAATGTTAAAATTGTCAATAGGTGTATAATAGTGGTGGGTACTGGTGGAAAAAAAGTTTATTATTTATATTAATCTGTGGATATTAACGAAGCGTTAAAATTAAAAGAAATTACGTAATACAATACAATTTATAGAATATTATAATACTATTACAATTTGGTTAAATAATAATATTGTACTTATATAATTATAAAACGGCGCTTGTCCTATGCAATTTTAGTACACTCCTGTATTCAATAGAACTTGCTCTGTAAAGATACATTTTTCTCGATATTACGGTCAAAACATATTCACTGGAATAAAGGATTTGACTGTTATACAGATTATAATATATAAAGGTTTCAAAGTTTTAAAAGCTTCGGTTGTAAAATTATACGGAAAAAGATGAATTTATAAAACGAACACGCATGTGTAATTCATAATTACACGATATTAGATTTTAATGTACATGATAATATTAAATATTTACATATTATTTAAATAAAAATATGAAGGTGGCACTTTCAATAATATAATACTCATATATTTATATATTATAAAATAACAATATGACAATAATTAAAATGTTTTAAATTAACTTTAGCGTAAAATAATAGAAGTTGAAGTACATTGTATTTGTAGTTTAAAAAAATAAAAAAAATAAACTCGTAGTGCATACAGAAAAATAAATCAAATATTAATTTCGTAAATCGCATATTGCATGCATAAAAACGTAGGGCTTAAGTTTCTACCTTTAGTTCAAATTTATTAATACATTTACCATAACATTATTCGAGTTATAATTAATCAAGAATAGTAAAAAAGAACAGAATGTAAACACGTTTTTGATAAATAAATACGGGAAACATTTTTATATTATATGCTAGATATTACTTTAGAATATATAATGTATATGATTTACACTGCAGAACAGTTGGTGACCTAGTTTTAGAAAGCTCTCGAGTATATTATTAAAATTTAAAAATACCGTTCATACACGTATATTATGGAAGAAGTAATAAAGTTTTTGTTATTTTTAATGCAATATTTTTTTGTTACCAGGAGGATCAACTAGTCAGAGTGTTAGAAAAAAATACCGAGCTAACCATCCAAAATACAGATCTACACAAACAAGTATTGCAACTCCAACATGTAAGTAAATCTATGATAAAATACCAACTATTACATTATTATTTTATTTTATAACATAATTTTAATCATATAAACTACTTTATTCGGCTAGAATAGTGTAATATTCAGTTAAAATTAAAATCACTGTGTGGTTTACGATATTTTGCAGGCTGCGAGAACTTTACAACAGGTCTGTACACACCCTACATGATACATCACATGATACCCACACATCATACATGCATATACGCCCTAACCGCACACATACAAATGTCCCGTAAAAGAATTGCAGTTTTTCCATTAGTGAAATTAAGATATAGTTTATTCATTTTATGCATTCCTGTCAAATATCTAAATAGGTGCTCAAATATATAGTTGTATAGTTTTTGATATTATAGTATAACATCGGCCTATATCGTTTGAATGTTGTCTTTTGTCCATATACCCGTTTATAAGTATATACTACATATCGGCAGTCTTTTAATGTTTTTTTTTCGAATTAACCATTTTTGTATTTGTGTTACTAGAGTATTTTATACAACATTTTCAATTTGTTTGGTATTTAGGTGAAAAAGGGCTCCGGGCTGAACTCTTCCGTATCAGCCCGGGCAAATGCCGATCAAGAAATCGATGACATACTTAAGGTGAGAACGAACAAATGTGTTAATATAGCAACTATGGCTGGTTTGATAAAACGTTTCATAAAATATACAGCTATTGATACTTACTTCATTATTTTTTATACTACTGTTATGCAGTTGATGCAAGATGCGACCGACAAAAAGAGAGCGCTTGAAAAAGAACATAAAGAATGCGTTGTCCAGCTTCAAGACAAACAACATGAATTACAGGCTAAGCCATCGAATATTAACTATGCAGAGAAAACCAGACTGTGTGAACACATCGAATCATTACAAGTAAGTTATAACTATATTTATAACAATAATTGTATCGAATATCTAATACTGCTACACTGGCATTTGATTTTAGTCTAAGATTCGAGAGCTGGAAAAAAAGATGGAGCTGGAGAACGTCAAACAGGAAGAGTTACAGTTGGAGTTGGAACATCACAAAAGGTCTACAATGCGATCGGCGTATAAGCCCACAGATCTAGCATTAAGTTCGCCCGCAGAATCAACTACGTCTAGTGGGGATCTAAGTAAATATTTAGGTGTATATGGATAAAAATTAGATCTAAATTAAACTAAATTGATGTAGTCACTATAATATCATACACATGAAAACAGTATTATTATGCTAATATCACTGTTTTACAGGATCGAATCATTCTTTGAACCATTCTTCTCTACCTACATCGTCAGAGCACATGTATTCCACCGATCAAATGAGACAACACAGATTACAATCTGCCGGTACATAAAGATTATTATTATTATTATAATTATTATTTCTTTTTTGGCACTCATTATATACATTTGAATAGATAGCTGTATTATATAAATAGGCCGTAAAATAATTGTTTATCTAAAAATAAATAGGTGACGTATTAGAAACGATGAACACTAACAGAACGAGTATGGCGGTGGGTAGGGTCGGGACTTTACCGTCATCGGAAATCGATCGTATAATGGCGAAAATCGATCAAGACAATCGAGTGTTAGCCGAACTCGACAAGACAAGGTCTACTATAGGTGAGAATAATATTATAGATTTCGTAAAGTGCATAAAATGTAAATATAATATATGTATAAAAAAAAAAAAAAAAAAAAACAGTTGCCGGGGGTCCTGGGCAAACAGCACCGCTGCATAAAGTCAAAATAAAAAGCTAAATTTAACATTTACCTATTTTTAAAACTCGTGTCATACAATTGTATTATATATTGAACACCCTGAATGCATACATCTATATAAATAAAAAATAAAAAAAAAACAGTTGCCGGGGGTCCTGGGCAAACAGCACCGCTGCATAAAGTCAAAATAAAAAGTGATAAAACGGATTCAAACACGGCACCGCTTCGGTCGTGCTTGAAAAAACGCAGTAAGTCATGGAAAACGAAAAAAAATAGTGCCTTACTTATATATAGTTCGAAGAGTAGTTTGTTTGATTATTCCAATTTAAATTCAAATTATATTTATGTATCAATATTAATAATAAAAAACAGACAAATATACTTAAGTAATAAGCGATTTGTCAAAATTCATTCAATATATTATTATACTATTTAGATTTTTTTTTTCTAATTAGCACTTACGCTTTTACATTTACATGTAAAACAATGTATACATATTTTATTTTAATATAATAATTATTATCTAGAGCAAAATAATATATACAAATCATACATATAGCACATATATTTTTTTATAGTTATAGAATCGAAGTATTTACTGAGTAGGTATTTATTATTGCATCACATGCATTATGGTTACCGTTTTGTAGGCGTATGAGTATTTTACTGAACACATTTTCAAGAAAAAAAAAATATGTGATCTATGTGCTTTGACATTCTTGCTATATAGAAATGATTTTTCCCACGTTCTGACGCACACCGATTTTGACCAAACCGAAAATTATACAATACAGATTCGAATTTTTGTACATAATTTATTAATTATTATAATGTGGTTAGTGATAATCAAACCAAGACCAATACTCTGGCAATAATGGTCTTGGTCATGTTCTTGCATACTCAATCTTGGTCTTGGTCTTAAACGTATACAAATATATAAATACCTAATATAGGGGTTAGGATTTCGATATTTGTTTATGATCACTAAGGTAATAAGATATAAGTTCAAAATATATATGTGATTCAAGCTAATTTAATAAGTTATTTGACGACCGCCGTTAGTGCAATGAAATTAATAATAATAATACCTATACCAACCTATCATAATAGCTCTTTGGTTTTAGTACTATTCTATAATACAAGTATTTAGGTAGCTATATTAATGGTATAAATACGTTTTTTGCTAATTGTGTACTAAACTTTTTTTATTTGCTCGATCGTCGCCAGGTGTGATTAATACTTCACTTTGGTACACAAATACTATACGATCGTATCTTATCTTGATTTTAATAATGTGTCATATCTCCGAACGATGCGATCTTCTAATGTAATACTACAGTCTATTAAATCCATAGTAAATGTGATTTTTTAAAAGAAAAACAAATTTGCAAGACTGTACATTTCTTACAGTATTGGTCTAATTTTGATAATCATTAAATATGATATACCTAAACAAAATACACACTCGTATATTATTATATTATCAAGCTTGGGTTTGGTCAACTCCGGAATTTATAAATAAATATTTAGTTTTATTTATATAATTCGTTTAAATAACATATAGTGTTCCCATTATATTCACCTATAAACAGTGGCGTGGCGAGCATATTTAAAATTCTAATAAGCACACAGTCTACAAACGTAAATCACCTAAAATAACTCGCCCACTTCTCCTTTTCCTTGCCGTATAGTTCTAGGACTCAGCATTTGCACTGCTGCTGGGGAAACGTTGTTCACCACGCCACTGTGTCTCCAATCAATTAATTCGCTAGTCAAAATAATTTTTAGTTATTTTTATTTAATATAATACCTATTTACGTACTTAATGTTATATCTATACTTGTAAATACGTTACAATAATTTTATTACAATGTATGAAAGTATCTTATTCTTTTTTTTTCACCTGCACACTTTAGGTTTACCAACTGCAGGCATACTGCAGCAGCAGGCGTCAGCAGCGTGCAGTTCAATTCAAGAGCCGAATTACGCCCTGCCTTCTGCACAACAACACAATATGAATTATCCGTACACAGAGGTATGTCTGTCATATTATGTGAACGTTCTTAAGGGACCTGCTCGGACGCAATAAAAAAAAATTTTATGGGATTGTATTCAATAGGGGGTTGATTTAAATAGCTAGAAACCTTTTCTGGATAACGAGGAATGTTTAAAAAAAACCCACTTAGTTTTTGAGTCTATCAATTTTATACAGATAGACAGACATCCATTTATATATCTATTTACATAAATAGAATAAAATGTCTTGCCTGATTGACTGATTGATTCATCATTGCCTAGTCGGAATCGCAAAAGCTATGAGTATGAAATTTGGTCAGTAGTTTCGTTTTATGATTTAGAATCTAGTTACCCCTTGAATATCTCCGGAAATAATAAAGATAGCCAAATTCTGTTTTTTGGGTATTACTCACATGAACAAGCATTACAAATATTCGTATTTTGATTAAATTTTTATTTTAGTAAAAAAAATTAAAAAAAATAACTTTTTATGTTATTATTTTCGAACAATTTTACGATAGCTATTCTGTAGTTTATTTTTCTGAAAATTCCAATGCATCAAACATTTATATCCGATGAATAGTTTCTAAGTAATAGTCGTTTTAAATTCTACTAATCCCTGTGAAAACTGATGTTATCGCGTAACGCGGTTAGATTATTTTCTAGATAACATCGGTTTTTACACGGATTAGTAGAATTCAATACGGCTGTTACTTTGAAACTATTCATCGGATATAAAAGTGTGGTGCATAACCTTTTCCGAAAATAATAAAATAAAGTTATTTTTATCTTTTATTAAAAAAAAAAAAAAAATAATAATAATAATATATATATATATATACATTTAACCGTATTATATTTTTTATACAATTAGAGTTTGAGTATGACTAATTTTTACCGTTCTTCTAACTAATTTATTTTGTGATTTTTGGTTTTATTATTAAAAATTTAAGTCCAATGTACCATGCAGAAAGTTTTTTTTTCTTTCCAACAGAAAGCAAATATTCTTAATCGAATAATTCTACGAGGCGTTACAGTTTTTTTTTTGTAAAAAATGTTTCGAGGATCCTCACTCAAATTAAAATTGACTGAATTATTAGTTGTAAATGTGAACATTTTTGTACTACCATAAGCAGAACTGTTAATACAATCATTATGTTTTTAATAATGGTATTACGTTGTTTTACTATGTTCATGTTAAGCTTTATCGCGTGGCCCCCGGTCATCTCACACAGACATATCAACCCTTATCCATCGGCACATCGGTGTTGCCAAACATAGGACCGTTGACCACTACGACTCCAGCTCTAGAAACAGTGTTATTAGCTACCGGACAACAATCCCGACTTCAACCCAAAGGACGGATTATGCCTGCGATTCCGGGCATGATCAACGCTCAACAAGATATCGATTGTGAGTACATCAACCTATTATGTTATAATACTTTGGACATTTAAACATTTGTATTTAGTTTTTTACATTTTTGTATTGCCCTAATAATACTTTTGTTACATTATTTCAGACCAAAATAACATTATAAACGACGCGTTAGGTTTGAGCATAGAATCGACGAAACGTTTCGGGGAAAGACGGATGCCAGATATGTTGGATATACCTGGGAAAGGACAGTGTTACGTTTATTGCGCGAGGTAAATTAAAATAATCAAAATATTTGTTAACTATATTTTTGTATATACCTAATATTTGTAATAATAACATTGTTGTTACAAAGGTATACATACGATCCGTTTTATTGTTCGCCAAATGACAATTTCGAAGAAGAACTACCGATTACAGCTGGGGATTATATTTTAGTGTGGGGCAGTAAAGACGAGGTATGTAAAATAATATTTAAACGTGTAACTATTTAAAAGTATAAACGAAGGTTTGTTCAAGTTTAGCAGCGGTGAATATCATGACTTGCTATAATATGTTTTTTTTTTCAAATTATGATGGCCGATTTTCGGTCAAAACATACTATGTGGATCCTATTTTAGTAAAATTTAACATAGATTGAAATTTATAAAATCCTTTTTATTTTATAATAATAATATATTAAAAATAATCGCTTTCAGGATGGATTTTTCGACGGAGAACTCTTAGACGGAAGACGTGGTTTGGTGCCTTCTAATTATGTGCAACAATTATACGGTAGAGACCTAGAAGACTTCTACCAATCTATGGTAGTCAGACTGAGAGAGTGCGATGATAGTGCAACAACAACGGTTCCTTCGAACATCGAATACATGCTTCCAGGTGAAAATAAATAATACTATTTTCTTGTTTAAAATAATTAAAAGTTAAATACATATTTTAAAATCACAAACAGATGAACAGTTGAAAAGGCTGGCTCAACAAGAATATAACAATATGTTAGAAGAACTACAAGAAGACGATAACGTGGACGACGATGGTGAGATTTAGAACAACATAATATTATTTACTAGTATGATAAATTCAGTTGATCAGCTTCTTAATTATGATACATTCTCACATATTTGAAATACATAAATATACAAATATATAAATTCGGATATAGAAGTACGCCTTTATGGGCATATTATATAAGTGTGAAATGCTTAGTATAATAAAAAAAAAATATATATATATCTATAGGTACATGTGAAATATTGAATAAAAAGTATCATATTATTATGTTTGTAGAAAACTTAAGGAATTTCGAATTTTATCATTTTTTTTTTCGAGTTTTGGACGGAAGAATAAACTAGCGAAGATATTATATTATACTAGATACACATTAGAGCTTTATAGATTTTTAGTTAAAGTGTGGGTAATACATTATTATTGTAATGTTAAAAATAATACTGAAAATATAATATTTCCATGTTAATACCTATATCGTTGAAACAAAAAAAAATATTCATTTAAAAATTCCGTAAATAGATGACATAGTTGTACACTCGTACCTTTTATAGGTGAAGTATATATTTTTGACAAAATAACAATAATTTGTTTTTTTTTTTTTTTATTGTTATTATTTATAACATACTATAGTTCTAAATGATACTATTATAATGACATTTATATTGAAAAAAAAAAAAAAAAAACACAACATTAAATAGTGGTTTTACGATGTTGAAATTGTGTTAGTTCATATATTATATTTTATACCTATATTGTAATATGATGGCGGCTGAATATTATAGACTAGTGCACGTAGAGCTAGCGTAGAGTAATAGTATTTTTTTTTGGGGGGGTATTATTTTTTCCGGGCCATCGTCACTGTTAGACATGTTCTTCTCGCTGCTAGTACCGGCACCCAAGCAGTTGACGTTGGAAAGACAGTTGAACAAAAGCGTGTTAATCGGATGGAACGCTCCTTCGCCTGAGGAAGGCTGTTTGCCGGAGTCGTATCATGTATACGTGGACGGTAATTTGAAAACGACCATAAAGGCTACAGAACGAACAAGAGCTCTGGTCGAAGGAGTAGACTCAAACAAAGTAAGCGATATATGATATGAATGTTTTTATCATAAATTACAATTTATTAATATATTTAGTCTTATCTGTACATAGTGTTCAGTGCTCGAATTTGTGACAGATGTTTTCATTTTGTTTTGTTTTATACATTTGAACGTATCGCTTCGTTTAATTAAACAATGGACGATAGGAATGCTTTTGTCGGAAGTGCTTGTCTTTAATTGTAAAGCACAACAGCAGTTAATTATTATTATCGTTCTAAAATTAAAATTTGGTTATAGATTTCTGATTTTTGGATGCAGGGGGAAGTTGCAATGTCGAAAACCGTTTCGTAGTATAACTTATGTTCGTATGCCCTTATAAATAAAGAATCTGTCGTTAGGTTGTCAATTTTATTATTTATCGACCATTTTCCCTGGAATGTAAAGCTAGGGATCAACCTAAAATTTTATTTTTTTTGTATCAATATTTTAGTGTTATTTTTATTTAACAAAATTTATTAATAGTGTTATTAATAACAAAATATTTTATACATTTTTTTTGATGTAAAATTAATTATTGAATTTAGTTTGTGTGCAGATGATTCAGAGAATGAATAGTCGCCCACGGTTTACTGTACCATTTGTCTGTTATATGTAACAATGGTTATGATTTCTAAACTAAAACCAGCGACTATTTTCATTTTTTCACCCCAATTCGAGCGTTGATTGTGTTATAGTGTATTTTCGGAGTTGTTTTAAACATCGTTATAATTGGCATTGTAACAGATAAATTTTAAAATATTTGGATAAAGATAAGAGATAATCGGTAGATAAATTATCTAGATGAAGATAAAAGATGCATACAAAATTAATTATCTAGGTGAAGATAAATCATCAATAAATTTATATCCAGACGAAAAAAAGGATAATTTTGTTCTTAATCTGTCATGAAAAAAAGGTGCTGAAAATTGTAAAAGTGAATACCAAATCTCGGTATACATCAAAATGTTGCATAATAGTTTGGCGATTGATTTTAACTTAACAATTAATTAAAAAATCTATTATTTTTATTAAATATAAGGGCGGATCAAGGTAAAGATAACGGGGAGGGGGTGATTTAGAAAATGCATATAAGGGACGCATTTATGACGAGTTCAATGATGAATCTAGTTAATGTTATATTGGAGAGAGAACGGGGGGGGGGACAATCGTCCCTTCAACCCAATAAAATATCCGAATTATTCGATATAAATATTTTAAAATATACACGGCTTATATATGCGGGAACACCTTCACTTATCTTTAGTAGAAAATTAATCGACCTAAGTATGTGAGGTCGATTTCTTTCAAATTTGTACCCACAGAATTTTAATTATTATATACACGTTTTTAATAATTTTTCAAAAAAAAAACCAACAATGTTAATCTCATAAATAAAAATTTAAGTATGTTATCGTTGCGATATTAATTGGAAGGAAAATGTTGATTAATACATTGTTGTAAATAAAATAATATTATAAATTAAACTAATATGCCTTGGTAATAGTAAAAACAAATTGATATTATTCTGCATTCAGTATGCAGAATTACAAGCCAATATTGAGTGGCCGCAATTCATACATATTTTTCAATTTTGACCGCAACTAGTTAACACCGAGTATTTATTGTTGTGTTTGGTCGGTTTACAGCCGCACAGAATCAGCGTACGGTCAGTGACGGCCAATAGGAGAACGTCTCGGGACGCGGCTTGCACAATGGTCATCGGTAAGGAAAAGGAATTGCCGTTACGGCCGTCGCACGTAAAGGCCAGCCAAGTGACGTCCACGTCTGCCGTTATTTCGTGGTTGCCGAGCAATAGTAATTTTCAACACGTCGTGTGCGTGAACAACGTCGAGCTGAGAACCGTCAAGCCCGGCGTATACAAACACACGATTACAGGTGAATATTTCAATTGTTTTTATTTATTTTTTTTTATTACAATTTGTGTTTTATTAATACGTAGATATCACGAGATACGCATATGTTAAAAAAAAAAAAAACAATTTGTTTGTTTTGTTTTGTTATATAGTCAGATAGCTAACCCGTTCCATCTTTTTAAAACAATAATTGTACATGTATTAATTACCTATATAATATAATACTTCCAAATAATAATTAAAAAAATTAAAATATGTATTTTATTTTCGTTGTGAGAGTCGTGTCGAAAAATAATATTATTATAGGTACCTATATCATTGTAAATATAAAAATACACGTTGGCATGTGTTCGTTTATATTAATATTATAATATACGAGTAGATTCTCACCGAATAACCATATACGATTCATAAATTATTGAATTAGTTGAAACACAAAAAAATAAATCTCAAAAAAATCGTACTACGTTTACTATGATAATTTTATTTTTTAAAGCGAGTAAAGCTTATTAAATGAAAAGCAATATTATTATGATATGATATTATCTAGCCTGTAATTTATATAGAAAAATTAACGTTGCTACTATATCGTAGTTTCATATAGTCAGACATTTTATAGAATGAATCCGTCATTTGAATATTTTTCTGTGTGCATTTCAATGGTAAATTTGATTCGTTATATTGTTATTATATACAATTATTATCATTGTATAATAAGTGACGTCCTACTTGCTAGAACATGTAAAAGTCATATTGTCCTTGATTAGACAACTCTATTATTATTATATACAGATCAGTGGTGGTCAAATGGTTCTGTCACGGGGCGGGAGAAGGGAAAGAGGACTATTATTTTTACTTATATAATTCTGTTTTTCTATAAATAAATAGGTAATATAAAATATATATTACCGTAATAAATATCGAAGAGGAATAACTCACGAGGGATATATCTCCTTTATCTCCCACCCGCTTGACCGCCCCTGATTATGATAGTATATAATAGTACTGCGATGTAGCGTATGTTTTGGAATGTATTGGCTGAAACTGTAAGACTTTTTCAAAATCACGTTTAATTTCAAATATATCAAAAAGCTGTTATAGTTCACACGGTAGGTAGTCTTTTTTGTTATTAATACAATATTGTAACGTAATAATCACGGTTTTTATTCCACATTATCGTCATTGCCTTTATTGAAAATGATAATAGGTACATACAAAGTCGATAAAATAGATTTTCATCTAGAACAAAGTAAAAAAAAAATTCAAGTCGTTCACGTAAGACAGAAATAAAAAATGACGATTTTTATTCAATGCATTTATAATAATTTCAATGGGTTCATTCCAAACTATACATCTACATATTATATTGTACGTGCATGTTTAACGATAAAAGAGTTATAATAACATATAATTTAATTGTTATAAATTATACACCTCTCCACTTAATAGTTACGGCTTAAATATTAATGTAAAAATTTAAAATAAAAACAAAGTATATTTCGATAAAACGTAAAAAAAAATTAAAAATTCATAAAACACTATAATATAATATAGGTACCTAGATAGTTCACGAATTTCAAATTAATCAAATTAATCAAATTAATTTGTGTTTTATATTTTTTAAAAAAAACTATACGTTATTTAGTTTCATAAAATTCGAAACGAAAGAAAGATTCCATTATTTTTTTTATCTATAAAATATGGGTACGAAATATAGTAATTTAGACCAAATTTCAGTCTTTAATTTCCAGAAAATTTAATTTAACGATTCTAAAATGTATTAAAATACATATAAAAAAAAAAAAACTTAATTTAAAAAAAATATACCATAATATGTACACTTTACTACTTATGTACTATGTACACTTACTTTACACTTTAAATCTGTTTTCAGTACTCTTATTGCTTCACTATATCGAGTTAGTTGATTGGTCTAAATTGCTATGCTGTGTTTGTGAAGTTAGACAAAGATAAGAAGATTACCAATTGAATCTCATTTATTGAAAAATTAAAAAAAAAAAAAAAAATAAACAAACGATTTTTGATTATTAATAAAAGTGAAAAATAAATAAATAATACATTTCGAATATTATATTATGCGATAGGTTAAACTTAGTTAAATAAATATCGTTTTTGATTTGCTGGTGACAATCAATTGAATACACAATTTAATATATTTTTGAGCATATTATTAGTTCGTGGGTTCTGTCTATAGGTCTCGTGCCCAATACTCTGTACAGGGTAACGGTTAGTGCTAAGACGTTACGTGCACCGACGTTCGACCAAAAAAGGACTTCTAACTCTATGGAAAAATTTTCAACGCACATAAATTTTAAAACGCTGCCTAAAGGTAAACATTTTTTTTTTACATTCCATTTGACAGTCGGCCATGAGATTTAATAAAAATCACCGCTATGTTATTTATAAATACATATTTATTATAAAACATACATTGTAACTTTTTTCATTATAAGAAACCATTTTGTTGGCTTTGCAAAATCGAAAGCTAACCAAATCGGCACAGATATCAAAATTAATTTATCCAACTGTAAATTATTGTGTTTTATAATCATATAATATTGCAATATACAATAAATATTGTCATAAAATAATAATAATTAATTGCATAATTTTAATCCTTTGCTTGTTTTCTTGTTTTTGTATCGTGCTTGCATGTTTGCATACAGGCTGCAAAGGTAGATAATATATTTTATATTAATATTATAATACCTACACCATTATTGTATACATTTTGTAACGATAAATAGTGTAGACCAATTAATGTTGAAAATGTTGATAAACAGATTTTTTTTAAATTTTAATTTTAATGTTTATGATAAAATTACGTTTAAATTTCATTTTCGTAATATTTTGCTTTAAAAATAAATTTAATATTATGATTGTGATTAGATTATCACGATTCCTATTTCATTTTCGATAGCATTTTCCTCGTTAAATCGTCTTAATTTTTTTTTTTTGCTTATTTATGTAATATAATTATTATTATATTTTACGGCAACTCGTGTAATTAATTCTTTAGGACTTCCAGATCCACCTTCAGAAGTACAAGTAGAATCGGGACCACAAGATGGAACCTTATTGGTGACGTGGCTTCCAGTGACGACGACTCTTAGCGACCCATCCAATCGCGGTCACATAACCGGCTATGCCGTATACGCAGATGGAAAGAAAGTATCCGACATTGACAGTCCAACTGGTTAGGTTCAGATTATTTTTACTATTTTATACTTAATATTTTTTTTTTTTTTTTTTGTTAAATGGTCTGATGTTTATATATTTTTATCTTATGCTTTAAAGTCCACTTATGCCCATTCCATCACACACTTCCCAATATAAACGTGTATAGCTGAAATTATTTAAAAAATTACGTTTTTTTTACTTAATGAATATAATATAATTGTTGATCTATATCAGTAGGATAAAAAGCTTTTCATCCTTCTTATATCTAACCTAAACTAACCTATATTATAGGTTTTAATGCATCTTTTTGCCAAAAAGATTTGTTCGGCTGTTCGTACCAATAATTGGGCTAAATAAATTTCACTTGTACGCCATCTTGTTATATAGCTTTGTAAATGACACTTCCATACTTTTAATTATTACGTATAGTTCCGCTGAATTTGATTATTTCATCTTAAACATCTTTTGTCTGAACTATATAGCTCACCGCGCTTTAGAATTTTATTAAAATCGATTGTATCCATGGTAATTCTATTAGTAATCTTCAGAAAGACGTTCTAAAAACTTTAAAAGTTATAGTACATCTAAAGTGTGTCTAAATTTACAAATGAATTTTATCTGTACAAATTTGTATTTACAAAAAAAAAAAAAAAAAAAAAAAAAAAAATAAATAAATAAATAAAAACAATAGAAATTAGACATTTTGAAAATATATTCATATTAATTCGTTTGCATTAAATGGTTTATAGGTGATCATGCTTTGATAGATATCACTCAACTGCTCAGTCTTAATCCTAGACAAGTGACTGTGCGCACTAAATCTAGGGATAACCAATCTTCCGATAGTAATCCGGTATTGATACCTGGTGCAAAAAATAAATCACCTCATCATCACCATCACCATCATCATAAAGTAAATATTTTTTATCGTTAATAATAAAATAATTATATAACACAGATTTAACCATAATATAATTTTCTTTAAAAATGTGTGTATACTAGACTCAATCTAATATTATTCGATTAAAAATGTCAATGTATATTCTAGCAAGAAGAAGCAGAGAAACGAATAAAATATGGATCGGCAGTACCGAGTCATATTAGACCGCAGCGTAATGCTTATGGACAGGTGATCGTGGACACGGAAACAGAAAATCTCAGTGATAAAGAGATATTTCCGGGGCAGATAAACATACCATCAATAGGTATGTGTTAAATTAAATATACTGAAAACAATTGCTTAGCTTAGGTTTAATTTGTACATTTTGGACAGAAGTGACGAAAGATTTTGCCGGTGAGGGAAACTATAGCGAAGAAGAATTTATGGAAAACGGAAGAGGAGCTAGGCGAGCACCTTTAGTTCATCCCCATAGACCCGCAGCGCCTACTCCAAGGTCATCGAAACCTCCTCATCATTCTCGTCATCATTACGATGAAAGGTTCCACTTTTTAATTATTCATATACTCATATAGCGTCTGTGATCTATTATTTTGTAAAAATGTTTAATTTGTATACGATGTACCTGTAAAATTAGGGACCAGTATTACCAAACCGAAAAACAAATAGAACCGAGAATGAAACATGTGCCTACTGGAATAGAACAACGACCTTTCAGGCCGAAGGCTTCGGATCCTAGACAACCTGGTTATCAAAAACCACCCAGAGATAAGAGGTCGAGATGGGTAGTGGCTATTTACGATTACGATCCTTCTACCATGTCTCCTAATCCGGACGTTTGTGACGAAGAATTACCGTTTAAAGAAGGAGAACACATAAAGGTTTAATGTTTAATATCATAATGGATCATGGAGATATATATATATATATATATACATATATATATATTTAAATATTTCTTTTTTACGGATAGATATACGGAGATAAAGATGGAGACGGTTTTTATTGGGGCGAAAGTAGAGGTAGATGTGGATATGTTCCTCATAATATGGTCATAGAATTATCTGAAACGCAAAAGGTATACAAGTTTGTAAATGTAAATAGGTACTAATAGGTTATATCATTAAATTTGTTTATAGAATCAAGATTCAAGAGGTAGAAAAGATGACCGTTGGATCGATCCATACTCGGGCCCCGTAAAAAAAATGGTGGCGATGTATGATTATGATCCAACGGAACATTCACCAAACGTCGACGGAGACGTAAGTACAAGATTGCTCTAAGTACATGTATTTACCCGTATATTTGTATTTTATTTACATATTTTTTTACTATGATGAGGCGGTTTTGTTTTCAGCAAGTGGAAATGCACTTCAAAATGGGCCAGAATATATTCGTCTATGGTGAAATGGATGACGACGGTTTTTATAGGGGCGAGTGCAATGGAGTCCGAGGCCTCGTGCCATCAAACTTTTTGACGGATGCGGCCCCAGAGTATGGGACCGAGGACGGTGTCGCCGGGTCATCACAGCCAAAAAGCCAGCGGCAACAACAGCAGCAACAGCAACAGCAACTGCAACAACAGCTGCAGCATAGCCAACAACAGGATATGCGTGGACACGGGCCTGGGGCCCGTGGCCCGCCGCCCCCACCTCGTGGCATAGACCAGCCACCCAAACGGAAAGGTACGCATCCCTGAAGACGTTTCGACCCTGCCCCCGTGGCCCCTGCCCTGAACGCCATTCTTGTTTATGACGATGTTTCGCGATTATCGTCAAAAAAAAAAAAAAGACGCACTTACGGTAACGCGTCAAAACACACGACGCATTTTAAATATTTTTCTACCTACGGGTTTTTGCGGCGATCGATTCGTGAACTTTAATATACGGGGCCGGACTTAAGGGTAGATATGTGGCCAGAACGCGTATTAACATTCTGTAGTACGAACACAGCAACTTATTCTTTGATTGGTCGATTTCGAAAATCCTGCTATCAAATTGAAAAATTATATGCAATCATATAGTGAATTACCATAGTAGTATAATATTGCCTTGTATTGGAATCTTCGGCCACCTCTATTCGTTCACTTTAAGAAATCATGAACAAACTTCATCAAAAATAACTCTCGATTTGTTATGCAAAACTACGTCGGGTGAGTTTACAGAAAAATTACTCAAAATATTTGTTCTGTGATAATTGGTTTCCTAATATCACTGAATAAATAAATTAACTCACTGATACAATATCACAACGAATTATAATTACGTGCATTTGCATTGCCTTGTGTAAATTACTTTGTTTCAATCTCGCACTTTTCCCAGAGACTTTGATTCTTGAAACTTGAAAGTAGATTAAACAATACATTTTAATATAAACTTATAAACTGGATGCTGGTTGATTTTCGGATTGTATGATTGTTTACATATATGGGAAGGTTAATAATTTTATGCAAAATAACAAATTAGGTGGTTTCGTTGAATGGACAATTAGACTTGAAAATGTTTGAAACCCGTATTAAGCTGACGTAGGTCAGGGTGAGACGTTTGTATTATTTATAGATGTAGAATTTTGCTAAAATTTAAAGAGGGCTTTTACTATTAATCACGGGTAAGAAAAGAGGTTAGGAAAAAAGCTTTAGTTTTGTTTAATGTGAATTTAATATGTTTGGAGAAATTGAGGTTTTTATCTATGTGCACGCCGAAGTATTTAACTGAGTTGGATCACGTGGATAAGGAACCTATTTCAAATAGTGAAGGTCATTACGCGTGCGTACAAATAGTTATCGATTAAAATAGTCCAATCAGAGAACGTATTTTGATTATGGCTGCCGAAATCTTACTACCGAATGTTAATATGTGATCTGAACCTCCCTCGAAATACCCACCTTCGCTATTTTGACATTAGTGAATTTCTATTATATTACAACGACTGCCGAAAACCAAAATCGTATTTGCTCAAAATCTTCGTATATAATCACTGGTCCACGCGGTAAAATAAAATTACCCAGTATCTTTTCAAGGTGATGGCTGTTCACGATTATAGTAGAAAAACGGTCTCGAATATGTGGACTGTGTGTGTTATATAATATATAATATCATATTATTGGAAAATTTATAAGGCTTACAATTTATGGGCTTCTGGGGTGCCACCCACGACCCCGAATCCGGCCCTGGTTTTATATATGACACTGATACACGTGTTGGCAACAACGAATCACATTGCAAAAAATACCGTGACGGTGGGTTATCCGTTATCGTTGTAAAAGTAAAAAAGTAATAAAAAAAAAATAAAAAAAAAAATCGATCGTTAAACAAATGCGTATATAAAAAGAAAAATACGAATTAACATAATATTAATAATATAAACACATAATAATACTTAATAATATGCAATAATTTAACGGTTCTGTTAATATTTAGACACCTCGAGATCTATAGGAAAAACATGCATATACACCATATACACAACAAGAGACGTAAAAAATAGTCCGCGAATTATAATTTGTATACAATATATAAACATATTATTGTTTTATTAACTAATCATTTTATTATTGTTTTTGCCTGATCACTATAATCCAAGCAGCTTGTTTTTTTGTTTTGTCATGTTTGTTGTGTTACCTTATTATAATTATTTTCCGGTCCGGTTTTTGTTGCGGAATTTTTATTTATTACCCCGTCGTTGCAATGGCTTTTGAACTTTTTTTTCCTTTTTTTATTTTTTTTATTTTTGTCGTCGAAACCCCGACAGCGTTACCTACCTATTTATACATATATTGCTATGATTAATCATTTGTTTTTTTTTTTATGTGCGTTATCTGTTTTCCTTCGCAACACACTTTAACAACAATAAAATAATACTATAGACTGCATCTATTAATGATAATACCGGATTGCGCTTTAAGAAATATTTAGCTAAACAACAACTGATAAGTAAAACGAAGTAATAGGGAACAAAAACCGAAATGTTTTTGTTTTTTCTGTGTACAGCATTGATTGTTAATACCGTAACTGATGAAGGACTGTAATCATATTTAAAGTCTAAGAAGTATGTCGTCAGGTTGAAATTTTATTACAGTTAAAAACAAAAATAACTAAATTTAGAACGGAGATTATGTCCAAGGGATGTAATCAATGATTTTCACGGGGAAAACTCTTTTTCTTGCTGAACACATGTTTTCGCTTGTCAGTTGTTATTTGATATTTTTAAAATACAGATAATGTTATAAAAGGCACAGTCCACTAGTAATCAATAGGTGTATGCGTATTACCGGCAGTGCTCGACTTGGGAAAAAATATCGTAGGAATACTTTGATTATATTAAAAAATTGTTTTCCTCAGTGTATAACTCGTAACATTTTCGTTGGAAGAAATGCCTCTCCTCTCACATTCCTAATTTACTTTGATAATATTGTTGCGATCCAATAAAGAATCCAGTACATTAATACATTATTATAAAAAACCTGTTAAGCTGCGAGGTTAATTCGTGCACTGCAGGTGCTGTACTATATTAGAAACTTTAAAAAGTATAATATAGTAAGACATTTTTACGATCACGATCAGAAATTATCTCAACTCAGTGTTACCAACTTCACGAAACAATGTACATTTACCTATGGTTTTCCGTAAATTTCGTTCGTCGCGTTCGTAAATTACTTTCAAATTGTTTGCTTACAGCACGTAAACTACCTATTCTTTTTATTTTTTTTAATAATTGTTTATCGTTTATGTACTTTGTTACAAGTGTGTGCAATTATGCGTGAGATTCAAGTAAATTATATAAATAAAAGCCCCTGTTAGTGAGGTACTCGGCATCATCTAAGTCGAGCACTGGATATATAGCATAAAATACAGGTAAATTTGAGTATTAAAATATATGATATACCTATCAAACTGTTTCTTCTTGTGTTTTGCATTAGGTTAACTTATAATCGACGAATGTAAATATTATGAAAGTGTAAATTTTGATTTTTTTACAGAGCAATCGTGTATCGCACGGTAGCATGAATGTGCTGGTGTATAATATTAGGTGAACAGTAACTGCAGAAAAAAAAGAAATTCAAACCTTTTTTTTAAGCTTTAAATTCATAAATTAATTAAATATATTCCGGATTAATTAGTATAATAGTCACGTATAGGTATTAATTTCCGTTAAGTTATATTTTGAACATTTATTATACAATTTTAACCTCCCTATGGGCACGAGAAAGAGTTAATTTATCATACTAAAACGTTACTATTACTTTTATTTTAGAACATAGAATAAAACTTCCCCAGTTTTATGATGATGCAATAAGTGAGGGGTATGATCGGGGTTATCATTAAAGTAAATTTTAAAGTAATAAAATAAGGATCAGCATAGTGTACATTATATTTGGATTGTTTGCTGTACGAAATACTTGTGTTTTAATATTACGAAATTCGACTAAAACAATTTCTCGAAAATTCTGTCAACTATACTATATTTTATAGAGTGAAATCGATAATTTTAAAAGATGAAAAATGTTTTAAAACAAAAAAAAAATGTTTCCAATTTCCAAATCAATGTTTCAATCTGCAGTAATAAGGTTTTTCAAAATTCATGGGGATTATACAAAAAAAACAGACGAAAATGTTTCGTTTTTATTAGAGCTCACGTTTGAGACTAATAAAACGCATTGATAATAACGAATCGAGATTGAAATAAGTACGAAAGTTGGTATTTCACTTATTCTATTATTTTTCCCGTATTGAACTTCGTATTTTTAGTGACGTGATGCATACGATCGGTCTATTCAACGGTTTTAGCGACGAGACACATTATTGTTATAATATTATGTTGGTAGCTTTTTATCATTATTTATATACTGAACATATAATGCGAATAAAATCATATACCGCTCCTGTCAAAATAATGTTTTAGTACGCATTATTCCGGATGCCAACACATAATAATATAATATACCTATATATTTATTATATAGTGCGCTAAAACATTAATATCGATTATTTTTGTTATCGGTAACAATAATTGTTTGAATACACAATCGAATTCACAAATAATATTACAATAACCTGATGATTTGAATAGATATTTTTTTTGCCGGATGAACGGAAACTCTAGACATCCGAAATATAATATTTGAAATTAAATCATTTTAAAAATACTGTATCTACACCATGTATATTATATAGGTGGAGCTATAATTTAGAGTGATTTTGGTCATAGTTTTTATAAGTTAAGTTTAAAATTACAAAAATGTGTATTTCCAACTCGATAGTAAAAAAGAAAAACTATAAATTGATTATTGAACAGAACATTTGTGCAAAAATGTGTAATTTTTTTTTATCGCAAATGTAAACAGTATCCGTGATATTTTGTTTTAAGATTTTAATAAATCTTACGAACCATAACTCGAATACGAAAATCAATATATTATGTATACAATATGGCGTTATATATTTGAATTTTTTCGGAGTTTAACGTTCCTAAATGAATTAACTAGTTTAAAATAATTTTAAAAAAATCCTGTAACTTTTTCAAATTTTTTTTTGACGTTAATTGGTGCTTTACAGGAGTTAAATTTTCCCATTTAAAATACAAGTATTTTTATAATGGTTAAGATTTATGCTTAGTATATCCGAAAAAATACTAAACTGACTTGAATCATAAGTGCTATTCTTCTTTGAGAGCAAAAAAAAAAAAACAAATTTTTGACAAAGTTGTAAAAAACATAAATTTAAAAATCAGCAAAAAAAAAAAACCATGTACAACTTTGTCGAAAGTAGATTCTTATGGATTAAAGTGATAAATTAAGTCTTACACATTGTAAAAATACATATGTTTTAAATGGAAAAATTCAACTCTTGTAGGCTACTATTTAGTATCAAAATAAAAATTTGAAAAATTACAAAATTATTTTTGAATTATTTTGAATTAGTTTCTTCATTTAAGAACTTGATTCAAAAATAAGCAATGCCCTAATATACGATAATTAGAGAACTAGCATTTGGGGCACCTGCGCTTGTAAAATATTATAGCACCGGTGTAAATTATTCTTATTCTATGGCGTTTAATATATACACTAAAAGTTTTTCCACCATCACAGTCTCCCTTCACATTACTCAATCCTGAACTATACTTTCCCTATCATTCTTGTGTGACTCTCATCGTTTTATCAATATTTGTTCTTCCACGACACACTTAGCTAATAGACCATTCCTTATGCAGATCACTTGCTTATCGAATTCCAAATTAGTTTTGCTTTATATACTTATACCATTCACTCTTATCCGCAGCATTCTAAATTTTTTTCTTCTTTCTTATCATCTCTGTTCCGCGCAAATATAGACCGCAATTATTTTATTATGTTACACCTGTCCCTAAATTGTATTCATGGCCAAAACCTCATCTACTTCATAATCCCTCATATATGCTATCACTATTAATAACCTTTGGCAAGGGTTTGCTCAATCATTTGGTTTATCTATCTTCTTAATTATATCACTTGTTACATCGCAACTCTTATTCTCTCCACATTCCCAATAAATATAGGAATGAGATACAAACGCAGGAGCAAAAAATCTCGTAGCTCCACCTATATAGATCATCAGATATCTATATATTCGTTTTATTATTTGAAAAAAAAAAATGCATGTTATAATATTGATCTCTATGTGTGCTTTAAATGTTTATTATTGTTTGGTTTTCTTTATATTTTTTTTTATACTAAAAACTCGAATCGGTTCGAATATTTTTTATTCATCAGCTGCAGTGTACAACTTTTTTTCAACGATACGACCCACCTTCAATGTGTTCCAAGCATGTAAACGGTTTTCCCGCCCCCACACATCACGATTGTATTGTAAATGGCAACGTAACCTGCATTGCCGCAGTTATACGTTATCATTTCCGGTGATGATTTTGTTATTTTTGTTATACCTATATAATACACTCATCTAAATAATAATATCCTCATCATTTACAATATTATTATATTATTGTACCTATACTATTTTATTATATAACATATAATATATACCTACGAAACACAGATATTGCATGTTCTGTGTTTCGGTGTTTTTGTCACGGTCAAAAAAAAAAAAAAAAAACCGAATCATTCAAAAACAATTTTTTTTTTTTTTTTTTTAATGTTTTCTGTATGTTTTTTCTATCTTTTTGTTTTTCTATCTTTGTTTTGTTCGCTATAGATGCCTGCCTTCCGCAATACGATTATCACCAGGTGAGTGCGTGTGAGCTATTAAATGACCTATAGCTGTGTGTCTTCTTCAATACAACAATATATGTTTATACAACAAAAAATACACTCACACTCTATTATCGCGACCAGATAACAACAACAACCTCTACAACATTAATATATACACGCACACACAAAACAATAAATAAAAAAAAACCAAATATATTCTGTGTGTATAACTACTACGCCTAGCTGCCGCACCATAAACACATAACGGATATATACAGTATTTATAAATATCGTTATATTATAAATCGTAAAAATCCATGAATTATTGATGTAACAGCAGGTATAATATTGACAGTGTTTATACCATTGATTATACCATCTACCACTCGTAGAATTCAGCCGTTATCGAGCACTAGAATCGTTATTGATTCTCTTGGAAACGACTCTAGTGCACCATAGCGGCTGTATCCCACGGCTAGAGCCAAATATCCCATCACAATATGCTTTCTGTCTATTGTATAATCGATGATAATACGCACCTACGTAGTAAATACTGCGGTGGCGTATTTATGGGGGTTACAAACCCCTCGCACTAACAAACCTCTCGATTAATCGAATACAGTAAAAACTGTCTAAAACGGAACTCTAATATATAAAAATAATAGGAACCGAAAAACATTTCCGTTCATCACGTGGTTTTGGGAGCTCTACTGTGGTTTATAAACAAGCGCGTGATTATAATGTAACGTTATAATATGTATTGACAATCCTTAACGAATATAATTGTTGTATATGTACGAATATAAATGTGTGGGAGACTGATTATATTGTATGGTTGGGATTGTTGAACGGTAGATGGAAATATAGAACAGAGAATGAGTGTAGCTAAGATAAGAATGCTTAAGCAGATGAGTGGAGTAACGAGAGTAGACAAGATAAGGAATGAGTAAATAAAAGGTTGCTTGAAAATGGCTTCGATAGTAAATAAAACGAGGGAAAAAAGACTGAGATGGTTTGGGCATGTCATGAGGAAAAGGGAATCTGAAGCAGTAAGATTTGTAATGAAAATAAACGTAGAAAAAAGCTGAAGAGAGGAAGAAGGAAAAAGTGGTGGTTGGATGCGATTGAAATGATATGGAATAAAAAGGTGGAACCCATTTGAAATAGGAGACTGGTCCATGAAGAAGGTGATTTAGATATTTATTTTATTGTTAAAAACCTCATTTGTGTAATTCTTATTTAATAATATTATTCAAAATTAATCTATTATTTATAAGTACTTACATTTTAATACAATATGAGCGTTTAAACAAATACTAAATTTATTTTTAACGGGGAAATGCAATTGTTTGGGTCTAAAAATGATCTGAATTAATAATATCATTGATAAAGACTGATAAGAAGTATGACGTAGGTACTAATACAAAGTATAGTATGCGAAATTTAATACTCCATTTCGCCAAGTAGGTATCCGTTTCAGACAGATTTTGCTGTAGTTTTATTTTAATATCGTTAAATTTAATGTTCAATAATAATTTATTTGTATATTATACATTTTTTTTTTCTATTTTCCGGCATTAGTGTGAGGTTCTCTGTCAAAAGAGTGAAAACAAAATATGGGAAATTACAATAATTTGAAAAAAAAAACAAAAATGACGAACATGATTGCATGATGATTATAATGAATGCATTTGCACCTTTTTATTGTTTTGTGCTTTTAATACGTGCTCATATTAATATTACACGTAATATTATCTATAGAAATGTATTTCTTGTATTGTAGAAGTTATTGGTACAATTTTTATATTGCATTTTTTTGATATTATTTGTTTATTTAATATATTTTTATTTTTTTTTTGGATTTCTTATATATATATATATATATTATATATTTATATATTTATGTATTGATCTTTAATCAATCATAACTTTAATTCGTTTCAATAGTTCTTACGATAAAATAAATGCCATTTTAAACGACATTGATTTGTCTTTAGATCATTTTTATAACATTTTTATTATGTCATTTTGTACATTTTCTTTGTTGAATTTGTTTTAAATATATATGAAGTCATCATGTTCTGGTCCTTAAATATCCCTAATAATTGAAATTGATTGAAACATCATATACGACAGTTATTTACAATGATATTATACTATTCTGTCGTTTAGTACACCTACGTATCATAGTTGTTCCAAATCTTTACATTTACCTGTTACATTCTTTAAATGATTCCTATTAAAAAATATGTTTATTTTACAATATTTTCTACTATTATATTTACAAACGTCAATCGAGCGCGTTTAAACATAAATTTCTCCATCTAGTTGTCTTCCGCTTTAATATTCCCCATTCCTCACGATAATGCAACCTTTATCATATTTTCTCTCTTATCTCACATCTGGTAAAATGTCTACTTTCTCAATTTTTTTTTAAATTCTTCTCCGTCATACCCACTTTTTCCAAACTTTTTCTCATTTTTCTTTTGCAGCCTTCTTTTAACTACACACTCAAGTCTCCTACTTCCCACGTGCTGCAAATTCAGACTCTTCATTTAACCTGTTATTCTTTTTTTTTTTTCTTGTATTTTGGGCTTACCCCGTAGTTATTAACTTTAATAAATTAGTATGTCTTATAATAACTATTTCAATATTTTAAGTTTTTTCGTTGAATTGTATGTATTTTATCTTTATGCATTTTAAATAATGTTTCAATTCTATTAAAATTGAATTGTATTTTAACTTTTGATAACAATTTTATAAGGGGAATATATTATATTCACTTTTATAGTATACAAATACTATTTTCGCTCTTTTTGTTTTCTTTATCTCTAATCATTATTATAATTGCAATTTACTTATTGTTTTCGCTCTTTTAATGGAATAACAATGTGGTCTGATGGGATTGCGTATTTACAGATTTTATCCGAGTTCAGCCCAAGCCTAAACGTTACAGAGTAGATTTCAGGAGTTTTATAAAAACTTAGCTTACCTGTTGGTTAAAATCGGATAATGCTTAAAGCAAGTTCGTCCTAAGTGTGAATCTAAAACCTTAGTAAAAAATAAACTACGACGAGTTGCGTATTTATTTTTATACATACCACTTGGGTTGAACTTGGATAGATTATGTAAATATGTAGATTGGTTATCACTGAAGAACTTATTTAAAATTACGATTGTGTTTTTCCACGTGTTAATTATTATTTTGTTTTTTTAAAATATTCAAATAAATTTCATGTTATCGGTAAAAAACGTCATCCGTATATATGTGCGTGATTGTGCGTTTAGAGTGATAATATTATACACAAAAGTATAAAATAATATGAATATTGAATTATTATTTTCGGGGCTTAACATATTGTTTCGGGGTTTTTATAGATGTCAGCGGCGGAAGCGAGGGAGAGAGGAGATCCGTACGAGAGGAGAGATGGTAGAGACGGCGTCGGCAGCGGCGGTGTCGGTGTCGGTGCAGGCGTTGGTCAGGGCGTTGGAGGTGGTCAGCAACAGCAGAGCACTTCCGGCAAACTGTTCAAAGGTCTGGCGCACGTGGTGCCCGATTTTGGTCTGGGCGGAAGACTACACGATGGTCAACAGGTCCAACAGGGCCAGTCCGGCACTACGTCGAGTTTTATGCAAAAGCTCAACGACCTGACTCATCACAATCCCGTCACCAACGCCGCCGCGGCCAACCAGCAGCAGCAGCAACACCACCAGCAGCAGCAACACCACCAGCAGCAGCAACACCACCAGCAGCAGCAACAGCAGCAACAACAACAGCAACAACAACAGCCCGACCACGGGGTGGATAACATATTGTCCAAGGGCAAAGAACTGATTTTCATGAAGTTCGGATTGGGCAAATGATGTTTATTACCGACGACTATTAACGTACTTGGTACTACGGCCGTTCACTGCCGATGATTATCACACGATGATCGTCCTCATCGTCCCACACACTGATGTATATTATTTGGTTTTCTTCATTATCGTTATCATTATTATGTATATATATATATATAAGTATAAAGTATAAGTATACGTTCATTCGCTCGCTCTTATTCTCCATCATACATTTTGGCGTCTGGGTCAAAATCTCGTCAATTCTAAATCTCGACAAGATCAAGATCCCGAAAGTAGCTTTTATAAAATTACAGATGCATGTTTATTTTATTTTATTTAATACGGACGTGATCCAAAGTACAGTTCTAATTCAATAAATTTAAAATGGGAATTCAGTGGAAGTGAAAATTTAGGTATTAGTGATATTTATTAACCAGGTGTTAGTGTGAGAACGAAGGGTGGACGTTATCAAGGAGCGTTTGTAAATGATTGTTCGAGCTATAATTGGTGGTGTGTAAAAGGATTGCAAAAGTAGCGGTAGAGTGGATTGGACGTGGAGGGATTTGAAAGTTGATGAGGGAAATGAGCGACGATGATGTTATCAATGTTTTTAAACTTCAGAATTTTAAACGATTTAAATACACATTTATAATGTATAAAATACAACGTGACCCTATAGTAATAAACTATATGCACTGTTTGGTGCAAAATAAATTCAGTGAAATTAATTGTCGGGATTTAGACGTTGTATGGATTTTTGAGAGGACGTGATACAGGGATGTGCTGTTTCTGGCTTAATGTAAACTTGCTTTCAGCAGGAACAACTTTTGTGTTGTAGTTTTAATATTACAGTGAATTGGCTCTTATTTTAAAATTTTAAGACAAAAAAGACATTATCTGTGTAATTTTCTATTCGTCTACGCTATTTTTTCGATATTCTAATTTCCTCACGAGATATAAGCATTATCAAACTGTGATGTTTCACACAATCGTCCGTCTTAAAAATTCAAATAGCGAAAAAATAGTACCGACGTTGCATAATTATCCTTAACCTTTATAATAGGCCAATTCACTTTAATATTAAAACTAACAGCCCAATATTGTCTGTGTTGCACATCAATTTGCATTGTCATACGTTTGTAAGACAGAGATCGTACATCCCACTCGACCGTCGGAATTTCGAACGCTTCCTCATCATATTATAACTGCGGTTTTCGACAAATTCGTGTTGCCTAACTTATTTTGGCTTAAACAAATCAACGGTATTAGACATAACGTTGTTTTTCTGTACTTTCGATAACGAAAAATAATTTCGGGTAGGGGTTCTGACTCACCCCACTCCGCCTTCTCACTAATTACGGTCTCGTCTGATACGAGTTTACAATATCATAATATTATCAGTATTATCACATGTAGTAGTCACCGTGATGATTTTTCGGTTCGTCTTTCTGCTTATTTATTATTATTAATATTATTTTTTATTTATTTATTTTTTTTTTTCGAAACCGCGTTAATAGTCGACGGGTAAACGTTTTCGCAATATTATTAATATAGAACTCGATCGCGCGCACTACCTATACATTATTATAAATTAAAATATTATTAATTAAATATTATTATATCCTCTTTATTATTGACTTCCATACGTTATATTATATTATAAATATTATTATTATTATTATTATTATTATTATTATTATTATTTTTGTCTAATCCGACACGGACATTTAGTTTTAAACGGTTTTTTTTTTGTTTTGTATATAAGTAATAGTTATTATTATACTATCATAAAATATATATATATAGCTTAACAAAACCATAATTATTGTAATCGTTTCACTCGGCGTATAGGTATTATATTATTATAATTTATCGTAACAAATAATGTATTCCAAGTACACCTGTACGTGTATTATATACCGTTTTATTATTATACGGTACGGACTATTTCAATATTATATTTTAAATACACCGTTGTTAACTGTACGATTATAATTATATTATGATAGGTTATTATGTTAATTATACATATATACATATATACATATACACATATACATACATACATATATATATATATATATATATATATATATAAAACAAATAATAATAATAATAATAATACCATACGCGAGAAAAGTCAAAGGCTGTGATATTATTAGTTTTGATTAACTTATTACGACCGCCTGTATTGTAATATGTATGTATATTTATCGCGCACACCCCGGGCGTAACGGAAAAAAGACGACGGGGAAATCCTCGCCGAAAAGCCCGAAAATGGCTGCCGTTTCATTGGACGCGTTGTCTCCCCACCGCCTCCACCCCACCACCACCACCGCCACCCCCCACCCCGGCGGACCGGCGAACGTCCGGCCGGCCGGCCGGCCGCTCCGATTGGACTCCGTGCGCGACGACACCGATCAACAATCGTGACCCACGTGACGCATAATAACAAAACAACTGAAATACAAATATTTATCACATGACGCGCAAAAAGAAAAAAAGGTCTCGCGCATGTGTGAATTGTCAAAAGAGGTCAAAATATCTCCGAAAAATTCCTTTTTTGTTTTTTTTTTTTCTACTTAGAATTAAAATAAATTACTTGTATTACTTTAGTTGTGATAATATTCTATATTATGGTTAGGCGTTACTATGTACACAATAATTTATGTATATTATAATAAAATGTACATCGTAGTAATAATAATCGGGCGAGCCGTAGGTGAAAAGTTTATGCCCGAAGAGCTTGCGGGTTCGAAACGAAATGAGCTAACGTTGAGAAAACATTTTCACCAAGGACCCGCAGTATGTTAGAATTAGGTAAAGAAAATATACACCGAACCGGTGGCGCAATTGGGCAGCAGGGGTTGGTGGGGTTTCAACCCCCGCTCCCGGTAATTTGATATTCCGTTACGGATTTATTCCGTGCACATTAGTGTACGATAGTCGCGTAATTTGTAAATTTGCAATAACAGATATTTTCCTATTGTAGTGTTGAACACGTGCGCGTCGTTCGCTTCACCCGTTTACTATTTATTATCTATTATTTATGAGTTTATTGTGCCCGAAAGCCGGTTCAGATATTCGTTCGGAACTCGTAAACCGCACCCTTCCCTCCCGGCCAACCAAAACGAATCCCGGTTGCGCCACTACACTAAACAATCGAATATATTTTTTAGTGTTATTGTGTACTATGTATCACACAATCTTAAGATAATAATGATTACGCGCAATATTATGTATTAGCGAGTACACGTTTATAATATACTAACATTTCAATAAGTGCCTATATATTGTATTATGTAATTATTATATTTTTTGGCAATAATTTTTTTTCTAAATAATTAAATCGTGTAAAATAATTTATGTATCGTTGTCATTTCAATATTTATTACATGTATAAGCAAAAACAATATATTATTTCGAAAAATAAAGATTATATTTTTGATCGGAGTTATTTTGACCTCGCGGAGATATGAATTATGTGTGTACGGCCATACGCATAATACACAAATCTCTTCGAGGAATATTTCTACCGCGACGTTGATCCGCGCGAGTTTTTTTTTTTTTGATTAAAATTACCGGAGTCTATTAGGTTTTGTTTTACCGTTGTTATTATCGTTATTGTTTCCGTTGTTGTTGTCTAGGTCTACCCATAATAACGTCTAAAGTTTCTTCTTGTTTTTTTTTTTTTCCACTCGCGAAAACCTCCAGCGTCTGTATTATCGATTTCTCGTATACATAATATACGTACGATAATAATACACGTGACCCGACACCGCTTCGCTGCCACACCGCCGAGCGTCTTCAGCTAACAACGTTCATTCATAAAATATCAATAATCAATATATTGTATAACGTTACATTACCGCGTTTCGCAACTGCCAACTATTTATAATGAATATAATGAATACATACGTAACCGTTTTTCCTATACGTATTTCAATTCGTATACACTTTGGTCGCTGTTGGTTTTTTATCGCGCGTATATATATATATTTTTTATTTTTTTTTCCGACTCTTTTTCGTCGAAATAAATAATATTATAAACCGTCTATTGTTATTATTATACTATTAAACGTATGATAATATTGCCGGAATCTTGAGGGGGGGGGGAGTGCCGCCGTCGGAATACGATAAAATCGGATTATTTTATTTTTTTTATTTTCCGTAAACATCTTGCGAAACAGCATTTTCAAAAAACATCAGCGTCCCAAAATGATACAGGGTGATCAATATAACGTATATGGTACTCGTAATCTCGGAAGGTGTATGATTATTTTTTCAGTTTCTTATTTTCTACGGCTGTTATTTGTTTCAATAGCTCTAAAATTTGTTACATTGCCCTTAATAGCCTAATTTTTGCGCGTGAAATCGCTGCCACGTTTTGACTTTCGAATGACAACCGATAGGCATTAAAAATTGCATAAATAAATGGAGTTTTAGTTTGAATGAATTTCGGTGTTGACGTTTTTAATTTCCGTTAACCCGTTGACGAGACATTCCGCTTTTTTGTTACTATCACCCTCTAGCCACGAAACGACCGACTCAAAAGTGGAACATCCCGTCGACGAGTCGATAGAAATTGAAATTATAACACCAACGTTTATCTATACCAAAACACCCTTATTCACGGATTTTTTTTTTTTCGTACACATGTTGCTATTCAAAAACCCAAAGGTGCTAGTGGTTTCATTACGAAACGTTAACGGTGACGAAAAATAACGGTAACGTGACGTTTTAGAGCTGCGTGTTGTTAAATTTTTTTTTTTTAAATGTTAATATACTTTCGAGATAATAACAATTGTTTTACGCTACCTATATCGATCACTCAGTGTAATATTATAATTTACTATTATCTACGACGACGTGACTATTATAATGATAATACTATTGTTATAAATCGCTGTACACGGCGCGTACAAAACGTATATTATATACTCACAAAATGTAATAACTAATGATATATCAAATTATGGATAGTTTTTTGAACTTTTTTACGTACACACACACACACACACACACACATACATTTTCTTCTCACATCCCCGTATTAATATTATATAATGTAATAATTCGCGTGCACATAATAACATAATAGTATTATAAGATAATATTGTCATAACGTAAAAAAAAAAATATTAAAAAAATGTATTACACACTTTATATTATATTATTACTATTTTACATTGTTATACTTACATAGGTATACGTTCGTCGCGATTATAATATATTGATATATTATAAATTAATAATTTAGTTGGACGGTGCCTAGGTAATAGGGAATCGGTACATTTTATAATATCTAGAGTTATTCTCAATCACACAAAAATGTTCGAGAAAACGTCAAAAAGGCATTTAAAATAACAAAAGTGGTCGACGGGTTTGAAAATTCTTCCCTCTAACTGCTCTAACTTATAAAATATAATTCTCTACCTTAACAAAAATGATTGATACAAAGGAAATGCGTTTAAATGAAATTTTACGTGTTTTAAATAAAATTACAAAAACTTTAATATTTGTTTAGGGTGAGAAAATTATATCTTATAAGTTAAAGCCGTTAGAGAGGAATTTCTAAAACCCGTCTACCGTTTTTACTTTTCTAAATAGTTTTCGCAGAATATTTATGAGCTTTTTTTTTGTGAACTTTAAGTGCATATGAATCCGTTCTCTACTGATAACTGAACCCATTGTTTCGTAGGCTTGATAAAAAAAAAAAAAAAATTTAAATTACAGTTTTTTTTTTCTTTCTTCAATATGACAATCGATGTGGATTATTATAATCAACAAAAATATGCAATAGAAAATGTGAAAATAATAAAAAAAAAAAAAAACGTTAAAACGTGTACGTACCCCATACCTTTTTACTCGGGCGCCATCCGCATTAATCTGACGTCCGAACGTGTACCTATTATATATTACGCATCACCTATGTAAATATAATATTATACGTAATTTATAATTCTTTCACCTTATATTATTATATAGATTTTTACTATAATGCATACCATAGATTATTATTACAACGATCAGTTATTATATTGGATATTATATTTCGGAAAAAAAAAAAAAAAAAAAAAAAAAACTCATTATATATAATAATATATTATTATTGTTTACTATCATTATTATATACTATAAATTATTATAATCGGCGACATAACAATATTTTAATAAATAATTGCAGCTACGCGCAGCCTATGACAATTATATAAAAATTATTATTTATTATATACTTTTAAGATCTATACAATTATATATTATAATAATGGATTATATACCTATCTAATATAATAAATATAATATAATTATAAACGTTTAAAAACAATTATTACTATGCTATCGTTTTGTCATTGTAAATAATGTCTAATCTACAACAATACTTATAATGTTATTAATTCATTAAGTGTACACACGAACATAATTAATGATATCGATCAAACGATGTTAATAAAAATACAAATATAATAATATCTTAAAAGTGATACAGAGTAATATACAGAGTGATCGATAGAGCGTAAGGACACTTATTAACACGGGAAGTATTAACGTTTGTCGATAGCTCTTTTAGACGATTTAAGAAATAAGCAGCACTAAAATGTTACACTACCCTTGTTTTTCGTCCCTATTATGTTTGGGGATGAAATTATTACCACATTTTGATTTTTAAATTGCAACTCATATTTTAAAACCCCAACAGTTTATGAAGTTTTTGTTTAAATACATTTTGGTGTTGGAATTTTCGATTTTTATCGACCCGTCAACGAGATGTTCCACTTTTAGTTTGTCGTTTTGTGGGTCGGGATAAGAGAAGTGGATTACAATCAAACGCCAATTAAACTGCCACACGAATGACGCCTCACTACTCTTTTCTGAACTATCCAAAAAACTTAAAAAAGTTTTAAGGTTAAAAGGTTTAAAATAAACGATTAATATTTTAATACATAACGGTTAATGTCGCTAATGATTTTGTAAAAGGATTGATTTCGAAATTGGGTTTAGATATAAATTAAATTACCCCATATATTCTACCTTACGATCGTTTTCCCTAACAGTGTCTACCTATAAACAGTGTACTGTACGAGGAGCGTAGCGACGTTTTGTATACAACACTCGCAATGTACTGGCTTTTTGTTAAAATATTAGTATTATTTCCAAAAAGTTATTTATGAATATATTTTTTTTTTTTGTGTGAAACGTAAATATTTATTACATTTAACGAGTATGTGGTCTACGAAATATCTATATGAGCCTATATCTATAATATTACCGTAATTACCGTAGATGTAAGTGGCGAATTGCACCGCCATCGCCAGATTGACCTCGTCATTATGTTCTGGAGCCTCACACATAAATTATTAGCTTTAATGCAGGAATTCTAAAATTTGTTCCCACTGGAGCCTCCAAATTGTCTGCACACGAGTCATTTTCCATTCAACGAATAAAATTTACAAAATTCGTTTATGAGTTAAGTGCAAATTTTCAAAAAAATAACTTTTAACTTAAATTAGTTAAATACGTTTTTTTACTTTCCTAAAATTGTGTAACTGAACTTATAGTTGCACGTGTTTGTTTACCTATATTTTAAAATTAATTTAACTTAATAAACTTAACTTAGTTCTTTTTATTTTTATTTTTTAGGATAATTTAAGCAGAATTCGTTAAAATTAAAAACAATTAGCTTGTTCAGTGTTGACGAGAATATGTACAGTGGCGCATCTAGGATTTTTACGCGTCGGGGCTAAATGCAAATTCTCTTCTATTTATACGGCTACTTTTATCCATATCTCAATCTTCTTCCACGTATATTTAGCAAGCCCCCTCGCTCATTGGAAATTATAAAAATTGCTCATAAAGCATACAATTCGGATTAATTTGCATGACTATTTTTAGAATTTTTAACGGCAGCCATATTGTTGATAAATCTATGTTTTTTACCAATTTTTAGCTTTCAGTTAGGTTAGGTCACGGTTATATAGGGTACGTTTTACACTTTTACCTATGTATTAGGTATATGCATTAAGGTATTCAAGTTAAAGTGTATACAATTTATTGATCGCAAGGGATATGTTAACTTGCCACGCATTTAATTTTTTTTACCAATTTATCATACAGTAATAATTATTTTCATTAAATTTAATTAAATGATATTATTATTTATGTGAATTGAATAGCATTTGTGAGACGTCATTTGATACATATAACTATTTTAACTTTTTAAGGTTAATTGCATTTTTAAAATTTGTAAAATATTAGTATAAACAGATCCTATAGGCTACATCATGGTACAAATTTCAAATAATAATCACAATTTTTGAGTGAATTGTAGATTCTTGTATCTTAATTTTCCTGTTCTGACTCATATTCCATATTGTATATTAAACTGTCGTTCTGAGAAATTAATTGTTTTATCCACATATTACTTACTAAATAAAAACTATTATAAATGTAAATTCCTATAATTAACTAAAACATATTTACTTCCCCACATACTTTGTATTTTTCTCTTTAGTTCCCCCTTCTGGGACAGGATACTTTTGGTCAATGTAAGAAATATTATATTGCAAGTTTGACAGTGCTATAATTTCACATCTTCTCAGTATAACCGTCATACAATTTACGGCACTTCAAAACATGTATAAGTGAACTTTGCTCAGAATCGATTTTCCTTAACAATGATTCATCAATGCTTACAGATAAAAATTAAATAATTTGATGTATCTCAACTTTCCAACTTCTCACCTACAACAGTGTCACACTCGTCCCAGTATTGGTTCTTTTTTTTTATCAACTTTTTTATAATAGTTACTTAATCAAGGTACGTTAGGGAACTGCAATTTTAAACCAGTTACTAAAATCTAGTAACTTGCCCTGCTTCACCAAAATCAAGTATTTTTGGTTTTGACGAGAACTGACACAAACTTTGTTATAATATTATATTCCTACAAATGTCTACTGTAAAGACCGTGACGTTTATTAAAACGATTTTGAAAATGTTGGCAACGTGCGTATCCACATAAATCAAATTTGCGCTCAATTGAGAAAAAAAACGTTTCACTGATGATGGTGGGTACTAATTATTTTTTTTTTTTTTTATCGACAATTGGCAGTTTGCCTTCATTAAACCAATGAAATTAAGCGTTAGTAAAAATTAATTGTAGTATTTTGAAAAATCCATTTTCTTCTATGGTTATTGACCGGGATACATAGAAACGCGAGTCATATTTCTGCATTAGTTGACCAGATATATGATCAAAATATTATACAACCGTTTGCTTTTAATTTGCTTTTCTTATCCATAACGTACATTTAATGGCTATAGCCATTTTACAAAATATAATGTCAATGTTTTGGGTTTCATACCTTTTTTTTTTTATTTGTAAATCGAACCTATATTTTACACTCGCCAGAGTACCTGTATAATATGCTGCAGGTGTGTTTTTAAAAGTTTGTAAATCGAATACCTAGAGATAGTATTTATATATATACATAAAACATTATAGTTTATGAGTTTTTTCGAGCGTTGGGGTTTTAAGAGAACCCAGGGAGCGGGTCCATAAAATGTACAACCGCTTATAAAAATATACAATAAACTGTACAATATTGTTTCGGTGTTAAAATTCAAAATAACATCGGTTACCACGAGTGAGCAAAAAAAAACAAAATCAATAGACTGTGGAGTGCAAAGAGTAGTAAAAAAATTGTATAATAATTTAGTTATACATTATTTTTCAATTTATCGTATTTAGAGTGCCCGAGTTAATAAAACAATAAACAAAAAAACCTATTTTTAATTTAATTTTTACTTTTCTTTAGATTCTGAGTGGAGCGAGGAATGCATTGGTTTTACAATGATGTTTATTTTTTTTATGTGAACACTTTTTTCTACCAGAAAGCTTATTCCGATTATCAAGCATAGCACTTTTTCTAAAAGAAAATGTTCTCTGAGTGGTACTTTAGATAAGTCATTTTTTGAAATTCTCATTAATATTCGAGATAATGAGGAAAACCTCGGTTTTTAGGTTAAAATAGATTGAAAGATTAAAAATAAGGTTGCCATTGGCAACCGTTTTTATTTATATTTTGTTTTTATTTTTTTAATATTTTTTAAACAATCATTATTGTCATGGAAACGAAAATTGTTATCATTTTACCATAGTATGATATATACCATGTATAGTATTGTTGACAAAGCAATACCATCAACTGAACTCCGCTCAGAATTGTTTTTTTGTTAAGTTTATCGTTAGATTAATGGTTTATCGTTACTTATAGGTATACATTAAATTCCCGTCTGTATTTTATCTTCCCAACTTTTCACCTACAATAGTGGTTACACCCACGTGCAAAGTCTGTTCGTCCTTTTGTTTATTTTTTTACTACCCTTTTGCGCTTTGGGACCTAGTGTCCTAGGGTAGACTATTGTTTAATGTAGGTATTGTTGATATCAATACGATACAGAAAATCAGTGTAAATAAAACCAATCACGAAGATGGAACTCGTTATGTTAACGTCGGGTCACTGACGAATCATTTTTTTTTTTTTAAATATGAAATATGTATGTATAGGCCCTACATATTATTATGACTATTGAAGTAAAAATGTGAAAATATATACCCTCTGACCATAGGGAGGGGAGGGAGCTCCACCTTTTGATTGTTCCTAAAGTTTTGAAAACTATCGTTTTAAAAAAAAACAAACCTTTAAGTGAATAGAAAACATGAAATTCCGAAATGTTGACGTACTCACATCATCCGTTCATCCATAATCTGAAAATTTGATTTTCTCTAAAACCGGCGTATTATCATAAATTCATATACTCCATAATATCAATGTTACATAATTTAGTTGTTGGTAGCTTTCGACGGTTTTTTTTGAAAACTTTTGTGGAATTGACAGAAAAACGTTTCAATTATATACCTATAGTGCACACGATTCGGTATACGGTTCAGCCGGCCGAAATGCGTTCTCCGAAAATAAACGGAAAATAAAAACCACAATGTAGCTTATCTCGGTCATACACTCGGAACTTAAACACGGGAGACGTGGGTAGGGCGGAGGTGGGGGGGAGGGGTTGGAACGATGGGTGGCAAATAGTTTTTATCGGCTTTGTACACACGATGTCTGTTTGGTATATTAAAATACGTATTACATGTATATTTCGTTGTGTATACATAATAATAATATATTACCGTGTAGGATGCCTTCGGTCGATTAATCATGATTATACACGACTATAATAATAGTATGCGTCGGTCGGGAACGGTATTCGGGAACTATTCGCGCGCAGGCACATAATAATAATAATATTGTTATCATGTCGTATCGTTATTCCACGCTCTGCCGTATATTTTTTCCCGCCCGGCGATACGAACTTCGCAAAATACAACGACCGCCGCGAGAGAGAGATTAACACGAACGTGCGGATTTTTTCCCGCGTCGTTTTTAGGTCCTATACCGGACCGGATGATTTTCACAGTATGTTATCTTCTCGGTGAGGCGCTGTTACCAGAAAAAAAAAAAAAAAGACCTGATACTGGGGATGGGAGTGGCCACTGTTTTAGGTGAGAAGTTGAGGAGGTAGGATGCGTAAGGCCAATTAATTTATGTCCGTAAGCAACGATAAACCATTGGTTGACGAAAGACGATTCCGAGCGCAGTTCGACAAATAATAATGCCATTCTTTATCAAATTTTAAATTTCAAAATTTGAACACTCAAAAAGTTAAAAATCGTGACTGGGTTTTTAATATTTTTATGAAACTTACATAAAATGTTCAAACATTTTTGGATTTAGCAGTGCATAAAGTCCCGAGATTCGGTAACTACTAATTAACCGATAACGAAAACAGCTTTGACCACTATTGCAAACTCGGACCAAATTTGAATATTTATAGTAAATTGCTAACATACCTAGTTTGTTATATATTATCATAGTAAAACTAATACATTCCTCGCTACGCTCAATCGAGAAAAACGCAATCACACAGTAGGCCTCAGAGCTCCCTTTCCGAATCTATAAAATTCGGCGTTAACAGTGACAATAAAATACAACAATATTGTTAACCAATCGCTTATTATTTTTGTCAAACTATGTCTAACGCTAAAAAAAAAAAAAAAGTTAAATTACAATGGTATAGACGTACCACTGCGCCCCCTATATTATTTATTATAAAACATCTATGGGTTTTGAAACCGTTAATTTTATCGGACTTTCGGTCAATAATCGAAAGAAAATTGTCAGATTTCGGCGTGCGATTCGCACGTGGTTTTAATCTCTCAGCGGTCAATTACCGATTAACGAAGGGGACACGTCATATTAGCTGTACTTAAAACGTATAATGTACCATTGTACATGACGATAAAATTGTAATTGTACGAATCAATTTATAAAATATTATTTAGAAATTAAACACGAATTAGCCGAATATAGCTGCGCGATTAACCGTAAGTACCGTAAATTTATGAATTACCGCGATATTATATTCGTTTTATATTAACGAGATAGCGCATGTTGCACACGACCTTACGAGTTTTCACTATAAATATGAATGAATGGCCGTAATAAAATTTATTTAGTGACAGTGCCGCCGTGCCGCCGCCGTTGGTCAACAATACATTTTTAGAGAAAAAAAAAAAATGACCAGTGGATTGCGTCAACCGTTACTAAACAATCGTCGCATACAATACGCGAGGCTTTTATCCGTAGATTTTTCATCATTTACGTTTAAGTGTATAATAATATATAGCAGGCGGTATTATAATATTATTGTTTGTCGTTACATTATTATAGAAGCTCCGGTCAAAAATTGATGTGTTCGCAAATTGATTTCATCACGAAACATAACATATTGTAACATACTTAATAATACGATAAAATAATATTTATTTATATTGATACATATACACATTGAAACACCCCAAGGGCACATAATAAATGAATAGTACTCAAGTATTTGATTACAGTACGGATTACAATAAAGAAAAACGGTAAATAATTAGACATTAGGTACCTACATGGCTCTACCTGACTTACGGTTAACACGATTTTCGAATAATAGATGATAATAGTTTGTTGCGAAGAATAACGCTCATAAAAAATTTAATCAGCAACCGGAAGAATTATCGCGATCGGCAAAAATCATATTTGTATAGGTAATTGATAGCGACAAACAAGCGAATGCTTTAATAATATTTCGAATTAAGTCTTTTCTCCTATTTGTGTATGTTACGGTTAATGTTGTAAAATAGATTAATGTCAGTATATTTCATACTTTTGGTGTATAAAAATCCAATTTATGATTTTACTTTTAATATTAGATTGCAATGATTGCGTTAGCCTATTATCAAACATTAAGGTAAGAGCATTGTCTGTTTTTAAACGTTGATTTGTTTTGGATATTTTAATTTTCAAACGAGTTACAACTATATTAAATATTACAATTTAATAATCGTCGAATATGGCTTATAAATTTAAACATTGAAAAAAAAAATGTATAAACACAAACAATGTTTTTAGCCTTTTCGGAAATTGTAAGTTTGATAGTAGGCTCGGAACTTGACATTAATTTTTTTTAACGTTTCCATTTCGATGGCCCGACGAAAAAACCACTATATAAATTTCCTTTTTTAAATTGTAATTATTCGACTGTACGTTAAAACTAAAAATAATTCGAAATATTTCGTAACTACCCGAAATGTAAATAATTATTTTTTTGAAATATTTAAATTTCGCAAAATGCGGACTAATATTATTTTCATTTTTGTCTTATTATTGTTTTCAGTGTTCCTGTGTACGTGACAAAAATAAAACTTTCCATTTAATTTTCATAAGTCTATACTAACAAAAACTTTTCTAAAATGAAAAAGCAAAGTACAAAAAAAAATCAATTGTCCGTTGAAAGACAATATTATTTATCACTTGAATAAAAACAAGAGTTTTTCCCGCAGAATAAACTTTTTTAAAATTATGTCGAATGGTTTTTTTTTTTTTGTATGTACTTATTTATAAAACAAAAAACAACGTGCAGCCTTTTTATCATCTAAATATATTATTGTCAAATACGAAAGTTTTGATCAACTTGTATACAAGATAAGATTCTATATGGTTTTTTTTTTTTGATAAATTATACTTTTTCTATTTTTAGTTTATGAATACGAAATACTTATTACGTAAACCTTTTAGGCCTATAATACGGTTATTAAAGCTAAAAATGTTTAACATATTCAGAACGATTTGATTCTATCTACCCACAGAAATACTACATTTTTCTCTTCTATAGGAGATATAATAAAATGATAAAACCTTGAATCTTTAGGACGATTGTTGAATATCAAAATATTTAAATTGTGTTTGATAATGGAACGTGATCATATTATGAATTATGATTGCAACAGGCCACGTACCATTGGTTCAATCACGGAAAATAATTGTTAAGGAAATATCGATCGGGGAAAAATCAGTAAAATCAAATTATTGGATTGAAATTTAGTCGGCTGCACGGTGGTTTAATTTTGCAACAAGGTCTAACAATAAAATATTATATCAAACTGTTGTTTTAGAATGAATAAATGTATTGTCATTTTGATTCAATTTCGCTGCATTTTGGAAGACACCCTAATGTAAGTGGTTACGCGCATTACTACCGCTGTTGGCGTTTTGAGAGCCACGTACAATAAAGCGAACATTTAAATTAATCAATTTTATTCGCTCGCACATTATTATTATAATGTTAAACTCAAGTTTCGTCCGGATATCCCGCGTTCGAAATGGATGTCGTGAGCATTCGTATTATTATAATATAATTCGTTCGGCAAAAATCGTTTCTGACTTTGGTCTGTGCGCTAAAGACGTGACGGAGAGACACAAGAATGAGAGAATATTCCGCGTGAACTTTTTGCACGACGGGAAAAATTACAATATTCACCTACGCTATAACCATTATAACATCATCCCGATGAGCGTATACTCACACCGTCGTAATAATATACTTAATTTAACTTTCAACGTTTATATATTATTTTATTCTACTATACATAGTATACGATATACATAGCTCTACATAGCTATGATACATGTTGTATCAGTATACATATTATACAATATTATATAACATGTTTAAAAAACGTAACTATTATATTTGAAAGTGAAGAAAATGCAATACACCTAATTATACAATTTTAATAAAAAAAAAGCCGACGTTACTAGTGGCTGTATTATTGTTAAAAGTGGGGTGTTAAGAAGGTAGAATACATAAGCCATAAGGTATGAATTTATATCTAAACGCAGTGATAAATCTCTACTAACAAAAAACTATAAGCGGTTTTATATATTTTAAATATCGTAATTTCTACGATTTTCATTTAAGTTTGATTTTAAACGCGTATGAAAAAATTACTACATTACATTTTACTTGTTTCCCTTATCCACTAAATTAAACTTATAATGGTTTTTATTTTTATTTTTTAAGCATTTTTCTAAATTAAACTGAATAAAAACTTGAAAATAATTTCGAAAATATCAAATACCTACATATACAAATAGCTCAAAGATCGTCTACTAGAAAAGTCTAATGTCAATACTCTGTGATAAACGCAGGTACCAACAATTATTTTCAACTGAATTGTAACAAAAAAACATAATTGAAAATAATAAGTATGTTAATACCGTTTTTTTTTTTAAGAGGATTGGAAGCGACGAGCTTATATGATATATAGACATTTAGACGTTTTATAATTCCAACGTACCGATTGATCTAGTAAAGCGATAAGAATTCTGGAAATAGATTTGAATTTGTATTTTTTAATACAAATTATCTGTATTTTTTACTTTTAATTTTTTGAGAAATTAAAATCAAAAATCAAGAATGTGGGAAAGTCAATCTCACGTAGACTTCGCAAAAAATGTATGTCTGCTATTAGAATTCTTATTGATTCAATAGATCAATCGGTATGTTGGAAATAAAATACGTCTAAATCCGTATATCTCGCATGTATAAGACAAAGACAGAAACTCATTGCTTCCAATCCCCTTAAGTTTTTTTACTTAATTATGAAGATACCTACAAGGAACATCAAAAAACCACCTTCTCTAATTAACACTAATAAGACAAAATTTTTTTCCATAAAAGATGCTACTCTTGAAATTTAGAGCAAGATGTCCGATATAAAACAAAACTTGATCATTTTAAATAATGAAACTGTTAATGCCATAAATATTTGTCCGTTTTTACGTACGATCTTTTTCCAATTTTTTTCCGGTCAATATGGAAACTTCTTAATAAATCAAAAATGCACCAAGAAGATACAAATGCAACAAAAAAGGCCTATTGTCATTTTTTAATTAGATCAAGATTTCTGGTAGAAAAATGGTTTACAAACAGTAAAAAATTAAAACCAACACGATCTAAAAATTACACATCATAATAAAGTCTTATTCGTGTCATAGACGGAATCTAAAAAAAAAAAAACTATATTTTGAAAGTTAATCTTTAAAAAATGTTCTGTTGTCAACATTTATGAAAATAATGATTTTTGAAACAAATAGAATAATATTCTGAAATAGTCTGCAGGATGATAGAATATAATAATATATTGAATATAACATTATTAACAAACTAAAAGTTTTAACCTTCAAACCTTTTCTAAATTAATCGAATTTCAAAATTAGACCGTAGAAAA